TTGGTTTCATAATTTTGCATGTGAATTTCAGATAAAATAGCACTTAAAGGTCCACCCATAACTAACTCTTCTTTTTGCGAATACAATTTATTATTATATTGGAAATAATAATATAGTGCATAGAAAAAATTTCAACTTAAATACTATTAAAAAAATGCATAAACGTGTTAAAGAAAAAATAAAACATAACTCACGAAATAATGTTATTAACTACTGTAATATTAAATATAAAAATAATATGTCTAACAAATTTTCTAAAATCTGAACAATAATACAAATAATGCAAAAATCGCATAATAACCATAATATAAGTTTTGATATTAATACAGACTTAGAAATATTAAATACCAAAATAATTATTACATTATTTCAGTTTTTGAAGAATTATACATACACCATGTAATAAAGAAAAATAATTTTAATAATATTTTAAATGTACAAGCCGATTTTAAAAAAAAATATCTTATATCAATACATTTTTAGATAATAAATAATAACCAAATAATAATTTACTTTTCTTAACATATCTATATTTACTAATAACTCATTTTAAATAATCTCTCCTATTAAAATAAATTATTTTTATGTAAAACGACTAATTTGTATAATTTGTTCTCTATGTATAGCTTCATTTATTTTTTTTTAATTCAGTCACGTTTTACTTTTTTGACTGTGATTTACCTGATGATGAATTTTTAATTCGAAACCGGTCGTACAATACACATATTGTAATACTCCAGGCGATAAACTCATTTATTTATTTATTTCTACATATCAATTATTTATTTATTTATTATATATAGGTCAGTTTTAAATCATTTATACTTTAACTAAATTAATATAAACTGCAAAATACGAAACTTTCTGTCTGTATAATACAACTATGGCTTACCCGTGAGGTCATAAAATTTAATAATATTATGTCCCGTGTTGTTTTTTTTTCCATTTTGGCACTATAAATTACAATATTCACAGAAACTTCTTGTTATTTAAATTTTCGATACCTTGGAACTCTGTTCCTTTTGTGCCGTTTCATAAAATTTTTTTTATAATACACTGGAATTTTGAGCTGCTCATTTTAAATATTGTGCACTAAAACACACTATTTTGTAGGTCCTACTAAACGCGAGTAAACTGTGAAATGGCGGATAATATTTAAAAACTATTATTCACCATGTCTTAAATTCGATCACTTGAAAGATTATAACGGCCCCTTGAAATATTGCTCCCGGAGCCGATGTGCCCCCTCCTCCTTAAATACATCTCTGCCCAATAACAATAATATAATTGTGCTAACATGGTTTAGGTAAAATACGTATATTTCATAATTTCCATCAAATTAAAACTACCAAAATATGGTTATTTATATTACAGCACACATCGATTTCAGTTTAGCCCACAAAATCGCATTAGTAGCTGTGCCTCGTCGTCGTAATATCTCCGTGAATCAGGACACGGCCGGGGGATAATGTAAGCACGGGGGAGGGGGGATTGTGGCAGTCCCGCCGAACCGCTCTCGCGAAACGGGCGGCCAAACTCGAAGATAAATCGTGACAACTTTCGGAGCCAAATAATAGTAATAATAATTTATCCTTCGCCGCACGCACTAGCTGCTAAACATAATAATATATTATTATTATTATTATTACAATGTCCTGTGTCGTCCTGCGGTCGTTATATAATAATATTATCCTCGTCGTCTATCTCTCGATCCCCGCGGAACTTGTACCGTTTCCATCTGTATATTATTTATATACAGGGTGATCCGTTTACCGGTGAAATTTTCAAAAAAATAATCGTAATTAAGAAATATTCTCGTCGTATGACTATTAAGAAATTCTGAAATAAGACGTACTGATTATTTTTGTGTTTTAAACAATATTTATAGATAATTGATGATAAGTAAAATCGTCATGTATATGATCATATTATATTATTTAATGACGTGTACTATAATACGTTGCGTCTTAATGCAAGTATCTATTTTAATAATAATGTATCGCAACTTAAGGACTGGTTGGTTTTTTTTTTTTAGAAACTCGTTGATGACGTGACATGCCAATTATCGAATAAAACGTTTCATTTTTCGCGTATATAATTTACAAGTATACTGTGTAGTAACAAATATAATACTACTCAAATAATATTCAGATGGATATAAGTATGCATTATTATATTATGTGGACTTTTATAGAAAAGTTTTAACGAAAATAAAAAATAAACTTATATAAATAAAATATAATAATATATAACATCATTTTATTAAATATAAAATGATAACGCAAATCACTGTTACTAGTGATAGTAGGTATACTTACCTATATACGGTTGCATATATTTTTTGAATTTTATAACACATATAATATGTAATTATTATTCATTTTTAAAAAATGTTACATTATTATATGACAGCGATTGATGAATGAGTAAGACTGGAGGATTCCTTGTAGACAGAGATAGATGGAAAAGATTAGTGGACACTGCTATAAAAGCCTTAAAGGGTTAAATGTGAAAAAATAAAATAATAATATTATAAGTACAGGTACCCAGACTTTTTCAGAGATATTTTTGGGCCCGGAGCAGAATCATACAAGGTGTCCCTATTTTTATTTAAATTTTATTTCAGGATATTAAATCTAGGTAATCAAATATTTAGCTCTTGTCGACTACCTGTAATTGTTACACTTACCTAAGCCGGGTTTTCATAAATAATAATACATTTTACATATAGACCAACATTATATCGTATAAATCTTATTTATTATGTTTAGTATTAGTATACAAAATCATTATAATCTTAAATATTTCAAAGAATTATAAAATTTAATAATAAAGAAGTAATTAAACTATGTTTCAAAGTATAATAATTAGAAAGTTATAAAATTACCTTTACCTTATAAAATTAGCTTTTCTTTTCCTGTAGTTGACTTCAAATCATTTTTTATTATTTTAAATTTAATAAACGTTATTTCTTCTGATGCTACCGAAAGAGATATTACCTTTTTTTTTTTGATAATTATATTTGTCAATTATAAATGATAGGTACCTATAGGCTAGCGTTATACGCGTCTAGGTATATCAATATATCTACCTATTCAACATTAATTATTATTAAACAGACAATAATTTAATAAACTCGTAACTTAATTATTGTTACATAGTGCAGGGCTTATAAACTTTTACTCTTTATTTTAATATATACTATATTCCTAAACCCATGTAGAAAATACAGTTTATTTTCGATAAATGTACAAAACTTTTGTATCAACAGCAACCTAGGTAAACAAAGTTGAATGCATTCGCAAAGAAAAGTTTGAGATTAAATTTTTCTATATATTATGACACTAAAACATCGCGTGAAAACTTTTAACACACAGGGGGAAAATAAAAATAAATTTACTTGAATTTTGATAAAAAAAAAAAGCTGATACTGGGGATGGGAGCGGCCACGGTTGTAGGTGGAAAGTTGGGTAGGTAGGATACATAAGGTTATTTCATTTATATCTGTAAGCAGCGATAAGCCATTACTGACGAAAGATGATTCCGAACGCAGTTCGATAGTTCATAATTTTCGCGATTTTTGTTTAAATTTGATTTCAAAACGCTTAATAAAAAAAAAAAAAAAGGCGTCCGATGATTTTGAAAATTTGACAACGTCTAGATAATTCCAATATAAGTATTATTACTAAGTTTAAAGTCTCCACGTATATTTATAACCGAATTACAGCAAATAAACTGTCAAAAATTAAAATTCCTTAAAAGCTCAAAGTGGTTCAAAATTTTCGGCGATGATGCCATGAGAAAGTAAATCAAAAAGGCAACAAAAAAAGGTGTTTTGTGATTTTTCGATTAAATAATTTTTTTCTGGTAGAAAATGTCGTCCGTGTTTTTATAAAATAATGAAATCGTAATATTGTACATTTAAGTGTTTTTATTTAAAAAATGGCGACAAATATCAAAAACTGATCCCTTAATGTACCATTTAGACAACTTGAGCTTTCAGAAAAAGTGCTATAATTAAACATCAGAGCAAGTTTACTAGGATAAAGCGTTTCCACAGACATCTGAGTAAAACCAATAGCTCCCTCGCTACGCTCGGAATCTAAAACGACATAAAGTATACACAAATGTGTATATAAATAATGGGCATTGCCATGAAGTAATACTACTTAGCAATCAGTGGTGTGGCTTCGTACCTATTTAATGTTTTTGTACGTTGGATTAGCAGCACATTCATCTTAACACCCTTTTTATTAACCTCGTTCACGATAAAGTGTAGTTAATTCGAGATGTTGTAAAAACGGACCTCGACATATATGATGATAGTGAAGACTGTTGAAAATTTCGCAAAATTGCTTTTAATTTGTATAAATGCATTTTGTATTAGTTTATTGAGTAGAAAAATAAAAAGAAAAAAAATGATGTGCGTTTTAAATTTGGCAGTCCCATATCAAAAGGTCGACGTCCTCGCGTCCATAAATATTTTATGTGTAGAGGTTTATTATATTATTATATAAAACCACGGATCGCAATAAAAATTATGTTATCTAGGTACCAAAATGTTTTACTAATTACCGAGTCAATACAATTTTTGTTTTTAACTAATACCTACTTACTTGGAATTAAAATATTATGACAAACCAATAATTATACTTATGCATTATAGCCGTGTAAGTAGATCATAACACCTGAATGCACCTATCTACCGTTAAGGATGACGAATAAACTTTTATGATTTTGCAATAGCATAATTAGATATATCATTTTCAAGGTATCCTCCAATATATTTACGTCATTATTATTATACGGTAAGTACATAATATGCATTTTTTTGTTCTTAATAATACTTTCTACAATCCACATTATACCTACCATTATGTACATAATATACCATTATCGTTTCGAATTAAACATTTCAAAACGGTTGGTAATGCTGAATACGGTTATCAATTCGGACAACAGCTGTATAGTCAACGAGTTTCGGTTATCAGTCTGTATTGCACGGTACTTATAATTTATTAATATTATTTTTCAACATCATTTTATTTTATAAAATTACTGGTGGTAAATGTATAATGTATGTATATAGTTAAACCGATGTGATTATTTATTTATTTTTTGTGAATTTTAGATATTTTATTTTAAGGTCGATAAGACTAAACTTCACGTGAACAAGAACAATACTTCATAAAGTCATAATGTTATTCTAGTGTCAGTTTAATCAGTTTCTAAAAACCGAATATTAAAATAATATGTGAGTACGTAAGATTTTTTGTTTCAATTTTAATACCTACCCTATAAAATACGCTTTTTGTATTATGAATTCCCTCAAAAAAACATTGAATAGTTTAATATTATGTCGGCTTACAACAGTTTTTGTTTACAAAAATAATGTTAATTATTTAATTCTATTACAGGTACATTACCTGTAACTATTATATTTATAAACTAATAAGTATTTAATTATTAATATTTCAATTTTTAACTACCTACCTATCATTGTTTATTGATTTATAGTTTCTAAATACCTATTCAGTAAACTTATCTTTTACATATACAATATGCTTAGTTACCTAATAATAAAATAATAATAATTTAATATTATACAAATATTTGAGCAATTATATACCTACATACCTACTTTAAAAGTAAATGGTTTTACTTACCCACTACTTATTTATATTACCTTTGCAATTTGTTATAGTTTCAAGGAAAATGTAAATACTTAATACTAAAAAAAACTGTGATATTAAAAATACAATTGAAAAATATACAACAATTGACAATACATTTTAATCATGTTCAAATCTAAGTCAGATGGCAGGTAATAAGTACATAACTAATATATTATGTGAAATGTTCACATAAAATAATTTTGTTATTTCCATACACCATCATATTATTATAAGATAACAGTCATAAAATGCCATTAACCACATAAGATTATAGTTTCATATAACTTTATTTACAATATTAGTATTATATTGATAAATTATTATCCATGATTATATAAATATGTAAAAAGCTATTCTTTACTTATTCAAAATTAAATTTAACCAAATATTTAAATAAGTGTTTAATTTAGGTCTGTAGATAGTTATTGATTTTCCCTTTTGGTATGGTTAATAGATATTTACTCAAGGCTATCAAAGTAATTAATGTAATTTGCAATTATTATAATTAAAGTACTAAATTGATTATTAGGTGCATTAATTGTATTAAGGTTTAAAATATGTGCATTCTATAAATCCAGTAATTAATAAATCGTATTAATGTGATCAACACATGTACATTACACATTTACCAGACATAAAATAAATAAAGAGGTTTAGGTATCCAGTAGCAGTATTCTGAGTGACGTGAGAAAGCTATTACTTATATTAGTTTTATAATGAAGTGTTTTCACGGTTCTTTATTTATTTTTTTTTTGGCCGTTGAACATAGGTACCTTATGAAGTAAATACCAAAGGCACTTAATAAATGAAAAAAAAAATAAAAACACGCAATTGCTTTATAAATAGTTAGGTTTTGACATTCTCTTAAAATGGGTTTATTTTGAAATTTTCAACCGAGATAAAAAAAATCGTGAACATCTTGAAAATGGCGAAAACAATTCGCGAACAAATCGTTTAAATTTAAACACTAAGTTTAATTTATAAGCGCTTTTCAAATGAGAACTATCTCGTTCTTTTCTAAAATATCAACTTAGAAGTTGCGCATAAAGTGAGACAAGTGTGTCTTAACATTTTTATTTATCCATATTGTCAGTGACGTAGTCAGGATTTTTTTTTTAGGGGGTTGTTTTTATTTTGTCTTTAGATGTATCATTGTGCAAATATGGCATTACATACATAACATATACCTACTTAATAATAATTATCAATACATAAGTATACAACACATTTTGTAGAAATCTGATGCTTAAAAGCGTATAGTAAAAATTATAATTTTTGGCATAAATACGGCTAAAGGGGGGGGGGAATGTGAACACCAAAACACTACCCCCGCCCCTCTCGCCACGTCATTGTATATTGCATATTATTAATACTTTCAGATTGCTAAAACTTTGTTTACTTCTTTATCACTGTATAAATTAGAATTTAAACGTCTTTAAAAGAAGTAGTTTTCAGTTTAACTTTGAGTTTAAAAACCGCAGTTGAGAAAAATTGCGGTAAAGGCATAAACTCGCGTTTCTAGACGGTCGAGATTTACTTACTTGCAAATACTGTCTATTTTAGTGGCATATCATAAATTTGGTGTATTCGTATTTTCGGTAACGTTGAACATTTTTTTTGATTTTCAGATTTGTATATATTTGATATACAATTCAAATTAAATTTGAAGGATGCAACTATAATATAAGGTAATTATATTAATTTTTTTTGTATTTAGTTGATTAGTTGTATATATTACATACAAAAACCGGTTCTAAGAAATTGTTTTTTTTTAATGAACGTCACCAAAAATTACAATATGTATTGCGGAGAATGTGTTTTGACAAATAATGATTACTTCTATCCCTAACCTAACTATTATATTATATTGAAAATTATATAAATGTTAATTTAAGTTGTGATCAACACAAGGTCTTGTGCAATGAATATATGCACGTATAATATTATGTTACTAAATTCCGAGCAGAACGGAGTCATTATAATTAAAAACGTATAAAAATGTAGAAACTCACGTTTTTCGGAAAACATTTTTTGGTCAGTAAACATATTCTAAAAGTTTCGTACGTTAATTCCGAAACGAGGAATTATGAGACGCGGTACTTTAAACGAATCATTAATTTCCTGAATAGTTTGACTTCCAACAAGAAAATGTCGAAAATCTATTGACAAATTAGGGAAATAACCTTATAATCGTTATGATTGTAATTCTAAGTTAATGCAGTAGGATTCGCCGTATATTTTGTCTCGCAGAATTTTGTCGATTAGTACGAAGCGAGAACAAATCACCAATTTCAAGTGCCTTTTTAGATTCTGGAAGGAGCAAATAATGTATATCTGTTTTACAATGATGCTTTTTAAAATCTTCTGTTAACAACTTATCTTCCAGAAATTTTGCTCTGATTTTCAAGCGTAGCATTTTCACTGAAAAGACATATTCGTGAGGTGATACTTTGGAGAGATAATTTGTTAATTTTTTCAGGTGTTTTCATAATAAATAGGAAAAACAGGAACATTTATGAAGTGTATTATTTTCAAATCTTAAATTTGACGGCCTTTCAAAACATGTAAAACCGAACTCCGCTCAGAATAGTTTCTCGTTAGTAATAATTAATCGTTCCGTACAGATATATATATTAAATTTCCCCTCTACCTTACCAACTTCTCACCAACAACAGTGACCTACCAACCATCGTGCAAAGTATGCCCGTTACTTTTTTTTTTTTTTTTAATTCATACTTTTTTATAATAATAAACATATAAATAATAATTACAACAATACCTAGAAATTAAGACAGTTTTTACGACAATATAAAGCGCCTAATCTTAGATTTCTTTTATCTATTTTTTTTTTTTTTTTATACTAAGCACGTAAATTATGTAAAATATAATAATGCTTTGAAACATTAATCTTGTGGAAATATTATACATGTTTTAAACAATTAAACACTGTAAATATTTCAATCAAATTCCCAATTCGAGTTTTATTAAGTAAATAAATATGATTTTTACATTTCTTTGATAGAATTAAATTCCCCCGACTAGCCCCGATTTTAAATAATTACATTTAAAAGATGCATCAGTATAGAGTATAAGCTACTTATCACTCGAAAAATTGGACTTATCATTATTTATATATTAATTTGAATGTAATATTATTATAGCGTTTTTTTTTTTTTTAATGTAACATTAAAAATTGCCATCAATTATATACATATCTTTTAGAAATTTATCGATCTAAAGTACTAGTGTAATACAAAAATGAAACAAATTACACTTTTAATATACTGTCCGTGTTATAGATTCTAAATGGATTTAAGGAATTTATCGGTTACCATTATGTGTGGGATTTTTTTTTAAATTTGTGTACAATTTTTTTACCAGGAATCTCTCTATACCTAAACTATCCCTTTCTACACTTGTTAAAAATTAAAACATATTTTGGCTATTTAATATTTTAGAATCTTTTCAGATTTTATTAGCTTTTAGGTTTATATGGATGCTGACCCCAAATAGTTTGAATAGGGGAGAAAGAGAACAGATTCCGTTATATATGGATAATATTATTCTTATCCAACAAAAGTGTTTGAAAATTTAATACGAAGTTCACTATAAGTTGTACTAATTGATAAAATAATATGAACGTGATGTAGTAGTTCTTTAGATTCTGAGTGGTGCGAGTTTTTATCGGTTTTACGATATTTATAATTTTTTTTTTGTAAACAAATTTTCTACCAGAAATTTTGCTCAGATTTTTAAATGTAACACTTGTTCTGAAAGGAAATTAGACTGGGCTGATACTTTAAGGATGTCAGTTTTTGGTTTAGGATCCCAGGAGTTTTCATAATAAATGGGATAAAATGTAAGAAAAACGGGAAAATAACTAAAAATTTTATGTTCAAATCTTAAAAAATATTAGTCTTTTTTTTAACCTTATTGTTGAGGAAGAAAGTAATTTTCTAAAAAACGTAGAAAAAACCTGAAAATGTATGAAAATAATGCTTTTATTACTTTTAATTTAATTTTTTTCTTAGAATTTAGTTTAAAGTATGCGTAGAAACTTTAAATTTGGACAGAAAACTTATATTTGTCTTTTATAAAGTGGTCAAATTTCCAAAACATTTGAGCCATTTTTAAGCTACTTATAGACATTTTAATTTTGCTAGTTTTTTACGTAATTTTTATTTGATAGTTAGATAAAATTGTCAGACCAAACTTAAATGCTTGCAAATTTAACAGGAAGTTTATTAGGTTTATTAAGTTAAGTACGACTTAATGCTAAGTAAACGTAGTATACTTTGAGGTAAAAAAAAAAAAATGTGTAATATTGAATTTTTTTTAGGAATTCTAATATCAAATTTTGACGAAAATTGTAAATAGTTCAGAATTGTTTTTCGTTTGCAATGATTAATCGTTGTGTACAGATGTACATTAAATTCCCCTATATCCTACCCTACCAATTTCTCACCTTCATTAATGGCCCACCTATCATGCCATGTATATCCGTCTTTTTAAAAATGATTTTGTTCTTTAAATGACAGCGTGAAAAATCGAATGTGTATTTTATGACCCTACAAATTGGTAATTAATTGCAGAAAAAAATCAGAATCTTTGTAATACGAAAAAAACATATTGGTAAAAATGTATAATTACATAAGTATAAATTTACATATTAGTATAAAATTCAATATACGTTTTCTTGTTTTATTTCAATAAAATATTTAGTTATATTACCTAGTGCTAAACTTATAATAACTTATACTTAGGTAGTTAGGTATAGTGAAATAATTTTGTCGTTGCGTATTTTAAATAATTCAAGATTTATATTGTTTAATATACTATATTACTAAGTTTACGACTGTATTTTTATTGTTAAATGAAAAAGACGTTACATATAAAACAATATTATCCTGAATTCATTTCGATGTTACAGCTATAAAGTAGGATATAATATCAAATGTTATTATTGAATTTTAAAAATCGATTTTATGGGATGATATAATACTGTATGTAAAGCTAACAAAAACAATAATATTTTTAAAATGATGTTATAAAAATAAACTATATTTTAAACTTTATTTTGGTAGGAATTTTAGAAGTCTTTTAAATTAATTTACAAAATCCTAATTCTGCTAATAGGCGTGCCACTGTTTAAAGAAGAACATTAGAAAGAAGGATATGTAATTTAATTTGTATCTGTACTCGACGATAAACTAATGTTTACTTAAAGCGATTCCGAGCAGAGTATTACTAGTCGTATTTTTTCTCTTGTTACCTATGTTATCCAGAAATCAACAAAGATTATACAAACAAATTGCCAGTTTTTCCCATTTATTAAGAAAATTACTATTAATAAATGACCTCCCTAATCTGCCAAAAAATGCTACAAGAAAATTATTTTTTGATTAGAGCAAGATTTCTGGTAGAAAAATTAATACGGGCACAAAAAATAAAAATGAACATATTGTAGTAAAACAAATAAATCCTTCGATTCGCTCAGAATCTAAAATAATTCACCTTTAATATTCGAGTTTAATTTTTTTTTTTTTGTGTTTCATTCATTTTTTATTAGAATTTATAATAACAATAATCTAACCTTATAGTTTATACTCGCATATTATTAAATTATCTAAATGTGAAAGCTACAATAAACATCAACTATATGAATATTTCAGTATTTAGTCATAATTTTGATTAAAATTCGATGTTGTGTTAAATATTTTGTTAAAAAAAAAAAATGTTTTATACATTCAAATCGTTCGTTCACAATTCTTTTCGTCGATTTTACAGTTTTCCATTTGCGTTGAACTACAATATTATAGTGCGGAAATACCAAAAATTACATTGACAAAATACGAGTACAATCGATTGGATTTCTTATCTAGTAAAAAGACTACTCGTGAAAATAATGCTATATCTACCTATACATACTTACTGACTATATACTATCACACGAATTATTTAGTGAAAAATGGGTATTTACATTAAACAAAATGTTTTTCGCTCTGAATCTAATAAAATGTGTGTATCAGAATTCCGATAATTTCGTATGGAAAAAAAGATATCAAAAATTTTGTTTTGAATTCGATTAAATGTATTTTTATTTTGTACTCAGTTCGACCTAGCTATATATACGAGCAAGTATATAATGTAATCGATCTAAATCATATATGAATTGAGAATCCCCCTGAGACTGCATGAATAAATGTGAAGGACTCAAACGTCAATAATATGAAGTGTACATATTAGGTATAGTATTGGACGACTTTTATAAATTATAGTCAAATAATATAGTATAGGCCTAGTACTTGGTAACTATTTTTACCCTTATGTTTTATTAGGCTATGTGTATATTTTTTTTTTAAATTTCGAGCGTAGCGAATGTTTTGGTTTTATAATATGATGATGTGTACTTTTTGAATCCTTTTTATATTTTTTCTGTCTGTAAAAAACTTATACCAGATATTTTATTTCAGTCATAAAATATTTAGAAACTTTCTAGTTTTGATCTAGTCGATTCATTTAGAAGGTAATTTTTTCATAACCTCTAAGTTTATTGCTGGAAAAACCGACTATTTACACAATAACATTTTCTACTATTTTCGATTTTATTTTTTTATTGTAATTCAGTTAAAAATAGAAGCCTGAGACTTACGAAATACTTATACTGGTCTTTTATTCTAGACGTCGTACAATTTTCAAAACATTCTGGAGCTATTTATAGGTATTTGACATTTTCGATTATGTTAGTTTTTTTTTTTATTAGACACAAATTTGTTGGCTTTTCAATTTTTTTGAAAATAAAATTTTCTACATTTCATGTGGGTTCTAACTAACCGATTTATAAGGATAAAACTTGAATACAAATGCTCAAAAATTTGAGATGAAAAAACACGGACTACCTATTGACAGTTTATTTTGCGTTGACAAGCTGACAAATTAATATTGCTATTTTCAATTTAAGTTTATCAAAACCACGTTTAACCAATTTATTTGTTCTGAATCTTTTTTTTGCCTCGCGTCATAGTCGAGTATTTGAATAATATATAAATGTAGTTATAAGCGGACAAAATATGCACAAGCTCTTCCGACGTATAGCGGAGGGCCAAATATTTAGCACTGGTGTAATATGCGTGCGTTAATAATATTGGCAGCCTGCGGAGCGCAAGCGCCGTATACACTGGGCGAAATGGACGGGGAAAAAAAAAAAGTCATCGAGCTTTGCTATCGTCGTTAGTTGTGCGCTAGTGTCACCGGAAGTCGCGTACGTACGAGACGCACAAAGGCGTTCATTTTAGGTAAAAATTATACGAAATTGCTTATTAAAAACTATATTTATATATGTCATATAATATAAGTAATGAAAAACTATATTATTATATTCTCGACATTTTGCTTTTTATATGAAACGCGGGTTGATTTTATACATATCAGCGCTTAAATAATTTCAAAATTATCGAAAGCTTTTGTTGGTTTTCGCCGTAAATGACAGTTTTAATATTTTATTATAATAATATATTAATATATATATATATAGGTACTTATTGTTGATTTTCTTCTTGTATTTTGCTTTCAGGCGTGAAATTATAAGTACACGTGAATCGAAAGTTGACAACCAAAAATGGCGTTCGCTGGCCTCAAAAAGCAAATCAACAAAGCCAATCAGGTGAATATTAAATTATTTTATATCATCTCATGTTAGTTATATGTTTTTATATTAAGTATAAAATAATTTTAAATAATTCTAGTTAATTTTTAAGAGAGTAAACGTGAATTACGATTTAATAGTATACTATTGTAGGTTTATATTATATATATATATTATGTATATATATATATATTTTTAAAAAAATAATTTTATTTAAGTAAGGGTATATAAGTAATATTAAATACCCATATCCATTAATAGGTGTAAGATTTATTTCTTATTTCATATCTGTACATTGGTATACTTATTATAGTATGTATATTTATTGACGGCGCTTTATATATGCAATATTAGTGCCTATATTTTTCTTCTGTGAATTAGGTGTTCTTGTTATTATAAAGAAAACATTTTTTTCGTTTTTCTTATTCGGCAGCCGAAATTTAAAATTTCGATAGTGCATTTATCTTTCGGCGACGCCCTTCTGTATACGATGCATATATCCATTGTTTCGTGTTTTAAAACGCTCGGCGCGTTTTAATTGTTTGTTTGTTAAAGAAAAACGTTTTTTCCTACATTAATATTAATCAAATAAATGTCCTAATATCTTATAAACTAATTTTACAATACGTGTTCATAAAACTAAATAATAATAAATAAAAAATGAATCTATTCGTATAGTAATTATGTTTCTAAATTTACTTACAATATCATTTTAATGTAAGCCAACGTTGTAATTTTAAAATAATTTTTCTCCGCAAAAAAATATAATTACAGTGGTGAAACCTTATGCAAATAACAACTTTTGGTTGATCTTGTTACAATATTTTGTAACCTCATAATATAAGATTCTATACAATTTCATTTTATTAAATTCGCCCCTATGCGTAGAATAAATATGTTATTTATTTTTTGTTTTTTGTATTTGTATTTGTACACGTACAAATTTAAAAATTAATAATATTATTATTTTAAAACGTAAATGTACCTGCAGTTGGTTAAAATTAATTGCCTAAACGAAAAAGTATATTTTCGTGTAATGTAAATATAAATTTTAACAAAAATATTATAATAACGGTATACGACGTTAGTAAATAAATTGAATGAGTTAATAATTAACGTTCCTTTTTTTGTCCATTCAAAAAGTAATATTTTATTAATTGGTGTTGTATTATAATGTGTTTATATTTTTTGCGTTACTTTAGTAACAACAAACACTGCTGAAAATCATTTACAATAATAAATAATAATATTTCAAGGGAAAATTACTTATATATGTATATTTTTTTACATTTGTCACGGTGTATGTGTTTTTTCTTAAAACTATTTTTTTTTTAAAATTTGTATTATTATTTATTTGGACGAAAAGGAGGAAAAGTTAAAAACGAGGCCAAGGGAGTGTTGTTGTGTGTCGGTGTGTGTGTGTGTATATGTGTGTAGTGTATGCACAAGAGCGTTGTGGTGTGCGTAGGGGTTGGGAGTCGAGAGCATTTTATTGATTAACAAAGCTCTCTGTGTACACCCGCCGGAGTCGGTGTGGAAGCGGTGTAGTAGTTCTGACGATATCGACGGGGGCTGTAGTGAGGGATGGCGTTGCGGCAACGGGAGTGACGACGGCCACGGTGGTCGTACGGGGTTGGTTGTGCGATTCTTATCTCCTTCGTCGGTATTCATATTCCTATACCTATAATATTATTACTATCCATTCGCCACTCTGTTTTAAATAATAAGAACGATCGGATTATTATTATTTAAAGTAATAAATACCACGAGAAAAATAAGCGTATAAGTAGGAATAATATAATATTTTGATTAAATCGAAAAACTAAACCTTAAACAAAAAAATACAATTTCTGGTTATACAGCTAACTATAATTATATTAATTTATTTTGTTTATACATCCAAGTACGATGTTAACGCTTTTCACAATTACTAATTTAGAAATGAGTTTTAAGTTATAATATAATGCAATTTTACAAATTTTATAATAATATAAACATATGAGATGTACTTGTTATACTAGATTAGGTTGGATTAGGTTAAACGTGTTTTAAACATTTAGAAAAATATAATTTTTTATTTTCTGAAATAAGTGAGGTATGTGTTAGTATTACCTACTATGATGTTTTCTTTTTGTGTCTTTTTTACCAAAATCTGATTCCAATCAAAAACTTCAAAGGAACTTTTTTGTAAAATTGTTGATCTAGTTGCAGATATATATAATTTAAATAATTCTATGTATCCTATACCGTCTCAACTTCCCATATATAACAGTGGCACATCTATCAGTAGTCCATCACCTCTTCTTCTTTTTTTTCTTTTTTTTTTTTATATATAAAATTATTTATTTCAATAGTTTTAACTTCAGACAATTAGATATTAATAATATTGTTATTATAAAAACTAAAAAATCTTGTTAGAAATCATCTTTAACGTGGATGATGATTAGAGCAAGTCTTCCCTAATCGAAAACTCGTTTATGAACAGATAAAAAAGCATATGTTATAGTAAAAGTAATAGTAAAAAATCCATTGTTAATGAAAAACGATTCTGACTGGAATTCAGTTAATAGTGTTGGTTTCAAACTTTCATAAAAAAAACTCTTATAAAAAAATATTTCTACATTATACTCAATATTTTTTTTTACCTCAAAGTAAAAATTATAACGATTCTCCTATTAAATTGTCTAGCATTTCTGTTCGGTCGAACAATTTTATCCACAGAGTACCTACCGAACACAAATTATGTAAAAAAGACCTCGTAAAATTAAAATATCTATAAGTAGTTCAAAATAGGTTACACTGTTTTAAGAATTTCACCATGTATTTAAAAGGCTAAAATAAAGTCACAAATTTCAAGTCACTATGAATATTTAAAACTGAATTACAAAACAAAAAAATTAAATTATAAAAGCATTATTATTTTCGTACATTTCACTACGTTTTTTCATGTTTTCGCCCATTTATTATGAAAGCTCCCTGGGAAAATTAAAAAATGATCTCCATAAAGTATCACCCCAAGAATTTCCCCATTTATTTCAGAAAAAGTATTACACTTGAAAATCGCTAGAAAATTTCTTAAAAAAAAGTTGTTCACAGGAAAAAAAGGTTGTAATATTTATGATTTTCAAATTATACCTTTCGTACATTTTTTTCTATGTTTTTTCCGATTTTTATTGGGAAAACTCCTAGGAAAATCAAAAAAATGACTTCCTTAAGATACCACTCCAAGAAAATTCCTTTTTAGAAAAGGTGCTATACACTTGATATTTCGGAGCAAGATATCTGGTAGAATTTTTGTACATAGTGTAAAAAAAAAAAAAAAAAAAACAGCATTGTGTAAAATCAATACATTCCTTTTCTGCTCAGAATTAAAATAAGTATGCATTGTTCACTTTAATTAGATTCTAAAAAAATGTGAATTTTCATTCATAAGTAGTGTATCACACAGTATCATATAATACATGGAAATATAACTTATGCACAGTTCAGTGATGGTACGAGGTTTATTCTACATGGGGTTTGAAGTGATCTGTAGGTGTAAGATAAAACTAAATATGAATCAAATTTACTTATGGCGAGTTAGGTTAACTAGCTCGATTTATTTCATTTTCGAGTTTTTTTATGTATTAATGGGTAGATCAAATAATTGTTTGTGGTTTCACTGTATAAAACGTGCTATAAAAGTTTGTGCCGCCACTGCAGGTCTGCAGCACAGACATTTTAGACATTAGAGACATTTTATGTAGATATCGATTCGATTTTTGTATATTAAGTTTGGTTTTGTCTTATTTTTTTATTATTATCATTATTATTTATGAAGATCTTTGTGTTGAGCGTGCTGATATATGGATTTGAGGCATTAACTATGGAGTCGTATAAAAGAAAAATATTGGAAGTAGCAGATATGTGAATGTGTAGGAAGATAACTAAAACAAAATCGGTAGAAAGAAAAATGATTAAACAAGTACTATAAGATATGACTAAAAAAAAGATATTAACTGGACTCCATAATAAAGAGAAAGATTAACTTATTAATAGAACATGTATGAGACATAATTATTTTATGAAGAATATCTTTGGAGGTAAAATTGCAAGAAAGAGAGAACTCAAAACTGGCCAAGACAATACTACTTCAAGAATGTCTATCAAAAAATGGATGTCAACTTCTGTAAACAAATGAAATGGATGGCATCTGATAGAGGAGCATGGCTGTCTCAACAAGGCGTTACCTTTAAGAATTGGTGATTGGTGCCTAAATCACGAAGCATCATAATTTTTAATTTGCAGTTTTTCTATATTTATTTATTTTGCTAATTTGAAAATTATATCACCTAGTTACAGTTAAATAAAAAAAATGTACTTTTATATTTTATCATTTTGATTTTACTAAGACGAGAAATTGCATACTACCTATTTCAGTATGGATCAAAAAAAAAAAAAAATTATTACATTGTTATTAATATTATACAATTATATGTAGGTAAACCTTTGAAATTATAATATTATATATTTTGCAAAGCGATTAAATTAAATGATTTCGTTTTACTATAGAGACACTAGATAAAATAATAGGAGTTATATATTGTTATATATATATATTATATTGTCGAAATTGGAATGTATATGTTATTAATTCATCGAAAATTCGAACAATGGTTTTAATCTATGTAATTATTTTACAGTATATGACTGAGAAAATTGGCGGGGTCGAGGGAACAAAACTTGACGTGGACTTTGTGGATATGGAAAGGGTAAGTGCAGCCCTAGCTACTACAGCAGCGGATTTGTATTTACAATACGCGAATTAATATGTTAATACGTAGGTTATATTTTATGTGATACCTAACGTACTATATATTCTTTAGAAAACGGACGTTACTTACGAGTTGGTCGAAGAACTCCAGATGAAAACTAAGGAGTTCTTGCAGCCGAATCCTACGGCTCGAGCCAAAATGGCGGCGGTAAAAGGGATATCAAAACTCAGCGGCCAGGCCAAAGCGTCCACTTATCCGCAAGCCGAAGGAACCCTCGGTGACTGTCTGCTTATGTACGGTAAAAAGCTTGGCGACGACAGCCTGTTCGGGCAGGCACTCCAGGAGATGGGAGAAGCTCTTAAACAAATGGCTGATGTAAAATACGCACTAGACGACAACACTAAACAAAACTTTCTTGAACCTTTGCATCATTTGCAAACCAAAGATTTGAAAGAAGTCATGGTATTAAAAAAAAAACTTCATACAATTATCTTATAGAAAATATGTAATTTATTAAAACAATTTTTTTTTCATAGCATCACCGGAAGAAGCTGCAAGGAAGAAGACTAGATTACGACTGCAAACGTAGAAAACAAGCCAAAGGTTTGGTGTATTATTATTTTTTGTGTATAATAATTTATTTAATTGATAACAAAAACGTTCAAATTTCGATTTAGGTTCGCACGTTAGCGACGAGGAATTGAAACAAGCCGAGGAAAAATTTGCCGAATCATTGCACAGTGCTCAGATTGGGATGTTCAACCTGCTCGATAATGACGTATGTTTTAATATGACTAATTAACTATTTACCGGTTTTCATATAGTTAAGACAATAATTAATTTTTGAAAAAAAAAATTATACACTTTTACTATGATTATAATGTTACTTTCAGATAGAACAAATATCTCAGTTAACCACGTTCGCGGAAGGCCTTCTCGAATATCATCAACAGTGTTCTGAAATTCTGAAATTAGCAGTAATGGAAATCCAAGAAAAGTGCGTTAAGTCGATTTTTGATGGTTTAAAATAATATACATGTACCTATTTATCAACAATTTATTTACACTGTTTTTTTTCTTGTAGGCGTGATCAAGCCGCCAGTCGCCCGAAATTAGAATTCGTGCCCAAGACATTGAATGATTTACATCCAGTTGATGTGATTGCAGACGATATTAACGGTAAAACAAAAAAAAAATTATAATTTTATTTTTTCCTTGTTGATAAAAATATTTTAATAAAATAATAAAGTAAATAAATATAGTAATTAAATGTATTGATATAAAATGTATGTATAAAAATAAAATAAATAAATGAATCATTATGGAGTATTATGATAAGTGTATTAAACTCCATTGATTCATTTATTTATTTTATTTTTACACATAAATTTTTTTATTTATATATTTATTTACTTTGAAATATTTTAATATAACAATTATTATACTATTAACTATACTTAATTGTACCCATTGTCGTGCCGCCGATTTTTAAGTACCTACATTTTTTATTAATAATATTCATTTTATTATACCTAAAATCAGTCACGGTAAGAAAATGGCAGGACATCATATTTATCTATAATCAATATATTATTATATAAGTATATATAGGTTAGGGGGGTGGGATTTTGTATAATATACCGTTTTCTAAGTCTGCAGTTCGTTTTGTTAAAAATTAAAATAAAATATAACGGATTTTTCAGACGAGTACGAGTTGATGGAACCACAGCTCGCACACGTCAAAGGTAAAAACCAAACAATACGAGTAATACAAACATTTACATATAATATATTTACCTACCGTATTTAAATTAATACATATAATATTTTGTCGTGCGGTACCTAGTTTGGTTTTAACCTAACACCATAATTATGTATATTTTTTTTGTCAATCAATATAATACTAACACAGAATACCTACTAAGATTATTAGTTTTTAGTGGGTATACCTATCCGCCTATGTAGTTTTGTATATTACATAAATCCTAAACCTAGTTTAGATAACCTCTTAGCTATTATTATATTAACATATTAGATACCAGAGTATGTTAATAATTTTAATAATTATTGCATTTTTGTTGATTTTAAATTATGTTTATCTGAATAATTTATTTTTATTTCGAGCTCGAATAAAACCCACTCATCGTATTTGATGTAGGTTGTTTATGGTTATAATTATTTATACAATCAAAATTATAGTTTTGTAAATTAAAACTTGTATTCAATAATTATTTGCTATAATTGTTGAAACTCGCATAGCATTTTAATATTATCATTATTTATTTATTTTATTTTTTTAGAAAAAAACATTGATTTAGCTAAGAGATTCGTCTGTTTAAATATTATCTCCCCGTATTTTCAGGACGTATGTCGTCTGTACTTTCAGTTTATTACCACTATCCAATAAATATTTTGTAAGTAAATGTAGTAGGTATTTTAAAGAGCTCTCTCATCACCATTAAACAAATATAACTGATGATAATATCAATTGATTACTAGTACCTATACTACTGTTTAAATAATTATAAATTAATGTATTATAGATTTTCTTTTTTTTTAGTTCAGTTAATTAAATCATTTTTAATATGTGGACTTAATAATTTTTATAGTAATCATTTAACCCTCCATAACATAGATAATATGTTATAAGGTAATATTATTATCTTTAGGTAGGTAGTTGCTTTCACTTTTAAGGCTTATGTTAGTATTACCCTATATATTATAAGTAATTACTAATTATTAACAATATTATATTATCTAATACATGTAAATGCATATTAATATAACTGGCTTAATAATTGATAAAATGCTTAAATGTAAAAACATTAGGTAGTTCACGAGCTTCGTCCCCGACTCACAACTCAAAGTCTAACACGCTGGAATTAACGTCTGGAACAAACCATCATGATAACCATCAGCATCAACAGCAATCGCATCACAACGGTATACATATTGTAGTACCTAAGCATATTGTTTTAAATATTTGCTAATTTTATTACTTATAATAATAGCTGTAATTGCATAACGTGAAGCCATTTGCTTGGTAGAGGTATAGATGACTTTTATAATATAGTTTGCTCAATTAAATTTTAATAATAAAGTCAGGTTAACAGTAATAATACAATATTCTGTGGGGTATAACTTAAAAAAAAAAAAACCCCCATTAATATTTACTTATTTTATTTAATGCATGAGTTAAATAAAGTCAATAAATAAAATACATAAATGGTAAACAGTTTATTTTTTTCTATGACTGTGTATAATAAATTTAGTCAGCCTATATGAAATGTTAAATTTTGTCTCAAATCCCACGAATATATTTTCGTTTGTTTGTATTCTCTGTCTAATTCTGTTTTACGGTCTTTATATATAAATAAGGGTCTCAGTATTTAACTTGAAGTAGATGCACAATCAGCACCCCTTAGAATACATTTTTATGTTTTTAAAATTACATGATATTTAAAAATAGAAAATGTAAAGTAAACTACATACATTATTTAATCTTCTTTAATAACTTTATTCTTCAAAAATATATGCATACCTAATTTTACAATTTTCATGAATATCACCAATTCTTGGTAAAATAATATACATTTAAATACAAAATTATTATACTTTGTAACCATATTTTTTTTTACTTATTAAGAAAAGCATATTTTTTCTTTAGATAAACAATAAAAAAAATATTTTACATTATTTTTTCAAAAATTGTTTTCTCACTTTTTCTTCTGAAAACCAATAGATTATTTTGTTGTATGATTGTATAAACCAATTTCTATAGAAATCATTGATAAACTAGATAATTGTTCCTGTGATATTATACTATAGAAATAATTTGTAACTAACTTTAATTTTGAGAATTTTAAATGCTTAATGCCTTAATATGTGTAAAATTAGTATTTTGTATTAGTTTTTCATATCTATTTAGCTAAAGTATTTATATGTTGGGTTCTATCATTAGATACCCTCCCTCTCATGCCACTCAAATGAAGAAAAAAAAAATTAAATTCATCTCATTTACTTATTATGCTGAATATGTATAATAAATATTCAATAATAAAAAAAAAAGTAATAAATTATAGATACATGTTTACAGACAATTATTTTTAAAAGATTAATAATACTTGATTGTATTGTTATAATTTATTTGGTACTAAAGTTGTGTACAATGTTATCTTCAAGTCTGAAAACTAGCCAATTTTTTTCAAAATCAAACTAAAATGAGTTATATAAGTAATTGTTCTAGGTCAGTATAAATATGGGGCCTATTCTAAGTTACATGCTAAGTACAAAATATGTGAATATTTTTTTTCATTATATTTCATTTATTTTGGGGGGGGAGGGAGTGTCTAATACTATGAATAGTGGAAATGTATAGTGGAAATTAGTAAAATAAAATAAATTATGTGCTTATAACTATGTAATAAATTGCGTGTGTTGGGTATTATAGGTTACAACCTATAATACTGCTTCAACTACTTATCTTTCAAATAATATAATACTTTAGTCGGCATTGATAATGTAACATTATGTATATAGCTATTTTTATTTTAAAAAAAAATTCACGGCTTTGTATCAATAATGGTTATTATTTTTTTGTCTATAAGCATCGCCAGTTTCCTCTCCGATTAAATCGGTTCAACGGCAAATACCACGCAATTCACCATGTTGTACCGCATTGTACGATTTCGAGGCTGAAAATCCTGGTGAATTAGGATTTAAGGTATATATATATATATATATATATTTGTTTTACTATTATTATTGTACCTAAGGCAGTTGAGATCATCCAGCTAAACATATCCTCTTCCATCTATCTTCATTTTTCTATTGCCTACCATTATCCAGAATTTTCATATTCCAATTCTGAGAAATTTGTGAATTCCTTATTAACTTAATCTCCCCTATGAAATCTTTGTCTTATTCCTTTTGGTGTTTTACAATTTTTGTTTATTGAGTCTTGTTTCCTGCTCATTTTAGCTTCTTTATCTTTATCTTACTCACAATATCTAGTTGTTTAAACAGCTCCTCAAATTTCTCATTATGTCTTTTCCTCCATTCCTGTATGTGCTGATCATTCCATGATAGATGGTTAGATCTATGTTAATATCTTCCTTTAAAAATACATAGTAAATTCAACTGTTTTCCCCAATGATTAGCATTGTGCTCCATGCATGACTATTGGACAAATAATTGTTATACATAATTATTATACTTTATTGCATTTGGAAAGGACCCTTGAGCTTAATAGCTTAGGAAAGGTTGTATCCATTTGTATTCGTTGTATAATTTCTACTTGGCCACTTGGACATCATTTGTGTAATTACTGTGCTGAGATATCTAGACTGAGTGTCACTCTCTTGATTTTGTATTAACTTACATATTTGGTGTTTGTCAGCTTTGTATTGTCTTCATTCTCACATTCTAGATACTTTTATATTCTCATCTTCTTCGTCTCTCTATCCATCACCATTAATCTACTAATTTACTTAAAGTAGATAAAGTAGATTATTATAATGACCTCAAGCCACTTTTTCTTTGATTTTCTTTCCGCAACTTTCTTTTCCTGTTTTACATTCACTTGGCTCAGTTTTAGATTCTGAGCGGAGCAAGGAATGTATTGGTTTTACAATGTTGTTTAATTTTATTTTTTCGGTGGACGACTTTTCTATTAGCAATTTTGTTCCTATTTTTAATGATAGCACTTCTTCTATAAGGAAATTTGACCTGGGTGGTATTTAGAGTAGATAATTTTTAGATTTTCCCAGCACTTTTCATAATAAATGGGAAAATGTACGAATTTTCAAATCGTAAATATTATAGCCTTTCAAAACATGTATAACCGAACACCACTCATAATCGTTTTTCGTTAACAAAGATTATCATTTACGTACAGATACATTAAATTCCTCTCTATATCCTACTTTCCTAACTTCTCACATATAACACCCATCGTGTGAAGTATCTTTTTATTCTTATAATAACATTTGTTTTTTTTAAATCACACATCACCTATATCGCTTTCCACCATTGTACATCAATTATAAATACATATATATTTATGAACGATTCTCTGCATTATAATTCCAAACAGCTGAACTCTAAATATTCCATGTCGGTATTAATTTGTTCTGTGTATTCTAATTTTATTTGTTTATGTATTTCAGGAGGGAGAGACGATAATACTATTGAACAGGGTCGACGAGAACTGGTTCGAAGGCAGCACCAACGGCCGTACCGGATATTTCCCGGTCACATACGTACAAGTCGTCGTACCGTTACCGTAAACGCGCACAGTCTTTCCTCCCATCGTTACCATCAACCCCTCATAACTTCACTCCGAAAATTGAATATAATCATAATACAACAACGACAATATCACTGTCGTCAACGATGCAGTCATCGCCGCGCAACTGCATTTTTACAAATTTCATAAAAAAAATATATAGAAACGCTTTGGAAAAAAAAAAAAAAAACAATAAAGGAAAACATTATTTCAAGTATTACACATACACTACCTCAGTGGCCCGCGCGTTTAACCGAAAAATTCCATTCGATTCATTGTTTTGTGTAGGTGTGTACTTATTATTCTATTAATTAATAATTACTACCACTTCTATAACTATTACTATTTACTACTATTATTACTATTATTATTATTATTATTATTATTATTATTATTATTATTATTATTATATAATATTTAAACCTATTGTTGTTATTATTGTATTAATTGCGATAATATTATGCATTGGCCGTTAGACCGACGGCTACGTTAAGTGTGTGTTTGTGTGTATGTACCGCGTCAGGATCGCGTATAGTATCTTTTATCGTAGTTGAACATGTTTGTTTTCTTTCGATCACTCTCGGTAGTTTTCGTCCCCGAATCTTAAGTCTTTTTTTTACGTATAACGTTTATTATTATAATACAATAAGCAATAATATTATTGAATCTTCTATTCTATATGTATTACAATATTATCCGCTTTTATTATATCTTTATACCTCATTAACGCGTGTCCGATGATTGAGTTATAATAATATACTCTGTGTGTGTGTGTGTGTATCGTAAGTGTTAGTTCAAAGTTTTCATAAGCTCAACTTTGTGTTTTTTCCTCCCAAGTGGATTTAGCCCCCCTCAAAACAAATCTAACCACCCGTTCATCTAGAAATTTCATTGATAATCCGGTAATTTATTATTACTATTATTGTTCTCCATTCGCTGTTTATATTATTATTAAAATATTAATCGTTTATAACTTGAATAATTAATAATCTTTCTTATAACTTCGCTTGTTACCATTTGCTAAACGAAAAAATGTTTGTATATACGTTTTCTGATAAACATAGACAATAAATATTATGTTAATAACTTATTCAAGTGAATTAAACAAACAATAAATAAATACATGTTAAAAACCGATAATAATGTTTTTTTAATATATTATATAAATATGTTATCGTATTATAAATTATAATAATGAGTGTGTACTTGTAGTTTAAACCATATATACAATTATGGACATCAAATTTAATATTTTACCTAAACCATACCTACCCAAAATATGTTTTATTCTCAACAAATACCTAATAAGGTATATAAATATATCATTAAAAATTATACCTATTTCAAAAGTATACCTATTATTATTATAGTTTTTCTTGGAATAATAGTACTTGCATACCTATTTATTAATGTAGGTAATATATAGAAATTATTGTTACTTCTTAAAAAAAATTCTTTATCACTGTAAGTTATACATTTATTAAATTGAGTGTTTTGTTGTAAGTATTGGAATTATTTATAGTCATGTTATTGTAAACCTAATCTTATGTAATTTCCAATTACTAATAAAATAAAGTTTTCATTTTTATGAAAAAAAAAAAAATTATACATATAAATTCAAAAAGTATAGTGTTTTATTATTATAGTCTTTATCTTTTAACTTTTAGGTGTTTAGAAAAAGTATTGTATTAATTATTGCATATAGTTTCTTTTCTGATTTCGTTGATAATGATAAATCAGATTCTATTGAAAATTCTTTATATTTATTCACTACATACTTCTCTTCTATCTATGACGACAATATTAACGTTAAATCTCGTAAGCTTTTTACTGTTTAACCATTCCATTATTTATTTAATCAATCTCTTCCTTGTGTTATTTTTCCTGAGTTATGAAAAAAACCTAATATTACTTACCACAATTTTTAAATCAAGAAATAAAAATAATGTTTGTAATTATATCAATGTCAAAGTTATCTTTAATACCAAAAAATATTAAGAGCAACTATTACCAAAAAGTTAACAAGGTTACTTTCAGATTTAATCAATTATTCTTAACATGGGATTTTACCTAGTTGCTATATTTTAACAAACATTTTAATTAAACAATTAGATCTTTTAAAATGGCCAGCAAGTAAATAATATCCACACGGATTTTCAAAAATTGTTTGATAAAATTAATCATACCTTGCTCTTACATAAACTAAAAGCTTTTAGAATTGGATTGAATTGTAACATTATCATTTTATACATTAGATGAGTTTCAAGTATAATAAGGTGTGCCTTAAGGGTCTCACTTGGGATTTCTACTTTTTTTACTAGTCATAAATGATTTGCCTCAACATATGATACTACTGGTTTAACAAACACAGGGCCTCGAGCTTCTGGTGGATGATTCCAAAATGTTTTCTGTAGGAGGGGATTAGAATACTCCCAAGGAATCTCTGTATATTTTAAGAGGTGACAAATGGGGTTGTATCAGGTCAACAGCCAATATAAAATTTTTCCAACAGTATGAAGAGTTCTAAACAAGACTTTGGCAGATTGTTAAATTCGTATGTGCAACAGGCGAGATGAGGTACCACGAAGCATGATTTTTTGAGACTATATAGCTTTAATAGGAGAAAATCTGGAATAAGTTAACAGTAGGCTTCAGGAATGGAAATTAACACTTGAAATAAATTGACTCCTTAACAAATATGGGATAAATAGAAGTAAAACAAAATATGCGTTTGGAGAAACGGGATAAAATAGCGCTCACAACAATAAGTGGTTATAGGTGAGGTTGAGTTTTAAGTAGGTACCAAGGATCTTTTATAAAAAAAACAGTGGCTTTGATAAAGATGTGAAACATAGAATTAATAAGTGGAGATAAGTATCAAGTATTTTATGTGACAAGGAAATTCAAATGAGATTTAAAGGTAAATTTTATAAGTTTCTTAATACTAACAATGTTGTATGATTCAAAGTGGACCGTAGACAGAAAAATAGAATAGAGATTGATTGTAGCAGGGATGAGAATACTTAAGTGGATGAGTGGTGAGGAGAGAAGATAGGATGAGATGGATGGATGAGTACATAAAAAGGTAGCTTATTCATAAAAAGGTGTTTGGTTTACGATAAAGAATGATATGAGGACAACCGGTATATTTGAAGTCGACAAGTGGAAGTTAAGAATGAGGTTGGCCAACACTAAATAATTGGGATGAAGTCGAAGGAGAGAACGATTACATTAGATAACTAATTTTTAAAAAAGAGCTGATACTGGGGATGTTAGCGGCCACTGTTGTATATGAGAAGTTGGTAAGGTAGGATACATAAGGTTATTTCATTTATATTTGTAAGCGACAATAAACTTTTTGACAAAAAACGATTCCGAGCGCAATTCTTTAATACATAATTTGAATTGCCATATTTTTTTTTTTGTGATTTTCGTTTAAATTTAATTTCAACAATTATTAAAAAAGAAGGTCGTCAGATAATTTTGAAAATTTTAAGTAAGTTTAGGTAAGTCCAATATAAGTATTATCACCAAGTTTCAAATCTCTACATGTATTTATAACCAAATTACAGCAAAAAAACTCCCAAAAATTAAAATTCTTTAAAAGCTCAAAAGTTTTGGTGATGATAAGTAAGTAAATCAAAAAGGCAACAAAAAAGGTATCTTTTTTTGTTGGTGATTTTTCAATTAAATCATTTTTTCTGGTAGAAAATATCCAAATTAGGTGCTTTTATTTAAAAAATGGTGTAGAAAATCAAAAAATGACCTTATTGTAAAGTACAATTTAAACAACTTGAGCTTACAGAAAAATTGCTATAAGTAAAAATTGGAGCAAGTTTACTAGGAAATAATGTGTCCACAGATTAGAACAAAGAAAAAAATAAACATCATAGTAAAACCAATAGCTCCCTCACTACACTCGGAATATAAAATATCAGATGTAGGATATAAAATACATGAAAGAACAATCATAATTTTGACTGCAAAGATACATTTTATTAATTATACAAAAAACTGTTTCTTTAATTTATTTTTATCATAATAAACATTAATACTACTAGTAAGTTCTATACTAATTATCATTGTTCAAATCCATAAAAGTATAGCAATTAAAAATTAAATAATTAATCAATATATAATTGTGATATTAATAAATGTGCATCATTTCAAACAACCATTACTTAGTGAATTTTTAAATATTGAGTGTTTAATAAATATTATACATCTAAATTGTGAATTGAATACGGCAGCACAGTTATTTCCTTATATATATATATTCCTTTATATATATATAAAACAATTCAATTGAGTTTTCAAAACAATTTTTCTTCTTAATATAAATACTCTTAATTACCCTTTTTAAACAATGGTCCAATACTTAACATTTTGTTACAAAATATTTATACATTTTATTATGTGGATGGAATAACAACATTGACAAGTTTCTTTGATCTTTTAACCCTACTTTTTTCATAATAGCAAACATTTAGATAAAACAAATTTTTACAATTTGAAAATCGGGTGTGTATTTTTAAATAAAAAAAATAACAATAATTAATAATATAAAAATATTTACAATTTAGGCAAAGAGTTGTACAATTAGAAAATTAAAAACCGTTTAAATGCATTTTTTGATTGTAATTTATAATTTAGTCTTGTTTTAATACTTGATATAATGACTAGAGTTAAAAAATGTAACAATTAAAATAGTTCACTTCAAATTAATAGCAATGTTTTATTTAATCTATTAACTTTTCATTAATTTATTCAACAACAAAAATCTACTAGGGAATTAGTAATAATTGTGTAGTAGAGCAAAACTAAGTTTTAATCAATTTTAGATGCATTTATCAATATAAAAGATTAATACTTTAAACAATACACATTTAAAAAAGTATAAAAATTGTATATACTTTATTGTATACTGGATATTTTACTAAATAGCACCAACATATTTCTTTTGTTTTAATAATAATTTGTAAAATTTATACAAATACTAAAACAGATTAACATGGATTCTAGTATTAAAAGTAGTTTAATTTCATTACCTGATTATAAATGAGGTGTAGGAACTAGAATAATATACAATTAAAAATTATAAATTAGATATTTATAAAATGAGCATTATTGTAGTTAAATAAAAATTGACTTAGGTGTAATGAATAGTTTTATTTAGAAAATGTTGGTATACTGATTATTATTTTATATTTATTGATATAATATACCAAATAATGCATTTAAATATATTTCGATATATTTTTATTTTCTGAATTACACAACTTGTATAATTTTATGATATTGTGATAAAAAAAAATATCATAAATAAAACAAAACATAAAAAAAAGAATACAACTTTTAACCATATTCAATTTTTGAAATGCTTAGTACTCAATAGTGTTTTTTAATAGAATTGACTTTAAAACTAAAAAATAACATTGGTTACTAGAGTTTCACAAGTTTAGATGGCTACATTAATAGTTATGATTTTTCTATACATTTGAAGTTATAGAAATATGAAATCAAATAATGTTATACCTTTTTTAAACTTTACTCTTTTTTGATGAATTTTGATCGATTGTCGAAGCATGGTAAAGTTTGAGCAAATTAAGAGCATCTTGAGCTTCTCGTTTTTCATAAAGATACCGTCCACTGGCTTCTTTAATTTCATCTAGAAATGATCTTTAACAAAATATTTTAAATGTTTCATTATCTAATATATTATTTTAACAGACTAAAATAAATCTTCTCAATAAGTAATTTATTAAAGAAATCCAAACAATTTATTATTTTAATAAACATGTTTTACCTGTCAAAAGACATATCAACCAAACAATCTGGATCCATATCAGATAAAAGTTCAAGATCGCAACCGCCCAAAAATGCTATTTGACCGATATCATTTTGCAGACGTTGGATTAAATTGTATAAACTCTGAGTGCTGTCAGTTTCATCATGTATGTGTTCCTCTATACTAAACAAAAATGTAAGATGAAATAAAAAATTAAACCGGGAAATTTTTAGTAAAAACTATGGATTATATGTAGACCTTATATCGCTATATGAACACCATTTTTCATCGGGTTTTAAAATCATAATCAATGTGTTTTTTTCTAAAGTGGCAAAATAATCATCTTCATCGATTTCAGTACCATCAGATTCAAGAACAACCTTAATTGTTCCATCTATTTTAAATTTTTTTTGAGCTAAACAGTAGTAAAATGTTAGTTGAAAATTTTTGGTTACATACAATTAAATAAAATAAATAAATAGGAATATATTATTATATTCAACGTTATACAGTGTAATCCACATGCTAATAACTGTTAATATTCTTTTCTTTTTTAATAAGGATACAAATATAGAAAAAAAAAATTAGATTTTATTTTCATTCCATAATAACTGAAAAGAAATAAATTTTATAGTAATATATTTAATAAAACAACTATTTTCAAATGTTGTTATCACCCCACCAAACAATACAAAATAAATAAATACAAAAAATAAAAGTATAAATAATTAAATTGTATATTATAATAGTAAAAATGATATCGTAAAGATAAAAGTAAAAATTATTTTAAATTAGGATAAAGGTTGAAGATAACTCAGAAATATCTTATAAGATAGATTCAAATGAATCTTGTTCTCTGAGTCGTAATTTCCACATGAATTCTGCCAAGTACAATCCAGAAAATTTCTTTAAGTTCCACGACACTTTTTATTTCCCCATTTAGCAGAATCCCAAAACCTCTCTGTTTTGGTTGTGTGCCCTTGTATCCAGATCAACAAAATTATAGGTATGGTTAACAGTTTTATGTTGGAATCTTACTTGCTGCAAACTTTTGTAAGCTATCCAATAATCTGACAAAATTATTGATCCTAGTTTTATATATTTTTGTATGATGGATAACAAAGTTTTCTCCAATCGATCAGGTACACTAATTATAAAACATTTTTTGATTTCCCTACATACTCTACTAAAAATACATTGCCGTAACAAAATGTGTCTAGCATTATTTTTTCTACGCACAAATTAATTTTCATCTATTTAAGCAAAAAGACCTGGACCACCAATTTCTTTATAACAGCTATTTTCTAAGCTCCATAAACATACCTCATGTAGATAATTGCTTTAATCGGCAACAGCATTTTGTCCCATTTTCAGTTCACACTTACAAAATGTTACTGAAGTCATTTCTTGAGCCCAGTAGTATATAAAATGGACAATTATATGCATTGCCATCTAAAACTAGTTATCCAATTAACTCTTAAAACCTTTTTCTTTCAGCAATATCTCTTCTGGCATCTCCATCATGATAGACCTTATATCCACCCTTAATAGATACTATATGAGCATTTTCACACATTTCACTAACTTGGACTGTATTTTTTTTTATATATATAATTTAATTCATGTATCATCATTGAAAACTCTACTAAGAATAAATCATTGAAATTAGTTTTATTATATTTCATAATTTTTCGTAAGTATAGTAAATAAATAATAAGGATGACAAATATTGACAATATACTAACGTCTAATATGAAGTAAAATGCAATATTTTCATTACCTACCTAAAATAGATCACCTATCATGCAATAAATACTAAAAAAAGATAGGAACAAAAATTCTCATTTTTAAGGAATATATTTATTATTTATACTTTAATTGTTTGTATTGTTTAGGGTGACATTAACAAACAAGAGTGGTGGGACGATACATTTATTAAGGCGTACTAACGGGGCAACAACAAACAAGTGCTGACATTTTAAAAAGTGAAAAAATAAAGTTATTTCTTTCCAGTGATTAAGGGATTAAAATTAAAATAAATGTATTTTTCTATATTTGTCCCACTGACACAAAACCAGATTGACAAGAACAGAAAAAAAGAAAAGAATATTAACAGAGTAATTAGCATATGGGTAACACTGTAGAACACCCTGTATGCTAGGTTAGTTGTTAGTTATAGAAAAAGTTTTATAAATGAGTTTATGTAATTATAACAATACTAGATAGAATATTAGCTGGCTAGTTAAAATTAAAATAAAAAGGCAAAATATACATAATTCAAGTTATGAAAGAATGTTTTAAGAATTATTTCCTCACAATTATTTGTTGTACTTGAAAATTTTAAAGTGAGAGGCAGAGATTGTGATCATAAATTAACAGTTTTTTTAGATGTACTGTTAATAATTCTTAATGAACCTTTATTAAAAACAAAATCTTAATAAAATACGCTAGAGAAAAATTGCGTCAATATATTTTTAAAAAGACAAAAAATAGATTTAACAATTTGAATTTAAATCAATCAGTACTTAATTGGGATTCAAAATTATTGCCAGATATTACAGGAAAATAGAAAGTCTAATGACTTCCAGTAATTGTTACAGCGCCAAACGTTGAACAATTGTTGGGAAGTCCACAATTTGACTTGAGCATGAAAAAACTTCTGTTATATATGTCTTTAGAAAAATATTTTTTAATGAAAAAAATCTTGACTTTGTGTTTCAGACAACTGCTAGTAATAAAGGTTAGTTAAATGATACATGTCATCTTTTAGTATAAAAACTTGACAAACTCGATATTTTATACATGGCATATAGACATCATGTCGATAAAACAATATAGCAAGGAGTATTTTCTGAAATAAAATTAGCAACAAGTAAACAACCAAATAATCTTTTATTTAAAAAATTCAGAAAAGAATGTGTAAGTTAAGTATTGATCAAAATCTGTATTCAATATTGTCTATTGATGAAAATGTTAAAGAGATTTTAAAAGACAATTTTGATGAAATAATACAATTTTATTTTATTTAATTAAAATATGATTTGCCAAGAGATGATGGAGAAAGAATCCGAAAAAGATTCCCAAAAAAAGTACATTTCCAAGTTTGAAGATGTACATTTACTCATCAAAGATTTACCATTAGAACTATTAAGTGCAAATTCACGAAATGTGTTGAAAAGATTCATTATTAAAGACCTTTTAAAAGTTCAACGTTAAAAATGGAATGATCTAGAGGAATATAAAGTAATAAAAAGTATAATGGAATCGATAAAGATGGTCAATGATATGGTAAAACGAAAGGTTTATAACGTCAAGTGCATGAAAAATGAATAACATAAGAAGTTTATTTTAAAAGTAGGTAACAAAAAAATTATTTCAATAACTAGGAATAGTAGGTATTTTTAAATTTGGCATATAGTTCAAGATTATAGATAGCAGTTCTCTGGATATACTTAAAAAGCCGTACAATACACAATACAATTTTACAGTTATCACATTTATGATTCAAAATATGTTTTGTTTTTTTAATTTTATTATTCTTTAATTCTTTTATTTTAACTAACCAACCAATGTTCTGTCTATTATTATTATAATTATATGAACTCATATATATATATGTATATAAAAAAAATGGTGATTCTAGCAATATTTGATTACAGAACATTATTTTTTGGAAATATATAATTTTAAACTTTCTGGCAATATTAACTAGATAAGCATACATACATACATTTTATATCAATCAATTGTGATCAAATTCTGCACACATTATTTTTACAAAAGAAAAAATAAATCTGGGGAGACCTCTGCATGAAATTATTTAACTACAAAATTAACAACAACTCATAGACCTTATACTAATAGATGAGCCTTTTGTACACGTAGAACAGTCGTTTTACGTGATATTATTGTACATTGTACTACACATACAATGGCAACACTGACATGATTATACTGTACACTGTTGTAATATGTCTGACCAGTTACTACCTCAGCTACTTTATAGGCAAGGCCAGTCTATTAATATGTCTATGTGACCACCTACTGTATACCAATTCATTGTGTTATGTAAAGATATACATAGTTTTACCTTTAGTTATAAAATCTGACAAGGAACTTGCTACGATACCAATTTTAAGTTTACGTTTTGAATCAATAATTTTGTATGGTTTTCCGCAATATTCTTCATTGGCCATATTATGCACTGAAAATAATTTAAAACAAATACAAATTTATTACAATTTAGTTTTGATAGATTCATCAGTCGTTACCTATTTATTAGACCATATAATAATAAGTACATTTTAGTATATTATTAACATTTTGCAACAGAAACAACAGATAAATTAATGCAATTTAAAAAAAAAACATTTGTTTCAATTAATATGGGTGAAATTTTCATAATATAACACAATAGATTATTACTAAACAATGAATTTAAATTGGATTTAAGAGATTTAAAATTGATCACTGAATAAAGACAATAAGAAAATTATTTAAGTGTTACAATTTTTGAGTTCTGACTATATTCAAATTGGTTTTTTTGAATACAATAACTATTATATTACTTTTTTGAATAATACATCATTAACTTGAGCATAGGTAATGTTAAAATATGATTGTATAACGTATGGTTGCATTGTAATTTCATTTTAAAAAAAATAATTAAAGTTGATTAAAATATAACTTTCAAGAATAAACTTAATAAATTAATATTCAGAATTTAGATTTTATCTATTAATTATAAATTTTGTTTACAAATATGATTTAAGTCGGAATTGGATCTATTAGGTGTCTAGTTATCTTTTCATATAGCACAAAGTAAAACTTACTCAATTTATTATTCTGTTTTACCCTGTTATTGATGACAAGACCGCAAAATTATGATTCAATGGTATATCGAATCTTGAATCTCAATATTTGATACTTTAAAATTATTACTGAAATAATAATTTTCTTCGGTACAAACTTACGGTATAAAATAACAATTGTCTACAACTCTGCAGTTAAATCAGTGAATAATTCAATTATGGCTATTATCTGTAAAAATGAGCAAACATTTGCAAAATTAAAAATATTATCAGTCTACTATTAATTTCATGGACTAAACCATGTCAACCATTGTAATTAATTAGTTTCATGGATTGAAAACAGAATCAATAGTAAACAAAGAGAATATAAAACTAAAATTAATTTTAATGATATTGATTTTTTGATAATTTACAAACTGTTTACACTCCGGTAATCCAGTCTTAAAGCTTAAAAAGTAAAATATATTAAATTACCGAGTAATTTATTGAAACGACTTTTTAAATTAAATTATTACCTATTAAATACAAAGCTAAATTTTGTATGTTTGTATGTGATAAAAATCAATAGTGTATAATATCTATGTTTAAGGAAAATAAAATATATTTTAGGTACCTGTTGGATTGTGTGTAAAGAGATTTTAAAATTTATAATAATTACTATTACTTATTCCTGAGTAAATTTGACTGAACTTAATTGGTAAGAATATTGTTAAAATATTTTATATTTAATTAGATATTAGTATTTTAGATTACCTATATATCTTTGAATATTATGTATCTATTCAAGTGCCTATGTAGTAAATAAAATAAATTAAACCTTAATAAATCACCGTTTAATAAATTAAACTTTTGGGAAAAAATGTGTTCTAAAGAAACCTAAATTATTGAAAATATCAATATTTGTGAAATAATGTACTGTAGAAACCATTTTATCTGATGTTTTTTGATAAATACCTAGTCTGATTTCAATGCCTAATTAATCTTTTTTTCGAGTAATCTTAAACAATGCTTCCCACCTACATAATTCATTTCATTGAACATACTTTAAAGGTGAGACTTTTATTATGTATTTTCTGATGTTTTTCATTTTTAAGTCATATTTTTAGTTTTAATGGCTTAATGCATATTTGTACATTATGCAACTTAAAAATGTAAATTTAAATAATTCAATTTTTTTTTTACAATAAATATAATTACCCAGGTACCTAATAAGAATAATACATTTTTTTTAAATAATTTATTTAATTAGGTCATTATTTTTTTAGAACATTTTAATTTTTTGGTTTTAATTCATTTAATCCAGGTCCTATTGATAAGTAATAGTTAAAAACTAATTTGTAATGTAATCAAATGTTGTTTAAACCCTTGTTTTAAAATAATAATAATAAAAGAAATTTAGTGAACTTTATGAGCATAGAAATTCTTTATTAGGTATAATACATCTACTATTTTATTTTATCTTAAAATAAATATATATATATATTATCTTCTCACAATACGATATTGTATATTCAATTGACTAATGTTTATTATATTAAGCATTTCATGTCAAGCTAACTTGATATCATTTTTTAGGAAATTTTTAAAATGGACAACGAAACTGAAGTAAAAGAATATCGTTGGGAAGGTGGATATGAGAAAACATGGGAAGAGGTGAAAGAAGACGAAGGAGGAAATGTTGAATGGTCTGTTAAAGAAATTATTGAGAAATCCAAGCGGTTGCTAGCAACTCGTCAACCTAATGTTCGCCTGGGTATGATGCGACATTTATTTGTAATTATAGATAGTTCAAACTCAATGCTCGAAAAGGATTTAAAACCAACCAGACAATTGTGCACTAACAAATTACTGCAAGACTTCATTCAAGATTATTTTGATCAAAATCCAATTAGTCAGCTTGGATTGATAACTACAAGAAATTCATCAGCTGAAAGGATATCAGAATTATCTGGTAATAAAAAGTATCACCTTGAAGAGTTAAAAAAGACTTTTGGGGATTTTAATTATTGCAATGGGCTTATGTCTGTACAGAATTCATTAGAAATTGCATTGTCATTTATGAAAATGTTGCCTTCCCATACTAGTCGAGAGATACTTATAATTGGATCCAGTTTGAGTTCATGTGACCCTGGTGAAATAGAATCTACCATAGAATCACTTAAATTAAGTAATATTAGAGTATCAATGATACATCTAGCTGCTGAAGTACGAATGTTTCGAAATTTATGTAATGAAACCAAAGGCAAGCATAATGTTATTGTCGATGATGTACATTTTAAACACATTCTTTGGTCTTTGGTGGAACCTGTTCCTCTGCCAAATTCAGTTGATGCTTCATGTGTAAAAATGGGTTTCCCTCAAGAGTTAGAACAAAAACCACCATTTACTACATGTTCTTGTCATTTAGCAGAAGGTGGCAAATTAAATGCGAAAGGTTTTTTTTGTCCCCAATGTAATAGCAAGTACTGTGAACTGCCGGTAGAATGTAAATGCTGTGGTCTTATACTCGTTTCTTCTTTGCATCTAGCTAGATCATTGCACCATTTGGTCCCTATTAAACCATTCATAAAAATTGAACTCGAAGAAGGTTCAAGTGCTTACTGTTATGGATGCAGAAAAAGAATAAGGGTACCTGCTGAAAATGTTTATTTCTGTGAAACTTGTAAAAAACATTACTGTGACGGCTGTGACATTTATGTACATAATACATTGCATGTCTGTCCTGGTTGTGCAGTGAAACGAGATGAAAAAAGATAACTAAAAACTTTTTATAATTTGATTTTATTGTTGTATAATTAATGAATCTATGAATTAAACATTAATTTTATTGTTTAATAAAATAAAAATAACAATGATACATTAATTTGTTTTTATTTTTTATTACTTTTATTAATTAATATATTAAATACTTATAATTTTCAATGTAAAGATAATTCTGAATCCGTACATAGGTAATTATTACAATATAATATAAATGGAATATTGAAAATAGATATTGATTGGTAGTTAAAATTATTAAAGTCTATAGATACCATTTTCTTGCTTTTTCTGACGAGCCATACCATGGACCAGTTTTACTACACGTTTTTAATCTTAATACTATAGTCTTCTTGTTTCCACATGAACATGATTTTGTTCATATGAATATATTCAGTTACTCAATAGGAAAATATTACTAAGTTCTTATCCTTATTAATTGTTTGTAATAAGTTCAAATTATTATAAAACCAAATTCCAATATTTATCATTTTATTTTATAATTCATGTACTTTAGTCCTCTCCTTGCCCTTAACTTGCAACATATAACAAATATTTTGTAATGTTCAGTGCAATAATCGAAAACTACTCAGACACAAATAATCAACACTATTTCCTTCTGTTTAAAATAACTGTTTAATCTATGGTTTAATTAATTAATTGGCTTTGTTATTAGTTATGTATAGTAATAATTATTACTAGGACATTAGAATGACTGACTTGTTGCATAGGTATTGAATATCATATGTATAATTACATTACTACAAAACTAGCAATGAACCAAACCCAATGGTTAGATCCGGACATGGTCTGACCACTTAATTCAAAATAAAGCTGAATACCTAGGGTTTACAATTCCCACTAATAAAGGTTTAATAGGGAATAATACTTATTTATATACTTCAGACTACAGATACTAGTTAATCTAGACTATAAATTATCTCTATACTTCATTGTTTTAATTATAATAATTTAAACAATGTTTTAGATGAATATAATTAAAGTTATACCTATTCAACCTTTAATCTTTAATCTTTTAAAAATTATTATTTTATTTCATACCCCATCCCCTAATAAAAATGACCTAAACCTGATCCTGATATATGTATTCAACTTTAAAGTAATTTTGAGTTACACATTACCAACTTGATTATAAATTTAAAAGAGAATCTTTTTCCAAATGCTTATATTACCTTCCCTATTCTATATATCCATAATAATGATATTAAGTTATAAAAATATACCTACTAATGATTAAGTACTAAAAAAAAAAAACATAAAATATTTGAATATTTGAAATTATTATGCTTTAAAGCTTAAAGACTACAAAAAAGTTTTCTTTTTTGGAAATATTAATTTTGTGACTTGTATCTAAAATTTACATCATATAAGGAATAAAATTGAAAGATTATCTCATGAAGAAGCTGATAAAAAAATGGAAAGACAAAAAGAATGCTGCTCGTGATGGAAACCAGCAAATGTAAAACCATGTGTGACATGTTTCATCATGTGAATGTGAATATATTTCAGTATATGGATCACGAGTCTGCAGAGCAAAGGAAAAACCTATGTACAACCATATAATGTCATAAAAATTAAAAATAAATTTAAATTTAACAATTTTGGTTTTATTACTGAATGAAATATAAACATTACCTAATGAGAAAGTTATGGTAAAATTATTAATTAAATAAAAAGTATTCCAAAAATTGTAAAACAGAAAAAATATGTCTTAAAAACAAAGAAAAATAGTATACAAATACTAATAGTCAAAAATAGTCTAAAATAAATATCCAAATGCTACAAGTCCTCTGCCCTGATAATAAGGTACCTAAGTACAGTAGATATCTGTATTAGTGTAGGTACCTATGCAATTACATAATATCATTATATTCCAATTAGGTATTTATTTAATTTGTTTTTAGAAAAGTCCAGTGGACCAAGTTGATTAAACTAAAAAATGTTTATTATGTTGAGTATGTTAATATTAATGATCAATGTGGTAATGTCAATCAGATAAAATTGAGGTAAATAATTCTTGAATGTTTAAATAATATAATATATTATCAGTTGTATTACAATAATCTATGTTTATTTTTTTATTTAAAGTAAAAGTTTTCTTATTATTTCATATTTTTGTCATTGTGTACAATAAAATAATATTAATTAGTGTGTGTCTAATATAAAAATACAAGTTTCATTTTATTAGTTTATATTACCTATACAGGTACAAATTTAAATTTCTAACAAGACCTTAAAGTTTATAAATTTATATGAAAATAAAGTAAGTTCGTTAGAAAATAAGTTAAGTAAATATGAGACCCAGCAAAAGTTCTATACCAGACCTCGAAATCTATCGGGCCGGCACTGGTTGTTATACTTGATAATCGGAGTGAGCTTTCTGATAGAAAGTGTTCACATAAAAAAAAAAAAAATAAAAAAACATCTTTATAAAACCAATATATTCTTCGCTAAACTCAGAATCTAAAATGTCAAATATTCAAGAATTAAATCGCTTACCATTGATTACAATTTTATTCAGCAAAAGCCGATAATTTTAAAGAAAAACATTCAAAAATGTATTACTGAATCCAACTCCAATTAGAAAATGGTTTTCTGTGGTTGACAGAGAACTCGTGTATACATTTGAATATATTAGATGGAAAGTCAAAGAAACATATTAACCAATAATCTGTAATATAACTGTGATGAAATGGTTATAAAAAGACAAACAATTTTCTTAAAGACCTAGGAAAAAAAGAAAATAATAGGTAGTATAGAAAACACATTTGTTTTATTTTAATACATATTTTTAATTTTATTACTTATAATCCACCTTGAGTATGTGGTTCTTACATTAATGTATAGTTATTATGATGTATTTTATTATATTGTATTAATGGACGAGCTATGCATGTGGATTAATTAATCCATCTTGATACACGTTAATGCTTGTAATAATATAAATTACGAATGGATAACAATTTGTATGGTTTATTCCAGTAATCGGAGCTAATCAATATGCTTGAAATTATACTAATATGTTAATATAGATTATAATATTATGTAAATAAATTTAAAACAAAAATTATATTATAGATGCCAAAAAATCTTAATAACATTCAGTATGATTATTTTTTGATTACAATTTAATATCATTTTGTACAATAATAATTGTATGGAGTGGTAAATCTAATTTCAAGTTGTGCTGCATCACTGCACACTGTATAATGTACTAATCTATTTATTTATGTCGTTACTCGTCATGTATCAATACACGGATACGGACAACTTGTCTATTAGTATATACCATAGAATATAGATAAGATGGTTTCATCCACGAATTATGATATGGTTTATGATAATGGTTTCATAGAATTTGAACGTTATAAACAACTCTACTAATAGCTTATACTCTATAACTTCTCATAAATACTAATATTTACTGCTCAAGTCGCTCATGATCGGAGTTTTAGAAGCTCTTGCTTATGCTTATAAATTATTACCTAAATGGATACATATAAATCATAAACAATTAACAATCATTAGTTAAATAATAACTTAATATACTTGATAATCGTAACGTTATTTAAATAATTAAATCACTTTAATGGAATTTGCTACTGCTGATGTAAAATTCGATTCTGATAGAACATCAGTCACTATATTACAAGAGGTATTAAATACACAAGGAGTTCGCACTGTTCAATATGAGTTGCTACAAACTGAAGGGGCTATCAGTGCACCATCATTTCAATATCGTGTCACAGATGGTCGATTTGTTGCATATGGCCAAGGTATCAATTTTTTTCGATACATGCATTTAATAATTCTAGCTTATTTTAAAAAATCGATAGGTAGTACCCCATCGTTTTTTTAGATTTTTTTTTCAAAATGTGTGTTTTTGTGTTGTTAAATGTAAAAAAAAGTCGAACTTCGTTTGAAAGTTATAGGAGAAAACTTCACGAAGTTCGGGTTTTCCGTTTCGCGCATTTTTTAGCTAAAAATTTTTTTTCGAAATGTGTATATTTAATGTTTAATCCATTGGTATAATTAAAGTTTACCTATCATACTTACTTTTGTAGTTATTGTACATAAACCTTGAAACATAGCATTTTCAAAATTAATCGTGATTTCACATCACAAATTGAGGGTTATTTTCAATTAAGACGTTCGAGCAAGCGTAGCAGGCGAGTGACCCCGCCACTTCTTTAGGTGCATCCAAAATGCTATTTTTCAAGATTTATGTACAATAACTACAAAAGTAAGTATGATAAGTAAACTTTGATTATACCAATGGATTAAACATTAAAAACACACATTATAAAAAAAAAAATTGAAAATGTTAGATAAATTCTAACTAAGAAACACTCGAAACGGAAAACCCTGATGCTAAAACACAAATTTTGAAAAAAAATATTTAAAAAATCGATTGGTTTCGATTTTTGAAACTACAATCATTCCAATTAATTTTTGTATTTATAATTTAATATACCATATAATTTAGGTAAATCAAAAAAAGAAGCCAAACATAATTCAGCTAAAAATTTATTACGGGTTATTCAAAAAGAATTTCCAGAACTTTGTTCTGGTCCTTCAATAGAATCCCATATTGATAGTACTTTGGGCTTGAATGAAACTTTTGAAACTATGAATTTCGGAGACAATGATGAACGCAATCCAATTGGCATGCTTCAGGAACTCTGTACATCACTCCATCTTCCTCCTCCAATTTACAGAACAGTAAGTGAAGACGGCCTCCCACATCAACGTCTTTTCACTGTTTCATGTAATGTGTTAGAATATAATCAAACGGGTGTGGGGAAATCTAAAAAAATCGCCAAACGTCTTGCTGCTAATAATCTTTTTTTGATGTTAAAAACGTAAGCAAATTAAATATTTTTAACATTAATATAAATACGTTTTTATTTTTATAATTTGTTTAATTGTTAGGAAACAGGAAGATATCATTCAAAACCCAAGAATAACCGAAAATATGGATGACTTTGTACGGCAAGAATCCAACAATCTAAGCGGTATGAAAAATTCAAAATCAACTAACATATTTCATCATTTACATGAAATTCATAGAATTTTACCATTAACTGAAGGCCCTATTTATGATTATATAAAACAAATGACGGATGAACAAATATTATTATGCGACAGTAAAAAAATTTTAGATGATTTTACTACTGAACAACAACTAAAAGCATCATACATTGATTTTGAGGAAATTTCGCATGTTGGTACATATCAAACATCTATTCTCATACCTACTCCATTTACATTAGCTTTTCCAGGTGAATCCATTATTAGCTATGAAAAAGCTCAAGAAGATGCTGCTTGTAGAGCATTAGAATTTTTTAAATGTATATTGAGCAACAGAGCATTAAATGTGAAACCATAAGTCTGTTAATTTTAACCTATTTTAAAACATTACTAAATATTACTCTATATAATCTCAATTGGAGTATCATTTTTTAAAATAAATTATGTTATGGACTTCATTTATGTGTTAAGTTAGTAACATAAATATAAGTATAATTTTACTACAAAGCAGAAAAATAGTAATTAAAATATTTTATTTTATTATTTATATAACTGTTACTCACAATTTATTAAGTTTCCTAAATATTCTATCCGTTTTTCTATTTCCTGGTGTGATGTTATTAAAGTTTCATCTTCTCCTGTTAAGAAATTATTCTGTTTCTTATAACCTTCACTGATCATTTTGATACTTTGGTACATTTGACTAGTTCTGTTATCTCAGTTATATAGTTTGGTTCATTTTTGTTACTTGGTTTTGTTTTTATATTAATTTCTCTCTTCTAAGGATTCTGTTAGTTTCCCTTCGATATTCTTTATATTTTTTTGCTTTCTCTTCATTCAAATAGTCACAACCCGTTCCAGGACCAGAGTTCCTAGTGTCTTTTCTTTTGTTAAGAGCTATTTTGCATATTATGTTAAACAATGGCTTGCTGGGATTTTTATTTTTATTACCTATTACTACTTCTGATACAGATTTGATCGTATTTTGTATAGCTTTCCATATCTCATCAAGTGTGTCTAGCGTATTTGAACTTATGGTGGCCATTTAGCTACTTATCTTATGTTTACTAATACTATTAAATGTTTGATTATTAGGTTTGGAAATATTATATTTGTATAATATTGTGCAATTTCTTTTCTTTTTCCTTTTAAGTTTTAGTCTCAATTTGACTTTCACTAAATAATGGTCGGAGTCTTAGTCTGCTCCTCTAACAGTACTTATATCTTTTATGAAGTTCAAACACATGATCAACTTGATTCGTATATTTTCCAACTTATAAATGGTTCTATGGAAGAACATACTTTTTATCACTAGACCTTTACCAACTATTTGTTCAATAAATCTTAGGTCATTATCATTTTGTTATATCATGTAGACTGTGTGAACTGATTGTTGGTGTTTAAACACCTTTTTTTTCCTATTTTTGCGTTTAGATCTCCCAGTATTATGCATATAATATTATTAAGTAAAGTTTTTACTGTATTTTCAAAATTCATGTCAGATTAAGTTAAATTTAATAGTTTTAATAAAATATTCTGGATATTTTACTTGTTTTGTTTAACTATTTGTGACTGGACTTTCTATTTATTACATATGGTATATTATTTTAATTTTAATTTGTTTAATATATTATCTATATTGTATACTATTGTAAGATTAAGTTATGAATATTTATTATATACTTATTTAGTCATGTAATAAATATCAGGTATGATTTAATATCATAATCATAAAAATAATTAAATATTATTATTTCCCATAGTAAAATAATATGATTTTTTTTAAATTATTGATAGAAAATTACTGTATATTAAACAGCGTATATAACATATAATTATATAATAATAAACAACAAAAATTTGGAATTATATATTTATAGCTATATAGTAGTGAACCTTGCGCTGTTGAGATTTTAAAAAAACATGAGAATTAGTTGGGCTGAGCTTGGTGATTAGAAGAACTAATTGAACAAGTAACAAGATGATAACTAAACATAAAGATACTCAAAGGGTGACCTAGACAAAGGTACATTGACAGAATAAAGGATGACCTAAGGATATTGGGAGTAAGGAACATAGAAAAAGCTGCAAATGACAAGCAAAAATGGGAGTAGTATGTTGTTTCAACAATGGGTTTGAAAGGTCTGAAATGATTGAAAAAGATACAACATAAATACAAATAAATATATATATATATATATATGTATATATTGTTTTTAATTTATATACAACGTACTGAAGACTTCATGCATACTTAACTTTTACTGTTAGACCATCAAAAATAACATTGTACATTTTACTGGTTATTACTAAATTTTTTCATTGGTACAATTGTGGCTTATTTTTTTGAAACAGTTAATACTTTCTAAGTACATATTATTTATTTCCAGTACAGCCTTGTTTCCATAAATGTTAATTTTTATATTATATAAACAAAAAAAGTATTGATAGAAAAATGTATTTAGTTAATTTTAATTAAAATTAATTTATACAAACAAGACTATTATAAAGCAAAAGAGGTGATATTCTGAAATTCTTTTTCTTGTAATCTTAATTTAATTAATTTATCCAATATTTCTCGTCTCCATTTACTTTTAAAACTATTTTCCCCGTCTTTAGGAGAGTTAAACCTAAACAAATATAATGTTAAATAAGATTAAAATGCAATTAAAATCTCATACTTGAATATTATAAAATTATTTTATAATTCGCATTTTGGATTTCAAATTAATATTAACCATATGTACATATATATTTATTACCATTGAGATAATAAACACACGTCTTGTTCAATAGAACCTGCCACTATAGAACTCCAAAATGTAGTTTTTGGTTTTTGAGTAGTGATATTATTCTGAACTTCAATAAATGAATCAGGTTTAGCCTCCATACCGAGTAATGATCCAATGCTATGCTTAGGACTCCAAGCAGATACTCTCCGTTGAGAAGGATTGATTTCTTTAGCACTAAAAATTAATTACTAAAATAAATGAATGTTTTTATAACATAATATACATTAAAATATACTTTAAATTTAAATTATTTTTTGAAACATTTCCTGTGAGACGTGTTGGAGCAGAATGCGAAGGTTCAGTAAATGATGATGATGTTGCCCATGATTCTATCCCTTCAATGTTTTTCTCCAATAAAAATGAAACAAATTATATCAATTTTAGCTATGACTCAAAACTTGAATTTAATTTAATCTTAACTCTGTTATCCCAAACTTCAATAAATTTCAGTTTTTCAAAGGAGGATTTTGATAATTATTTTAATCTAATTAGGGCATTGGGAAAGTCAATTTTGTATTTCCTTTATGGACATAAATAGGGAAAAGAGCTGTATTAGGATAATGCGGACGGATCAGTCACTGTTGTAGGTTGGAAGTTGGGAAGGTAGTATAGACAGGAATTTAATATATATCTGTAAGCAATGATTAACCATTGCTAACAAAAAAATGATTCTGAGCGGAGTTCGGTAGGTAGTGTTGCTTTATCAACAGTATATATGTCATAATTTGGTAAAATAATTACATATACATTAAAAATGTTCTTTAATAATCTTAGTTTAATATTATGCGTATTTTCTTGAGTTTTTTATAGCAATTGTTAATCGTTGCTTACAGATATATGTTAACAATAATTATTTAAAATATATTATAATAAATTGTTATAATTATTTTATTTTATGCTTGACAATCTCAGTAAAATTCACAGTTTGGTTCAGTTAGTACTTTGATTCTGAGTTAATGAGTTAAAGTTTCAAATTTAATTGAATAATACTTCTATGGTATATAGTATAAATATAATTTGATTTACATTACTGATATATTTTTTAAAACAGTGTATTAAAAAATACCTTTTGTTCTATAGGTTGTTCAATTTCGACAGAAGCTAATATATGAACCCATTTTTTTCCAGTTGGTTCATCTTCAGATATTTCACTTCTAAAATATAAATGTCTATCCAATCCCACTGAAAATACCTAATAACAAACAAAATCTCATTTATTTTAGAGTTATTAAACCAATCACCTGTGATATGGTATAATTTACTTGATCATTTGGGGCAACAGATACAGAAAACATAAAAGAATTTAATTTAACCCAACAAGTCCCTTCATTATGATTTTGATCAATTCCTTTTCTATACCATACTCTAGAGTCATTAGTAATAGCCCACACTGACTGAAAGCCAACTGATAATTGTGTTATTTTCGTATCTGATTCTGGAGATTCAATAGTAATCCATTCTTTACCTTTAAAATGTTTAAGATATATTTGTAATTGAAAAAATAAAAGAAGTACACATTTTTAGCAGTCACCTTGTGGTATTTCAGCACATACTTCTTTTCTGACTTGTACAATACCATTCCATAAGACTACCCAAACAGATCCTGTTGGACCACAATCAATATATCTAGATTCACTGCCATCTTTTGTAGGAACACATACCCACAATCCCCCTTCAGGCCACATTTTATTTACGTTTTTCCGATAAAAAATCTGTAATGCAAAATCTTTTAGAACAAACGTTGGTTTACCCTCCATTGGTATCAAACAATATAGCATACATTAAAAATATATATTATGTACTTACCCTTCCTTGTGTCGTGATAGCCCATACCATCATAAAACCAAATTGTGTGCCTGGCATTTTTTGTCCTCCAATGCTTACACAAATAAATGGTTCCTAAAATTATAAAATATACACTAGCATTTACAATGAACCAATTAGAAAAATTACCAACTCTAAAACCTGAGTAAAATCTTTATGAAGAGGAGAAATTATACACCATGAATTTGTGCCTGTATATATGCGGTTTCTATACCATTTTCTTCTCCGAACACATGAATTCCATCGCTTAGTTGGATAGAACTTTGCACAGAAATCAATTGCATACGTCCACCCCTAAAATATAACCAAAAATATTTTTCAAATTTGTATTTAAACATAATATTATATAGCTATGTATATTACCGGGTGATCCATTAAGGTGGGTGCACTCATTATCTCGGAAAGTATTAATTTTTTTTCAGAATTTGTTTTCTAGAACATTCAAGAAACAAGCAGCTCTACAATTTTATATTTATGTTATTTTTGTGAGTAATATTACTACTGACTTTTGATTTTCAAATGGCAACTTATATTTAAAAAAACCATAAATAGCAGGAGAATTAATTAAAATAAATTTTAGCGTTGGTATTTTTTTTTTCTGTATAGTCGTTTACGAGATATTCCACTTTTAATTATCAATTGGTGGAGAATAGTGGTGCATTATTAATATGTCTCGCGCCGTACCGCCACACAAATGGTACTCCACTACTTTCCTCCAACACATACTTAAAAGTGGAATATTTCGTCAACGGATTGACGAAAATCAAAAATGTCAACACTAAAATTTATTTTAACTAATACTTCATCTATTAATGTTCTTTTTAATATAGGTTGCTATTTGAGAATCAAAAGTAGGTAGCTGTTTTAACCGCAAGAGTGAAAAAAATTATATAAATATAAAATTGTAGAGCAGCTTATTTTTTAAATGTTCTAGAAAACAAATGAGTGTATCCACCTAAATAGTTCACCTGGTATATGCAACACTTGCATCATCATCTAAATCTTTTTCTTCCAATTTAGTGTCCAACTTCCATTCGTGTTCCCATTGCCAGACAAAAGATGGCAACTTAATATTAACTTTTAACTTTTCTTCTTTGCCATTTTCTGATGACCAATGATACCTATCTGTAGGTAAAAGTCTTTTAGAAAAACTTCCAACTGGCATCCACCTCTAGATTAACAAAAAATGCATTAAGATATTTCATTTGTTAGTATAATATATATATATATATAATATTGAATGATTATATTTTATGAACATTCTAATAATATCATATTTTTTCTTGTAACGAAATTCGGGAGATTTTTAAAAGGGAGTATTTTTTTTTTTTTTATGAATATTTTTCTTGATATTCTACATATTATACATTATAAGGTATAATAAAACATAGATAGGTTAACTACGAGTTAAGGAAAAAAAAGCAATATATTTATATATATTATAATATAAAAAAGACGTCATAGGATAATGGGGTCGAGTGCAGCCACTAAAAGTAATTTAATGTACACCTGTAAGCAACAATAAAACATTGCTAACTGAAAAATGATTCTGAGCGCAGTTCAGTTGATAGTGATGTTTTGTCAACAATATGTATATATACATGTCATATTATGATAAAATAATTAAATAGGCATTATATTTCTTTTTTTAAATATATATATGTTTAATATTGTACCGTTTTTCCATTTTTTTCCCTATCTTTCACATTTGCTGGAAAAACTCATATTGGATAGTACTTGTGTTTCACAACATTTTTATATTTTTCAACGAATATATAATTATTTCAAAAAAAAAAAAAAATTGATATATTTTTACAATAAAGTATATACCTTGTAGCTAGTACTTACATTAGAATATAAAAAAAAATAATTACATCACTAAACGTAAAATTACATTTTTGATAATAGTACAAAAAAAAGACAAACATACTTCGAACGCGGGTGCAGCTACTACTGTAAGTGGGAAGTTGGGAAGGTAGTATATAAAAGAGAATTTAATGTATATATGTAAGCAACGATAAATAATTGCTAACGAAAAAACGATTCTGTTTGCGGTTCAGTTAATAGTGATGCTTTGACAACAATATATTTTCTTTAATGATATTTGTTTAATATTGTAGCGATTTTTCCATTTTCTTCCCTATCTTTCACATTTGCTGGGAAAACTTGAGAAAATCTAAAAATGATCTCCTTAAAGTACCTTCCCAGTAAGATTTCTTTTCAGAAAAAGTGTTATTATTTTAAATTTGAGCAAAATTGCTGGTGGAAAAGTCGTACAAAGAAAAAAAAGAAGGCCGTAATATTTTTCAACTAATACCTACATTTTGTACATTTTTCCGACATTTTATCCTGGTTTTTCGCAGATATTATGAAAACCACTTGAAAAATCAAAAAATGACCTCCTTAAAGTATCATGTAGATAAATTTCATTTCAGAAAATATATTACACTTGATAAATCGGAGCAAGATTTTTGGTATAAAAGTTTGCATTCCTGTTAAGTCTAACAAATTTACCACATAATACCTAGCAAATAAAAATTACGTACAAAATTCGTAAAATTACAATTTTTTAAAAAATTTTACCGCGTCTAGAAAATACAAATATAAAATTTCTGTCCAAATATCAAGTCTCTACGAATATTTTTTACTGAATTACAATAAATAATAAAATTGAACAAATAAGTTTTTCTTACGTTTTTTCCCACTTTTTCTCATTTATTAGGAAAACTACCGAGAAAATTATGTTTTAATTCACAATTTACAGGCTTCTAAAGTTATATGTTGAATAAATATAAACAATATATCTATGATTAACTAAAAATGATGGATTATTAAATGGATGGAATAATAGTCGGGTAGTTTTGATAGAACCATTATTTATTTGCTTAAATATTTTGTATGGAGAAAAGTTATTTACTTTGTTTATTGTTTACTAGTATTGCACAGTACCTATGTGATAGAAAGAAAGCTAATGGAAAAGAGCTATTAGCCGTAAGTTCAGTTATATACTTACATTTACATGTATAATTATATTACATGTATATATTACATATAATTCATTTAATAAATACATAATACAAGTTATAAGTTATTGATATCAAATAACTATAAATATTTTTTAAAAAAATACGAATAGTATTCAAATACAATACAACACGTAGACCAATCTACGAATTGAATATTAAAAAAAAAAAAAAAAAATTCAAATACATTTTTAGTATATTTATTCAGAATATTATTTTTATTCCTTAATTGAGTACGTAGTCTTAACATCTAAATACATTTTTTATTAATTTATTTTTATACGTATTCCAAATAAAAAATAAAAGTGATCTTTACAAGACTGGTACCTGCTCATATTAAATTACTTTTATAATAATTAATAAAAATAAAATGAAATGTCTAAGTCTAATATATATATAACGACTATGTACAACATAGTGAACTAGCTTACCTCGTTTTCATATACTTCTTCTTTTATCCTAATCACTTCGTCTAAGTCATGGACCAAAAGATACGTTTGATTGTCTCCTCCGATAGACCAAACGTAATTTTCTACTGCGGAAATATGTTTGATATCCACATTACCGACATGAGGAAACTGTTTCCATTGGCTATTAAACGTGGATAGGGTGAAAATCTTTCCATAGTTATTAACAGCCATCAGATATTGTTCATTCATCATACAAAAGACTTTGTTTTATTATTGTAGTGTTATAAACCGGACACTATCGGTGGTTAGGAAATTGTACGTTTTGTTAACAGAACGAAAAAATCAATACAATTGAACGCCGCGCAGTCGCCGTCTTTCCGGCGCTGTGAAACGTAAAATATTTCCAAATGCTATTTCATTGGTCGATTCAAGAGTATTTGAACACTCAAAAATACCGCGACACGCAAAAACGAATGTAAAGCACTAAACTCTGTTAGCATAAAGCTATTAAATATATTAGTATACAAGTTAAAGTTGCCGAAATATTAGCTTTGAATTATTTTTTAGCAACTTATTTATAATTATGTACATTTAAATAGTAAATATACGTTTGCGTACTCAGCATTAATATTTTACTCGCCTTCTTTAGAGCAAGTAGTTGCTTTGACAGTACTTGACAGTAGTTGAGCTAGCTCCTATAGGCGTCTCTGTTCTATTTTCAGACCATTTACTACCATAGTAAAATCCTTTAAACAAGAATATTTTTCAGGCAAAACATATGCGTGCGCACAGGATGTGCCAGGTGTGCCGTGGCACCCCTCATGGACCGTGGTCTATGGCTTTTTGTACAACTTTTATTTATTTGGGAACTTTGTTTAAATTTAAATCTACAAATATCTAGTAAGAATTGGGAAAAATAAATAATTAGGCTCCCTAGTAAAAATGGTAAAATGCTAACCAATGGGCAATGACAATGAAGTATGATGATATGAACAACTTTAGGTAACCAATAAAATAAACCAACCATTAACCGTGGTATTACTTATCTTTGCCATACCAACTACCAAGGCGTGTATTGTACCACATTGAACAGGCCAGGCCTTCTCCAAATTATTCATTGTCAAATCCAAACTACGGTCAATAATGTCTTAAGAACGATTAGAATCACTTTTTTTTTTTATTTATTAAGCAAGAAATAACCAAATCAGTTAATTTCAATAGTTTTGTTAAAGTATTGACTCCAATACAAAGAAGATTACCATAATAACATTATTATTTTAGATTCTGAGCTGAGTGTAGCGAGTGTAGCACAAAATCGAAAATGGTTATCGATACGTCGATATTATATCGGTATATAAAAATATACATGATAATTTATAAGTAAATGAAATATCAATATAACGATATAATTGTATATATTATAATTTTAAAAATTTATGACTTATACATGTTAAAACCAACACTGATTTAGTGCCAATATCATTTGTATTCATTTTTACAATAAAATTGTAAAAATAAAACCGTAACCAACTTTAAAGAAACGAGTTCAGCATTAAAAATGAAACCTGTACGAAAAAAAACCATTCGCATACCTGAAAACATTGCTGCTGTTAGGACTGCTCTCAAAAAAAGTCCAAAACGTTGTGCACGAAAACATGCGTTATCGTTAAATTTGTTCAGTAGAAGTCTACGTCGGATTTTATACATCAACCTAAACTTTCACCTGTGTAAGGTGCAGGTGGTTCAAGAATTAAAATCTGCAGCTCTCCATAGCCGCACTACTTTTTGTCTAGAAATGCTAATCCGGATGGATGAAAACGAAAATTTTATTCAAAATGTTTGGATGTCTGATGAAGCACATTTCCATCTTGATGGTTTTGTGAATAATCAAAATTGTCGTTATTGGTCTGAAGAAAATCCTCGGTAACTTCATCAACGAACTTTACACAAGGATCGAGTAACTGTATGGTGTGCAATTTCATTATGGCATCATTGGCCCGTATTTTCATGAGGACGACAATGGACTGTTAATTCAATTCATTATATCAATATGATCAATAATTTTTAGGTCAGTGAACTAATAAAGTTTCCTCAAAATAATAAATTTTGGTTCCAACAAGATGGCATAACATCCCACACGGCCCGAGTAGCAATAAATGATATTCAACAAATTTTTGGAAATCGCATTATTTCCAAAAATGATGATATTCTTGGCCACCTCGATCACCTGATTTATCAGTATGTGACTTCTTTTTATGGGGGTATTTAAAAAGTAAAGTCTATGCATAGAAATCTCGAAATATTAATGAATTAAAAACCAAAATTAAAGAAGAAATCGCCAGTACACCTTTGGAAGTGATACACTGTGGAAGATATATTAAGTAGGCTAGAAGAGTGCTTGAGAAGAGATGGTCATCATCTTGAGGACATCATTTTTAAAAATAAATGGCAAGTTATTCACTTCAATATAATAAATAATAATTAATTTTTATTCGTTTATTTATTTTATAATTTATCTTTGAAAATCGGCCGTTACAGTGCCCCATCCTGTATTATAGTTGGCCATATTGTTTAACAAACCTACGAAACCTTTTGATTCTGTAGCATGTCTTAGATAAAATGTACATATAGTATATTTATATATTTATTAAATAAACGGCTAACGAATTATTATTTTAAACGCGAAATAAACTTTTTATTATTATTTAAAAAGAAAAGAAAATAACGACGTTTGGTAATTTTTTAGGAATATTGCAAAATGTCGAACAGTATAAATAGCTATAGAAGCCGTTATACAATCGATCTTCTCGCGTTAAATCCGATGTTTTCGGACCTCGGACCAAATGCATGTCACTCTCTAAGAGTACTTTCAGATAATATATTATGGTCACTCTATTATAAGACGGGTGAAAAAAATCACAATTCTATTAGAGCGATTTCCGGAGAGTTCGATGTTCAGGATTGTGAATGATTACCGCGGTAAAAGTTGTTTAGTGCCCCCTGTCCACATCGTGCAGGTTTATCCTATCAACAGCTACTGCATTGGTATAATAGTATAACACAATTAATAATGACGTTATGTTTTACCAGTTCTCTGTTGTACATTGTCCACAGAATTTTTCAAGATTCAAATTAAAAAATCCCTAAAATTGTAATATATGAACATTTTTATCGATTACAAAGCTAATAGTTGGTATAGTACCTACAGCTTCATAATATTAAAGATAAAGAATGAAATAGAAAAAAATAAGTAGGAGAATTTGATAGAGGGGATAGAAAATCATTGGAACCGAATAAAACAAATCAAAACACACTGCGTGGCAACTAGCTGTTATTAGAAATGTACTAAAACAAGAAGGAAGACGATGATGGTTCAATGATTAGTGTTGAGATGCAATAAAAAAAGGAACCGAACTCAGAAAGAAGGTGCTACAAATACCATCAGAAGAAAATAAAACGGAATATGAAAATTGGAGAAAAAAAATCAACAAAATTCTAAGAGAAAAAAGAATTGATATTACGACAAAAATTACAGAAATAGAAGAAAACAGAAAAAACCCAAAAAATTATTTGAAAACAATAATCAAATTGAAAAAAGAGTTCAAACCACAAACAAAAATGCTATTAAATGAGAATGGAGAATTAGTTACAGATAAAGTAGAAATAGTAGAGCTATTAAAAAAAAATTTTGAAATACTATTAAACAGACAAGGGCAAGGTTTTCTACCAGCAATTTTGCTTCAATTTTCAACTATAGCACTTTTACTGAAAGAAAATTTTAGATATTTTTGAGCTATTTATGGGCATTTTACATTATATATTTTTTGTTTTTGTAGTTTTTCTTTGGTGGATAAAATTATTGAACCAAATGGAAATGCTTGAAAATTTAACTTAAGGTTTATTATCAGTTGTAAACATTTTTTTAATTTTTTGAGTTCAAATTTTAATGAAAATTTTAAAAATTACCTATGTCATGTCATATCAAAACATGTAAAATAGAACTTTGCTCAGAATCTTTTTTCATTAGTAATTGTTTATCGTTGCTTACAAATGTAAATTAAATTATTTAATGTACTAATTTATTTTTAGTCATAAATACCTAACTTTTGACATTTTGGTTTGGCCAAAAAAATTATATTTACATAAAACCAAATAAAACCTAAAAAAAACCACCAAAAATATTAAATGTCCAATCAAACAATTTTGTGAAATTCAAGTCTAGAATGTCTAGATATAGTACAATTTCCAATATATTTCAGCAATTTTTGAGTTTAGTTTTTTTTGGCAGTAAAATTTGTTGGTATTGTATATGTTTAGTATAGCATATTCTCAATACCTTGAGTAATGTGTAATTATGTTTATTAGATTATAATGTATAATATGTTCTGAAATATAACTAAATAGTTCAGAAAATTATACTCTAGTAGAAGTACAATACATTTATTTAGAATATTTATAAAATATAAATTTAAGAAAATTTATTTTTCTATAGATAAAACAATATATTACATACTTATCACAGAAAAAGGAATCTTTAAAAAATATATATATAATAAAAATGCATTTAAATAATAAATCAATCACTTAATTAAACAAATAATATAATATAACATATAATTACTTTACATAAATTGAAAATTTAACAAGTTTAAATACAAAACAAAAACAACATTTATAAAATATTTAAAATAATATTACCTATAAAAACAAAATGGCACATTAAAATTAAAAAATTATGTATTTTTAATTTCGGTTTCCTTGTGACTGATTGGTTTGGTTTTTTAGAATGATGGTTTTTATTTCCTCAGGTAGATTATTAGGATCTGACAATATTTCTGTAGATGTACATAAGTTTCGCAATGCATTTAAAGCAACTGAAAAGATAACATTGTATCAACAAATCACAAATCAAATTATTTTACATAGGTGATCAATATAGTGCATTATTTAATTCATTTTTTACTTTTTTCAGAATTTGTTATTAAAAACATTTATGAAATAAGTAGCTTTAAAATATTGTATCTTTATTTTTTGTCACCCTTATTTTAAGGGGTAAAACTATAACATACTTTTGATTTTAAAATAGTAATCTGTATTTAAAATTCCATAAATATATGGAATATTAGTTTTACTAAGTTTTGGTGTTGAAATTTCTACTTTTAAGTTTAAGTAGAAAGTGATTGATGGAACACTATTAAAACTCCTCTCACCATGTCACCACACAAATGATGTACTCCAACTCCATCCCTGCCAAAACTTAAAAGGGGAATTTTTTGTCAACGGATCGACAGAAATTAAAAATCTTAACACCAAAATTGATTTAAACTAATAATCTATCTATTTATGATTATCTAATATAGGTTATTATTTGAAAATCAAAAGCAGGTAGTGACTTAACTCCACAAAATAAGTATGACAAAAAATAAATACATTTTACATTTTAGAACTATTTATTTCATAAATGTTCTAAAACAAATTATGAAAAATATTAATACATTTAGAGATAGTGAGTGTCATACATGATCATCATTGATGTATACCTTAATATTTCCTAAAATAATTAAAAAGTAGAAATTGATCATACAAGGTTCTAAATATTTAACATAAATATTGTATACCTACAAAATTAACACATCTTATTAACTGATGTTTGAAAAATAGGACAACTTTATTATTAAATTCTTACTTGGTCTGAGATCACCCAGTGTACAATGTTGTTCTACCCATTGAAGAGTAGTACGATACATTTCTTCATAACTTGATGTTGACACACTAGAGTTAAACGAATTTAGAAGTGGTTCCGCAATTAAACTAAGCTAAACAATATATAATTAAGGAACTAATATACAACATATGATTATTTAAACAATACAAATAATGAACACTATACTTGTTTATAAATATACATAATACAAACTATGTATAATTAAGAAAATATATATATATTTTTTTCCATGGCTTTGATTTTGTTTAAATTTGTAATTCAATCTATTTATTAATGAGTAATCTAAAAGACTTGTCATAAACATATCATTGGCAATACTAATAATTTATAAAAAAAAGTAAAAACATGCTTGTAAAATACACAAATTAAAAATGTTTTTTTTTTTCTAATTTAATACTATGTATTAATGAAAATTATATTTTAATTGTAACGCAATTATTTTATATTAACCATTTAAAATTGTATTATCTGTATCTTATGAAAGTTAAATCAATAGTATTTGTGTTAAGGTGCTCACACACTGTCACGGTAGCAGTAGTGATATAGTAAACTGCTCGCCGAGTTCACACAATTGCAGGGCGGTATCGGGGTTTACCATATATTAATAATTAATTATTTATTTATTTATATTATTAAATTACCTATACCAGTGTTTCTCAAACCCACAATTTTTCGTGGATCGTGAAAGTTGTTTTGAATTATATAGATTCCAAAAAATGTATGTTTTTAGATTCTGAGCGGAGTGAGGAATGCATTGGTTTTACAACAAAGTTATTTTTAACAATTTTTCTACCAACAATTTTGCTCCAAATTTCAAGCGTATTATTTTTTCTGAAAGGAAATCTGACTGGGGTGGTACTTTAAATGTCATTTTTTCATTTTCGCAGCTGTTTTCATGAACAACTTTTTTAAAAGTGAAACCATGTGAGTCAATAGATTTTCGGGGATAAATTTGAGTTTTCGTCAGAAAAGATTGAGAACCACTGACCTATACCTTTTATTGGGCAATAATGTTATTATAATCAATTTTTAATTGTTTACACAGAGCTGATTTAAGAGTTTGTTAAAATATCAATATAATGATATAATATTATATAATATATAATATTGTTTAATCAACTGGTTGAAAACTATACATTTATGACCTCAACGTTTTGAATAGCTCATCACATTGTGTACTCACTACAGTTATAATAAAATCATATATTTTTTATAATAATATTTTACTTCATATTTATTTTTGTTTAAATTTATCCACATTTTAAATAAGATATCTATTCAAAAAAATGATGAAAAAAACTTAAAAACCACTAGTGGTAGCGGTAAAATTCAATCATGCAGAGGTTTTTTAAAAACCACGACAATATTTTACTACAGCCGTTTTACCATTGCAGTGTGTGAGGCACCTTTAATCAGTATAAAATTAACTGCTAGATTTCTAGAACCATTGATTGGTTCAATTAAAAAAAAATTAAGGATACAATATAAAATTTCCAATTTTCTTGAGTTCGTTTTTTTACATATTCATCAAACATCTCTTTCATTTTTGTTGTACGTTGTCTAGAAAAAGGAGCTCCTGTTGCAGGTAACATTGCTTGGCAATTACTATAAATTAAAACATATTGTTTAATAAAGTAGAGCAATTATTAATTAAAAGTTTGTATAAATGTTTACCTTATAGCTAGATTAAGAGATTCAACTTGTTGTTGCAAATTTTGTCTCTCATCATACAGTCGCGCTCGTTCTGCTCTCAGCTGAAGGATGTAATCCGCACCTTTTTGTAACATGGCAGCTTTACTCATTTTTGTATTAGGATTTTGATTAATTTGTGGTATTAACATATTCAACATATCGAATCCATTTTTTATGTTGCATCTCCGTTTTTGTTCTGCATTTATATGACAAACTCTCCTATGCTCCTGTACATATTTCGACCTAGGCCTTAAGCTCATGAGCAGTTCATACTAATATTTGTTTAGATAATTCAAAATAATGGAATTTGTGTAACCTAAACACATATCGGTGTGTTATATTACCTTATATGGAGTTCTTGATGGACCAGGAATCATAGCATGTGTCGGCATTGACATTGTGCCATTCCTTTGTGATAAATTTACAGACTCATTACATTGATTTGGAGAATGCGTCTTTTGGCAAAGATCTGTACTACATGCCATGGGTGAAGTTGGTATTGTTAGAGATTGAGGAATTGGAGTAATTAAAGGTTGACTGTAGTTATTTGTAGGTGAGGGTTGATTACTTGGAGGTGATGGTTTATCCATGACAGAATGATTGACATACTCTTGAGGAGTTTGAGGGAATCTATAGGTTGAATAACTTTGGATGTTTCCATTTGGTATATCAAATCGAGGTTGAATTTGAGGAAGTTGATGAATACCGCCAGGTGTTGCAACTGCATCAAGAAGTCCACGAGTGTTAGGAGTTAAATTATAAACATTACAGTCACTAAGAATATTTAAAAGATTTTAAATATTAATACATTATGATATAATTAATATATATTTAATATGTTATTTTATTTATATTACATTACCTTTGATTCATAAAAACTGGACTTGGTTTACGATATACTAGGTGATCAGTGTATGAAGTTAAAACATGATCTGGTGTTCTTGCTCTTCTTTGAATTAATTGATATGGTATTTGTTGTATTTGTGGCACTTGTTGATATGACTGATAAGATCCATTTGTATTTCTAAATTTAGTCATATTAGTCATATTAGTAGAAACTCCAGTTGTACTCGGTGTTGAAAACATATTATCTAACGGAAATAATAAAATCATAAGAATATTAAAAAATATTTTATTAAATAAAATTTACTTGAAGAGAGAAGTTGAGCAAGTAAAACACTTTGGTTATTATCATTCGATGAATTTATATTTGATTGCATAATTTTTTGCTTTGGTTGAGTTTGTCTCCCACGTGGCCTTTGTCTAACCTAAAATATGCAGAAAAGTTAAACCTAAAAATGCTTTAAAATAATATCAAGTTTACAATTAATATTTACTTTTGGTGTAACAAAGTGATCGTGAGAATTTCTTACTGGAGGGAACTTGGTATATGTTTGTATTTGTGGAGTTCTATTTTTAAATTCATTAGTTGATGATCCATTTCCATAAGTCATCACAGTGTTATTGGTAGAAGACATATCTTGATGTTGGTTATAATTGTTAGTGTTTATGACTGATTCGTGACTTATGTTAGATGTATTAAATTCAAATGGATATGCAGGTGGGGGAGGTGGTAACTGTATTTCATTATGGTGAGTTTGTGTAGTTCCCTGAGGAATACTGTTATAAGAATGATTGTTGGATTGATATTCTCCTCCATTTGAAGTTTGATGAAACATTGTTGAAAAATTTGATTGATAGTTCTCTTCTGTTGTATAGCTACCAGCATGTAATGGACATGATGAATCTGTAGTTTCTTGTCGTATGTTTGTCATTTTAAGTTGGTTCAGTTCTGAATGTAAAGACAATGAATGCTGATTTGTCTGATAACATGTATTTACACTCCCATAAGATTGATTGTATAAATTGTTGGACGATTCTGTGGACATCTGACATTCTTCTGGCACAGGTGGTAATTTAGGAGGACTAAAAAGATCTACAAATATACATTTTACACAAAATTATGTTTTGATCTTTAATTTATCTAATAACTGGATAACACTGATAACCTACCAATACTTCGTAATTAAAATAACTCATATTATAAACTAATTATATGCAGTATTTAGGTATGCGCTCATTACAATTGTATTCAATATTTAAAATTGTATATCTACACTTAAAACCTACATATGTGTATTATAATTTATTAATAAAATGGTTACATAATATTAATCGTTATCAGTTATTACTGTATAAAGCAATTTTTATCATGTAAAATAATTATCTAAGAACATTTTTATGCATTAACGTTGTTTATTTTTGTCACACATTTAAGGTCATTATTTTAACAATTTTCAACATTTTAGCCCTATTCGAAATCTCAATACAATCTTGAAAGATGTAAACTTTTAATTTTAAAATAACAACATATCATATTTGGTAATCTTATTCTCAAATTTGAAAAGATAATAGTTTTTTTTAAAAAATGTTGATGCGCAATATATTATATAACCTTAATATAGGGTTAATGTTTTAGTAATTATAATTATTTAACATTTGGATTAGAAGAGTAGGAGGAAACTGTTACCTACCTACAGATAGAAATGTTATGCACCTATATTCTTCTCTATTCTACTAGTCTAAATATAACTATTTTACCTTTTTATTGATGTATATTAATATTTTAAGAAAAATATTCATTTTTTTTCATATTAATAAAATATTTAAGATAACCATATTAAATAATTAATGTACCCAACATACAAATTTAGTTGTGATGTCAAAAAAGATCTGAAATTCTAAAATCAATGAAATCAATCAATTTCTATTTATTATATTTCAAGTCACGAAATAATTAAATTTGTAATTTTTGCATGCAGACTTATTAATGACTTATACACACAACTAAGAAATGAAAACTATTCAGTAATGCCAATCTATATGTCCAGGTATTGCAGCTTCAGTACCTATTTGACAGATGTACCACAATTTTTTATTTTTTTTTTTAAATTAATAATTAATGTTCATAAGTGTTTAATAGTATAATAAAAATTTCACACTTTTCATAAATTTTTTGTTCAACTTGTAAATACTGGCAATATGTTTTAAACTTTACTTCAGTATCACTAGAACTGATTTATTTTACAAATTGTATAGAAGGGTTTGAATACTATCCGAAATATCTTAACCCACCTTTCTCAAATATCATAATATTTTAAATCTATGAGTAATGATTTTTGTTAAAACAAGAGCTTGGTTATACAAAGATGTTTTTTTTTTTTAATCTGTGCACAACTTTTCTACTAGCAATTTTGATTTTATTAAAATGATAGCACTATTTCTAAAATTAAATCTGACTGGGGAGGTACTTTAGAGAGATCATTTTTCGATTTTTTCAGCAAATGTGAAAACCCAGAGAAGAACATGAAAATACCCAGAAAAATAGGAAAATCGGCACAATATTAAACAAATATTATTAAAGAAAATATAATAAATAATGACTATTTAATTAGTTTACCATAATGTGACATATATATTGTTGAAAAAGTATCACTATTAACTGAACTCTGCTCAGAATGGTTTATCATTGCTAACAGATAAACATTAAATTCCATACTGTGTCCTACCTTCCCAATTTCTCACCAACAGTGGCTGCAACCACCGTGTGATGTCAGTATTTTTTAATAATACAAATTATTCTAAGGATTTACAAGCATAAAGTTTAAAACTGGACAAGTTGTTTTCTTTTAATTTTTAAGTAGTAGTTGAAGCAAATGAAATCCCAGTGAAAATAAACTGGCATTTTTTAGGTCAGCTACTTTTATTCAACCCTCTATAGAAAAAGTGGTTTCAGAGGGTTGATGATCTAAACATTTTAGTAAAATACTAGCTCAATAATCTTTTTAATGACTGTAAACAAACGAGATTAAAATTGTTTTACTGAAACAATACAGTAGTGTGTTGTTTCAAATTTAATTCACGAAGTCTTTAAAGTTCTTGTATGAAACTCTTAAGATCCGTGGAACAGTATAAAATTAAAAAATTACTGATCTAATAAATACCTACATGGAAAATATGTTTGTTATTATGTACAGTCATTTTTTTTTAATTATTTAAAAATGGTTTCCGTGAAATAATTTACTAATAAGTATAATTTATTTTAAATTATAATGTGTGATAATTTTATATGACCATTACATTTTAATTAAATACATATTGTAAGTAAGAAAAAGAAAAAAAGTAAATTATTTATTTTGCAATAGGTCAATATCGTAATGCACGTGTTTATAATATTAAGTTATTACTTATAATTACATTTTTAGCAAATGATTTACAAACTCTTTTAAAATAAATAATTAGAAATAATTAGTTTAATATTTTACTTTCCTAAACTTATTATTAATTAATTAATTTCATAAATGAATTGTGTACAATAAAATAGTTAAAAGAAATAGGTTCTGTTGACTGTTATAAAACAAAGTATTGAATTAATAATTTGTAGACAATCAAACCCAATTTCGACTTTAGGTATTATAGTACATGCAGCATGCTCAATAATAACTAAAAAAAAATGTTTCATTTATCAATTAAGTAGTTTTATATTCATTTAGGTACAAAATATAAATAAAAAAAATTTTTAACGACATTCTTTGGCCATTGGGAAGACCTCTGCTGTAGTTATTCCTCCCAATGACTCATTTAGACCCTCTTGTCTATTATTATTATATTAAATTAAATTAAATTTTTTTTTTAATGCAATTTACAAAATTACTTCAAAAAATTATGAAATGTATAAGACTTAGTATAACATTATATAAATGTTTTGTAATTGATTAATTGAAATTTTGTATTCCTGTGTGATTATCACCTTATTAGGCTGTAGTTTTATTTGGAAAACTAAAAAAACATCTCAACATAAAATTAAATTATGTCATTTTATAAGTCATTACAAGTTTTTAGTATTTTCAACTACACTCAAGTACCTATATAACAATATGCAAGTATCTACAATATCTTAATGGCTGAAAACCATAGAAGATGAAAAAAGTGTTTATAATATAGAAATTAGAATTGATAATATTAAATGTAAGAATTAATAGTGTTGTACATGTAACAGATGTATTATCATGATAAAATATTATGTTATAGTTAAATAAATATTAATACCAATATTAACAATGAATTACGAAAATATTAAAATACCTAAACCCTATTATTTTATGTTTGAGTTTTTATTATCATTATGATTATAAATAACCTAAAAGTTATCATTAGATAAACAAATAATCAGTTTTAAATTTTTGAAGTAGTCGTCATAAATAATCAATTGTCTTTTTTTGATTATATACTTATATTTATCAATTAAATTATTATTAAAGTACCCATTAACAATAATTTATAAATCAATAACCATTTGTTAACAGCTTTTCTGACAATGCTATTAATATTAAACAATATTAATTAGTTTAATTAGTTTTAAGATAATATTATATTACTAAGATTATAATATAATATTGCAGGTCTTAATCAATATTAGGTTATTTTTTAGACATAAAATGTATTATTATTCTATATTTTGTTAAACCAATAAAAATAATAATAATAATCTTCAGAAATTATATAGAGTGTATATTATTTTGTTTGGTTTGCTAATTTAATATAGTTATTAAATATAATGAATATTCTTGTAAAATTTTACTATATATTTATGTAGTAATAATTTGAATTATTGAAAAAGGATTAAATTAATAATACAATATTATATGCTATTATGTGTTAACTAATAAATTATATTATTCAATCAGTTTGTAAATATTTTGTTTATTTATGTTATGTAATATTTGTCTTTATCTAGTAATTTATTAATTTCTTAAGTCCGGAAAATTTAGTAAATCACTAATTACAAATATCTTTAAAACAAAATTTATGTAAAATAAACAATATTATATTTTCACAATGTTTCATTAGGAAGTCTTACAATTATTATTATTGTCATTGTCTAAGTTCAGTATTTTATTTATTATTATTGTTATTATATTTGTATAATAGTATTAATTAATTTTAAAATACAATTAAGGTTTAAGAACTTTAAAAATTAATTTAATTTGTTTAATTAAATTGTGTAATATTATTAGGTATAAATAATTATTAAACATTAATTTACCTTGTAAAGGTTCTATGGTATCCATGAATTCATCCAAATTTGGCTGCAATTGTCCCAAGCTCGGTTGTATTAAATCGGCAATATGTGTAGACCTGTCTGAAAAAAATAACAAAACAAAATAAAAATAATATACGTTTACATAAAAATCATAATCACTGTTTATATTGATGAAATTAATTTATCTCCACTTCACTTATTAAAATCACTTAACAGGAAAAAACAAAGTTATGGTGTTAAGCTTACATAAAAAAAAAATTATCCTACAACAATAGCCATCACTTTTGCTTTTATAGATATAAAAATGTATTAAGGAAACATATTAGTTATGTTATAATAATGATATAAGAACTAGAACTCAGCATTCTAGGCGTGTAAATTATGCTTGATACGATTTCAATACTAATTTGCTGATATGGATTTACTATAGTTTTAGACCTCTTTAAAAAAGCCATATTTAAAACCTAATCTTATCAAAAAAGAACGTATTATAATTTCGATAAAGCAGTGTTTTGCTATTTTTTCTTCCTTGAAACGCTTACGACTATTAAACAGACGTTATTAAAAAGCATAAAAATGTGATTCACCACTATAAGTAATAACTAATTATTACTATACTATAACAGTAGAGCAACTTGTAGTATTTTATACAATGAGTTAATTTAATGAGTACCTATTTACAATATTATTATTTAACCTCCCACTGATAAATATACATCAAAACTCACATGTTATTTTTATTATTAATAGGTAATGATAATATGGAATTGTAAAACATTTTCTTATAAGTAATTTTTTTATTTATTGATCATACCTACCTCATTTATATAAAACAAATTGAATATAAAGGACACATTGATTTAATTTAATATGAAATATATTTTGAAACCTCAATAGACATACATTATGAATACAATAAAACTTAGTTATTATTATATTGGACTTTAACCTATGAGCTGATTAAAAATCATACATAATGTTAAGAAATATAATGTACCTCAATTATTACAAGTGTTACAGAACAGTATCAATTTGTCTAGTTATTGTTTATGGCAATAGCTGCAGGGTTACGTAGGCGTAGAGCTTCTTATAATCTAATCATTGAATTTATGTTTTCTAAATGATAAACACTTTAATTGGTTTTTCAAGTAGTATTTGGGACATACTGGTAAGCCGATAAGAGCAATTAAATAAGTAAATACTATCTAATTATAAATTATTGCTATAATTTAGACAGATATTCTTAATAGTAGTCAGTGTATATTCAATAGATTATTACTTTAAAGTCTTGCCAATAGATACTAAATACAATACCTAATATGAAAATGAAATAATATTTAGATAGGTACCCATATGAAGTGGAAAATATACAAACAACTTTATATACTTCACATAGGTAAGCATAATATGGAGCAACAAGTTTAATTATGGAAAACTCTTCACAGTGGATAAAATATTTGGTAGGAATCAATGATATTATATCAGAGAAAAACTTAAAAAACCATATTATAAATATATACATAAGTATTATAAATATAGATATATTTTAATAAACACACTATAAGGGGTAAATGTATGAGGAGAAATTTCAATTTAATATAATAGATGGTGTTGAAAATAAAATAATAAATATCAGATTTACTCAATAAATTTATGGCTATGCACAAAAAAGTTAAAATATGTTCCATTCTCCAAAATGTACAACTAATTTGAGTTAATATTATTACTGCAGCAAATTAAATAATGATTGGGGGGCTCGGGACTTTATGCACTTAAAATCTACAAAAAAACAAACAAAAACGCCAAAAAAGCCTTGAATACACATATAATAAAACAAAAAATTATTGTAGTAATAGAAAAATGCATTTAATGGTTAGAGTTGTTATAGGGAAAGGGGTGAGAATTTTAGACTCCTCTGAATCCTCTGTCATTTTTGATTTAAAAAAAAAAAAAATTTAGGGCCCTTTTGACCCTATTGTTAAAATTAGTGTACATTTTTTTTTTTTTTTAATTTTAATTATTAAGTGTAAATTTAAAGTGATTTTTAGAGGTATATACTTTTCCTTGGAATTGTTATTTAAGAGGGCACTACAGTAATATTTGCGCTCTATTTATTTCACAGAAAATGAATACCTAATAAATGTTTTTGTACTTCCAATAGTACTCATGATTTAATAGACGATTTTACTGAATTCAAGATGACAACATTTACTATGTTTTCACTGTTTTTGATATCTATTTCCCAAATAATCTTTTTATAATTCAAACTTTAAAAAAAATAAACATGTTTTATTATTTTTTTATTTGATCCTGAGTACTATCGCCTTTTCGCTGTAAATAATCCTCTCTTTTATCTGCTAATCTTTTCACTTCTTTGTAACTTGTTATAGATGATAACTTCTTCATATTCCCCAAATTTGTTTCCTTCAGCCATTCTCTACATCTTTTCCCATTTATCTTTCCTTCCATAATATTTTTAATAAACTTGTTATGTCTCATGTGTCCAAAAGTTTTAGTTTTTCTTATTTTCATAGTTTTGATAATTTGTCTAGGTTTGTCTATCATATTTAACACTTCCATATTAGATTAATTTTTCTGTTCAACTGATCTTCATCATTTCTCTCTATGTTCACACCTCTAATATTTCTATTCTTCTTTTATCTAGAGTGCTTAAAGTCCAGGACTCGCTACCACATTATGTTACACTTCAAACATACATTTTAATAAATATCTTCCTAATTTTAATAGATAAGTATCTATTAAGAGATTTTGATTCTTAATGAAGGCTTGCTAAGTCAAAGCTATGCTTCTTTTTATTTCTGTTGTATATTTATTATCTTGCATAATATAGTTACCTAGGTAGTAGAATAATTTAACTTGGAAGTACAACAATAGGAACACATTTGTATAATATTGCCTGTAAGATAAGGCAGCAAATGTTACAGTGATACCCCTCTTAAGAAAAAAAAGTTCAAACATTTATCACTTATAATAATTTTGCTTTAAATATTTATACTTTTAAAACTAAAAAAAGTAATTGTTTTAATTATTAATTTATTTTATAAGAATACAAATTTCAAATAAGTTAAATTAAGAAAACAGCAAATTTAAAAGTTTTGTTTAGAATATGATAGTGATGATAACTGTTTTAAAAATTATCTATTTATAAAATATTTACATTATTTATAATTGTTCAATATATGAAAAATGGTATTAGGTATCATTTAATATACAAATTGTACTTGTAAGGTAATTATGGGGTATGCTACCAACTAACTCGATAATATATTAAGGTAATAAAAGTGATTTATATTAAGTTTAATAGGAAATTATGAGTTATATATGTTTATAATATTCAAACATATTTATATTGACAGAAATAAAATGCATTAAAAAAAAAATTCTATAATTTAACTAAATTTGTATTAAAAAATAAAATATTAATGTTTTTAATTTATTTATTTCTAACTTGCTTCTATAATATAAAAACTAGCAATCACCAGTATAACAGTTGTAATTGATATAATAATAAACTATTATAAAATTAATGTATTTATCCTTTTTCTGAGGCGCAAAGGTTCTGTGAGAGAATCAAAATAAAAATATCACCAAAGTCAAAGATTAAATTTTAATGAACGATTAATAAATTATTTGCTACACCGAATGGTTTTTTTTCAAGGACGCCATTTGAAACAATATTTTTTAGAATGGTACAAAGTTTAACCTATTATCGCTTTAAAAACATACATTTTAGTAACAAATATAATTTTACTTAATTATTATCAGATCCTAATCAAGAAAAATGACTGAAATTATTCAGTAGGTAATAATTAAAAATTAAATCAAACTGTACCCATAAAGGATAGAGGATTAATACAGGATTTTTTAGTAGAATCTTGATTCAAAATTAAGAGGCCAAAAATTTGTTTTCAAAATTCAGTTTTTTAATTACCAATGTTTAGAATAAAACATTTTAAAATTAAAATTGTTCTTTTTAAAGTAATACCTATGTAGCAACAGTTATTTTTCTGAAGACATAATTTTATTACGTAAACTAAAAGTAATGGTTTATAAACATATAAACTATAAATTAAGGTGTTTTCTAGATCAGTCAATCAACACTTATATAACGTAATATGTAAATCCCCAATTCTATAACTCTTATCTATGGCTATAGCTTATCCAAAGAGCTCTTATATTTAGAAACTTATCTTTACAATAAACATTTTAAACTACACACAATTAATTATTTAGATAAATTATAGAAATTACATAACCTTATTTCTAAACCTTAAAATATTTTTGTAAAAATGTAAAAAAAAAATGTATTTAAATGTATAATTTGACAAAAATCACAATACCTATTTTTAAATTTAAATAACTAAACTAAGATTATAAAAACTAATAATTTTTAAAAAAAAAATGTATGATATAATCGGCATACAGTAAATGAAATGTTAAATCCAACCTATCTATAATTAAAAGGAATGTATTTGATTTGTGATAGTTGTATGTAAAAATTAAATAAATAGATTACCTAACTAATTAGTTTTCCTTATATTTTACATTTCTTTGAAGACCTGATTTTTAATTAATCATGTGGAAACTATATTATATATAAATAGTCATTTAAATTGATAACACTAAAAAATTTGTTTTTTTTTAAATAAATTTAAATTTTAGTTATTTAAATGTTTAATATTAGATTTAAATACTTATTTTATCATTATATTTAAACACATACAAGAAAAAAAAGCTGATACTGGGTATAGGTGGGCCGCTGTTGTAGATGGGAAGTTGATACTGTAGGATATATAAAATTATTTAATTTATAACTGTAAGTAAAAATAAACCATTTCTAGTGAAATATGATTCTGATCAAAACTCAGTTATACATATTTTAAAATACCATAATATTTATGATTGTCATACAAATTTGATCTTAAAATAATTATAAAAAAACTACTAATTTACACTCAACATTTGTTTTTTTACCACTAAGTATGGCTTAAAATGAACCTCATGTTAAATTTTCAAACATTTCTGTATGGGCAAACTATTTTATCCACCAAAAACCTAAGAAATATAAATTGCCTATAAACAGCACAAACATCGCCAAAATTCTTTAAAAATTTTACTACATTCAGAAAACATAAATATAGCTTTCTGTCAAGATTTTAAGTTTTCACAAACATTTTTCACTGAATTACAAAAAAAAAAAAAAAAAAAACAAACTTTCTTGGCTTTACTCAGTTATTAAGAACACTACATGAAAAATAAAATAAACCACAACTGACATTTTTACTCACCACCTAGAATCATCCATAACATAACAAAAAAAAAAAGGCTCTTGTCATTTTTTGATCAGAACATGACTTTGGGTACAAAAAATAATTCATACAACTTTAAAATAATGAAATTGTAACCCCCTATATTTGTTAGTTTTCATTTCATGTCATTTTCTCCAATTTTTCCCAAATATTATAAAATCTGTTTGAAAAATAAATAAATTAGACTTTCTCACCAGTTTGATCAAAAATTCAATAAAAAAGATTTCATAGCATTTTTTGAATAAAGCAAAATGCTTATTAGAAAACTTTAAGTGTTAAGTTTTAAGTATTAAGTGTGTTAATTAAGAATAATGAAATAGGTAACACCATTATTATGGAAAAACCAATAAATCCCTCACTATGTTCCAAATCTAATAATTAATTAATTCATTTCCAAAATAGTTCAAGAAAGGTAAATTGTCTACTAAAGTAATTATCTCATGATATTGTTTATTTGTTCATAATAATGTATACATATACAATATAATGTAAGTTCAAAATAAATAAGGATAAATTAATAAATCTCCATATTATGATATAATTATTATATTGAATAATTTTTTTCAAAAGCACAATTTATTTTAATTGGATAATTCTGACTATGTAATACATTAAAAATGATTGATTTTTGAACATGGCCATTAAGAATGTTATTATGTTATATTTTCTGAATTCTCTGTGTTTTGAACTTTAAACCTGTTACAAATTTACACTTTAAGTTACACATCTTGTAACTTATTCTTGATTCAAAATATTAGAGATCTTCATGAATTATATTATAAAAAAGATAAAAATACTATACCAAACTATCAGCCTATAAAAAGATTACCTACTATAAATAGGGAATTCTTCTTAGTTTAATCAAAATATAATTATGACTTAGTATTAATACTGACAAAATGTTTCACGAATATTGAAATATTTTTTTTTTTTAAGTGTAAAAATGTATGTGTAGAATATTTAAAATAATTAATTATCAACATTCTAAATAACCATATAAAACTATGTATAACCATTAAATATAAATACATATATTTTTATTATTACATACCTTCTCTGGCATTCGGAAATTCAAATATTCGATGATTTGAAGTTACTGTTGAAAAAAGTGTATCACTTATAAAATTCATATAATCATCATCAATTCGTATGTCACTATTGTTATTTTTCTGCCATTCTAAGAATTCTTTCAACTAAAACATATTATTTATTATAAAAAGTTAAAATTTTAACATATGGTGTTTTAAATGTACTTTTATATTAGTTAAATATAAATTAAATTAAATAAAAATATATAAAAACAAATTAAATAAAATGTCCAATTATGTACAACTATATAATATACAAACCATTCAAATTTCATGATACAGTCAAATTTTTCATGAAACATTTATTTTTTTCCAAAAAATGAATTATGTAAAAACTTTTTTGAATCATATATACTAAAATGTTATAATGTCCTTATTTTTATCACCCTTAATTTAAAAAAAAATTAAGCAACAATTCCATAAAATGATGGAGTATTAGTTTAAATAATTGTTGTATTGAAATTATTGATTTCTCTCAATCTGTTGACAAAATATTTCACTTTTAAGTTTGGTTAGGGGGAAAGTAGTAAAATACTATTCAAATGATGCTCTACTACAACTCTTCCAATTTGAATGTATAGGTAAGTATCTTGCAGCTATAAGAAAACTATCTATTTTTGTATAGGTACAAGAACATATTCTACAAGTAGTTTCATAAATAATTGGTCTAAATGTTTAAATACAATGTATACAAATTAATATTTACTAATTTCTGTCTTTCTTTAAAGCCATTTTGTAATAAACTTCGATAAAATAGTCTCCATTTTTTGTATTCAGCAGTAACAGCATTAAATTTTCTTTTCCAGTATTTTCCTTCCAAAACAACTGCCTGAAAATAAATTAAATGAAAAATGAAAAACAAACTCAGAATGAAAATTAAATTTAAAATTACCTCGGGTTGTTTATGAATATCTACAATTTCCACTGGTGATGCAAATTGACAGATCATATAACTACTTTTCTTAATAACTGTTAACAAATACATCAAATTTAATAATTGTATTATACTATGATTAATAAAATGACATGTTTTATAATTTTGTTTAGTAATTATTAATAAAAATATATTCCAAACAAATAATTATATAAAGTAATTATTAATTTGCCTTGTCAAAAATTAATATAAAATTATTAATTTTTGACAAGTTTATTCTAATAAAGGACCACAAGCAGAATAAACAATACACATATCCATAGATATAAGATATGTACATTTATATGGTTTATAATAGAACTAAAATAGGTGTATAAGAATATCTTTTAAGTGTTTAACATTAAAGGTTTACTCAAGCCTTCCATTAGTATAAATAATAATGATAATAATTCTTTATTAATATTCTGTAGTTCGAAATTAACACAATTTTAACTTAAGGTAATAATTTGACATCATTAATTTTAGGTTTTTTTTTTAATAATTTAAAATTTAATTTTTATAGAAAAAGATAAAATCACAACCAGTTACTACTTTTTAATATTTTAATAAAATATTAAAATAACTAAAAAAATAAATTTCTATCTAATATCTAATACAAATTTTTAGAACTAATTTTCCTTATATATAAAATTTAAATCTATTCATTATGATTTAAATAAAAAATGTATGTATATTTTATAATAGTTAATTATTATGTACAAGTAATAATTTTTAGTATAATCGTAAAAACTACAATAATTATATGGCTGTAAAACCAGTACAAGGCTAATAATTTAGCTGTTAAAGTATTATTTTATTAAGAAAAAATAAAACTAAATAAATTACCATATTTTTATTTTAGTTAATATTAATATGAAAACCGGTCTATTAGATAACTTTTACTAATTTATGTTTAATATAGTAGGAATATGAAAGGAAAATCATTCACATAATATTTAATTTATACTAATTATAAAAAAACTGGTATTTATATTGTTAAAATATTTATTAATAAGAATTTGAGATGAATTCTATGTTTATAAAAATGATCATGTAAATAAAATGATACATAAAGCATAATAAAAGAATTTATCAAATTTATAATTAATTAATATAGTGCATAAAAATGTATCATATTACTTAAAATATTACTCCAGAACCAAATTTTGATCGACCTTAAAGATAAATTTTTTACTTATATCTTGTATTTAATTTTATAAAGAATATAATATTCACCAGTATTCAATTAATAGAAATGTATGAAAACAATCTCCATAATAAATTATTCAAAAGTTCTCAAATAATACAAAAAATTTAAATTAAACTTTAAAAAAATAATAACTATATTGTATAAACTTTTAAAGTGAATATTTGTTTTGTAGGTATGATAAATGTCCAAGAAATACTATTCCAATAATTTGTTTTATTTGTGTATAAGTAACTGTAAATTGAATTTAAAAAAATTACTTCATGTAAATTATGAATAAAATATGTGTAATATAGTATGAAGGATTTTACTATTTTACACTTACCAAAGATTTAATATAATAAAGAGTTTGTCTCAGTTGACTACAATGTCAAATGTTAAGACCTTTATAATCAGACATTAAAAGTAAGATAAGAAAACGTTTAACCGTCATTTAAATAGCATAAATTGTGATAAGTCTCAATGTAAAATTGTAATCTAGAAAAATAACTTACATTGCATATGCCAACATCTCCAAATTAAGTTGTTCAAACGAATTTTGTCTTTCCACCTTAAACGAACTCCTTTGAAACGATTCCATTTAGGAGAAGTTAGTTTGTGTCTAAATTTAAAAGATCAATTTTAAACTTTAGTTTAACAATATTACAAAAACTATCTTATTACATGCAATATTCATTAAAAGCAAATGTATTAACGTAATTTTCTGAATATGTATTAGAAATAAATATAAATTAATAATTAAGCTAGTTAGAATGTTATCAGTGGTTAAATCAACTAAAAAATGTATCTTTACAAATTTAAAAAAAAAAAAAAAATGTTTATAAGTAATACCTAAAACGTTTATATTTATAAAAATAAAATATTTAATTTAAAAAATTACATTTTAGTTATATATACATATATAGCCGATTTATGAAAATAATGTGGATACTTCAATCATTAAAAATAATGTACCAAATAAATTTATTATACTTATTTTTAATTAGAATTAAGTTATATTTATATTGAATTTATTGGATCACATCACTTATAATATAAATCTATATACTTATTGTAGATGTGGGTATAACTAATTTGGTTGAGAAATATTTATTGAAATTAGATGTATTTATTACAACATAATAAATATATTTAGGTACTCATGCATTATCACCAAGCACTAAATTTTTAGATATTTAGCATTTGTTTCGCACTGTCACTCCTAGAATCAATTTATTATGAAAAACCATATCGAGAATCACAGAGAAAAGAGAAAAATGTAAAAAAGACTCGATACTGCAGATGGAAGTGCCACATTTGTTGGTAGGAAGTTGGAGAGGTAGGAAACATAAAATAATTTAATTTGTATCTGTAAAAATAACAAATCATTGCTAATGAAATATGATTCACAGCGAAATTTGGTTAACACATTGACACACACTTGTAATACAATTTTTACTGTTATATTAGTAGCTGTTATAACTACACCCAAAATCATTGTAAATTGATCAGTGTGGACTGCCGTAATGTGGCAGTCTACTGTCTTTTATGATTTGATACCACCATTGAAAAGATTACTACTTCAGCAGTATTGACATAATATGACATTTTACAAATTACTGCTACAGCAGTTGTCAGTCAATGTGTCAACATGTATTGAAATGCTGCAATTTTTAAGATTTTCATCAAAATGTTAACTTAATATGTTTTTAAAATAAACAACTATATCTCGCTCAACTTGTATTTTAATCAATAAGTACAACTTATATTGAACCTCTTATGAAATTGTCAATCATTTCTGTTTCACTAAACAATTCTATCTACATAAAACCAAATTAAAATACTTAGTAAAATACTTGAAAATGACAAATGCCTATTAAATGCTTAAAAATCACTATAATATTTTTAACATTTAATTACACATCTTAAAAAGATTTAAAAAAATATTCTGTACAAATTGTACGTCTCTACAATTATTTTTAATTACATTACAAAAAATTTGAAAATAATGAAACTTTTTTTAATAAATTTGTGGTTTTTTCATATACATTTCTCAATTGTAATGAAAATTACAAGGAAAATAAAAAATTGCTCTTTACAATGCATTTACTAAATCCAAAATGATACAAAAAGCTCACTTCGATGTTTGATTAGAACAATATGTATTTATCAATACATAAATTAATAATAATTAAGCTTATGTTTAATATAAATGTGAAATTATTTATGAACAATCATATACCAATATACAATTATAATAATTGGTTGTATAATTTTTAATTTTGTAATACCTTTACTTGTATTACATATGTCAAATATATCAGAACTATGTAAGTCCCTACTTAAATAGAATTAATATACATTATAAAATAGATATTAAATTAGCAAACACTTCTTTTTAATTTATTTATTTATAAAATATATATTATTTAAAATCGGTATTTAGGTAATACAATAAATAAACAAATGTGAAAATTACTTAAATATTAAATACAATAGGTATATTGATAGTTATTATATAATACCTATATTATTTTATTTAAACAATATTGTTTTGTATAAGTAGACTTGGTACCTAGATTAATAGCCATTAAAAAAATAATTATTATATAGGTAAAAGTGTATGACTACAATTATAGTCAATAACAGGTTATAAAGTTGTTATTATAGATATTTCTTGTGTTTCGTGTTAATACTTAATTTCGAATAAAAATCATCAATTCTCATTCATCCCAAATTATTAAATACCCAGATGATAATTGGTATTTATAAGTTTAAGTAGATACCTACATATTTTTTTTCTAAAATTATACAATTATGAATAGTATGGGTAATGGGTTTACCTGTAAGCAAAAGACATGCATTGAAAGAGATTGTTTAGGGATGTTTTTGAATTATTTATATCAGCCCGCGTTAATATTTCTTCAGATACGGGTACTGCTACTTGATATTCATCATCTTGGGCTTCAGCCTCAAAATTTGAAACCATAAATTGTCCTGAATGTATGTTCTCTTTAGTGATGTTTGTTTGAGACAACATCGCGTATGTATATATATATATATACGAATATATACATATACATATATATATATATATATAGGTATAGGTATGTATATGTTTATATTTATTTTTAGATTATCGAATTCACCTCATGTTAATAAACTATATGTACAAAAAAATAAATAAAAATAAGAAATAAAACCGTATCACCTGCATATTATTACGTATACATCACACATCTACGACTGCCCGATAAGCTTAGGTTGCGTTCTTGTTCGACGTTTGAACGTGTTTGAACTCATTACGTACGTTCAACAAAAATGTTTCTTAAAATAATCAAATAACATACATAAAAACAAGAAAAAAAAACAATTTGTATGATAGACACATGGCATAGTAGATAAAATCTATTTTGTGATAGGTACCTTGGGTACCTACGTAAATTGTGTAAATGTGATATTTATTCCGCCACCACGGATTATATTAGATAGATTAAATGACGCTTACATGCGCGTGTATTTGATAAGAAAAAAAACACCTGTTGTAACGCAACGCTATGCTTAATATGTGCATTGTCTATTGAACTAATATTTTTCAATACCTAATTGGAAAGATACTTTTAGCATTGATTAGTCTATAGTCTATTCCATAATCAATGCTTATAGTAATAACTCGTTACATTCCTGGGTTCCTTATTTTGCTTTTCGTTTTCATTTCAATAAATTTTTTAAAAATCGTATTACTCTTAAGTTTCTACTACTCAACACTCATTTAAAAATTATTAAGAATGCTATATCAAAATTGTCTATAATTGTTTTAGGTACCTAAATAATATTTATTTGTATTTTAGAAAGTTCTAAATATTTTTAGAAAATTAATAAATAATATTGTTATTTCCTCTGGTGGTACAAATTTAATTAGATAGTACATTTAATTTATAAGCGATATAGTATATTTAGGTAGGTATGTACCGATGAAAAATAAGCGAAGATTTTTTTCTTAAGTTGGAAAATGCATATCTAATAATAATGCATGTTTTTTCATAATTTATAAGTATATTTTAGTCGTAAAATATTCCTATAGGTATTGTTATAATCACAGGTAAAAGTTCCTTGGGTCTAATTTTTGCTTTGTTTGATAAAATCGAAATATGTTGCATAGCAACCAAAGGCAACTCTTAAAAGCTATATAGGTAGACTGCCTAATGTGCATGTGTAATATTCTACAATAACAGTGCCCTTAAACATTTATTAAATATTAGATACAACCTACATAAATGATAAAATAGGTAACGTTAAGTAGATATTTGATTGTAGTTCAAAAATCCCTAGATATTCATTATAAATTTTGATTCGCTATAATACTATTTATTTAATGTTATTCATTCGATTACCTACATATCTTAACACTATGGATGTATACGAAACTTGGGAAGATCAAGAAATCCAATTTGATTTGAGTGTTAAGTATGTTAAATCCATTTTACGATTTACGTGTTTCTTTTTATATGTAATTAAAGTACGTACCCACTTTGATATATAAATTTGACACGTATTATAATATTTATTAGTCTACGAAAATTAATACGATTAAGTATTTTATAATTGAACTATATACGTAGTAGCCAATAGGTACCTACCTACTTTAAATTGAATTATTTTGCTATTTAATAATAATAAAATACCTATATTTTATTATTTTTAATAGGACCGATCAAAGGTAAATCGAAATACCTATGAGATAACTTACTCCTTATAAGTCAATACCACCTAATTCCTTCAGTGGTGTAATCCGAGGTTTTAACAGGGGATTTAAACATAGTTTGTAGTTTTTATTAAGCGGTGGGGGGTACCTTAAAAAAATTACTTCATTAGGGTAAAACTATGAAAAATTAACTTTCTTTTAGTAAATAGAGGACTAAACCCCCTCGAAATTATCTTTTAGTTACCTATCTACTCTAATACATTCTTTATTTTCTAGTTACTTCACTTGCCCATTTGACATTTAAGCATTCTCATCTATATTTATCTATTGCTTTACCCATTGGTAGTTCTGTCTACAGTCAAACATTCATACATGTCATACATGTGGGGGGTCTTATCTGTAGATAATAAATTATCTATTATCTTTCTTTAATACCTATAGTCTTACCACAGTTTTGTGAAATTTATCTTTCAGCCTAACTGTAATTTTCTTAGCACACTTGAAATCTTTCTCCACTTCATTATACTAATTTTAAGTCTTAATCTTATGATTTTTAGGTTCACACTCCCCTCAAATCCTGACATTGTGTGAAATTAAAATTGTAGTCATCTATTCACAGAGGCCACACTCTATCATAGCCTGCTTCTCCTGGAACCGGCCATCATTTAATTTGTTTAGGTGCCTACCTAAACAAACCTACAGGTCGTTACATTTAAAGAATTAGCCCCCAGAATTAGAGATCTAGTTATGCGTATTTATCTACCATTGGTAGATTTCTAATCTTAAACAAATATCTATTGTATATTAAGAATAAAATAACCTAGGACCATTAAAATATGTTAATATCTTTTCAAAATGTTTGTCTTTGCATTGTTCATAATACCTAGGAACCCACTTTTATTAGGTAGGTAGGTAGGTATTAATATGCTGATCGCATAAGTAGTTTTTAATAAAATTAATGTTGTCTTAAGCAAAGCTTTGAAAATGAGAAATGGAGAAAAAATAATAGATAGACTAGAATTCATTGAAGACACAAAAGGAAATAGTGGCGATAAAGGAGTATTAGTTATAACAAATTTAAGAGCAATTTGGCATTCTATGACTTTTGCAAGAGTAAGCTTATGTAAGACCATTAATACATTATTAATAATATTGTCTTTATAATATATACTATACTGTATATGTGTGTACCTATAGCAATTGGATATAATTGTATACAAGATATTTCAACAAGAATTGTAAATTCTGTAAGTTCTGAAATAGAAGAAATTGAATTATTTACCTATAAGTTAAATATTTCAGAGATTAAAAGGAATAACAGAAGCAATTTACATTCAAGCTAAATATAATGCATTAAGATATGAGTTTGTTTTTACAAATTTGATTCCTGGCAATACAAGACATTTTACATCATTCATTGGTGTTTTTAAGTACCTATAAAAATAAAATCTAAAAATGTTTATAATTTTATAACTCTCAATAACTGTATATTTCAGAGCCTATAATTCGAGTAGACTTTACAGGGAACTGAAACTTCGGGGAGCCATATTAAAAAATGGACATTTAAGACTATTGATGTTTGAGAAAATGTATTCTACTGTTAATGGTGTGTGGAATTTATCAAGTGAACAGGTGAAATTAATTATTATTACATTGTAAATAAAATCAAAAAAAGGTTAGGTTAGGTTCTTAATATTCATTTGTATACAATTTGTAATTTATTATTTATTAGGGAAATTTAGGTGCATTTATAGTAACAAATATTCGACTAGTGTGGTTTGCAGAAAGCAATGAGACATTTAATATATCACTTCCATACATCCATATAAACTCTGTATGTAACATTTAATGTTTCAAGTAATTTAATTTAGATTAATTTAAATATTCATTAATTAGATTAAAATCAGGGAATCCAAATTTGGTGAAGTGCTGGTAATAGAAACTAATGGATATAGTGGAGGTTTTACACTTGGATTTCGAATTGATCCTAAAGATAGATTACGAACAATCACTAAAGAATTATCATCATTGTTTCGTATTCACGCTCAATTACCAGAATTTGGAGTACATTTTGTAAATGTTGATGAGGTTAATTTGCCACATAAATATATAATCATTTTGATAAATTGGAATTATACTTTAATTACCATAATTTAGGTGGATAACAATGAACCCATTCAAATACAACCTACAATTTCAAATGATTATGATGAATTTGAAGATGAAAATACTATAGGTGTATCGAATACTTTAGCGGCATACAGTGTAAGTAAAACTGGTAAAGAAGATGGATTACCACACTATGATTCATCATTAGGATTAGCTGTTGAAACATTGCCAGAAGGTTATACAATAGCATCACTATGGGAAGTTATACCAAATACTAAAAGAGAACAATAAATACATAATATGAGAAATGTATTATATTTTATAATTATAGGATAACTTTTAATTTATATGATAAGGTTACAATAGATTTAATAATTTGCTTCAGCATACTAATCTGTATGAAATGTAACGTCCAGCAGTTTCAGAGTTCCTTACAATTTTTACCACCTATTAACAAAAATAATATAAAAAATTTAATAGTGTACATGTAATAAATGTATTAATTATTTTTATTATAACAAACATAGCAACAATATTCATTTAAGGTTATTGGAACTAAAGTATATTTTGTACAAAAACATTCCTTATGGGAAAAAATCTCGTAGATCATTTAATTGTTTTTTTTTTCTGAGCGTAACGAGGGATTTATTAGTTTTACTATGATATGCACTTTTGTTTTTTATTTTTTTGTATGTGTCTGAGAACAACTTTTCAAATAGAAAACTTGCCCAGTTGTATCAAATGTAGCATCTATTCTAAAAATTGTTTATCTAGTTAGGTGCATTGGGGGAGGTAATTTTTTTGGTTTTCCAAGGGGCTTTGAAAGGTAAGGAAACTGGAAAAATAACGAATAATTACAACCTACAGCAAACTTAAAGATATAATTTTTTTTAATTTTTTGTACCAGTCTTTTTTTTTAATCTCATTTTTCTAAGATTAAGATTCACAAAAATACAGATTAATCAAAACTCATAAATTCATTGCAATCTATTAAGCATTAAACTTTTTTAACTAAACATTTGTACCCCTTCTCCCTAAATGAATAACAAGCAGTATATTAATTGAAAAGTTTTACCACCTTATCTTTAAAGTGGTCATTAAAATGTTAAAAGTAATTATAAAATTAGAAAAACAACTCAGACAGACAGCCTTAAAATTATATTTTATCAACATGACATATAGCATGTATATCATGTATAACCTTTGATGTTTGGTCAATTTTAAATTTTTTTATGTTTATATATTAATTCTATTTACATATTATGAAGTCCAGTTTAACTTTAATAGAACATAAATACTAAAATATAAATAACTAATCATCAAAATTAAATTTAAAATATTAGTAACAGAATAATTTTTAAGTGGATACATAATACTACACTTATAGATAATGTTTTTAATATAATTAATTCATATTTCTTTTATTAATCTAGTTAACGTACATAGTATGCTACTAAGATAAAATTATCCTTTTCTTACCTGTCCTCTTTTTAAACCAAAATAACGAGCTACTGGATCACCCACTTGGATTCTCATTAGCTGGTTTTCTTTCAATTTACTAATTTATTTTAGTTAAGGAAAATCGATTAGATACATAATATAAATTTAGCAAATTAAAATTACATAAATATGTAAACACATTAAAGAAAATAGATATTATAATTTTGCAAAATGTTCATAGAATCCAATTTAGTAATGTCCACGCCAAAAATGTACAATATTTGAATAGAAGTCTTCTAATTTCATTAATCAATTTATAATAAATACATTTTATCTAAAAAATATGTTTAAACTAATAAATAACAGTTCATTATAAATGTATAACCATCAACAATTGAATAACATAAAATAATTCTTAATTTAACTTTACTAATGCTTTGGAAAATAATAGACAGCAAAAGTTATTAAAAAATAACCAAAACAGCATAAAGTTTAAGACACCTGATATGTTGAAAAAAAAAATTAAAACTAAAATTAAATATTTATAAAAGGATACTATCTACACAAAAGTTCTTGCTTCTCATCTGGTGTCAAAACAATATGTTCGGGTACTAATTCGTGTTCAGTAATATTAATTAGAAGTTCAGATTCCAAAAATTGTTCTAATATGTATTTTGGAGCCATATCAACTAAAGACTACATAGAAATAAAATAGTTTATTAATTAACTCATGTGAGCTTAGTTTGAATATATTATATAAAATAATGTCTATAATATATATTTTTAAATGTATATAATAAGAGAATGAGACTGACTACAATGATCATTGTGTATTTTTTCGGGCCAAGCAAATGCTCATCAAATGCAAATGTTTAACACATGTGAACGAAATACAAATGGAAGATCTCATTATCTTATTATACATATAATATATAATACCTACATAAATAAATAATTTATGTTTAATTTAGTACTAATATTATTGGTTAAAATAAAAACATACTTGTTTGGCACTTGGAGTCATTCCTTGTTGAACGACAATAATTGCTCGAGTAATAGTTTCTTCTTGCATTCTTTGACAGTAGGTTTTAATAGTTTTTATACCAATTTTTGGTTCTTCCGGGAAAAAAACAAACATTTGATCTGAAATTTAAAATGAATTGCTGTAATACAAATTAAAACGCATGTTATTTATATTACCTGTAGGGTCATCATTGTGTGCCACAAGAACAATTAAATCACTACGACTAGGCCTTTTTTCGCTATAAAAAAATGAATTTAATATAAGTAATCAAAAACTTAAAAAGTAAGTAATTTATAGATTTAAAATTTGTTTAAACCTTGGTTTATCTCCAAACTGTTCTTTAAACTGTTCCAATGTCTGATCCAATTCATCTTGAGTGACTAAATAGCCTCTGTCATGACAAAGCTAATGTAAAATATAACAAATCAATAAAGAAATTAATTTTTATAAAAATTGAGTGGTATCTTCTTACACAATAAATATTATAATAAAGTTTAACATATATTATTTTTAATTTGAATACTTATTTATCGATTTATCAAGAAAATAGTATTAAGATATGAATAAATATAATTTAAAGCATTTTTGGTTTAAAATATTCTAAATATTCTAAAAAAATTATGTGAAAAGTGATTGAAATTAACATAATTTAAAAGGGCACTGTATGTATGTAACAGGTTCTAGTAAACTAATAATTCACTTACAAATAAGTCATGCTCATTACAAGTTGTATTCACATTACCTGCATAACTGTTTTTCGGATACGCCATAGTTTATAGCTCTCGCATTCATCGTCCATTTTTTCTGTTAGAGAATTGATTATTGATTAATCACCCTAAAGGGGGTTTCCAATAAACTGTGCACTGTGTCCCATGTATTTTATATCGCACGCCGTCCAAAAATTTTATATCACACACCATCCAGGGAGCATATAAGCAAAGCGTACATTACTAGAGAACCCTATGAAAATCCTGTTCTCTGATTGGCTCTAATCCCAATGAGATAACAATTTTATTATAAATTAGTAAAAAGTGTTTTATACAATTGTATTTTATTCTATTATTTTATTATTAGTTATCAGTTTGTATAAACTATTAAGTTTTTTGTTTTATTAAAATACATGCCGTTCAAATAACTATTATTAAAATACCATTAATATAAGAATTAGGTTAAATATAACATGTATGGAAGAAATTGTTTAGGTAGGACAATTTGGTACGCATTAAATTTAATATTTAAATATTATTTAATTTTTCAGTATAAAATATTGTTTTATAATTAAATACACTATTCCATAAGCTACATACAAAATTTAAACATGAAGAACACTCATTAGATGAAAAATACATTACAAAATTTGAGATATAGGTACATGACATTCGTACTTAATCATTTTTGCCCTCACAACTATGCATATTGTATAAATCACAATACTTTGTTTTCATTGTCTGTTATTATTGTCACATATTATAAAGATAATTTTACTTATTTACAAATCACTTAAAACAAAAAAAATTTAGGTATAGTAACTAAAAAATAAAAATAAATTATAATAGAATTTTTAAAAATTAAAATCCTATTGCTATAAATAAACAAAAAATTATTAAAATATGAATTAAAAATTAATGTCTTTAGTGTAATACAAAAAATAAAAAACATAAATAGGTAATGTAAAAATTGTTTGTATGCTATTAAAATTTTAAAAGGATTCATGACTTTTAGCATTTGTTTGATTTAAATTTATATTTAATCTTAAGTTTCATATGTTTCACTTCATTGTTAGCTGGTAAATATCTAAGGCTGTTTTCTAATTTCTGCTGTCTTGATAATATGTGTATGGTTGTTGCATATTTTTATACAACTCATTAAACCTTTCTGTAGAAAATAATAAAAGTTTGAATTTATCAATATGAAACAATAATAATACAAATAAATCAATTCCAAATGTAAATTTTGGTACTTTTTTGTTATTGCCCTGCTAGTGTCTAAATTTGAAAGCTGATTAATATAATAACACAACTACCCAAATTTATATATTGATGAGTAAACTAAATTCATTCTTAAATAACATATTGTAATTTTTATATTATATATTTAAAAAATTATTTTAAAACTAAATTTAACTGTGTATTTTATACTATTAAAGCAACATATAATGTTTTATTACAAAAAAAATTTAACATAATATATAACAGTAATACAAATGTATTGTACACCCCTAAGGCAAAAAGTACAGTTTAACAGAATAATAAAAAAAATAAAAAAAAAAAATAAAAACATTGTCACAATTTATTACATAATTAATTTCAATTGATTTATACTATGAAAAAAGAAGTCAAAATCTTTAGTTTTATTACAATCTATAAGCATTATATCTAGAGGTTTATATGACTGTAATTTTGACGGTGGTGAGTAATGATAGGGATTCCATAGTACAGATTCATATTCAAAAATTGGACAAACTAAAGTACAATATAATCATTTCTAATTGAGCATAACATGTAATAACACCAACAAATCACAAACCCCAATAAAATTCCTAAAATACAAATTGTCAGTTCGCTTTCGACTGTTCACAACGCACGCATTTTAAATACTCTCAGTTTTTTTTTCTTTTTGCTCTAAAACACCTCACATAGTTGTACTTAGTATCAAAAAAGACAGGGAACCGACATAGGCATTTCTTCCTTCAACACATCAAATTTACTTCAACCGTTCCGGCTAAAATTGCAAAACTTTGGTAATTATAATTACTCAATTATATAATCGTTAACTCCTATCACAGTTTTGCGCTCCCCGGCCATTAGCCGGCGGTGGCCTTCTATTGAAATTACATCATAAGTGCGATAAGCGCACAATCTACGAAAAATGAATACAAAAAAAAATATCACAAAAACCAATTCTACTTCTTATAATTGCACACAGGGTGACTCTAAACGATGTATTCGAAAATTTGTCTGAAAACTCCGATAATCATTTCGTTTTCCAGCGGAATAAAAGTAAGAATAAGCGTAATCTCTCAACTAGAGAATCTCCCAAAACAAAAAATAATATTAAACCTCTAATCGCAACTACAAATAGATTTTCATATCTTACTGTTGATGCAGTAGACATTACACTTAACAATCCGACCAAATTCCTGTCAATGATGAGGTCATAACTCCGTCACCACCACCAATAATAGTCAACGGCACAATTGACTGTAGGTTTCCGATCAAAATTAATCGAATTAATTGTTACAGAAAATTTCCTATTCAAATCCTCCTCAAATAGTTTAAAAAATTACAACGAAAAACTCCGACTCGTATAGAACGGTTATAAAATTCTTGAATGACGAAGGTGCTGAATATTACACCTACTTACAGCGCGAAAACAAAGCGTTTTGTATAGTAATTCGAAATCTCCACTCTTCTACTCCAACAAATGAAATTGGAATCGCAATTCAAGAATTAGGTTTCACGGTTCGAAAAGTACTAAACGTCCGACATCAGATCACTAAACTTGCTCTACCGATATTCTTTGTAGATATTGAACCTGCCCAGATAAACAAAGATATATTTCATATAACATCTATTCTCCACACCTAGATAAAGATTGAAGAGCCGTCGTAAAATAATACAATATTTAAATTGTCAAAAATATGGACATTCAAAAAGCTATTGCTCACACCCACCTCGCTGTATTCGACTTGTCCTCCTTGTGTACCAAAACTAACGATTAACCTCCAACGTGCGCTCTCTGTGGCGGAAATCACCTGGCAAACTACCGCAGATGTACAGTCCACAAAGATATACAAAAATTCCATAGTGGCTCAAAAACCAGGTTTAAAAATAATGTGAACCCAACTATCTCTGTAAATGGAGGAAAAGATTCTGTTGATGAAATACCCTCAGATCCGCCGAATTGTAATCTCAATGACATCAAAACATTCCTAAACCTTCCTCATAATCATACTTAAAACATAATCCCAAATAAAAATTAGCATAAACTCGGCTCATTCCCAGAAAATAACTTAACATCTCAACTTTCATCCTTTATAACAGAACTAAAATCAATAATTAATCCTCTAATTCAACTTCTCACAACTGTCATAAACCAATTGATTCAAAAAAATGACAAATAGACAAACAAACATAAATTCTCTCAACATATTCTTCTGGAATGCAAATGGGCTTAAACGACATGAACCAAATTATTAAACCTTTTTATTGGAAAACATATCGACATCGCTTTAATCTCCGAAACACACTGTACCCCAATCTCCAAAAATTTCTTTCCTGGATACAGAATATACAGAACTGATCATCCCGATGGTACTGCTCATGGCAGATTTGCTATCATAATATCATCAAAAATACAAAGTCAACCCTTACCTAATCTCCAGACAAATACCATCCGTCTTATAGCTACAGCCCCTTGGTACATAACAAACAAAGCGCTACACAAAGACCTACGATTTGATACCGTTTACCAACTAGCCAAAAAATGCTACACCAAATTCCATACAAAACTACAGCACCATCCAAAACCTCTCATCCAGCACTTATCTTCAGTTACACTCCCTGAACCCCCCCCCCACCGTCTCAAAAGACGTTGGTGTCGAGATCTATTAAACTAATTTAAATTTTGCGTTCTGCAGGGTTCTATCATTGGATATCCTCCCTCATCAAGCTACCATGTTATTGTTATTTATTTTATGTACAAAGTTATTATATTTACTTATTGTGTTTTTTTTTTTGTGAATACAGATTGTAAGTTTTAAATTAAAAAAAAAAAAAAAAATACAAATTTTAAATTGAGGTTAGCAAGTTTCATTAATAAAAGTCATAACATAATTTTATATACTAATGATTTAATAGTATACAAATACATTTTACACTATTAACATTTTTTTTTTTATAGGACACTAAGACTGTTAAATTTTTAATTCATCTCTTAATTTTGTTCATTTAGGTACTTAAACAATAACTGTTTTAATTTTTAAAAAACTAATCAGTAACACTAAAGTACATTATTTGTTAATGTCATAAATATCTTTATAATATGGGACGTAAAAAATAACAGACAATGAAAACAAAGTATTATGATTTATTTATTTAATAGATTGTGAAAGTGGAAATGATTATGTATGAATGTGATGTGTATCTCAAATTTTGTATTTTTTTTATTTTCATCTAATGAGTGTTCTTCATGTTTAAATGTTGTATGTAGCATAATATGGAATAATGTATTATTATTATTTATGAAACAATAGTTTATATCCTGAAATAATAATTTGATATTAAATTTAATATTTATTTATTTGGCAGGTACTGAAATAGTAGAAATACATACCTATTATCAACAAATAATACTATGACCTACATTATTTAAAAATTAAACTGATATTCATGTTCAATATTCTATAACGAGAAATGATGATGAAATTTAGTTTTAATCATTTTCTCTGTTGACAATGAAACTAAACGTCAAAATTTAGTAAGTTGATGAATAAACAGACATGTAAACATGGAACACAAACAAAATCACAAACTCCAATAAAAAGTCTGTAACATAAATCAAAACATTTATTATACCAACCAATTAAATATTGTTTATACTTGATAAATGAATCGGTTTTTTTAGTGGTAGTAAAATTAAGTTTTACTGTAACATTAACAGTAGCTGAGCAATTAGCACTTTTGGATAATCCTTTTTTATTTAAATCAGGTTTTTTAAAACTACTATGTTATAAAAGAAACTTTATATTAAATAAAAATAATAATTAATTTTAATAAGTGCATATTATAATATTTTAATACAATTTATAAACGACATGAGCACACAATTAGTTTGCTATTCGGAATACTGGAACGATAAATCCAATTCATATAATTCAACTCACCAAATTTGGAAATCCAATTATTAATATCTTCTATAGAATTAATATTTGATCTAATATGAACTGTATTACCAATTTCTTCAACTACTTCAATTAAATAGGACTTTGTAAATATAATTTTCGGATTCTTAATAATAAAAATAATATGGATAAAATTTAATTACACAAAACACTTTTTAGTTTTTATGAAGTTCTAATGTCTAACTGATTACTAATAATATCTGATAATAAATTTGTTATTTCATTGGGATTAGAGCCAAGTTCCAAGAGAACAGGATTTTCATAAGGTTCTCTAGCAATGTACGTTTTGCTTATATGTCCAGGGAGACTAACAGTTGTTCGAAAAATTATAAGAGCCTAGAGTACAGTAATTTTGAAATGTTGCTATTATCAACATAATATTTTCTATTTTTAATATAAAATAATTTAACATTTTAAATGTGTTTCACTGATTTCATCATTTATACAATATGCTATTATCTCTGAAGTCATAATAAAACCTTATAAACTTAAAAAATGTATTTAATCTGTACTATCTATACATAAATAACTAAATAAAAATGTATTTATTTCTTGAAGTAAAGTTTGTTGTGGGGTAAATTAGTTATCATAAATTTCAAATGATTTAAATAACATCAATCTGTATAATAAATCTTTAATTTTATTATAAAATAAATTATTTTTCGGACATATGGTTATTAATAAATTTTGTTTAATATTATAGTTACATAATTAAGGTAAATTTAATTTTTACAATTAATTTAACAAATATTCCAACTAGTATCTATAGTAATCTTTTGTTTCTTTGTTAAAAGGTTTTTCTTGACAAAATATTCTAGTATTATATTATTATTGTTCTAGCTTTTGCTTATAATTACTGTTAAACAAAATAATGTGAAAACGTTTTTGACAAAAATTAATTTAACCTACAACTGTATCACTAATAGTAAAAAAATTACTTTAACAGCATTTAATAGCATAATCCGTATATCAATACGTTATCATAACATTTCAAATAATTGAGATATTTTATTCTGTTACGTTGGTGTACGTGTAGACGGTTAGTGATAAAAATGTTTTATCATTTTTGAACAAACTACCCGGCACCCGATCTGAACACATGACAAGTTGTGAACGCCATATGTTTATGTTTAGATCGCTATTTTAAAGAAGATGGCATTGATAATATAATCTATTCTACAATGGAATACTGATAAAATTTTTATTGAATTTGGTTTCATTTTCATGTTATTACCTATATAACTTGCACAAAAATTGATTCTTTTTCGTTCTTAATTAAAATTTTAACTCATTGTAAACACAATGTACAAGATACCACAATTAAAAGCCGTGAGTTGTATGGATTTATTACTAGACATAACAAATAGGCAAAACTTTATTTAGAAATATAATTTTAAAAAAGTGTTTCCCTTTGCAGGTCGGTTCAATTTTGGCAAGGTCTAAGACTGCAAATTTTCAATTAGTTGGCCATCGTCTACAATCAATAAACACATCCACCAATGATGTCAAACCCAAGTAAAAAACAATTTAAGGTATAAAATTTAAAAAGTTTTCAATGTTACTTGCTTTTTAGATCACAATTTGTATTTTACTTAACAAGCACTGTATTTACTGGTGTTGTGGGTATAGCAGCCACTGTTGTTTATTCAAAATATGATCCTAACTTTCGAAAACTTATAACTAACAATATACCAGGTTCAGATAAGTTCATAAAAATATGTTTATTTGAAGATAAAGAAATTGTAGATCAAAGTAAGAAATTAGGAGGTCGTATTGTTTGTAAGGTAGCACAACAAGTAAAGACAATAAAGGAAAGGCAAGTTTGATTTTTTTCACTTATACTTTAATCAAACCACATTAAAAATGGTATCAATTTATTTTTCTAGTGTTGGTGTTCAATCGGATAATTTTGTTAACAAAACTATAGATCAAAGTAACTAAATTGCTAATTTATAAATAACTTTTAGTGCTATTAATCATGGCTTTATTTATTATTTATTTTTACAGTACATTAAAATAATACTGCATAATATTATCTTTTTTATTATTAATTGTTTTTAATTTACTTTTTATTTTAGTTAAATCTGTTACAAAGAGTTTACCTGTTTCTGTTCCTTTGGTTTTAAATAAAAAAGAAAAAGAAGGTAAAATCTGAAATAACATTGAACTATTATGTATAATTTACTATACATTTTATATTTAGCAGAGCCACAACAGATTATAAGTAAAAACCAAAATGAATCTGTTAAAAATTATACAGAAAAAACAAAATCTAAAGGTATATTTTTCTTGCTTTATTTATCGCTATTAACTTTTTTTTTTTTAACTATTTTAAAATAAACAATTTGTAAATTAGTAATTACAATAATTTGTGGGCGAAAATAAATTATGGCTTGATATTGGGTTTAGTTTAATTTTGATAAGGTTTTATTTTCTTTTTCCTATAAAATTAGGTCCCAACACCATTCTCCCTTAAAATGTGAGGGGGATGGCCAATAATGGTATCTGAATTTAGCGTGGAAATTAAGGGATTTGGGTGATTTGTTAGTCGAGAGTGGAAACGTTTGTATAGTACTTTTGCAGTTTCTTCTACTCTATTTGTTTTTAAGTCAGTATGAAGGGTAAGATTTGAAACGTATATTAGGGTATTTGTGATCATATGAAGACTTATGGATTGAAAGGTCTGAATTTTATAAATATTTGATTTTTTGGCAGCACCCAATAGTTGAATGCCAAATGGGCATCAATAGTTGTATAGAGGAGTAGTTTAGTTTTTATACTGAACTTAGAATGTTTATCGATTAAGTAATGCAGAAATGTATGCCTTGAATTGAGAAGAAGCCATTTACTTTTAACATTAGCTGCCAAGGTTAAACACTGGTCTAGTATTAAGTCTAAGTAGCAAGAGCTTGTAGATTTTGGGTTATTATGTCCATTTAAGGTGATAAGTGGAACTATTCCATGCTTTAAGGTGAAAGTCAAATGTACAGGTTTATCATGGTTAATTTTTATTTTTTACTTAGAGTACCAAGATGACATTAGGTCTAAATGATTTTGTAGATTATAATCAGCAGTTACTGGATCAGCGTTTGAGGAGTAGATTATTTTATCATGTGCAAAATCCGTAACAAAAGTATGAAGTGTTGTTGTTTGGTTAGCCGAGTATAGGTTGAACAAAATAAGAGAAGAAATTTTTGTGAAATAACTGTCTTCAAGGTACAATTTAAAGAATAAATAGTAAGGAGGGGGTAGTATATTTTTTAGCTTTTACAAAAGGCCAGGGTTTCAAACTTTGTCAAACACCTGGACTACGTCGAGAAGGAAGGCTGAGCAGTTTCCTTTAACTTATTTATAAAAATTATTTTATTGAAGAAAATGTTGATAACCCGACCCCAGAACCAGCCATTGTAGTTACTCCACCCCGTCAATATACATTGGATGAACTAGAAACTGAAATCCTTCAAAAATCTTCAATGGCCATTGCTGCTTTGAAAATTGCTACTGAAGCAATTAAAGGTGGGTATATTAACCAATTAATAATTTTTTCAATCTATATTTTAATATTTTAAAATAAAAATAGAATATTCTAAAAATATGTTTAATCTCATTGAGAGTGCAACAAAAAAGATTGACCCGAATTTCAATATTAGTCTTCAAAAGCTTGAAGATAGAAAAAATGAAATTTATACTAAAGCATTTGAAGATTTCAAGAAATATGGGTAATACCAATTTTATTTATATGAGCCATAGAGTATTTTTAATAAAACATTTCTAAAATTAATTACAGAAAAGAAATTGCTGAAAAACAAAAACTTTTAAATAATTCTAAATTTGAGGAAAGTCCTGATAGACTGGCCAAGTCTATACATAAAACAAATGAAGCATTGGAAGAACTGACTCATGCAAATTTATCATTGGAAAATGAATATTATAATTTGGATTACATAAAAAAATATGCAACTAATGTTAATGAAGCACAGACAAGTTTGATAGTAAATTAATTAGGTATATATACATTTAGAAATAATAGATTAAATGTATATTTTTAATTACAGAAAGAATTTGAGTCCTTATTTCCTGATTCAGACCTAACTCAACATAAAATTAATATAAAAAATAATGATTTTGATATTTTTCTTCTGTATTCATTAAAAAAACTAAATTATTATCAAGACAAACTTTCTAAACAAGAAGTAAATACTTAGTATATTTTATTTTATGGTCTATTAACAAAATAAATGTACATGATTTTTTTTAATATAGGGAATTCTTGATCGTAAAATTAATAATGCAATGAATACAGAATTTTTGAATATTGAAACTATAAATGAGATCAATTCCCGTTTAAATTCAGAAATATATAAATTGGAAGAACAATTTAATAAACAGGTATAAATTATATTTATATCTTATTTCTTACCATTTAATTAGATATAATATTTATAATGTACATCCTGTACTGTTGATTTTTGCTTTTTTTTTTATTAAAATATATCTATACATTTCTCAGTGGTGGCTACCTTTTATCTCAAGAGTATACATACTACTAATACACATACTTTATTGGTATAAATTCTTTTCATTCTTTTCCTGTGCCCTTCATTATATGATTGTAATATTTATAATAGGAATTATGCTAATATAATATAATATAATAATAGCATATGATTAATTGATAATTATGTAAGAGATGTAGATGGATAGGTTTTTATAAGGATTTTAATACACATAATAGATTGATATCTTTGATTTCTCATTTCTCATCTAAGATTTTTTTTGTGTGTGTGCTATTAAAGGTTCTAATTTTTAAATATTCAAATAAAGTCTATCTATAATATTCATTTGTTTGATAATAATAAAGTAACATCTTAAAATATTGTTAATTTATTTGAGAACCTTTATTCATTTTTAGTTGAATGAATTCGATGTTAAGGTTGGTGAAGACCTTCAGGTACAATTAAAGGCAAACGCTCAAGCACATGCAGATCTTGTAGCTAAAGCAGTAGACTTTACTAAAGAAGAATTTGAAAATCAAGTACATGAAGAACTATCAGCTTTAGAAAAATTAGAACACCAAAAATATCAAGCACAGTTAGACTTATTAAAATCTGAACTTCAAAGTGTAGTTAATAATTTAAAAGGTAATTAAAAAGTACATAATTTAAAAAAAAAAAAAAACAGTTAAGAAATTTAGTTTATAAATATATTTTAGAACAAGCAACAAACGAGAAAAAAATATTTACTAATCAAGCAATTTGGGAAGCAGGTGAATTTTTAAAATCTTCTCTTGCTAGTTCGGATAATGAAGAACCAATTGATATAAAAAATCAAATAAATGCTATCAACAAATTAGGAGGTATTAATCAAATTATTCTGTTATTAAGTAATATATGTATAATATGGTTTTTTTAGCATCAGATTCCGTAGTAAAACAAGTAGTAAGCGCTGTTCCATCTAAAGCTCTAGAAAATGGTGTTTATTCCAAAGGCCAATTAAAAGAAGATTTTAATCAAGTTGAAAAAAGAGTGTACCAAACAGCTCTTATACCTGATGACAGTTTCAGTTTACCATTAATGGTATTCAGTTACTTTACTAGTCTTTTTGTCATTCGTCATTCACATATTTCACCCAGTGAAGTAAACAATGAAGAATTTGATCCCTTAGAATTAAATACATATGAAATTATTGAAAGGGCTAGGTAACTATTATACCATTTAAATAATATTATCAAAATATATATCTAATATATCATTTGTTGTTATTGTTATTCAGATATTGTATTGACAGAGATGATATTTTACAAGCATTGAAATATTTAAACTTGCTATCAGGTTGTTCACGAGTTGTTGCTAAGGAATGGATGAAAAAAGCCACTGTATTTTTAGAAACAAAACAAGCGATTGATTTGTTAATATCTTACACTACAGTCATATCTTATTCTGCTGCTCATACTATTTAAATAGTGAATTGTTATGTTGATGTAATACGCAACTACGTAGTTACATATTTAATGTTTCTATTTACATAATTTATTGTATTTATTGTGAGTTTTGTTATTTGCTTTCCTTTATTTCATTGTAAATAAAATATATAATAATAGCACACTAATAATTGTTGTAATTTGTTAATATTAAGTAAATGATTTTCAATAATAGGCATAGTAGGCAGTAAAAATTATAACTAACGAAAAATATATAAATACTATAGATTATATCTATTCCAGGGGATCTATTTAAGTGAGTACACTCATTATCTCAGAAAGTATTAACATTTTTTTCGAAATTAGTTTTCTAGAACATTTTAGAAAATGCAGCTCTACAATTTTATATTTATATTATTTTTGGGAGTAAAACCATTACTTACTTTTGATTTTCAAAGGGCAATCTATGTCCATAAATAGATGGAATATTGGTTAAAATAAATTTTAATGTTGACATTTTTGATTTTCGTTAATCCGTTGATGAGATATTCCACTTTTAAGATTGGATTGGAGGAGAGTAGTGGAGTATAATTTGCATGGTGGTACAATGTGTTAATAACGATTTTGAACAGAGTTCAGTTGATAGTGATGGTTTGTCAATAAAACAAGCTTTGTTTAATGTTGTATTGATTTCCTAAGTTTTCCCAGTTTTTCACATTTACTGAAAAAACTGGGTAAAATTGATAAATAACTTCTCTTAAGTATCTCTCCAAACCGATTTTCTTTTAGAAAAGGTGCTACAGGTAAAACTCAGAGCAAGTCCTCTGGTAGAAAAGTTGTCCACAAAGAATAAAAATAAACATCTTTGTAAAACCATAAGTTTCGTTCTAATGAGAATCTAAAAGAAAGACGGACCACAAAAGTTTCAATCTGGTTTATCATTTATCAAACTTCATGTTATTGTGTCACCTTTTAAGGGTTAAATTATGAGATAAAAAATAATAGTTTGATTATAATCTACCTTAGAGTAATAATCTCATCAAAATAAGTTCAGACCTGACATTTCTTAGATTAATTATGCACAAAATACTTGCATTTTTTTACCAAATTTCAATAACAATTGATGTGTAATAATGATTAAACTACTTACTTTACATCATTGTTCCCTTGCTTTTTGAATACAGAAATAGTAGTATGCTATATGTATATTCAGTATTAGTTCTTATTACCTTTCAGCGAAAAAATAAATAATATTTATTTATAGGTAGTAATACACTCAATTTTATTTATTATTAAATGATCAGTTCAATATGTAACACTTTATGTTCTGAGTTTATTTTTATTATTGTCTTTATATATAATTATTTTTTATTAATACAAGGTATAAAATTGAATACTTAGGTACAATATATTATAGTAGGTGCATTATATAATTATTATTTAACAATAAAAAATATGTAATATTTAATACTGAATAAGTACTCAGTTAAGTTATTATTTCAATATGATTTTATAAGTCAGTATCATACCAAGCAGCTACTTGATTGTTGTCTTGTGGTGGTTCGGGTAAATCTCCTAGACGACCACAATCAATATCATTAGGTATCACTACGTCCATTGGACTACAATTAGATTCTTGTTGAGAACATATTTCAAAGCCTTGCATAGAGTCTATTGGTAACGTGTCGTATCCTTTAAAATAACACAAATTATATTTAATTATACATACATCATCCATAAAAAAAAACTTATAATAAAGCAGTTGGAGATGTTAGGATAACACACATTAGATTCCCCAAAAAAATTTAATTAATTAGTACTAACATATTAATGTTTAAATGCCCTATAAAAGATCATTAAAGACCAAAATATGATATTCACGTTATATTGGTTTGATTTATATTTGTTTAATTAATATATTATTTTAAAACGGGTGGGCGACTTTAGATGGGAAGTTTTAAAGTAGTATATATTCTAATACATAGTTATTTAATTTATATCTGTGTACAACAATAAATCATTGCTCACAAAAAATCATTATGAGCAAAGTTCATTTAAACATGTTATGAAATGCTAAGATTTTTTTAAAAAAATTTCAAAATTTGAACTTCAAACAATTATACAAAAAAAGAGCTGATTGGTGCATCACTGTTGTAAGTGAGAAGTTAGGATAAATTAAGTTATTTCATTTTATATTTGTAAGCAACCATTAACCACAAAAATAAAGGAAACAGTTATTATATACATTTTCCTGTTTTTCCCAATTATTAAAAAAAATGCAAAGAAAATCAAAAGATTACCTCCCCAATGAAAACATTTTTATTTAGATGAAGATTAATTTATATATTTAATAATAAAATAATTAAGTAAAAACAAAAATAATAAAATCGTTAGTACTCATAAATAAATATAAACATTTTTTATTTATTTTATTTATATAATTAAATTGTATAGACAACATAAATGATGAGTATTGTGTACATAATATTATAAAAAATATTTAAATAAAATTTTAAAAATGTTGTTGAACAAAAAAAAAAAAAATATGAATTACTTACTGTTAGTGGAGAATTGCATGCAAAACAAGCATAAAACGTTAAAGCAAATTCAGCTATTTAAATTATACATGTATACCTGACTGTTGATGATAGTTATTGTGTCTCATTGGGCCAACTCCGTTGTGTACACTACCAAGTCTATGTCCATACAGATCATATGCGTCCTATTTATAAAATACATAAAAGTCCAACTACTAAACAAAATATAATAATAAAAACAATAATCATTCATGCTAACACTATCTAGGTGTACAAAACACCATGCATGAATTTATAAAATTATATAATAATGTATAATTTAGATAAAAAGCAAAAGTACAATTTAACTGTTTATTTCAAAACATACCTTAACAATCGATGTATGTCTATGACTAATAAAAAGTTTTTGTATTACATTAGACTTAGCAATTAGTTTAATAGGGTTTAATTACCTGGTGATCAGGAGCTGTCCCAAGATCATTAGGTGGCCATGTATTTTGATCTTCTCTGCATAGTGAATTACTCAACTCTGCTGACAATCGTTTTTTATAATCGTTAGGTTTATCTTCTGACATCCGGAATAAAACTGCTGCTGCGTAAATTGCTATACATAAAAATCATATACTATTATCTAAGATGACTCAGTCATTATTGTTTAGTTTTATATAAAATATTTATTTTCATTATTGTTTTACCTATTTAAAATTATTTATATATGGCTACCTAAAATAAGTTAATTTCCATACCATATAAATTAATAAATACAAAAAAAAAAATCAGAAAGATTAATCAATATTATCAAAAAAATATTGAGATTCACCTTAATACAAAAGTTAAAATTATTTACACTAACCAACTCCTTCATTGCGGGAATGTAATAATTCAGTTAATGGTGCTGTGGCACCTTCTGCTTCAATCATATCTGCACCATCTTTATCAATAGCCAATTCACATAGAGCACCAGCGGCGACGCGTTGAACATTTTCAATATCGTTGAACAATAACTGTACTAATACAGCAATTAATCCTTGTTGAGAACGCATAAGTACTCGATTGTGTGAATCTCGTGCAAGAATATGCAATGCACCAGTGGTACCTTCAACAATTTCTTCCATACGTACACCATCTGCATATACATCGCCAGATTGAGATCTGCCTGATCCTGCTACACTACTATTTGTAGATGTCTATTAAATAATAATAAACACAAATTATAGATATTAGATTAAAATTTGATATTACAATAATACACACTCTTTGGATATCTTGAAACGCTCTCATCAGTAAACGTATTAGATGGTGTATTGCTCCATGTTCTCTTAATGGCATATGATTACCCTGACACTGAGCTACATTTCGAATAAGCCCAATTGTAGCTTTAACAAGTGGCCAGCGAGATGGTGGTTGCAATAATTTCACTAGAATTTGAATTCCCCCATTATGACGTATAGCATTTTGTGCACTGTCAGATTCAACATGTCTAGATGTTAAATGTCTCAAAGCACAGACCTAAAATGTATTTTAGAATGTTTATTTTAAAAATAAATGTTTACATCTCTATCAAAATTTACAGCAGGTTCAGTTATTTCTTCCCGATCTCCAGCATTTATAATAGTTTGTACTAAAGCTTCAACACCCCCTACTTGAACAACAGTGACTTTATTGCGCTGATTATTACAAGTCAAATTTGATAAAATACCAGCAGCGCAAGTTACTACATTTACGTCTGAATGGTTTAACGCGATTACCAATGATTGCAATAGCTGTTCTAGTCCATCAACCTAAACATTTTTAAAAAACAAATTTTGATTAGAATCATTTACAGTTCTAGGGTAGAAGTAATAAATTTAAGAAAAGTAAATGTAAATCAGTGTGCAGTGGTATGTATTCAGGGAAGTAGTACATAGTGTTATGTTACCCACCCAAAAGGGAAGAGAAAGAAAATGATATTATTTATATTACAGTCTTTTAAAATATGTATAACTGAACTTTATTCCGAATTATCTTTTCATTAGCAATGGTTTATTATTAGTTACAAGTATAAATTAAATAACTTTTTGCATACCACCTTCACAACTACCAACCTACAACAGTGGCTACACTCAATCTTCAGTATCAGCCTCTTTTTTAAACTAAATATTAAGTAAATTGGGATTATCTTGGTAACATTTTTTGTAAGTGCATAAGCTGAATAAAATACCATCACATATCATTGGTGTGAATACATTTTTAATAAGTAATAATAAATACTTTGGTTCCAGCATCAGACAGATTACGTAAAGTCCATAAAGCATTTTGTACTAAACGTTGACTGCCATGTTGTAAATGCATTGCAAGAACTTGCATACCACCAGCTTCAACAATTGCTGGTTTATTACTTGAACACACAGACAAAACTGAAAAATAATTATGGTTATAAGTCAAACTTATAACAATAAAACAATATATTATTATGGAAAATTTAAACCTTTTAAAACTCTTGATGTAGTCCATAACAGTTTCTCATAATCATAAGAACGCATGATACGTACATGTTCAATGGATCCTTGTGAAGCAAGTATAATTAGTTTACTTTCTTGATTACCATATGCTAATAATTGTAAGCAATCTGTTATGATTGTCAAAACTTTGACATTGTTACGTTGCAAAAGTGCTACCATTTTTTGTAGACCTCCGGCAAGGCGAACTGCCATCTTTGAACCTTCTTGATGAAGCAACAAATTATGTAATGTTGTTATAGCATAGTACAGTATAGTTTCAACTGGAGAACTAAAATTAAACAAATTGATATTGATAGATTAAAATCAAACAATAATTTTAATTTATAAATACCTAAGCAATTTAACAAGAGCTGGTATTCCTCCACTTTTAAATATTGCTAAAAGACCTTGTCGATGGTGTGATAAATTGTGTAAAGTACCAACTGCACCTTTTGTGAATTCTAAATTATTATTTTTTGATAATGCTTTAACTAATGCGGCGACCATCTGTTTGTATTCATTCAACATAAAAATTAAAATAATTGGTTAAAGATTAACAACAAGTAAATTTACTTGAGGACTATTCATCAATGCATGTCTTGATGCTTCTTTTTTGGACAAATGGTGAACCATCATGGCCGCTTGTGATACAACAACTTGATCTTCATCATTCAATAATTCAATGAGTTCTGGTATAGCTCTAGTAGCCAAATCAGCATCATCCTTTTATAATAAGAATAATAATAAAAAAAAATGATTAAATTATTTTATTTGATTATACATAAAATTATTATTTTTAAAACAGTTTTTTATTTAAATTAATTTACCTGATAATTAATCAAATTAACTACAGCATGTTTAAGCATTTGACTTGGCTCGGCCAATCGTTGGACAGCTGTTAATTGTCTTTGATTGAATTGTGTAGAAGGAATTTCAATACCTTCTTCTAGTGTCTCTGGAAACATTGCTGCTCGTACCCTTTGAGTACGTGATTGACTTAACTGTTGATTCATTTCTAAAATAAAAATCTACTTAAGAAAAATATAATTAATGTTATAATTTCAATTATATGCATTCACCATCAACTTGATCTTGAGTAAATCCATGAGAAAATCCTTGATTAAGTTCATAAATTAATTGTTCTCGTTCTAGATCATCTTTATCGGTAGTAGAATGAGTTTGTGTAGTTCCTGCAGAATGAATACTAGATTCCGGCAAATATGGTCCGCCTTGTTGCCACATTATGGTTGTATCCTTTGTATAAGCAGTATTACTTGGCACTAAATCACATAATTAAAATTATATACCTAGGTAACAAAAATGTTTCTTTAACATAATAGATACTATAACTATTCTACTTACACATTCTTGATTGATACATTATTTAACAGATTGGCAACTAGTTTTATTTTGATGAAATAGGATGTAGCATGAAGCTTACTGTGGACGAACTTCGAATACTTCTACAACTACCATTGAACAATAGATGAAATCATCTATATAACTACAGTCTATAAGTCAAACGAACAATCAACAATATTATTGTAATTGTATCAAAATAAAACAATCAACAATGATTGGAATGCATGATAGGTAAGGATGGGAATTCTTAAGTTCCAAACAGGCAGTGTGTACTATAGTCAAAAAAGAAAACGTTTACTATATCGTGTGGTCCTTAAATTTGTGGTCATTACCATCAGTGTGACCATATTTGTAACTAAGCCCACCGTGCCACTATCCAAATTAATAAATGATGATCCATTAAAACTCTTTCCCTACACTAATTTAAAAGTAAAATGTCAACAGAAATTTAAAACTAAAATGTATTTAAATACTTTAAACTTACGTGAGATATAAGTTTGTAATATTGGTTGTCATTGGAAAATCAAAAGTATATAAGAGTTCTTCCTCAAAATCAAAGGTGACAAAAAAATATAATACAAATGTAACACTTTAATTTGATGAAATTATGCTGTTGTTTAAATTATAAAAACAAAATTGTTGGCAAAATGCAATACTTTTTAAAATATTCAATAAAGTCATTTAAATGGATCCTGTGTATAACAAAAAATTTATGATTTTATTAAGATTAGACATTAGAATTTAATATTATTATAAAATTAAGTTCTACATTATTTGTACTTAATAAATAGTTATTTAGAAGAAAAATATTTTATTTTTACTAAATTAGATATTATTAAGTCATAAATAAAAAGTCAAAACATTTGTATTTTAGTTTTTACTCATTACTTCAAAAAACAAAGTAAAATTCCAATTATTTATAGTAGGTGTAATGTTGTTATGTACTTTAACAACACTTAAATTTAATTTTTCTAAATTGTTTAGCCCCAAACTCCAATGATTTTAGATTCTAAGTGAAGCAAAGAAGCTTATGGATTTTCAAAGGTGTTTTTTTTCATCTCTGCACAATTTCTTTACTAGAAATATTGAATATAGAAATATATTCAAAAGCTGTGTTCTGCGCTAGCTGAAGTTATTGGAATAGTTAAAATTATCTTAAGATCTATATCTAAGTTTAGAAACTTGAAAGGCGCGAGTTTTTACTAACCCATTATTTTATTTATTATTACAATGACAATAGTAACATTTATTTGATTTATTAAAATATGTAGGTACAATTAATAACAACTCGATCAGAGTTCATGTCCGTTTTGAGTTTTGTCTGTTCCGTGATTTTTGGATAATGGTTGCCAAAGTTAGGGATTTTTCTGTTTACTGAAGATTTTGAAGTCTAAAAGGAATCTTTACTTAGTGAGAGATTTCTAGTGATTCCAAGAAAAAATTAGATTAAAAAATTCACTGGACAATAATTTTTCTAATTTGTGTGCTTTTTATATTAAAATGAATGTAATATTGTAGGTATTATAATACATTGAAATATACACTGGGCAAAACATGTGTGGAGGGCGAGGGATAATTAACAAGGTAAGCCGAATGGATCAAGATTAATGGACACCTAAGTCAATGGTAGAGCAATCAAGTCAGCAAAGATCTTAAGGACGAAGACACAGAGAAAGGTGAGTATTGGATAGATATGTGAAAACATAATGTCAGTCGCGATCAGTCTAAATGACCTCAAATAAGCCAGAAAAGAAAAATAATTAAAATTAAAATATGTTTATTTATTTTTTAAGATGTTACATAATGTAACATATTATTTTTAAGATTTAATTTGAAAAACGGATAATAAACGTATAATTATTCAAATGCAAATATAATAAACTAATAATTTAAATAAGATTATTATTTATTTTCTGAAATTAAACACATTAGATACATCTACAAATATAAATTAAAGAAAATTATGATTTATTGTTTTTTCTTATCGTCTTTAAAAGTTCAATTTGTTCAGGGAAAATAGGTATTGGCTCTTTCAAATAGAAGTTTTTATTAGGTAATCGATCAGAAACTTTAGTGCTCCAGTGATGAAGAACACATTCCACAGCTACTCTTTCTTTTTTATTTACCTAAGTACCAAAAAAAAAAAAAAATAATAATAAATAGGTAGTTATTTACATATAATGTTAAGGGGATTGGAAGCGACTGGTTTCTGTCTTTGTCTTACACATATGAGATATAGGGATTTAGACACGTTTTGATTTTAATTTCTTAAAAAATTTATATATTACATTTTTTCAATCTCTTTTATTAGTATGACTTTTTTTAGAATTTAAGGAGATAAATTTAAAAAGTGGGAAAATCGATCTCAAGTAAACTTTATGGCAAATTCAAATCTGCTTTCAGAATTCTTATTACTTTACTAGATCAATTGATGCGTTGGAATTAAAACAAGTCTAAATCCCTATATCTTACGTGTGTAAGGCAAAGACAGAAACTCGTCGTTTTCAATCGCCTTAATAACAGTTGATAAAGTATAACTTACAGTAATGTAAATGATAAATGATTTTCCTTCCAAAGTAAGATCCGGTCCACTAATTGGCTTTTCAGGCAATTCTATTGAATCATCGCTCAATACATATACTCTCATTTTACGTAATGACACTCTTATGTGCCATGGTTCAATTGTCCAAGGTTCATCTTTATTCATGCTTACACTTACAACCGTTTTTTTCAAATACTTTACAGTCTGTAAAAATGATTATACTAATTATTACCCATAAGAAAGATTATTTATAAAGTTTTATTATACTAGCAGAGCTTCAACAGAACTAGGTTTCTCATCATCTTTGGTTTGATATAAATTATTCTTCATAAGTTCTAAATTTTCAGGAGACGCATATATTGCTAATTTTGGCAGAAGTAGGCGTTCATATGCAAAATTTGGCTTAACAGATACCTGTTGTCCCTTATGTCCTACACCTACACACAAATTAGATTATTTTATTGGTAGATTTCATTTGTAGTAAAATATGAAAATGTATCTAATAATTACCTTCCACATATTCAGTTAAAATGACATTCATATTTTCCTGTTTTTTCAATTCTGAGTATTCAACAACATCATATATGAAATGTCGTCCTTTTAGAATAGGTTTATTTTTGCTATTAGCTTTTTGTAATTGAACAGGATGACGACGTTTAAGTATGATTAATGACTAGCAAAAATAAAATAAAAACATAATATTAAAAATCAAAAATTTGGATAACCTAACATATATAAATAATGTATATTATTACATAAATAATTAATACATATAAATTTATATATTGAATAATGTATGCAATTGAATTAAAATTAAATATGTGTAATGATAATAGTTTTTAACCTATAATTTTTAATTAAATCAACTTATTTTTTTTTAAATAAACATAATTTAAAAACTAAATTTGAATTATATCACTTTAAGTTGTCGATAATGTGTGTGGACATCAGTTTCAATATGAGACAAATATTATTTGATTTTATCAGAATTAATTTCCTGTCAATAAGGTTAACATTGAAAAATCTTATTTTCAAAAACCATAAACTCTAGGTAAAAGAACTCTAACAATACCAATTGTATAAAAAACAAATCAAATTATCCTAACCCAAGTTAATAGGTTAATTACATTTTAATATGTTAATTCAATAAATTTTTTCAATTACCTAATAAATTTATCTAAGTTAATATTATTCAATAATTTACCTAGCTATGCTAATTATATTGTATTGTATAATTATTTGTATTATTATAAAATGATTAAACGTTAAATTTAATAACATGGGTTAACATACCCTGTTAACCTGATGGATTGGGGATGCTGCGGTGAGCATTTTAGAGAAAGTCTTAAGCAATACATCCATGATATTTGAAGATTCTCGAACAATATTTCAAATTCTTAAGTTTAGAAATAAATTTAAAAAAAAAATAATAAAAAATAAAAATACATCATTATAGTTATGAACCTGGTTTAAGATAACATTGGTTGATAAAGTATTCACCGAAATCATTATTTAAAATTATTATAGCTATTAAACAGCTGACAAATTCACCACTAGCGCTTGTATTTAATAGTGGTATAAGTTCAAATACTGCGCTATCATGAAAATAAATCGTAATTAGACCATAGATATATAAAATAACTAGATAGTCATAGACCTTATTAGAACATTGACCTTAGTATTAGGTTTATGTAGATTGCAAATGCTGAATGTTGCTAGACAACAATTTGAAGTCGTCAACCATTTACAGGTGGGGCAAAAACGATTGAAAAATAGGATATGATCGACATCGATGTAAGTAATATCGATTTTTGTATCGATTCGATGTTTATTATCTTACATAGTGCTTATAATGGACACAAATGATTACTCTGTATTACGAATAACAACCGTTAAATATCAATAATTCACTATCGTTTTTGTCCAATCTATAATTGACGTTTGACTTTAATAATAGATACGACTTTGCTATCTAGGCATTTCATATTATATCTATGGATTGGTTATCGGTCAAAAAGTCCGTTTTAAAAAGAGTTGTTGGACAAAAAAAGTCCAAAAATACAAAATGTTCTGTTCAATTTTCATTTATAATTATTAATTACATAATTTATTTTATAGGTATATACTAAAAATATAATAGTCAAACAATAGTAAAAATAATTTAAAATAAATATAAATAAATATAGATATAAATATATTGTTTGAAGTCCATGTACATAATTTGAGGATCGGGATAAACATTGTTTTAAAATACATGGATTAGAAAAAAATTTAATATTATAATATAAATACAAACATTTTTAAAATTAATATTAATTATATATTATTGCATACCTATATAATAAATTATATAATTATTAATGAAAATTGAATAGAATATTTTGTATTTCCAGACTTTTTGTACAACATTTTTTAAAACGAACTTTTCGTCCGGGATTTCTCTGGATAGACCATAGAGGTGTAGACACGGACTAAGATATACTTTAAATGTATCCTAGTTCATGTGTATAGAGCACGGATTAAGAAATTTTAATTCGTGGTATAGAGTTAACTCATTAAGATTAGAGATAAAGAGACCAAACTCCATGTACGAAAAATGGGACGACAAAGAGCGTATGGTTTTTCTGTCACCAGCAGTGAGTCGTTCGATTAGAATGTTCTATGTTTTATATTATACTATATGATTTAATGAAGATTAATTTCGTTTTTAATTTATTTTAAAACTAAAACTATATTGGGTATTCAAAAATGACTTCACTGTCAAATTGAATTAGACATTTTGAGAAATATTTTCTTTTAAAGATTAATTAATTTAAAGATCGAGAAGTTTTTCTTGAAAACCACAAATATCGTAGAAACTTTAATTGAATTTAGCGAGTTCTACGTTTTGTGATTCAAACTATAATTTGTCTAAGTATTCTTGAAGAATGAATTTTAAGTGTTTTGATGTAACTTGGCCAAAAATATGAAATATTATGCGAAACATACTTCCACGTCCCACCATAAAAACTTCTGCGACGATGGAGGTGAAGGAGAAGAAGAAGAATAATATAATGATAAATGATAAACCACCAATGAAAAAAATGATAAGTTTGAACCATAAAATATGTAAAGTTATGCTGTGCATAATATTATGTTTTATCCTCTTTGTAATAATTTCCCTAATAACATAACAATTACATCGCGATATTATATTCGATCTTTGTTTCTTTAGTATTATTTTTCCGGTTTTTATTTTCCCGTGAACTATGGTCCCTGTAATTATTCTTTTCATTTTAATTTTCAGTAGTTTATCATTCCTTCAAATCGTTTTCTTGATTTATTCTGCCCCTCCTTCTTCTGTTATTATTTGTATATTTCCTCAAATAGAGCTCACCAAGATCATTTCCTTTTTTTAGTTCTCAACCCCAACTTCTTTTTTAGTATCTATAGCCGTAATGTTTACGTTGATTACGTACCGTTATTGAAGAGTGATTATTGAAAATTAATTTAATGTGATATTAAGCAGCGGTCACACGATGATAGTTAAACGTCATAGTTGCTATCGTGGAAGTTAGATCGTTTTTACAATAATTTATCATCCAAATATTTATGTGTTAACACCATGATTTTAGATGTAGTAGCATGCCAATATAGCATTAATATATATATATATATATATATATATATTATTATTTAACATATTATTCGAATAAGCTGAGTTAGCCATTATTCAAGTAAATATTTTGCATAGGTACGCAATTTAAATTAGTTCATAACTTGACAACCAAAAAAGATTTATCACATGGTTCGCATCACCATGATAATATTTGTGATAATTACTATAATTATCGCGAAAGAACTAACAATATTATGCAGATATGATAGTATGATTTTATCTAAGAATATAAAGAATTAAAACAGATATTTTCATTTAAATACTATTTACATTTTTATAGTATATAACTACATGTATATATTATATTATTCACAACTTATGGTACATTTATTTTTTATATTTATATATATATTATATCTAGTTAAGCTATATAATAGGTACCTACATACGTGACTTCCAATTATGCGTACAAATTCGTGAGAGAGAGAGTAATAAAACTTTAAAAGGGTTGTACCATTATTACATCATTATTATATTGTTTTTCGTTGACACGCTGTGAAGTCAAAACGCGTGCTGCAGTCGGACGTCTGTCCGACGGTCAATTATATACGATGTCCCGCTGACATTGTTCCTATTATAAATACGAACACCCTGTGGCACGCACGCGTGACTTATACAATAATTAAAACGAAACGCTCGCATTTCTCCCACGGCCTTTCCGGGATTTTTTTTGTTCTTCTGTTTTTCCACACAACAACACCGCGCATTCGAAATCCGATCGATAATACACACAGTAAAATATATACGAAAGGCACGGTATAAGAAGCATAAATAGGCATTGGATCTCGCTAACATTTTCCTAGAAGAGGGGTGGAAAAAAGCAATATTGTATACAACTTACACCTTATATTATACTAGCTGATCCAGAAATACTTTACTATTGCTAGATAGTAGTGTAGATAATAGTATAAATAATAGTAATAGTAATAATACATTTTTTTTTCCGCGACAACCAAATTTTCATCAATATTACCAAGGTAACCCATGAATAAACAAAACTATATAAATAAACAATTAGACATTCCCACCAAAAATACCTAAAAATCCCTATTTTATGTACTCACATTTTCGTTTAAGACATTTATAAAGCTTTTCTTTAATATTAAGTTTAAGAGAACGTTATACATAAATTTAATATAAATTTCCGAAGAATCCCGAAAATTCTGAGTGGGAAATGGATTCTGTTGGAGTCTAGGGAAATGGTGCCTAGGCCATAATTTTTTTTTTGAATTATGTCAAAATTGGCACGTTGAAAAAATCCTATTTGCTATCCCTGGCCTAGACTTTATAGCGTAGGTGTAGTATATGTGTATAATTGAACATCTAGGGTATTAGCTTTTAGAAAAGGTTTTCGTTTATATTTACAATAATACAATTATACATAGATCAATAATTTATTTTAATACAAATTTAGACAGTACAAATTATAATACAAACAACCTGCGTATAATAACCTAAACAAAATTAAATTCCATAATATTCGTAATAAATTCTTTAAATATATTTCTATTTATTTTCTTATATAATAATATATAATTTACCATTTTATTATAAATATTATAATAATAAAGTAAACATGTATAAATAAATATTAAATATTCACCGTGGTAGCGAGAACTAAGTTCAACTATTTGAGACGTTCTCAAATTAATTATTACCTAGTGTCTCTGGGTATTCTTAATTTTATAAAATATTATACATTTGAAAATTATATTTTATTTCAAATGTATACTATTTTATCAGTACCTGGTAAGTCTTAGACTTAGTATATTTTAAAAACGATTCCAATCGAATTCAAAATTATACCCTCTGCACTATAGTTGTCACCACTGAATACGCTACAGAGTTAACAGAAATAAGTAAATCTACTTATCTATAATATATTATACAAAATTGATGTAAACTTAGTATTTAAATTATATATTTTATAGAAATACATAATATATATGCGAGGTGATAAGAACATTTAAAAGCATTTTATATAATATTAAACATTTGCCATAGGTACTCATCACCTTGTTGTATAATACACGTAATGCGGATATTATTAAGGGCCAAGTGAAAAAATTGGTCTGATTTAGAATATTATTAAATAATTCTCAAATAAATGTCTAGGTTAGGTACCTAATCAGGTACACACAACAAAAATTAATTTACTGTTTTTCCATAGAAAACATTGTAAAAATTATAATTTTGATAAACTAAGAATATTGATACTTACATAGCCTTGTACTATCAATTTATGATAATTATCTATATATATATATATATTTATATACATTGTATCTATTGTAGTAATTGAGACTTTGGGTGGTTTTAGAGTTAAGTTTTTTAGTCAATTGAGTTCAAATAAATCTCTTAATTTATTAGGCACCTATTATTGTATATAATATAATAAATTACTTATTTAAAAAAAAATATAGATGGGGTTGAAGAATTTTTAACTAGCAAGCACGTGCCGATTTTCTATGCAATTTCAGCGATTTTTTTATGCAAACTGATCGATATTGGACGAATGAAACCGGACTGCGGAATGAGAAAATAAAATTGAAAATTAGGTATCCAGTCCATATACGTTGGCGTTGAAAGTGATCTATACCATCATACATTCATACATCAAAATCATATGATTTTATTCACCACGATTCATTGAAATAATTTGGCCCTCAATGAGTATATTGTTCCTTCGGTTATATACATAATATATGTTACCGAAAATGTTTGACAAAAATTAGAAAACTTGGCAATTCCTAGGAAATTATAACAATTCTTAATACAGTAAGGGAATGATATCATTGCCTAGTACTTGTTATAATTTCCTAATTATAGTAGGGAATGTTGGCTAGAATTATATTATGAAATCCGGTATTTAGTAAGTGTATGATTATATTTTTATAATCCAGATTAATATAGTATGTATATAGAGCAGAGGCGGTTTTTAGAGGGAGGGTAATAGCCCCGATCGCCCCTCCCCCTTGGCTTCTAATATTACACAGATAGCGGTTATAATAATACAAAAGTGGCTGAAAAGGCTGATGAGTCTCAAATAAAATAAAGGATTGTAATTTATTTTCTTTTTACCATGTTTAGCAATCTATTTACATTCGGTATACAATGAATGTTGGCACTTGTAACAATTAATTTAAAAGATCGAACCATAAATAAAATATAATTATTAATTGAAGTTATATTAATTGAATTTGCAAAAAAATTTTCCTCAAAAAAGAAATATAAATTTTGTACTTCAATAATATGACTTTTTAAATTAAATATTAAATATATATAATATTTGTTTTCGTTTAATATTAAATTGCTTGTTTAAAATATCTACGTATCTATATTTATTTAATACATTTATACATGTGTCATATGTTTTAATTAGGTTGGTCGAGCCAATGCATGATACTGTAATTTGAGGTGTATACTTTCCCCCTTAAATGTCCCCCCGGGAAAGGGGTTGATATTTAAAGTCACTCCTCAATGGCAGATATAATATTTTATATTTGCTTTCCTGGAAAATATAAAGGGAGCTTTATCTGAAAAAATATTCGAGGACTTGGCGAGCGATTGGGGGGCTATGCTCCCAAGTCTCCCATAAAGCAACCATTTTCGTGCCCCTATTAAAACCACCATTGATGTAGAGTTGTTTTTTTCAAAATGATCCAGTATTGATTATCTTCACAAATTTTAAATAAAATATATTTTGTTTTTATTTCAGTCCTTATAGAATTGTTTATTGCTCTTATTAACAAACAAAGGTCCTAAAATCGAATTATTTGCAGGCTTTGAATAGATTTATTTCTGTTCTAATGGATAAGTATAAAGGTCTCAATATCATTGCCCAATAAACTACAGAAATGATAACAATAGTAGGTATAGGTACCTACTAGTTAATAACATGATTTCCTAAATATTATCAGTATTTTCGGTAACATATTAATATATATATATATATATATATACATTATATATTTATGTGCATAAAATATAATCTTTAACCAAAGTAGAAATCTAAGTCTATATTGTATTATATAGGTCCTTATTGGTATCAACGTTAATACAGCATTATAACGGATTTAATATGATACAATAATAAAAAAAATTTTACGGGATAAAAACAAAAATTCACGATCCGATAATCGTCGTCCAATCACAACCATTTATTGCGTCCGATTGCATCATACTTTTTTTAAAAAAATCATTATAATAGGTATTTTATTCTTGTCGCGCGCAACCGAAGTATTCGATAATGTTATTATATAGGAACGAGCTTCTCGGTGGGTGAGGCGCAACCCACACTAAAACGAGTATCGTCCCGCGACAGGGGAGACTGCCACCGCGATCTCAATGTACATACTCGTTGACAACGGTGTAATGTGTATTGTCGACTATAACTCCGTGGTGGTGGTGACCTAAGGCGGCTACTGGCACTGCGGCGCCCGCCGGAGCGAGTGCTTGGTATGCCACGGTCGCCGCGGTCGATCCGTGTTGGTCCGTGTCGTGGCCGGCCACCGACATAAGCATGGCCGTGGGCGGCGTGTAACCGCCGCCGCCGGCCTGATGCGCCAGCATGCGGTCGCTCTCATTCGAGCTGGAGCAACTGGAGCCCGAGCTGTACGGTCGGTTGCACGACTGGTCATAAGGATAGTATAGGTCCGGGTAAATGTACTCTTCACCCGTATACATGTTCGGCGCTACCATGTTCAGGGGGTGATGGTGGTGATGATGATGGTGGTGATGGCCTGCACCGCCGTTTACCAATGGCTGTGGCGGTTCCTGCAAACACAAAAATATTATGATATTATAACTCCAAGACGTGAGCAAAATATGTAAGCTTCTTAAACTACTAAATTTGTTGGCATTTTAAAATAATATAGCCTTATTATTATATTATTTCGTATTAGACATTCTGAGAAAATACAAATGTAGACTTTAGGGAATGGCCAAGGCAGTAAATACTTACTTGTCTAGGATATGTAATGGCCATAACAGAAAAAAAAGACACAAAGAAATATCTGTTGAAAACGCAGATCTTTTCCATAACGATACATGGTTCAGAATCAAAGACATTTAATGCAAAAAAAAAAACAATAATCAGTCTTCTAGTAAATAACAGAATTGTTAAAAATAATATCGTATGTAGAACAATGTTATAAATCCTATGGATGGCTTGTAGAATAAATTAATCAGTATTAGATAAATTAAATATCCTCCCTTGAAAATAGACGACTTTTCCCATTAATACTAGTTCAAATACATATTTGGTTGACCATATTATAAAAAAAGATGGTTAAAAAAAAATTCGAGAAAAAGTGCAAGAGAAAAGGAAAAATGATGTCTTCCTGGCCGATTTATTTAGTAAATCAAAGGTCTAACAAGAATCAGGTTAGTAGCGGAAATGTTGCAAAATATAGAAAACCGGGAATCTTTGAAAAAAAAATACAAATACATAAGGTTACATAAATGATTTTGACGTTTCAAATCCAACTACCGAAGAAAAAGAAGGAAAAAGCAAATGGATATACTTCGCACGATGGGTGGGCCACTGTTGTAAATGAGAATTTGGGAACGTAGAGGGGAAATTGTATGTATATAGTATATGTACATAAAAATTAATCATTGCTAACGAAAAACGATTGTGGGAGGAGCTCGGTTATACATGTTTTGAAAGGCCGTAATATTTACGATGTCAAAATCTGAAACTAAAATTTTTATAGCAAAATTCTACTATAGCTACTCATACTATTCTTCATTATACTCAATTTGTTTATATTGACCACAAAAGTCAACTTATAATAAACCTCCTTACCTAACCTAACAATTTTATCTACAGAATACCTATCGAATACAAATTACGTAAAAACTAGCAAAATTAAAATATCTATAAATAGCTCAAAAATGGCTAAAATATTTTAAAGTGTGTTTCAAGTTGTGTTTTTAAGTCACTACAAAAACTGTATAACAACAAAAAACAAAATTGAAAACAACACATTTCGTACGTTTTCGCGATTTTCTAAAGTGTTTTCCGGTTTTTTCCATTCATTATGAAAATTCCTTGGAAAATCAAAAAATGACTTTCTCAATAAGTACTATGCCAGTTATATTTCCTTCTAGAAAAATACTACACTTGAAAATCGAAGCAACATTTTTGGTAGAAAAGTTATTCACAGATAAAAAAAAGAAAAAAAAAACAAATATAACATAAAACCAATACATTCCTCGCATGGCTTAGAATCTAAAAGAAATATCATTTTTAATCGCTGGGTTTAACGAAAATAAGTTTATTGATTTATTAAAAACTGCACTTACACTATTATTGCTTACGAAGTCGTTATAAAGTCCACCACTCGAATCACTGTACTCTTCGTCGGTCACCACCGTCGGAGGCCTATGATATCTGTGGTTTTGATTTGATTGTCTTTGATTTTGCTGTGTTTTGACAGGTTTGTTTTGAACTGTCGTCGTCGTCGTCGTGTCTTCATTACCGTTCTGTGACGCTACGCAACTGTTGTTGCTTACGGATAGACACACATCTTTCACCTCAGACTCACTATAAAAAACAAAAAAAACGTATAAAATAAATTATAATAATTATTACTATAAGTAATCTAATAAGTATAGTTATTTATAGCGTGCATAGGTACAAATACGATGTAAGGGGGTCTTCAGCAGCCCTACGTATAAAATTATCACTCCTAAAAAATAAACTAACAAGCTTTTTTATAGTATCAACTAAATATTTTAACCATTCTGTATTTCATAATAATAAGTAGACCAAAATATAGAATACCTACATACGACGCGTGTGTAAAAAATAAAATAAAAAAGCTATTTCATTTTTATATAAAACTGTTAATAAATGAAATGTGTATTTTCTTATTATAGGTTTCGTGTAAAGGGAATTGTGGAGAAAAAATACTCCCAAATCCCCATGGGTCTGTGATGTGTCTATAACTTTAGCACCCCTAATGTTGGTGGTCTAGTTGTGCCTATGAATTAAGGGCTGGCGGAAGAGAGGAGTCAACTGAGCACCCACCAAAGGCCTCGCGCTCTATGGGACTTCGCGTTTTAAGATTCAGAACGGAGAGAGGAATGTATTAGTTTTACTATGATGTGTGTCGGTTTTTTATTTGTACCTGTGGAATTTATCCTAGAATTCCCAAAATAATTCTAATTTTTAAATTTATATATGTATTTGCGAAGATACATCTCGTGGATTTCCAAATTGGTTATAACTTAAGTATAATGATAAGGAATAATTTTGGACTGTTTTATAATCGGAGGTTTTGTCCAACGGTTGTCTTAATCAAACACATAAGTAAAACCGAATCACAAATATATGGTAAGAATTTTTAGATTTTGAGTGTAGCAAAAATTAATGTATTGGTTTTAAATGATGTTTATTTTTATTTATTTTTTCTGTGAGCAACTTTTCTACTAGAAATCTTGCTCCGGTTTTCAAATGTAGCTAAAAGCAAATTATATTTAGTCGGTACTTTAAGAAGGTCAATTTTTAATTTTCCAAGCGGTTTTCATAATAATTGAAAAAAAAAAACGGGGAAAAACGTAGAAAAACAGGAAAATGTACGTACGTCGTACATTTATAAAAGAAACTTCGCTCCAAATCGTTTTTCGTAAGCAATGGTTTATCGTTGCGTACAACTATAAATTAAATTCCCCTCTATATCCTACCTTCCCAACTTCTTACCTAAAACAGTGGCTCACCTGTCGTGCAAAGTATGTCCTTCTTTTTATAACTGCAGTATAACTAATATAGTTACTAAACAATTTCAATTAAAAATAACTAGACAATCTGACGGTATCCAACTGATGAGACACATCTTTTTGAATATTTTAAATTCTTAAATAAAAAACTGTTTTTGACAGTTCTCTATAACCATCAGGGCTCAGATTGTATAGCAGTTAAAATTACTGAAATATGCACTACAATATGTCCTTAACACAATGCTTCAAATATTTAAAAATGGTATTATACAATTTTCTCTGTGGAGTCCTTGGTGCATAAAATAAAGATGTATAGCACACTCTACTATTTTTATCTGTATCCAATAATAATTAACAAATGATTTAAAATCCGAGCTCTGTTTATTATACTCAAAATATTCTTGGAAATTTTTGGAAATCGAATCTGTTTCACCTTTGTTGGAGAAGTCATGAGTAGTTATAGTAATTTATTTTTTTTAAATATAAATAAAATATCAAAATATAGGATTTGATTAAAATTAATTATTTTTCTTTGTCAACGAGATAATTATAGGGATTTTCTGCTAATTTACCACATGTTAATATAATAGTTTGTAACTTAATATTGCCCATCGATTATAGGTACTCACCTAAGTACGTAATTAACGCTAACTATACAATGAGGTCTTGAAGATCTACTGTTATGAACTATAGTGGCATAGCTTTGCACCCAAACCCATCCGCCGTCTTTGGCCAACAGTCTATAGTATTTCGTGGTGACTTGGCCTTTTAATAACACTATAAATATAATTTAAAATAAACAAATTACCGTTTAACAGAAAAAGACATTTTTTTTAACAAATTATGAAATTATGATATACAATACTTACGGGTATGGTGAGCAATGCGCATGTTGTGAATATCATTACCGTGTATATAATGATAGAGAGTCTTTTCTATTAAGTCTTGTGGTTCGTATCCTGTCAGTTGAGACACTCTGTAATTTAATAACGATATGAAATAAAATACCGTACTGACATTATAGCACGCAGTGATATGATGTTAAAAAACAAAAAAAAAAATAGGTATCGTCAAACAAAGGGTGTGCGCTGTAATAATAGAAATATATCCATTGTCAATATAATGTGAATACACATAAAATATATCAATATTATACACATATATGTATTTAAAATAAAAACTAATCATTGTTTGTAAAAAAAAAATATATATATATTTTTGAAGGAAGCTTGCTTTCATTTTTATGGATGAAATACCTTAAAATTTAAAGTTCCTGGGCAATCATAGTGTATTAACAATATAGTGTATCGTTTTGCAAACGATTTATGTTATTTTTATATTTATCCAAATGAAATTAATAGCCCTATTCCACTAAATTTGATAAAAAAATTATTCAAAGATCAATTACTTGGCATCTAAGAATATGAGTTTCAAGTCTAAACTTGCTCGGAACATGAACATATTCGAATGCAATTTGATTTCAGTAATCGCGTGCGGAGGTAACGAATGTCCAACCGCAACTAGACCGACAGTTTCTAATCCGGGGTATTGTCTCACTTTTAAATAACCAGAACAATGTATCACCTATTATGAACAGAAAAAAAAACATTTATTAATAATAATAACAATAATATTTGACGTATACAAGGGGGGGGGGCTAAAGGGTTTTAGTTCTCTACCTTATGATAGATGTATTGAAATATAAAAAAAAAGAGCTAATACTGGGGACGAGTGTTGTCAGTGTTGTAGGTGAGAAGTTGGGAAGGTAAGTTATATCAATTTATTTAATTCATATCTGTATGTAACAATAAACCATTTAAAACGAAAAACGATTCGGAATAGATATCGGTTATACATGTTTTGAAACGCCGTAATATTTAGGATTCTTCTCAAAATTTGATATAAAAATTCTTATATAAAAAAAAATTACATATTGTACACTTAACCCACTAAGTAAAACTCATAACGAACCTCCTCTTAAATTTTCAAGCATTTTTGTTTGGTCAAATAATATTATTGGCAAAATACCTACCAAATAAAAATTACGTAAAATACGCAAAATTTAAATATCTATAAATAACTCAAAAATGGTTAAAACGATTTTAAACTTTTACCACGTCTTGAAAAGGAAGTAAAGGTTTATATCAAATTTCAAGTTTACGAATCTTTTAAACTGAATTACGACAAAAAATAAAATTGAAAATAATAAAACATTTTTTTCGTACACCCTTTTTTTTTGATTATGCTCGATTATTAAAATCTACAAGGAAAATCAAAAAACGATTTTCTTACCCATCATCTAGATTAAAAGTGTATCACCCACATAATATTTTGTTTAAAGTCAGTAACATATATACCTATTGCATAGTAATATATTGATATTGTAATTGTACCTATACAAATGTGACTTTGTTCTGCGCGGTATTTGTTTACCTTATATAGGTACGCAAAGAAATACGATCCCCCTGGGTGTTCGAAAAAACTTAACGAAACGGATATAATATATATTTAGAGATCTGAACAAATATACTATTGATGAGTGTATACGCATTTAGGTGTAGGTACTCGTGTATATATATATATATACATCACAAACACAGCATTCATATATACGCGCTATTATTGTATATTTGTACCGTTGAAAAATACTATTATATAAAAAAAAAATCGTACAAGACCTGTTCTAAAGGTCTTGTACGTAGCTGCATAATAATATCGCTATGCACATCGTATGGGTATATTATTATTTGTAATAATAGGCTAGGTAATATAATGTGCGCGCTGAGAAGGTGTCAAGAAGTCCATTCATAATACGGCCGAGACGTGACCACAACCGAAAATACAAGATTTAAGTTTGGGAATAAATTAAATGCGGGTCTTTCCTCTCTTTACAGGTGTGAGATTTTTTTTTTCTTTCTTTCGTCTCTCTCTCCCTGAAAAACATACACATACAGTATATATTATTATATGCTATAGGTATAGATAGGTATACCCAAAAAATTCCGAAAAATATAATATTATATACAGCACCTGGGGGACAATAGAAAATATATTATTATGCCGGATGGTAATAAAAATCATAGGTGTTCTCCGTATGTGCAGGACCCGTCTGCAGACACGTTGGAGCCGATCGTGAGGTATCAATAAGCGGTCGGGATTATAGAGCTGACCGCGCCATAGGTATTATAATAATATTATATTAGGTAGGTACCAATAATAATACGACAAACACGGCCGGTTCACGTAATATAATCAATCTTGATCTGCTGGGATATCGATACCGCATGTGGAGTATAGGTTGTTTTATAAAACGACGACTTTTTCACTCTCGCGCATTCGACACGACCGGCCCCGAGCACGTTTCGGAAAACTCAACCTGTATAATATATAGGTAGGTAAGTAATAGGTATACACCGAACGCCAATAATATCACACCTCGCTCTACACAATTGTGTAGAAAGGATTCGAAAAATGCCTGATACATAGCGCGTTAATTTTCACGTATCGGATCGTGCGACTGTTATTATAGGTGCTGCTCTTATAGGACCGCGATTCATATTATGATAGTTATTATTGCAATGATTTTGATGTAAACCTGCCGTGGTATATTTAGGATTTATCCTAGAAGGAGATATAAAATTTGGAAATTGTGGCATATTTTACAACGTTCATCCAAGCTAAAAAAAGGATCAATTTTTAATTTATATATTTTTGTAAGTATAATTTATAATTTAATCTGCCCTAAATTTATCATAAAGATCAAAAAGGTAATAAGTACTAGTAGGTACTAATTATAAGTATAAGCATTTACTTTATTTTAATAATTATTAGGTACTATACTAACCTATAATTTCTTTCATGGTATTATATTAGTGGTTCGAATAGGTTTCGTTTTGATATATTAACTGAAGGTATCAAAAAACAATTAAATTGTTGATTTTTCTGACCAAAAAGTGAAGACATTTTAATTAAAAAAAAAAAAAAAAGCCCATACGGGTGTGCTATTGTTGTAGGTGAGAAATTGAAAAGTTAGGATACATGAAATAATTTAATAATTTAAATCTGTACATAACGATAAATCATTGTTATCGAAACATACGATTCTAAGCAAAATTTGGTTGTATATGTAATAACGTCATGTATATAACTGCATATAGCAATATTATGGCATTTTTGTCAAAATTTAATTTTTAAACACTTAAAAAAAAGTTATTATACAATGTGCATTTTTTGTATCACTGAATACAACTTATTGTGTGTTCAATTTTCAAGTCCTGTTGTTTGGTCTAACAATTTTATCCATACAATACCTACCAAATCAAACTAAAAAAAATTTTTATATATAACCTCTACGAATAGCTCAAAATTCGTCAGAATATTTTAAACATTTTATTACGTTTAGGAATGTTTAATATAAAAATTCTATAGACATTTCAGGTATCTACGAATAATTTTGGCCGAATTGAAACAAAACACAAAATTGAAATTAATGAAACTATTATTTTTGTTTTTAACTTTCTCTTTTTCCCCAGTTTCATTCAATAATTATTAAGAAAACTACATAAAAAATTGAAAAAAAAAAGATTTCATCTTTACCAACTAGATAAAATTTCCTTTCAGTAAAGATGCGAATCTTGAAATTTGGAAAACATTTATGGAAGAAAATAAAAATCGAATCATTTTAAAATAATGGAACTAATAATGCCACGACACAGCGTAGTGTTCCGTAAATATTTGTCAGCTCTTAACGTATATTTTGACTTTGCCAGATTATTATAAATACTGTTAAAAAAGTTAAAAAATAACTTCTTTAATTCACTAACCATAGATCCAAAATGCAATAAAAAAAGGTTTCCTCTTGTTATTTTTTAGTTGACGGAGTAGTTCTGGTTGAAAAATTGCTAGTAAATGCTAATATAAGTATTCAGTAACAATTTTAGCTCTCTAATCTCTACAATAATTTTTACCAATTTACGAAAACCAAAATTGAAAATAATGAAATTATTAATTTCATTTTGTTATCCAATTATTATGAAAACTGCTTGAAAAATCAAAACAAGAATTTTTTATTAACCAACTATAAATCTAAAATTTAACAAAAAAGGCCTCTGTAGTCATTTTTAAATTGAAGCAAGATTTCTGGTAGAAAACATAACTCGTATGAATTTACATATATAATAATATATGCATGTAAAAAATGTTTATACTGTTATGTAAAAAAAAAGGAGTTTTATTTTTAATAGAATATTGTTGCTGGTGCTCGCGAGTTATCGAGTAATAATACTATATATTTTTTCTATTTTACTCAAATTTGTATTATTTGTATTTGTATAATTTTTTGTACTTAGGTATTACATTATTTTTCCCATCACAATAAAATTATTGCAACAAAGTACCCAATTAGCCCACTACTGCAGTAGCATTGATTAATATGAGCCAAAAATGAAAATATGTATACATGATAAATATAATATTGTTTTTTTGTAATTTATACTGTTGTTTTAACAGTTTTAATGGTAAAATGATATAGTTCTCACAATTGGAAAAACGATGTTTATTACCTCATTAAAATTAAATACATTTTAACTATAGAAAATAATTCGAGTGAACAGCAATAAGACGGTTCATAATGTTATTATAATACGTTTTTCAGCGCTCCTGATTCTACTTCTAACTGTCCCGAAAGCCAAGTTTATTAAATATTGATCTTCTTTTTTTATTTTTCACCTTTATCTTACACGTGCAGAGTCAGCTAAAGGTACTTTTAATCTTTTTTCCCTTTACATTTCCGTCATATATCCGTCACCATTTCTTCGTCTACTCTGCATGCTTCCATCAATCCTATATAATAACTTTAACTTTTCCTTTGACCAGCGACTAACTCTGATAATAATATATTATCCGACGACGAAATTTTAGAACGTGTAGGTTCGAGTATTGGGCGTTGAACAAATATAGAAAATATGCGAAATAAAAACGTATTTATAATAAGGTAGCAGAAATGAAAATTTGACGTGGATTTAGCGAGTAGGGAAAATAGAAAAGGTATATGTGTTACCCCGGGAGCGTATTATAAACACGTTTTTATTTCATATCTTTTCCATGTCTGTTCAACGAACCTGTTCACCTGGATCTGCGCGTTCTAAAATTTCGTCGTTGGACAATATATTATACAGTTGGTGTACGATATTCCGATGTAGCAATGTATTACAATAAAATGTATTCGTTATCGGCCAATAGCACCTGTTCCGCCGCGGCGAGAACGAGACGACGATCGTCGGACCGCGTTTTTCCGTTTATCCGTAAATCGTCGCGGGAAGGTAAAGAAAAAAAAAAATAATAATAATAATAATAAACGAAAAAAGAGGAGGAGTATCGTCACGGCGAGGACGCCCGCAGTTCGGGCGGCCCAATGACGGACGGACGTCCACGGCAAACGACGCACAGGTAACGCGCGGCGACGATTAAACGGGCGCGAAACACGCGCACCTGGTCCCCCTGCAGCAGCACAATATGGCGCCCGTCGCGTTTTATTATTTTATCCCGTTTCGCCCCCCCCCCGCTCTATCATTGCGCGCCCTCGGACTACTAAAATATTATTATTATTATGATTATAATACGACGACACATCGTACCTATACAACAATCAACACACACACACGTGACACACTGTATAATATAACGTCATATATTATACACGTAATAATATATAAGTATACACATATCATATACATCGTATGTACACTCGCCCGCGCGTTTATTATACGAGTATTATATACGAGCCTATATATATATTATTATGCGCGAGCATTAGCTCCGTAATGTATGCGCGAACACACGCCCGAGGCATAAGAGTGATTTTTATAGTCCGCGATGATGGTACGCTGGTATACATACGCGTATACTGTCGCGGGAGGGAAAAAAAATATTATGTATATTATATTCGTACACATAATATATTATTATACATTATGTAATAAAAGTCGTAAATCACTAGACTTTACCGCGAGCGGGGAAAAAATTATTAATTTTTTTTTTTTTTTATATAATATCTTTAATAACTCTGATACACACAGCAGTGGCTCCCGCGATTCAATAATCAATATGCTGCAGCTGCAACGGAACAGTTAAAAAACAAATGGACGTACCTCGCACGATGAGCGGGCTACTGCAGTAGGCGAAAAGTTGGGAATGCAGAGGAGAAATTTAATGCATATCTGTGTACGCGACGATTAACCACTACTAACGAAAAACGATTCTGAGCGGAGTTAGGTTATACATGTTTTGAAAGGCCGTAATATTTACGATTTGAAAATCATATATTTCGTTTACATTTTCTCGTTTTTCCTGCGTTTTTTCCCATTTATTATGAAAACTTCAGGGAAAAATCAAAAAATGACTTTCTTGAAGTACCACGCCAGTCAGATTTTCTTTTAGAAAAAGTGCTGCACTTGAAAATCGAAGTTTCTTCAAAAATCTTCCTCGTAACTTTTAGAAAAGGGGAAAGATTAGGCTAAACAGTGGGTCTATTTAAATGAAAAAGTGGAGAAAATTATTTTAATATGTATTTTTTTTCTCACTGTATCTATACTAATTTCTTTTAAAATAAAATATAAAATAAACGGAAATATTAGGTGATAAGTCAATAATATTATTTTCACTTTTACTTTAGACCAGCGGTTTTCAAACTATGATACGCGTACCACTGGTGGTACGTGGTAAGCAACATGATAATACGCAGAAGACTACACGATGGTACACAAAAGGCCGCAAGGTAACAGTATAAAAAATTAATTAATCAATATTCGTACAAATGTTTTTTAATGGATCTAATACTATATACTATAATAATATTTTATATAAATATTATATTGACGTATTTTACTGTCTTATACTCTTATCGTTTTGAAACAAATGTAAAAACATTATGAATTGTTCAATTTTTAGTTTTGCGTGGTACGTGACAAATCAATGATATATGTAAGTGATACGCGAAATTAAAAGATTGAGAACCTCTGCTTTAGTCTATACTATGTACCTTTTATTAATTATTCATCAAAAGAAAGAATAAAAACAAAGCAAACACAAAAATAAGACAAAAATATTAATTTTTTGTGTAGATAATAATAATCAAGTAGCATTTACAGATTTAACTAAAACTGACCAAGTATTAAAATAATGCGTTATCCGTCAATTGAATAAAATGTAATTAATACCAATTCTTAATATCAACTGATTTTATGTAAGTTTATAAACTTATTAATGTTTTGTATGTAAATTATAGTTACTTATGTAGTCATCAAAATATAAATTAAACTAAGTAAATCGTAAGCAAAGCTAGTGTTTTGGGATTTAAGAGTTGATTTCTTATAGAGGTGGGTGACCCAAAGTACTAAAATCCTGGGTACGTCACTGATAATAAAGCATAGATTGTGGTACATTTGAAATTGGTTGGGTTTGTAAATTTCGGTATAAGTGACTTTAGGCTTTTCAAATATACCTATATACAATTTTAATTATATCTAAAAATGCAGAATATAAAACTTCAGTGCATTTTAGAATTCAAAAAACACTATACTTGACATTTGGTATTTTTTATCAGAGGAAATGTAGTACACATAAATTGTTAAAATAAAAACATTAGTTTTAAGTAAATCCTAACAATCCTTTAGTTTTTATAAATTGATATGAGTTTTATTATTAAAAAACGTTATATTAAATAACATATATATATAACAATAGTTACAAACTAATATTGAAAAAAAAAATGTTTTATTTTCATTCCACATTTGGTGTAAATCGTAAAAAAAATGATTAATATTATTATTATAAATACATCGTAACAAAATCTTACATATTAAATTTACAAAATTGAGGGGCGTTCTCCAGAATTACCTAAACCCAAATAAACTTTCTGAAAACTCACCATGGAAATAAGATATTTATTATTTTTTCTTCCATACTCATTTAACATTCACATTTTATGCTTATGAATTTTAAAAATAAACTTCTAAAAAAGTATTACTCTACATATATACCTGCTCGGTAAAACTTATGTAAAACATAGGTATTAAGAATATATTTTTAATAAAATTAATTTGAAATTTCATTAGACAATACATGTGACTATACAACTAAAGTGTTCTCCGAATCTTTAAAACTTAAACTAAAGGGGGCGTATAATTTTACCTTAAATAAAAAGGGAGCCCAGTCCCTTCTACCAACACTTTAACTATCACTGTATACACTCGCACCTATTTAAGAATAAGACAAATATTTTCGCAATGAAATATTAATACTTATTTATACACACACAATAAGTATATTATATATATTTTTTTTAGTGTATAATAACGGTGAAGGTTATTCGGCCTTGTTTATGTACTGTTGTTTTTATATTGTTTACGCAATTTGAATTATTTTTCGAAACTCCGTCTGTTATTATTATTATTGTACGCGTCGAATATAATATTTTATAAACATAATTCGTTATAATATTATTAATATTATATTATGTTTAGTCGCAAATATTATTAAAATATAAATTTAAACCGTACAAATTGTAATATGGTATTTATTATACTCGAATGAGTATATAAATCGTATCATTTTCACGTGATCTACATTTATTATAATAACTATTCGATAAAAAAAATAATTATCTTCCAAAATTATAATGTTATAAAGTGTTAGGTTTCTAATTAATTATAATTATACCATTTTGTATAGGTACATGATCAACAGGAAAAAAAAATTTAGGTGGGTTTTTGGGAAAAAAGGGTACGTAAAGTTATTTAATTTATATGTTAATAAAGATAAACCATTGCTAATGAAAAATTATTCGGAGCGAAGTTCGGTAGGAAAAATTTTTAATGCTGTAATTTTTTCGATTTTCGTCAAAATTTGATATTAAACGTTTATGAAAAAAAAAACTAAATATTACATTAATAATTTAATTAAATTAATTATTATTAACTAATATATTAAACTCCAATTCGTTTTAGACCACTTACAACTTATAATGTATCTGTGTAAAATTTTAAAGCATTTCTCTTAAGGCATAAAATTTGAATGACAGATAAATATTGAAAATATCAATTATCTATAAATAGCCTAAAAATAATTAAAACGCTTTGAAAATTTTGAAAGAGGACAATATAATTATTTTGTGAAAACTGTATGCCTCTACAATAATTGTAAACAGAATCACAACAAAAAACCCAAATGCCGTACACTGCCGTATTTCCTACGTTTTTGTCCGGTTTTTCGTAATTATTAGAAAAACTATATAGGATGGAATATCAAACAACTTTCTTACTCACAAACTAACTAAAATTTTTTTCTTCTTGAAATTTAGACAAAGATATCTGGTAGAAAAACATAATCTTAAAAATGTTAAACAATGAAATCATTCATGAAAAAATTATGAAAAATCATGAAAAAATCGTATTTTTCGTCAACTTCGATTTTTTTTCAATTATCATGAAAACTACCTTAGATATTAAATGGCTAGATTTTAAATGGAATAAAATCGATTTTGTCATTTCTCGATTAGAGTAATGTTTCTAGTATAAAAAATAGTTTCCAAAAATTAAAAACTATGAATTTGGTAACCCCATGGTGTGCCGTAAATATTTGCTGTTTAAATAAAAAATTATCTTTCCTCATCAACTAGACAAAATTTCCTTTCAGCAAAGATACTACACTCATCTATACATCAGAGCAATATAACTGGTATAAAAGTTGTTTACAGACACAAAAAAAAAAAAAATACACACCATAGTAAAACCAATAGATCACTCGCTACGCTCTGAATCTTAAACAAACATCATAGTAAAATAGAACCCTCAATACGCTTTGATTCTAAAAATAAAAAAAAATTGCCTATGTCCCGTTATAAAGAAAAACGAAATTAATATACATTAGTATTATACAATAACAATAAATGACTGTTGTAGTTATATTACCTACCTATGTTATAGGAGAGTGAAAATCAATTTCAATATTGATTTTTTTCGCCTTGTTAATTTTTACACAAATATGCACGAGCGCGCGTAATAAGACGACTGTAAATTATAAAAGTAAACACGTTCAGGTTTTTGTGTTGACTATTGGGTTGTGTTTATATACGTACAGTACCTATACTGCAACCAGACTTTTTTTTATAGCTATATTATACTGTTTAGGCTGTGACTACACAACAATATTTAAGTTTACTGTAACAATAATATTAAAAATGTCATTAACCTACAGCAGTCCGTATAGTTTTGTTTTAATACAATATTTTGTATAATTTATAATTTTTCTTTTATAAATAACGCGTTTCAGTCATTATAGTACTCATATTATTATCATTATTACACATAACTCTACACACCAAAGATAATAAAATACTTGTCTTCGTATATAGGAGGTATCTTAGGTACGTGAAAAAATGAAGGTTTTTTAACCTATATTAGATAAATACATTTTAATATGCATATAGAATAATAATTGCATACATTTATATACACTAACTTACATGTGTTATTTTTTTTTTTAATAAAGGTACCTATCGTTCGAATCTTGTTTGCGTCATAATATACTTATTTTATACCTACTATCTAATATATATTACTTTATACGGTGTGTTTCACTCAAACAATGGTAACATGAAATATTTAAACCAGGTAATAACAGGTAATATTATTGTTTTAGTAATCTACAATGTATTATATCACAAGATGTGGAAGTCAATTCTTACAAAGAGCTCAATGATATGGCAGACAACGAGGAAACATAGTCGTAAATAAATTTGTTATAAACCAATCTTCGGATTAGAAAAAAAAAATTATTTAATGTTCATCTTAAATATTAATATCCACATTATAGTAATTATATGAGTACCTTATATCCTCCCTGCGTAAGTCCGGCATTTCGTTTCGCTAATACACATTTCATTCGTAAAAAAAATACTCGTTGAAGTTCGAAAACGTTGGAATCTATACATATTGTAAACATATTATTTTTTTTAAATTTAATCTTCTTTTTAAAAATATTTTCTTATCATACAATACTCACTTAACATCATGCTCTCTGTTGGGACGTTCTGAGGGGGATGATGAGGACTGAGCACTGCTAACATTTCATCGTGATCGGCTTGATGAATGTATTCGAATATACTATTCCCGGTTAATTCCACCTATGATAATCAAATACATAATAATTAATCAACTAAAATCACAGTGCATGTTTAAGTAGAATTATTTACAAAATCGACGGCAAAAAATATAGAAAATCAAAGGTAAAAAGTTTTGAATCAATAAAATGTGTTTACCTGGGACAATCCCAAGTGAACAGATGCCGTTTCTGATATATACATGATCTTACCGTCACCGCCTACGACAAATATAAATCCATCTAGACTCTATAAGAAAAAAAATCAAAAACAATAATTTAATATTACCGATAAAATCGACCATACAACATAAAGTTTAATCCGCGAGTTCTCGGATTCGTATCAAATATAAAATATGATAACTTAATAAATTTAAACAAATTATTTTCAACAATTTATATTTAATTAACTCCATAGCGTTCCAATGTAGTTTTTTGAGAGTACCGTATACTATAACATCTTATGTCTTAAATGAGATATTTTATCTTTTTTATAGTTTATACAGTTTATAAGGAAATGTATAGATCAATAATTCAAAAATTAATATTAAATTACCAAAATAAAACACTCAAAATTTAAAAGAAAGCTGACACTGCTATTAGATGTGTTGCTGTTTCAAGTGGGAATTGGAAGATAAAATATAAAATAAAGTAATTTAATTTTTATTTGAACGCAACAATAAACCATTGCAAATGAAAAACAATTATGGGCAGAGGCGTATTATAAATCGGTTTTTGTTCTCCTGTTGTCAAGGTAACCCAGAAATCAATAAAACATTTTACCAAACATGCCAATTTGTTAGATTTATTAAGAAAGCATAAGGGAAATCAAAAAATGACTTTCTCAATGCACCAATTAGGTCTAAAATGTTACAAGAAAGTTTTTCTACAGTTTTTGATCGGAATAAGAATACTGGTAAAAAAGTTATTTACTTACATCATACCAAGTAAAACCAATAAAGATCAATCTAAAAAAAATACGTAAATCGTAAAAAAATTGTGAATTCTTTAGTTATAGTGTTAATTAAACAAATAAGATTTTTATTACTATTACTGTTTTAGTAGTATAAATAGTATAAACGTTCAATAATGTAATGATCCTTGTCATGGCATTTTTTTTACCATTTGATAGTTAACCATGATTTTTCAACAAAATATTGAATATATATGACGTATAGTATACACTGTGGGAACACCTCTGGTAATTTTTAATCGAATGGATTAGGAGGATGAGAAAAAAACTAATTTCTATTTTTACCATTTACTATTTGATTGTTATACCGATTTTATCGTGCAATTACCTTCAATATATTTACCTGTAGTAGATATGAACCAAGTTCTTTGATGCAAGCTTCTTTGGCGTGACTTGCTGGAGTCGCTGCGCCCCACGCGTCACCCAAACCTATGTATATAATATATAATATATAGACAGTTGCATAAAGTGTAATATGATTAACATTTCAAACGAATATTCTACTACATTCTAAGTATTGCAGATACTCGGTGTGGCAAATATAAGGAAAATTGATATTATATCTCTCTTTGATATATTTGTTTTAGTATCTATTATTTATAGATCTGCCTATTTTGAAAATTCCAATTTTTTACTTTTTAGTCAGAAAAATCTAAAATGTGTTGGTACTTTTATATCACAAAAATGTATACCTTTATACAATTAAGGTAGTTATAGATACTTATACTGTTACCTAAAAGTTAAATAATCAGCTAATAACTAAAGTTATGTGCATGATTATTTTAGAGTATATCGAATAATAAATTACTTACAATACTTACAATAATTTATAAACTGGAAATGTATATATATATTTTTTGCCTATAGATATAATATGTTATACATGTGCAATATTATGACACAATTTACAAATTCAATATGTTCCTTCTAGGATAAATCTTTATGCCACTGAATATTCGTATATAACCGCAGCGATTGATTATGTGATATTAGTATACGTTTACTTACCATCTGGGAATACGTGTCTCATTTTCAGGTAACTAGTGGTCAACCGGATCACCGACGCTTTATCTAATTGACTGGTAATGGCCGACGGCAGTGGCAAGAGTTTTGACAACTCTAGGAATTCGGCGTTCTCATTCTCCCTACGTGTCCTCGCCGCATTTCTGCTCCTCTCTCTCATCTCTGCATATACGAAAACAAAACAAGTCACGAATAAATAAAAAAAAAAAACACATCACCGATATTCACATAGGTAAGTATTATTATATTCAATGATGCAACTGTAGTTTAGTTATATCAAAACGTTGCAGTATTTCGACAAATCTAATAGCAATGTAATATGTTATGTATAGTATTACCGCCTGCGTGCATTTTGAATGATATCCTGCACGGTGTATATTTTTTCTTCAGCGATACGTGCATAATTAAACGTTAATTTAAAAAAAAAATAAATACTCGAACGCACATGGTATCGTGGATGAATCTAATACATTATGGAGTAGACGGCGAGGAAAATTTATAGTTCTATCTGAAACCGACTCGCCGAAACAACTACTACACAAACTATCGGAACTAAAACAATTTTTTGCAGACTACATTATATTACAGCGTGGTTTGTTTACTAAAGCAACCTTGACCACCGAGTTTGGATGACATATATTGTTTATACTCTGTTTCATTTCCTCGTCTTTTATCGTACCATATAATGTTAAAATGTTTATTATTTATAAATTAAGGAAAAAACGTTAACCTCGCGAGTCTATACAGCGGGTCATTTTCCTTTGGTCGAAAGTTAATAATAGTTTACAATTGTGTTAGGTATTTAGCGAACTCTAAAAGAAAAGAATGTTTAATTCTTCATAATAATATACTATACTATCTTACTGAAATCCCATATAAATAATTTAATGTACATTTACAATAATGATATTTTATAATAAATCTTTGGTCCCAGGGAAGAAGGGCTCAAGTTAATTTCATACAAAAAATGTTCAAATTACAACAAAATTGGGAAAAAATGACAGAAATTATAATATTATGAAATTTATAGAAAAATTATAGATAAATAATATAAGAAAATTAGATTAAAATCTTTGATCCTTAAACTCTTCCTTGGAATCAAATAAAAATAATTTTATGATTCTTTTTAGTATCAATAAATAAGGCAAAGTTAAAAATATAAAATATTATTGCCAGTACTTATTTGGCGTATTACAAGTTGGTAATACAAATTGTCTCTTTACGCTTGGCTCATACATTTATTTATTTTATTTTATTTTGGAATTTTTTGGACATTGATGTAGAAAATTATTCAAATAATGATCCTGCTCTATGAGGTAGGTACAATATTAAATTACATACCTCTTTATGAAATTGTGCATGAAAATTTTCGGATAGGCATACTGCCTCAAACTGTGGTATTTTAGAAAAACAACAAAAATAATAAAAATGTTATTGTAAAATATGTATATGCGGAATGTAATAAAAACGAACAACGAAATTAGCTTGTAAATAATAAAAGAACTGCTACATCGGTTTGTAAAAAAAAATGAACATAATCCGAACACGATTTGTTTTATGATTTAACTTAAAACCTTTAAACTTTATAAATGTTTAATGAATTAAATACTGATATTATATAATTAATCTTTAAACAAATACGTAAATCTTTTTTAAAAAAAGAACATAATATGTTATTATAGGTAATAATGCAAGTGTAATTCGTTTAAAGCATTTTTAAATGTAAAATCATAATTGACTTACTCAAAACAACATGGGATAACGTCATTTCACGAGTAATAAGGACGTTGTACAACGCGATAAAATTTGTTTCGAAGTATTGATCGTGTATAAAATACTATTATGAAAACATATATTTAACCATGTAATAAACGTGTGAAATATCATTGTGTTATAGAAAATATATTTTTTTTGATTAGAGATTAATTCGTTCGAAATTTGATTACATCACGGTATACAATTTATTTTGATATACGTATGCACTAAGAATTCAAATACCTATATTATAATATACGAGTATATACCTCGTGCTCTTAATAAAGATAAGCTCCAACAGGTTTTGCTCGGTTGACAGCTCACGAAAGATAAATTGTACCTAGGTATACGATAAATTTGTAAAATAATAATAATAAAAAAAACTAGTAGGTAAATATAATTTAAATTGATTTGATTAATTTAAGCGCACGGCGGTAGCCGTATTTAAAGGAAGAGATTAGTGATATATATATATATTCCTCTTAACCGTTATTTAGTAGGTATCTGCATTTTATATGACTGTATGTACTATGTAAGTACCTATTTTTAATTCCAGTTTTTTTACTATTTAGTCAGATAAATAAAAAATGTGTACGGTATCCATTTAGTAAAAATAATATTACTAAATAAATATGAACCTATAGGTTTTTGTTTTTATAAAACAAAATTAATCAGCACTACTATAATATGAAGGAGTTAAATAATTAGAAAGTACCTAAATTTAATTAAACTAATAATTGTTACTATTACTAATGATAATTTTTTGTAAAAATATATAAATTAAAAATTGATTTTTTTATAGGCTAGTTTATACATTATGACACAATTATTTTCAAACTTAATATTCCGTGGTTGACAAAATCTTAAAAACGCCCCTGCGGTGCACGGGCTTCGGCGAGAAATTATGTGGGAATAATTTTACTTTGGAATGTACAATATTATTTGTGTAATTATTTTTTAAAACGGAAAAATGTCTTATATTATTGATCCAAAAGTAAAAAAAATTCTATTACTCCGGGCATCTTCTGCCCCGTTATCTGTGAGTTCCTGTTTTCTTTATAAAAAAAAAAAAAAATCCATCGGCTGATATAGTAAAATATATATGATTTAGGTGTATAGAAAATAGAAACCGCCGTCATCGTCGCACGTGCGCATTTTGCCGCACGTCAATGACGCACTCGGTTTCGCGAAAACGTGATTTATCTACTATAACAATCGAAATCTGTTTAAGCCAAACGTTTCCAAGCTCACGTACGCGAATATTTTGTCGGGGTACCCTCCATTTTTACTGATAAAAAAAAAAATAATAATAACAAAACAGAAGCGGGGAAAGAGAAAAAAAACCGTCCTTACAATATTATAATAATAATATAATAATATATAATATTACCTTCTGGTTCGGGCAACGATAACGCGTTATTATTGGAACGACTGTAGCATTTCTTTTTGGTTTTCATTTTTAACTGTTGGCACGTCATAGTATTAGTCTTGTTCACCGTCGACAAAACGATTTCCCGGCGGCACATTTATGCTGTGTTAATAACCGTGATGCGTTTTTACGATCGAAGCTGGACACTATACCTACTGAATAAGACGTGCATATATATATAGTATACGCCGCCGTTGCAGTGCAGTTTCTTCGCGACCTATACACTAAACGAGCACCGGACGCACACTGGCCGAGCGTAAGTCTCCTAATAAACGTCCGAACACCGTCAAAAACGCACCGACGACACCGTCCACAGGACGGAGAAATTTCCAAAAACATAATAGACGCACACCACCAGGTATACTGACCGGACGAGGAAGTCGTGGAGGGGCGAAAAAAAGGTAGACACAGGGTCGCCGTTGCCTTTAGGCTCCTCACAGTCTAGCTGACCGGCGGCTTTGTCCTATCCGAAACCTGTCGGGATAACACGTACACTATTACACGTACCTATATACTTAAACGCAGATGTATATACGTTTATTGATGGACCGGCATATTTTTTTTTAAACCATTTTTTTTTTCTTATATATATGTGTATATAAACATACCTATGTACATTTTTACGTTGAATAATGCGCCCTGTACGATTTTAGTTGGAAATCCATTGAGTTAACAGGTAAAATTTAGGTCAGAGATTAACTAAACAACAGCACAAAACCTATTATTTTCTTATCGACTCGACGCCGCTGAAACTCTGAATACGACGTATAAATTCTGAACCAACAGTTATATATAGGCAATATATTATATTATGTTACATTATATTACTATATTATGATAGATTGTATATATGAGCGGTACCTAATATAAAATATAATGTTATTACTTTTAAATACAAGAAAAAAGTACTTACATTTAAAAATACCAACGTGTATTAATATTTTAAAATACATATTATACGTACCTAATATGTCTATTTAGTATTAAGTGATAAAGTGGAGTAAAAATATTAAAAACATGTATGCAATTATTATTATTATTTTGTTTAACAAAAAAGTTTGAACATAACAATTCAGTTTTTAGTGTTATTATCTATTTATAACAGAATTCAAATGAAAAAGGGACGCGCATTATTGGCCATTATTGACAAGTATCTAACATATAGAACATTTATTTTGATCTGGTCATCGGTCAATTTTAAAGCATAAAGTTCATAATTTTATTCATTATTCAATATTAGTTAAATTTAAGACATTTTTTTACAACATTTCAAAAACTTCAGTCTCCAAGTCATAAGCGTAAATAATCCAGATAATTTGGAGGAGCTTAACACCCCATCATATTAATTAATATTGGTTATACATATTTTGTATTTACTTGAAGGGACTTGACTGAATTTTAGGAGCCAGGCTCCATACGTCCCTTATTTGCACCTATACCTAAATATGTGAGCTTAACTTTAGTTCTAACAAACGTGTTTTATTTGATTAAATTACCGATTACTTCAGATAATGTATACAATGTTTATCACAGGCTTCCAAAAAAAAAATATACATAAATGTTGTTCACAATTAATTGTAAGAACGGTATTAATAGAGGCGAAAGGCCTTTGATCAATTCAAATAATAAGTTGTTTTTCTTTCACGATTATGTGATTGTAAAATTGTATTTACATTTAAATAATAGTACCCAGTACCAATAGTGTGGTATGAACATTTTCAATATTTTGAAGTGTATATTTTTTTTTAATACTGTACTGCCTCCCATAATATGTTTTCGAATACGATAAAACATATTTATTATAAGCCATGGAGAAATTGCTTTGAACAATCCCACCAAAACTATATTGTATATAATGAGTTTTTTATACATAAATGCAATTTTCGAAGTAAATAAAAAAAAAATATACTGCTCTAAAGGTTAATATAATTTATACCTTTAGTGGATACCTGTCAAAGTTAAAAAAAAACATATTCTTTATTCAATGATTTAATACAGTAATATTAGAATAGCATAAACATGTTTTTTAATCTCTGCAGCCCTGCAGTACACAATGGGGTGTTTTTTTTACCTATACAATGATTTTACAAAATAACCAATATAATATATAAATAACTGTACCTCAGCGCAAAAAAAAAATATATATTGGTTATATTATATCTATATATACATTTTAATAAAATATAATACATTTGATATTATAAGAATGGCGTAGGTAATATTAAGTATCAATTTCGATTCCTTTGTATATTGGCTGAACTCGGAACAATATACAAAGGAATCGAAATTTATACCTAAATATTACCTACGCTATTCTCATTGATGAAAATTTACCCAACATTTAAACAAGATGTGTAATATGCACCAATATTTTTAAAATGTGTTTGTAATTTGTGCCAAATATAGATATAATATGTGATTTGCACCATCACCATCGCAGGTAGTAAAAAATAATATGAACTGCAATTTGCACCAGAATTAAAATTGATTAGGTTTTCGATAGTACGTAGTATTATACGTTTCGATATTATAGTAAAAGATATGAGAAGTTCGAAATGTTACGTTTCCAACATTGCTTAGGTAGATAAAAAAACAAAAACTTATGTAAACAACACATGGTGATGTCGGTAATTCAAGTATAAAAATGTACAACGAAATAAATTATAATAATATTATATAGATGGTTAATGTATTTTTAAAGGACTCTTATAAGTAAAATTGGTCAATTAAACTTTAGGTAATTTAAAATAAAACAAATTGGAAAATGTCGTATTCAATTAATTAAATTTAAATTTAAAAAAACATATTATGTAGGTATGTATAGAAAATTGAAAACCTAAAGTTGACGTCACATTGTTGTCAGATTGAATTACCAGTTTTATGTTTCTCGGCCAAAATATGAAGATTATATAAACTGGTAACAATATACAATATACATATAATATATTTAGGTATCACCGAAATAATTGATACATTTATGATGATTTTGGTACAAATTACAGACTCCCATTGTCCCATTCATATTATATTAACATTTCCGAAAAACCCTGTTTGTTACGAAAGTAGAAAAAATCTATACATTTTTTGCATTGAAAACGGTCTTCGAATAATATAGGGGATTTATTCGAGAATAATAATTTCTACGAGTGTCTGGTGTGTGTGCGCACGCTCGGTCGGATACCGAAATAATTCCGGCACACGTCCAAAAGATCAACCATTATATTTAACGATATACGAACGGGGAGGTTGGGTAATGCATAAATACATACAGAGAGGGACCGGTGTAAAAGGAAAACACTCGTAGTGAAAAACGCCCCTCTTTTGCGTATGATAATATATACGACACGACATCACGAGTGTGTTTATACGCGGGATTTGCGAAACGTAATTGAATTCAATTGGCCATGGGCGGTAAAAATCCCCGCTACCCTTTGCCATTTCGGGTTTGTATTTACCGGCCTGCGCCGCCGTCATAGCATATTATGGTATAGTATGTATAGTAAAGCCCTTTAATCGCCCTTTAAAGTAGTAATCCACGTACTTGAGTGTAGTCGCAGATAAATAAATAAAATTTTATTTCACTGAAAAAATATTTGTATATTTAATTGCATAGATTTATAAAACCACCGCGCGCCGGTGTATGTAAAATGTATAATAATTATTGTAAATAATAAAAATGTTCGGCTCGTGAACGCGCACGTGTGTCCGTATTACATATATTGTATGTATATTTTGTATTTTTAGGTATTTAAAAACATAAATGAATTTATCATAATTTTGCAATACTCAATATTAAAAAGGCTACACTCAAAAGGCTACTCACTACACACTTTACACGCCATGGATGGACCTCTGTGGCTCTATTGTATACCTTAATGGGGAGTTAGGAAGGTAACAAAATACGCATACTATAACATAATACTTTCAATATATCGGCTGTACGCAACGATACATTATTGCAAACGAAATACGATTCTGAGTGAAGTTTAGAAATCATAACCAACAAATAATGCCCGAGTAGTAAGTATATTTTATAGACCTATAATATATTCAAAAACATCCTGTGACACAAACGAAACAAACGAAGAATTCGTTTAACCATTTCATTTATATTGATTGCTGATATTTATATGAAATATGACAGTCGAGTGGAATAAAATAAATTAAACACAAGTATATAATATACATATATGAATGTGTTTATGGTATAAATAATATTATTATATCTCAGATGCATACGAAGCATCACTTCATTTTCCGGTTGTCACCATATAGCAATTTAGGTGCGGCACTGTGATTTTTATGCCGATGCACCGGTCGATCAGCCGGGAAGGTTAGGTTAGGTCAATGATACTGTTTTTTTTTCTTCTTCGGATCGGGGGTTTCAATAAAACATGTGAATAATACTCGTCGGCACGTTTGTTACCAGCAACTATGTTATTTGTGATTTTTCTAACAATCGTACCTGTACAATGAAATACCTTTACCAAATAAAACTATTGAAATAAAAAGTATATTCAAATTTTGAAGTGTTGAATACCGACATTAGAAAAAAGAAAAAAGAATTTCACGTCGACAAATAGCTATAAGTACGTATAACTCCTTTCATCGTTACCATAATCGTCTCCCTTCAACATTATCATCATCACCATCATCATCATCATCATAATCATCATCATGCATCACGATCCATCGTTTACATGTGGATAATCGTCGCAAAGATTTCTCTCTCTCGTAAATCTTGAGGCCAACGACACAATCGATATTATGCACATGGCGTACAGTATAGGCGTTATATTATTATAGATGCATAATATTGTAATGTGCCCGATGCCTATATATATATATGTATACAATAAGAGCCAATTGCGATTTGTCGGCAAAAAAATAAAAATAAAATGAAAAACCGGTGTCTGCAGCAGCAGCACCAGCAGCAACACCAGCACTGAACGCTAAACGGCCGACTCAGCACTGCACTAGAATGACCCTGACCTCCATTATTCCTAAATTATTACTATTTTTTTTATCTATACATATATATGTATTATATTGCCACGTTCGTAGAACGCACGATAAAATGTTGACGATATATACGATTTATTTTCGCCTTTAAAACGTTACACCGCAAATACACACATACACGCACATACACATTATAATGGGTACTTTAAAATCTCGTAAGGAACCACACACTACAGCAGGAAATCGTCGTCACCCTTTCGTGGCGTATATTTTTCTACGACGAAGTCCGTATAGGTATACGATAAGCGCGTTAAACTGATTTAATTTCACGTTGCGTTAACGTCGTCGTTATCAATTACCCAGAGGAGTCTAAGTAGTATAGGTACATGACGGTGAATATTATACACTCAAGTACACGTGTGTGAGAAGTTCGAACAACAGTAAAGAAAAAAAACCGTCGTCGTTGTGGTCCCCGACGAGGTATATATATATATAAGTACAGGTATCCAAAATCGATTATGCATACGTTTTGGAGCCAATTTGTCATAGTTGAGAAATGAAAAAAAAGCAACAATAATAAAACAAAATAAAGTGTAAAAAAAAAACAAAACGAATCATATACCGTCTGGACCCCATAAAAAACAATAGCACGCTCCACTATAGTATACGTCCTCCGCATATTATGATGCTGTTCCTTGCAGTACAAGCAACACCAATGTGTAAATCATATTTCATAATACATTATATGGATCCGATTCATTACGTCTCATCCATTGTTTTGATTTTGGAGTTTGATATGATACTATATGCCCAAAAAATAAAAGCATTTCAAAAAAAAAATGTTATGAGTTTTCATAATAGTTTACATTTTAGATTCTGAGTGTAGCAAAGAATGCATTGGTTTTACTAAGATGTTAATTTTTTTTTTTTTATACTGTGCACAGAAATTCTACCAGAAATCCTATTCAGATATATACACGCGGCACCATTTCTGAGAGAGAATGTCCAGATGGTACTTTTGGAAGGTCATTTTTTGATTTTCCAAGTAGTTTTCATAATATCTGGGAAAAACCATAATAAAACGTAAAAAAAACAGGAAATTTACGAAAATAATGCTATTATTATTTTCAACTTTGTTATTTGTTGTGATTCAATTAAAAATATTTGTAGAAACTTGAAATTTGAACATAAAACTCATATTTGCCTTTTCTAGATGTGGTAAAATTTTTAAATAATTTAAGCCAAGTTTGAGGTATTTATAGACATTTTAATTTTGAGACTTTTCTATGTAATATTTATTCGGTAGGTACTCTGTGGTTTGACAGAAAATGTTAAAACTAGAGAAAAAAAATTATGCAATATTAAAAAAATATTAAATAAAATACATAATGCTTATTTAATTAGGTATTTTACAATAATATGACATATAATATTGTTGACAAAGCATCACCATCAACTGAACTGCGCTCAGAATCGTTTTTTCGTTAGCAGTGGTTTATCGTTGCTTACAGATAAACATTAAATTACCTATAACAGTTGCTGCACCCATCTCCATTATCCTCGGACGTCTTTTTCATTCAATCTCTTGCATTCATATAATATACCTACTTAAAAAGTAAGTTTTTTAATTTTTAATGACCGAGAAATGAATAAGAAAAACGAAAAATAGCCGGACCATGATACTTTGGATCATGATGATGAATAGGTCACTGTTATAGATAGAAAATGTAGAAGGTATAGTATATAAGCATAGGTATCCATGTAGGAGCAAAATAAACAATGAACATATTTAAACCCACAAAAAATTGTTTTTGTTTGAGTCTTGACGCACAGCCTGGATGATTCATAACTCGTATAACATTATTTTCTTGTATTGTGTTTTTATATCCATGCATGTTTTTAAATTTGATCGCAGTTTACTTCTCCTCTAAAAATTACCTTTCCTATATACTGAAACTTGAAAGTAACGATAAATCATTGTAATCAAAAAATGATTCTGAGTGGATGGTTTGGTAAACTTATACCAGATTATAGGAGGGAGAGATCCGTTTTCCACCAAAACAAATTCATATATTATTTTAGATATTTTTTGAGAACCCCTGATATTCCGTCTTGGGTTATTATTTAATCGCGAAACCTGTTACAGTGGACGCTGACTGAAACTGCTTCAGTCAGCCTATACCGCGACAGCGTTAACAATATTTTGAATTAATTATTTGAATAATGTCTGAAAATATTTAAATGATAATGAATAACCGTGGACATATTATGCTAATTTACAACAATTTAAAATTTAACCATGCGTATACATCTCAAAATGACATTACGCAGTGGATGTGCTACGAAAAAGCCTGTAAAACTATGTAGATAATAATAGTAAGTACAAATTGTATTATACTCGAAGTGATATAGAGACTACACAAGGCGCAGATTATTTTCTATATTAGTTTATTATCTTTAACTATGTTATAAGATGAGGTGCGTAAACGTAATCATTATGATTTGATGGATTTAGGTTCAAGGGTTCTCAAAAAATATTTAACATAATATAATCATTTTTTTAAATTTTTTTGCGGCTATTTGTACGTCTATGGGCCGCTTTACTTACCAAAAAAGTGTTTTCCAGGGAAAAAAACACATCTTAATATAATAAATAGCTTCTTCATTACAATATAAGAATAAAAAAAAACCAGATTTCCAAAACCAATAAAAAATGCCTTGTTCTGTTTAGAATCTAGAAAAATTGAAAGCGTTTTCTTTTCAGGATATTATTATTACATAGGATTGTATATTATAATAATTGAAACAAATGCGCGTATCGTATTACCGACCAGTTTGTTTTTTTTTTTCACTGAAACCACGGTCACCCAATACCTCACACAATACGTCATCAATCATCGTAATCCATAAATTATTGTATTCGGTATAACGGAATGTGAACGTATATAATATTATTTTGTATATTATGTGATCATCGATTTTGTTTATTTTGTAAAATTACCTACTATAGATAGGTATACCTTTATTATTAGTTATTGCAGCGATTCTGCACAGTACATATAATACACAGATGGACCGCAAAATAAGCAATGTTCGAGTGGCAATCGGCTTAGTCAACAAAATACAAACAAGTCGTAAAAAAAAAAAAAAAAAAAAGAAAGAAAGGAACAAAACGAAAAATATAATATTTCAGCCACGGATTATTGTTATTATGATTGTATAGTTTGTCGCGAAGGCGGTAGCGCGGCGGAGGGGGACCATACTGCTACAGACCTGCTTAGCAACGGAATATTATATACGCTCGCGATTGCAATAAATGCTTTTGCGCGAAAATAAAATGACGTGTGTTCGCGAACACAATAATAATAATAATAATAATAATATTTGTCGTAAATATTAAAAACACGACTACCAACGGGTCGACTATATTGCAGACTGGTGGCGGTGATTTAATCGAACGAGTACAATATAATAATCGTCGTTGTATTTCACGAGGGAAACTGTACCAACAGAATATAATAATATATATATAGACGAACGATGCGAGGAAGGGATAGTACACCCCTTCGTGACACGTGGGACTTACGATTATCACCACGGCTTAAAACCGATATATTATTATTATTTCGGTGAAGGTATTATACGTATATATTATATTATCAGTGTATACATAGTATTTTAACATTATAATATTATTGTTTCGTACAGCGGTAAAATAACTATTTCGGTAAACCGGCAAAATCGCACTCGCAATCCGAAAATCGCATCATATAATACATAGTATGAATTATATATGTGCTATGTGCAGATAAATTGAAATTCAAAACACGATTCAAATGGTTATATTTACACGTCGGTTTTACATCGCTAACGAATCGATTTTAATTAATACAATTTAATATAGTTAGGTAGTATGTATTATAAATGTTATGCGTTGTTTGCAGTGTTCGCACGTAATTCCAATCTCCAGAAACTATTATATTTGTTGTGTCGAATAGTGATGAACGTCAAAATATCTTGTCTATATGCAATTATTTTTGTACAATATAGCAATCATTTTTAAAGAAAAACTGTCAAGTATCGTATACATTCGTACCTGTTCAAAAATATAAATAAGTACAATTTCATGTTCTCTTAGTAATAGCAGAAATTCATAACAAGTAAAATATGATCTTTAAAAATTAAAATAAATTATAATTCTAAATGATTAGAATATCTTCAGCTATTCAGAAAAAACTGGTAAGTTGTTTTCATTTTTCTTTGTTTATTTAAACAACTTTTCTACCAAAAATCTTGCTCCAACCAAAAACTTGTTTTATTAGAAATTATTTTTGAAGCGATATAAATTATTAATAATTGTATTGTTCATCTGTAGTTTATCAACTAATTTCTATCGTAAATTAATACAGACCATATTTACCTACACGTTTTATCCAGACAAAAGCCATTAAATATACTTTTTTATAACTTTACAAGATTATGAGTTTCTATGGGTGCCATATTGTGAACTATGCAGTGTGTAAGTATTTTCCATTTCGACCATTGCGTATATGAAGTATGAATACATCATATAATAATTACCAATGACAAAATATTATTGTGATTAAATTTGATTCATAGATTTCACTTGATATTATTTTTTTTATTTATAGGATACTTGTTAATATTAAATAAAATATTATCGTTCGAACGTACATCAATATAGCTACTAATCAGTGGTGGATTTTCAATATTTTTCTAGAAGAGGTCCTGACAAATGAAATATATTAAAATGTATCCATTAATAGATGCCTCTTTTTCAGACGACATTTTATCGAAATTATATCAATGTCTGGGGGTTCAGACCTCCTGAAATCCGCTGTAAATCCGCCACTGCAATTATATATAAACAGAAACGGTTTTATAGGTTATAAAATAATTGTGGGATAGTAATGTTAACTCAAATACTCCGGTGTTGTGGGTATCAGACGAAAAAAAATGTATAAAATAATTTCTACAGCCATGGTGTGTACCCATAATATAAGATATCTAGCTGATAACTGTTGAAATAATAAACAAATTTCCGAACGTTCACATACTCGTAGGTATTATTATAGTGATGTACCAACCCCCTATTATAATACCGCAAGTATTATTATACTTCCGATATAGTGGTATGTTGAGTACGCGTGTGAAATGCGGGTATTATTTTATTCAAAATATTTACCTATAATTCTGTGAGAACGATGTTTAAAAAAGATTTGACCGTGAGTATTATATACTTATCTGACTAAATCATAATATTATTATTATTTTCATTTAGATAGAAAGTTCAATAAAAACAAAAATAGACAACAAAATATAGCGTAACATAAAATTTATATTGAGTTTTCATATAAATCTACCTTTTATGTTTACCCAAGCAGTTCTAAAATTATCCAGTAAAACACACAAAATGCAGAAAAAACATTATTTTCATTAATTTTTTTTGTTAAATATTAATTAAAACACAGTTTTTGACATTTTAGGTCTAGGTCGATTTTACGGATTGCGTGAATACACGACTTAAGCCTTGAGTGTTTACAATTTTTATATTTTAAAATTGAAATTTACATTTTATGAATTTTAATTAGTGGAAAATATGTATATTTTAAAAAATGTCCATTGTTTATATTATACCTATTAATAATTGTTCACGGTCTTGTACATATATATAATATTATTTATTATATAGCCCATATACCTTAGTTAGAAACTAGTATACGGTATACCTACTATAATACTTTAAAGATATTTTCAATTTTTTCTATAAGATATTCAAAAGCCCAAAAAAGATTTATAACCAATTCACCAAGTTTTAAATGTGCCAACTAGATACCTAAATTTATCAGCTGTTAAACATATCAGGCAAAAGGATAATAGTTTTATGTTGTACTTTCATTTATCAATTAAAAGTAACCTTTAAAACTTAATGAATTTATCTTAAATTTTCTTACAATGTTAAAAATTATATAGAACAAATTAACATTGGTGTCCCATCAATATTATTAAATTTGAACGGTACGCATCGCCTTAAAAGGTAAAAATATATTATGTTTTTTTAGATTTCCTGAGTGAAAGGAATAAATATGGAATAGAAAAAAAAATACATATTTTAGATTACTAATTTAATGATCGCATAAATTATATGGAAAAATAACGATGTGTAAGACGAGAAAATTTCAGCTCCACGTGTATGTACGGGGACATCAATGCATCGTCGTAAAAAAGTGCATTCGTCACATTATAATAGTTGTTATTAGTATTTAGTACTAATATATTAATATGTTGGCCGTTTAAAAATATGTTTCGCTATATATGACAGCTTTGTATATTACAGTTGTCTCTCCTATACGCATTTATAATACTACAACTACTATTATTTATATATTATGTGTATACACTTCAGTCTACCATATTGTATATGACGCGTGTGCACACGCATAATATAATATTATAATAATAATAAAAAAAATAGGAACTTCAATGAAGTCGGATATCCACCGTATCCGCCCGTATGGTATTGTTACATCTTTTTGCGAGGCGCGGTCGTCATCCTGTGCAGACGATATGTACTTGGCGAAAAAAAAAATGAGAAATAAAAGAAGACCCTCTCCGATGATCTAGCAGATATAATATTATGATGTTCCTCTCGATCATGCGCAAGATAAACACGTAATAGTAGGTACCTAGGTACAAACATATATTACACGTAGTAATCCACGTAGTAATACGAAATCGTCGTTTTAAGTGTGTTTATTATAATAATATAATATATTGTTGTCGGAGGCTTTGTAACCATTGTCATTCGTTTGCTTTTATATATATATATATATTTACATCGATGTTACTTTTGACACATCTATAATATTATTGTATCGTACCTATACGTTTCAGTAAAAGAGACGTGTGCACAAGTACCGAAAATCAAAATTTGATATCTCCATCTCGTGCTATGTTATTATTTGGTATCGCTACTATGTGTGCCAAAAATTTAACTACCTCGGGATCTCGTCTGCATGTGCCATTTACATTGAATAATAGACATCACACTGACATTGAGGCAGGTAACATCTGTTTTCATATTGAAATTGTGTTATACGATTGATATTAATCATAGATTGAATTACATAACAATGTGAAAATTAAATTAAAATATAAATATTTAAGTTTCATGAAAATCAAGTTTTTTTACTATCAATTTTTTGTTTGTTTTTTTTTTCTTAGTAAATAATAGGGAGAATCCTATTATATACGATAAAAAATACTACGATGATGATAAAATGTTTACGTTTGTTGAAAAATTAGTTTCATTTACATATTTACATACCTGCAGTGCGAAAAACAAAATCTCTTTCCATTAATTTTGTGCAAGGAACATGTTTATCTAAATTTAACTTTAAAATTTATTGGTTTTACAACGATATTTATTTTTTTTTTTTATGTGAACACTTGTTCTATTGGCAATTTTGATCGGATTTACTATGATGGTATTTTTTCTAAAAGGAAATCTGAATAAGGATATACTTTAAAGAGGTAATTTTTCAATTTTTCTCAACAAATGTAAAAAACTTAGGAAAAACGAGAAAATCAGTACTTCAAAAAAATATTATTAAATATGGTTTTCCTCATTATCTCGAATATTAATGAGAATTTAAAAAAATAACCTCTCTAAAGTACCACCCAGAGAACATTTTCTTTCGGAAAAAGAGCTATACTTGATGATCGGAGTATGATTTTTGGTAGAAAAATTGTTCACATAAAAATAAAAAAAACATCATTGTAAAATCAATACATTCCTCCTCCTTCTACTCAAAATCCAAAATAATAAGTTTATGTAAAAAAAATATAAATAAATAAAATGTTCAAATGCTATCCAAATAAAACAAATATAAAAGTATTTTAACAAAATGTGTATGATACTACTATTTAATAAATTTAAATTTTACTTTTAAGCCATATGCTCACAAAATGACATACATATTGTATGTAAAGTACCTATATTATAAATACCTAATTATACGCGGTTGCACTACAGAGAAATTTAGGCTGAAGTCAAGGAAGCTACCTTGGATCAAAGCAAAATAAGTAATAATAGAAACAGAGTTCTGTAATGTGAGAGAATATAATAAAACGTGGTTTGAAGGATTGATAAAAAATAAAGCGTTGTAAATAACTGTCCCTACATGATTAAAGAATTCGAACTATCTAGTATCGAGATAAGAATGGACAAACTTAAACCGAGTAACGACGGGACATAATATTTTAGTGGGTATTTTCTACACAAGTGAAAAATGAAATAATATTGGAAATGTGATTGTGGCAACCACGTCCAACACAGCACATAAGCACAAAGGGTATAAATACAAAATCCCTAACTATGTAAGAAATCTAAATATTATACAACTTAAGGACTAAGATTGTGACGCAAACAACTAAATTGATTTTAGATTTGGAGCGTAGCAAGGGAATGAGGGATCTATTTGTTTTACAATATATGTGCTTTTTTTTTCTGAAAACAATTTTTCAAAAAGAAATCTTGCTACGATGTACAGAGTATAGTACTTTTTTGGAAAGAAAATATTGTCTAGTTGGTGCATTAAACAGATAATTTTATGATTTTAAAAGGGATTTTCGAAATAATTAGTCAAATCTGACATAAAGTTATAGGTAAAACGGCGAATATTTACGACACGCCACTGCGTTAAAAAATAGCTCAATATCAATTTTGTTCCTATTATCATGTATCCACTATCAAATAAATTTATTTTTTTATGTCTAAAGTATTTTTCATAATAATGAAAAATCAAAAAAAAAAAAAAATTCGATTTTTTTTATATCCAAGGCGTTACGATTTCATAATTAAAAATTTGTACACTTTTCGTTTTATACCAGAAATATTGCTTCAACAGAAAAACTACAAGAGATTTTTTTTATATAAATTATTAATCTTATTAGTTACCAAGAAAATTGTTTTAGATTCTGAGAGGAGTGAAGAGCTTATGTAGGTTTTATAAGGATGTTTATTTACTTTTTTTCTGTGGACAACTTTTCAACCAGAAATATTTCTCCGATTTTTAAGTGTAGCATCTTTTCTGAAAGGAAATCGGACTGGCGATGTACTTTAATTAAGTAATTAAGAGTTTTATCAATAAATGGGGAATAACATGGAAAGACCGGAAAAATTATAGGAAAACGGGAAAATAGGTACAATGTTAAACAAATATTATTAAAGAAAATAAGTAATGTCTATGTAATTATTTTCCTATAATATAGCATACATATTGTTGACAAAACAACACTTACAACTTAACTCCGCTCAGAATCTTTTTTTTGTTAGCATAGCAATGGTTTATCGTTGCTTACAGATATACATTAAATTTACCCTCTACTACCTTCTCAACTTCTCACCTACTGTTAAAACACATTAAGTTATAATTTTTAAGAAAAATCGTTCTATTATTTACAAATACAAATAATCAAACTCAAATCCATGGATATGTGCGCTATAAATATATACGTTAAGTCCAAAAAAAAGCTATTGCTATCACTACGGCCCGATACGGTTTGTTGAGCAACTGTAGTATTTAAAACATTGGCGAAAATAAACAATTTCCGTTCGAATGGTTCTTGTGGATATTTAGTATTGGTCACTGTGCGTTTGGATCACGGTGTGTGCACACGTCATAATATACTTTATCGAATGACTATTTCTACGCATACGCATTTTTTTGATCTCTATGTAATTATTCCGTCCGCGTTTAGAAGAAAAACAATGGATTTCGCTCGCGAGCAAATAACTCCACTGTGGCGTACAGATTTCATCGTCGAGTTTGAAGAAAATTCGAACTAGCGGCACTAACGACGAGACCGTGCAAGCGACACACACATCGCGTATCACGTACCTAATCGGACATCTGTGTGATTTTCATTCGACCGAATGACTAAAACCCAAAGTGGAAAATCACTGAAAACCGAAGATGCGGACTCTGGCCGCTCACAGTCGCCACAAGCTGAGCGCTCCGAATTTTGCGAACAATGTCATCGCGGACCGTCAATAAACGCCCGAAAAACCGAAAAACCAGACGGACGGGCTTCACAAAAACAATGGAAATATCGAGCGTTGTATCCTCGAAATAATATACATAGTCAAAGCTTGCAGTTGGTTCGTGGATAGCAAAACGTTCGAAAACTTAATAACGGTCGCTAACAAAAAAAATCCATGAGCGTTATCCGCAGGAAAGGCCTCGTAGATGACATCGTGAAACAGTCAAATATGTTTTCTTGTTATTTTTATTTTGTGTTTTATTTCTATTGATTATTTTTCTTATTTCATTTTATCGCGTTATGTGCAATTTTGCCGTTGTAGCCACTATTATCATTAAAACAGGGTATTCTGTTTAAGTCGGTGTGTACATTATCTCGAAATGTTATCTACGTTATTTTTTTTCACTTTTGTGGGTAAAGCTACTTACTTTGATATTCAGATGGTAACCTATACAAACTTTTTTAATTTATTAATATAGGTGCCATTTTAAAATCTATAGTATTTAGTGGTTTTATTCCCAAAAATAAAGGTGACGAAAAAAAAAACTAAAATTGTAAAGTTGTTTGTTTCTTAAGTGTTCAATAAAACGAATTCAGAAGAGAGTTAATACTTTTCGAAATAATGAACGTATCCATTTAAATCTGTATTTTACTCAAACGTTCGCATTATATGATTTATGCCTATTATTGACTCGAATTTATACATACTTTATTAGGTACTTATTAATTAATTAAGAGAACCAATTCGGTAACAAAAATTACGAATACTACGAATTACGAAAATAATTCTTTCATTATTATAAATTTTGTTTTTGTTATGTAATTCAGTTAAAAATATTGGTAAAGATTTGACATTTTGAAAAAAATACTTGTATTTGCTATTCCTAGACGTGGTAAAATTTTTAAAATATATGAGCCTTTTTGAACTATTTATATTAGACATTTTAATTTTACGAGATTTCATAATTTTTATGTGATTTATACTCTGTAGATAAATTTGTTCGACTAAACAGAAATGCTTGAACATTTTACAGGAGGTTCATTATAAGTCGTACTTAGTGGTAAAAAATAAATGAGTGTATTGTAGTTTTTTTTTTTTTTATAAGTTTTAATATCAAATTTTAACGAAAATCGTAAATTTTACCCGAATCGTTTTTTCGTTAGCAATGGTTTATCGTTTGTTACAGGTATACATTAAATAACTTTATCCCTGCCTTCTCAACTTCTCACCTACAAAAGTGGTCTCACCCGTCCCCAGTATCAGTTCTGTTTTATTTTTTTTATGTACGTATATAATATATAATGTTACCGCGCACCTAATGCCATACTAAATGCCTCGAACACACTATACAAAGTTATAATAAATTAGGTATATATATTTTACTGTTTGACAGTTTGGCGACGAACGCCTAATATATTATTACATCGGTACATACGACTGAAATATTTTTAATTTAATTTACACGGCACGCACTGTCGTTGGGACCGCCGAGCAGCAGCTGCCGACGGTGTCGCGTTACCGTTTTACTGTAATATATACCAATAAAACAAAAAGGAAAAAAAAAAATAAAGTACCGCGTTCTCGAACGACCACACCGCAGCGCGTTAAATGATTTTAAACGAACCGAATCGTCTCGCGTCTTATAAATCTTGTATTATATATGTATATACTTGTCGGTCGAAATATATCATGTATATAATGTGTATTATAGGTATACATAATATTTTCTGTACGATCTGAAATTATAGCGTGTACGTATAGGGTGAAGTATACAGAGTGTTTTTTTTTTTTTTGTTATCACGAACTATAGCGATTATCTACAAAGTACTTATGTATAGTAGGTACTATTTGAGAACAAATTTGATTTTACTCTTTTCCGGCATTATTATAGTAACACGTATTATAATATCGTTTTTAATGATCTTATTTATAATATTATTTAAAATATTTTACCTTAATTCCGTGAATACCATCATAAACGCAACCACTAAACGTTATCTATAATGATTAAATTTATTACCCTTCTTTAGATAGGGCGGTCGGAAATTGGGCCACATTTTATCTACCTGCTTCGTAAACAATATGTTAGGACATTTTATTACCCGGTTATTGAGTATTATACAGATGTATAACACAAAAATATACAATTTTAAATAAACTAAAATACATAACATAAAATATAATATAAAATTAGTCAAATGATTATTAATTTTATTTTAAATAATGAGATACTGATTGATTTGCACAGTATTCAAAAGTGCCGTCAACAAAAATCGATTATAAAGAACATAAGAAATTTAAATTTGTGATCGTGGAAAAAATAATAATGTGGTTTAAAATAGTGGTGTTAAATAGAGGTTTCCCTTTTGTCAAATCTAAAATTTATTAAGTAGCCCAATTACCAGATTCAAGAACAAAAATTCGTTTAAAATAGTGGCCCAATCACCGGGTCTACCTATTATAAATGTAAAATTTGAATGGCCCAATTACCGTATACCTTTTTAAAAAAAGGTTCATTGTGACCCAATTCCCGGATGCCCCTTAGATAATCTGAGTTTAAAAAGATGGGTTTCTATTTATTAAAAAACATTATACGTATTAAAACACATAGACATATAGTTGATGATAATTATGTCTTTATGAAGATGCACATAATAACATAGATAACTTCATTTTGAACAATTTTATAATCTATGTCTAATTTACTCGAAATTTTTGGTAGAAATTATAATATATATGATTATGATTACGATAAAAAAAAATCGCCCTGTATATTATATTGAGGGTGTCAAACTCGTGAAGCAATTAATCGTCTATACGGATTTGTACAAATTTTCGTGTTTACTACGAACATCACCCATTTGAAATCAGAGAAGCCACCGCCGTTATAACACTAAACATCCCTTGTGAGAAGCAAAATATACCGCCTGATGTAATTTGTATTTTCCCCTATATTCGGGCGTGATACTAAAAACACGCGTTACACACATAATTTATACCATTATAGTTTTGTCCTTTGAGAGCCGAAACACAGGAAACACGCATAACGGTGTAATCCCGAATAATTAATACGCGCATGTCAAAAAGTCGTTCGAATGTTTCCAGCGGATTACGACTGTAAAATATTATAGGAACTCAAGACGACAAAATATATTACTATAATATAATATAATATAATACACGTTTGATTTATGTTTTATGGTGTACATATTTTGTCATACAATAATATTTAGATGTTATATCAGTTTTCTGATTTTTATTTTTTTTTATATGCAATTATACTTAAAATAAAACATTTAATTATTTATTAAAATTAGTAGCGGAGTTATATTATAATTTACTAAAAAACATTATTATATATTATACTCATAACTGATATTTTTAATATACTATATCATCAACTGCGTGCAGTGCACAATTAGTATAATATTATCATTAAGAGAGTTGGAAACAGTTTTCCAAATTTTCTTTAATTTTGTAAAATCTTATAATTATTTTTAACATTTTAATGACCACTTTAATAATGATAATTTTAAATTAATTTACTGAGCCCTATCAATTTCAATTTAAGGGGAAGGGTTAGGTCTGTTTTTAAAGATGAATACAACATTTTAGACTAGTAAACTAAAGTAAAATTCATCCATTATCGCTCACCAAATTTTAATTTTGAAAACATATTTGAGTTTTTTAATTTTATGTCTATATGTTTTATTGGAATCACCATAACGTAATGAGTTTAACTTTTTTCAAACAATTTAATTGACTTCACAAGAAAAAATGAAAATATTTTTCTTACAATAAACAACAATCTTATTAGGCCATCCTAATAAACATAGAAAAGAAGTACCTGTACGAAGTCAACAAATTTTTAAAATAGAAATTGGACTACTGGAAATAAGTTTATTTTGCTTCATCTTATTGGTATTTGATCTAAATGTATCAAAAAACGAAACGCTTTTAAACCTGTGAAAATTTGTTGTAAAATAACTTATTTGATTTTTGTTCATTCATTTAAATAATTGTATAAAATCTGTTGTTATTTTAAAATAAATATTGCGTGTAAAAATAAAATGAAACACTCACTTTACGGGGATTTTAAACCAATATTTTAAACACATACACAACATGCAATTTACACCAGTGAAGCGATAATAATGCTGAAAACAGATTTGCACTCAACATATAGTATACGTGACATCAGTCATACCATTTTTTCAAATTTTAGTCTTTAATTATCAAATATTTGATTTTAAGAATTCATAAATAATAAAAATGTATAAAAAAAAATTTAATATAAATTGAAAAAAGTGGACTGGTAGGTCTTGTATATACTCTTTATTCTGAATTCAAACGTGTTTTTAGAATTCTAATTGCTTCACAACATTGATCGAACTAATAACCAAACAATTTGTTAAAATGATATCCTGCGTTGAACAAAGAAAGAAAATATCGGTAACCAACGTTCGTTTTATTTTTACACGCAAATATGTATATATTTATAAAAAAAAAAAAACAGATTTTAAAATTAATTTAAGTGAGAGCGAAAATCGATAAATTAATTATGTAACAAATTTTTCGTGTACTCATTTGTTTATTTTTCTTTTCTTTTATTTTCTAGTTTATCCTCTTATGAAAACTGCTTATTAAAAAATACCATAATCGACTTTATTATTCATTAACTAGATCGAAAATTATGTATGGTAATTTAGTTTACATAAAAATCAACGATAAACCATTGCAATCAAAAACAACTCTGAACAGAATTCGGTAAAATGAGAAGATTTTAGAAGAGGTCGTGATTTTTTTCTCTTAAAGCCAAATAACCTAGAAATGAATAAAAATAAAAACATTTATCGTAATTTGCAATCAGGTTTATTTCTTAGGAAAACTGTGAATTTAGACATTGTTTCGAATTAAGTACCATTGGGTGAAAATCCGCATTTTAAAAGGTAGGATGTAAATATTTTTTAACATTTTTACTCATTGAAAACTTTGTTTTTTAAAAATTGAAAACTAAAAAAATATTTAAAGGGTAATCTGATGAGAATTGCATCAAATGTTTCACGTACAATACCGCTAGTCAACAATTACGATCTATTAACGAACAGCATAACAAAAATATTTCAAATTATTTATCCCGATTTGAAAATTCGAGGTACGGCATGTCTAAATGGACCATTTTCCTAACCGAAAACGTATTTTCTGAGAAAACATGTACCTACCCAATATTGGTTTACTACCGATTATAATCAACGGCATTACTTACATAAAAAGTACAATATACAATAATATTTAGTTTAATAAAAAATCATATTTAATGTAGCGAGGTAGTCAGGTAATCTTATTGTGAATCTTCAGTATATATGTATATGTTTGTATACATGTATATTTTATATTATTATTATGTAATCTACTGTGTATTAGATATATTCAGGAAACATTATTTGCTTTACTTTACAACTTAAATATACATTTTAGTATTCCATAAAAGAACAAAAAAGAATAAAAAAACAATTTATCTCTTCAAAGCAAATCACTATATAATATATCTACGCCTTTTTAGAGAATGTATTGTATGTGGTGTTACAGAGGGCTGAGTTTAAACGTGCATTTCGAAAGAACCCTTAGGGGTGGACCACGCAAATGACGTGAGCTATGTATATAAAAGCTCTTGTCAACTTTAAAGTTTGCTAATGAGAATCCCCTTAAGGAGGATTCGCATATTGTTGGGATCCAATACCCATCATTTTTTTATATATATATATATATTTATATACATGTACAGTAATATTGAAGAGGAAAGAAAAAAATCATATACAAAGCAGAACTGTAAAACCATAATAACCGTTGCAATATAAAATGTTGCATAATAGGTGTACTCGTATTATATTTAATACAGAAATACACGTACACATGAACATTATTATAATATAATATACTGTAACTAATAATATTACAATAAACTACACGATATAGTCAGTGGCATATTTACGGGAGATGATCTAGATAATATATCACCTCCAGAGTATTTTTTTTTTCAGAAATCGATATAGATGTGGCAAAGACAAATCGGAAAATGTGGAGGAACAGACTTGCAAACCAAAACATTACATTAAAATTTCCATTAACTAAAATACAATAAAGATTGACATAATGTATATCATAACACACAAAGGAAAAAATATCCCCTAGGATATTTGTCCTAGGGGATATTTTTCTCCCAGGCTCTTAATGCGCAAAATAGTTTTGGTCATATCACCTAGAGAAAAATCCTCGATACGCAACTGGATACAATTGATACACGATATTGCGATATATATATTATAACAATGTTTATGATTATTTGTCCGTTATCAATATATATATATCATATTAAATTTTAATAATTATAATTTGTATTTTGTTTTTTTGTACGCTGATTATTCAAATGGTAATTAATTTAATGATAGTTGATGTTATATAAATATTTTCAATATCTACCTATAACGATAACGACTTACCTATATTAAATAAAAGTTTAAGGTTACCTACTAAGTGCAATTATAAATTAATGAATTACCGAAAAATTAAGTGTGTAATCAATGAAATAATTAATTTAATATTATATAGGTGGTACAAAATCTATCATTTATATATATATTATATTAATGGAAGTTATATCTATGTTTTCATTTTTTTTTTTTAAATATGTCCTTATATTTTAATAACGATGGATATTTTGAATTTATGTATAGGACGTCTCACAAATATACCCATTGCGATGTCTCCTAAGATACTAAAGATAATCAAATTCTATTTTTTACGTATGACGGGGATAAGGACTACAAAGTACAAATTTTCATATTTCAACTAAATTTATATTTAACAAAAATGTAAAAAAATTATTGTATTTCATTATTTTTAATAAATTTGAAGATTGCTTAAAATTCGTTTCAAATTGTTATTATCATTGATCTCATAATTTTTAGCGCTTTTTTCTAGTACCTAATGGTAGTACCTATTCGCATACAAACGTACACTTTTTATAGCAATTTTTATTTACAACGTAATTTGTTTATTATCATTTTTTATTTAAAATATAACGAGAGTAATTTGAACTAGTATGTTTAGTTTAGAAATCAATTTATTTCTAAGACGCAGTATACTTGTGTTTATATAAGTTCATTAAAAAATGAATTTAAAAAAAAAATAAGTGCTGTTGATGAGTAATGGGTGCGCCACACTGCCACTGTTGTAAGTAAGAAATATATAAGGTAGTATATATAATAGAGTTATAGGTATTAAATTTATATATGTACGAAATGATAAATCATTACCAACTAAAAATTATTTTGAGTTGTAAAATTCGGTTTAAAATTGTTTAAATACCGTGGTTTTTACATTTCATGATTTCAACTTAAAACACTTTAAAAACGAAGAACTGATACTAGGAACGGGTGTATCACTATTATATGTGGATTTCTCAATTATTATGAAAATTTTAAAATTAATTTCTTGGTCACTAACTATGTTAAAAATTCAACAACAACATGAAATTTTGTTGTTTTTCTATTGAATCAATATTCCTGATAGAAAATATAAAACGTAAAAATTAAAAAAAAATGATCACAACGTCAGGGTACGCCGGAAATTTGATCGTTTTTCATTTTTCGTCTTTTTCCCAATTATTATGAAAACTATTAAGAAAATCTAAAAATGTCTTTCTTCGTAAATACCTAGATCCAAAATACAACAAAAAAACGCTCTTGTCTATTGGAGCAATATTTCTGAAAACATAGTTTGCAAAAATTAAAAACGATTAAAATAGTATTGCCACGTTGTGCCGTAAATATTTGCCGTTTTACCTATAATTTTCCTTCGGTTGTTGTAAAAGTGACCTCTTTAATGCACCAACTAGACAAAATTTCCTTTCACAAAAGATGTTACATTTGAAGATCGAAGCAAGGTTAAAAATGCTAACATGATACCTGCAGCTTCATATTATAATTGAACAAAATCTTTAAGAATAATATTACAGAATGAGTAAGAGTATTGTATGTTCATCAAGTGTTGATTATTATATTGTTTGGTAATTTCACAGTATTTTTCAATATTTCCTATACGTATATTCCGCGCCAACGGACGTAAAGGGCCTGTTTTGTTATCATGTATGTTTATAAAATGTCCATTAAGAGATTGTGTATAGTTCGAATCCGGGGCTGTGATCCTTAATCCAGCCATGAGTATTTTATAACTATAGGGTTGGGAATGTAATGCCCCGCTTAAAACTTAAACAATTCCCTTAACAAATGTATTTATTCCCTAAAAATTCTAATTAATGTACAAACAATTTTTTATTTTTAATAATTTTGAATATAAATTTAAGAAATATATTACAGATTAAGAAATCTCCGACTTGGATTTATTAAAATCTGAAAATACTCGTACTGAACATTAAACGATAACGTTAACTGTCGGTATCGAGTGGTTTTAATTTAAATCACGTTATAGTTTTGCTATAAACACCACCAATCGTTGTCTATAAGTTTTGGCATTGCTATTGTTCTATAATACGAGTATTATAGAGTACCTACTTGATAGTTTTATTATATTATGAAAACTGTTCGAATTTTGAATCCAAAAGCTCCGAAAATATCCCATAAAACCTTAAATGCTCTAGACGAAATTACTTAATCAAACATTTTCGAAAAATGCGAAGTAAAATTGTTTATTCTCATACTAAATATGTATACACGAGAAACGAACTATTTGTAACAATACGAGCGCCGCGCGGCGAGCTATGTGCAGGAAAACAATATTCAAAGAACATCGAAAACCCAGCCCTCTTCATAACACGCTATTATCTCATAACGCCATATTATAATACACTCGTATTATAACAAAAAGGTTATTATAATACGATAGTGGTACTCACCTATTGGCTCGGTGCGTACGCCAAGAACGCCGACTGGTTCGTTTTTTTTCAAAACTTCACGGCCACCGCGACAACACCGCAGCGATAAGTCCGGCCGACCGTAGACGTCGCGCGCGAACTGCGGACGCGTCCGAGAAACGGATAAAACTCGATATTATTATAATTATTATATTACGCCGATTGCGTATTCTTTTTTTCCTGTTACAATAATAATCGTCTGGAAAAAAAATAAATAATAATAATAATAACAATATCGTGTCATGCACCTAATTCGTACATATATAATATATACCTACACGTCGTGTATAAATTGTTGTTGTACGGACTACACGTCGCCGTGGTATGCCTATTTATTTTAAACCGAGTGATGTGCGTGTGCGCGCGCGCACGGTCCGTGTAGAAGTCGCGAGATCGAGAGATCGGGAAACCGCGCGCGCCCCGGAACCCGGCGGTGTCGTCTGCGCGACCGAAGATCGCGCGCGCGGTGGTGCCGTACCCACGGATGCTGCTGCAGTTGGTGGCCGACGGTCGTGCGGGGCGGCGACCGCGGCGTCCAATCGCGCGGTCGGTCGGCAACCGTTGACGGCCGCTCGCCGTGGCTGCCGGCTGCTGCTGTCTGTCGCCGCCGCCGCCGCGATTGCGCCTTCCGCATCTAACGCCCGCGTCGTAAGCCGCGCGTAACCGTACTGTATACGTTTAGTTGTAATAATAATAACCAGAGACGTTTACGGAATTGCTAAAATCGAAAAATCGAACCCCGCGGGAGACTTTTCATGACACCGCGGTAAAAATACCACATAAAATGCTATGTGATAAAATGACTATCGATTGATAATAATTTAATTGTATAATAATATAATCATATAAACACCATGATAATTATTTACAATATTAACTGTACGTATAGATGTTATAATCAGTGATGTCGTAACCGGGGAGGGGGGAAGGGGTTCTACCACCTCCTCCGTGAAATGACTCCGACGACTAGGTATTTAATTAATTAATCAAGTTGTTATAATTATACATATTCTACTTATTGTACTGTAAATACTAGATACATATTTTAGGTAAACTGTGGTATACGAGGTGTGGCTATTTAAAAACGGGATTTTTGTTATAAAAATAATTTATTTGTAAAATTACAATTATTAAATGTGATCCCCTTCTATATACTCCCTACCCATTACTATACACCGTTCCATACGTGTTCTCCATTGTTCGAAGCAGTTTTGCAACTCTTCAGATGTCAAGCCCTTAAGTAGGTCTGGCGCTTTAGTCTTCACCTCTTCCACGGATCGAAAATGAGTCCCCTTCAACGCAGTTTTTATTTTTGGAAATAGATAAAAGTCACAGGGTACTAAATCTGGCGAATATGGAGGATACTCGAGTACTGGAATGCGTTTATTGGCTAAAAACTGCTTAATAGAAAAAGCATTTTTGGTACAGACTTTGTTCATGTTTAAATTGTTGTGTAAAAGAAACAGTTCGACAGAACTGTTTCTTTGTCTATATTTATCATATCTGCAATCATACGAATACTGAGACGACGATCATTTCGGACAATTTTGTCAATTTTGTCGACGTTCTCATCACTTTTTGATGTGCAAGGGCGACCAGGATGCTCGTAGTCTTCCACTTCTTCTCGCCCATCTTTAAATCTTTTATGCCATTTAAAAACTCGAGTACGTGACATCGTGTCCTTCCCGTAAACCTCAGTCAACATCTTTAGACATTCTGTGGGCGATTTTTTTAATTTAACGAGAAATTTTAAATGTTCGATTTTTAAATTAGGCATTATTCCGGCAGTTTCGTACGATATTGTCCACTTTAAACAACGCGTGAATACAAACCAATTGACCAAAAGAGATAAAACTTATATTATTTGATGCGTTGGCTTGTGCAGATAATAACTTCTATATAATTACCCACCAGAGAGTTGATTGCACTCTAATCAGAAGGAAATCCCGTTTTTAAATAACCACACCTCGTATATTGTTATTGTTTATTATAGATACCATTAGGTATAATCATTGATTATAATACATAGGTATGGTGATAAAAAAATTTTAAAAAAAATACATTTATAAATTTAGATCATCCATTATAAAAAAAAAAAACCTTTTCTTGAAAGAATTGGCCAATTTATATACTATATTCTATCCATTTTGCCCATAGCTCATCTCCATCTACATATATTTTTTTTTTTCTGTTATCAACTTTAAAAACTAGATAAAACTATAATAACTGGTAGAGATGATATTAATAACGTTATTGTTTTCGTTAACCAGTGGTTCTCCAGCTGTCGCTACCGTTGACAGTCACTTGCAAACATTTGGAATGCACTAGGTCGAACCATAAAATATTATTAAAATATAAATGAATAAACAAATTATACAAAACCATAACCAGGTATTACCCCATAATCTTTTCAAAAAAAGAGTACAATTGCATGTACTTAACACTATTATTAAGGACAGGAAAATGCATCAAAAAAGAGTACGCCTGATCACCACTTATATAGGTATAACATGATACGGCTAATGTTGAGAATTGAATAATGTATTATTTTCAATCGGTAGAACTGATTTTAAGCTGACAGTTTTAATATTATTGTGAATTGGCTTATTAATTATTATTAAACTTAAAGGTCCGTGATAGTATGTTGGTTTTTTAATGATATTTTAATTTTTAACCGAGATTCAAAGTTTTTAAAATTGTAATACTTCACATGCTCGTATCTAAATAAAAAATGGAAATATCAGGAAAAACCAAAGTACCAACACAGAAATTGTTTTTAAGTTCGATAATAAAGCCAATTCACATCGCTCTATAATACTACAGAAACTAACAACACAAAATCGATTTCATCGAACAAATAGTTGACATTAACCAATGTTCAACATTAGTCGTAATAACATTTATAAAAAACAGTATCGATTATATTATAATCAATGGTGTAATTAAATGCGGTTTACTGCACCTTTAAATCATAATAATAAGCTGATGTACCGTATACCGTATATTAATATTATAGGGGTTTTCAATAGTTTTTCGAATACCTATTTATGGGAAATTAAATTTTTCAAATGAATGATGGTTACAAAATTAATTACACTATACCCATTTCTCGAATTTTTTTTCCTAGTGTTTTCACTAATAACACTGCAAATTATAATACCTACCTATATATAGGTATTCCACGAACAGTAAAAGTATTTAGGATTACGAACTTTATACACTTAAGTTAATGCATTAATTAATACATTGACACTGCATATGATAATGTACAAAACCGTACATTTTAGATTCTGAGCGGGGTTAGGAATATTATTAGTTTTACAGTGATATTTATTTTCTTTTTATACTGTGTAGACAAATTTTAGCAGAAATCTTACTTTGATTTTCAAGTATAGCACATTTTCTGAAAGTAAATTTTCCTAAGGTAGTCATTTTTCAAGCGATATTGGAAAAAAAATTTACGCTTTTATTATTTTTAATTTTGTTTTATTGTTATTATTCGGTTAAAAATGTTCGTGGAGATTTCAAATTTGGAAAAAACCTTATATTTGCCTTTTATAGACATAGTAAAATTGTCAAAATATTTGTGCTATTTATTGATATTTTAATTTAGCAAGGTTTTTACGTAATATTGATTTGGTAGTTACTCTGGGAATAAAATTGTTAGTCCAAACAGAAATGCTTGAAAATTTAACAGGAGGTTCGTTATAAGTTGACAAAAGTTGACCTGTATCATTATCACTACTTTTTGATAAGGTCGATAAAAATATCCAAGAAATAATAAATATCACGGGTATCAGTGATGGATCTAGATGGGTGGCACAGGGACACGTGCCCCCCCATATCAATAGACTACAGTTTTTATTTATATATTATTTTTTATTATTTATAAATAATTTACTGAAAATATAAATAATGTGCCTCCGTTTAAAAAATTTCTGAATCCGCCGTTGACGGGTATAATTTATAGATCAAGTTACGAAACCGATTCCGCTGAACGCTATTACAGACTTTCTATCTTTATTCCTGTCAACAGACAGGGATATCAGCATAGGATTGCGCACGGGGGTAGCCAGAGAGGCAGTTGCCATAGTGCCATGCCTGTAAGACTTCGCAGTGCTTTTAAAAAATATTTTAGATATAAATTTGTTTTAATTTTTAAATATAAATCCTAATGGTTTCTTAATTTTCTAAATTGATGCAAAGAAGAGAGAGGGCTATGGAGGGTAATAATAAAAATAATAAACATCCCATCTGCATTAGTGTACTACCCGGGGTTCAAAGCATGTCCGGCTTTTTGATTACCTAGGTATACATTTTAAAGCAGCATTAATTTGCAATATGCCTAGTTCATAAATAATACACTATTAATTAATAATATTTAATTTTACAAAATATATTGGAGACAAAACAAACAACAAAATTGCTTATACATAAATACCATAGTACCTAATAGGTACTTACCGAAATAGGTATCACTAATACAGACGAACCTATATAAATAATCATTTTTAATATAAGTACCGCCGATTGTTTATTAGTTCCAAAAAGGTAACGTACGCAATAATAATAATATAGGTAGTATTACGTACGAAAGTGCACAAAATAGTTCGTATGCAATGATTATAACATTGTTTCTAAAAATATCATTTCTGAAATCAATTACCGCGTGTCAGCAGTTTTTGTTAAATCCGGGTGCAAATGTCAACATTGCTAGAATAGGGAGGTATATCCCGGTATCCATGACGACGGCACAAACTGTTCCCTCCGCCTCTTATCCCATCGACCAAGTCCTTATACTCGTGTACGCATTTGTTTGTTCGGCTATTTTCCAGCAATTAGACTTGTCAGGCAAAAAAAAAAATGGAAAAAAAAACAGAAGTGCACTCGACTGTCAGTTCTCGGTTTTCATTGTTCTAATGAACGGTTATACTTATACATGGGGTGAGAAAAAAAATGACGAGGTAAAAAATAACATAATATATATAAACAAGCAATTATTTTTCTAAGTGAAAATCAAAGTTAAATAGTTATTTTAAAAACCAAATTATATTTAGATAAGTATTATTAACCAAGTTACTATTTTCATACTAAATTATATGAATCTAATAATTCTAATAAGTAATAATATTAATTATTAACTTCAGCGGTAGTTGATTTACCCAAAGGATTTAAATTGAAAAAACATTTCAATCGAAAAATTTCAACATGATTATTATTAATACTTATAAATTTGAAATGTACCAATATCATTTTTAGGTTATAGTTCATTAATATTTCAATACTACATAGTAGACACATTTAATATGTTCACCCATTATAACATGAGAAAACAAAAACGCCAGACAAAAAAACACGTTGGCAACACAACATAATAGCGAGCATATAGGGTTGTGTATTGGTTGTTAAGGTTGTTGTATTTGTATAGATACAAGTTTGAAATTCAAATGTTTACAGCAATCATAATAATCCCAGTGTTATGTCACTACCTACATTATAAACAAATTATAAAATTAATAAATTCAATAATATATAATCATAATGGTTTACATTAATTTTAAAACATGTGAAATGTTTAATTTGATTTGTTCAAGCATGCAGATTAAGTAAGCAATCATTAAACCTAAAATTAGTTGCAATGAGTATAAGATTATATGCAAATAAATTGATTTGAGAGTGCTAGGATAACAAACCTCACCTAATAACATTATCTTATTGTAATGTGTTTGAATGACTCAGTGACTACCACCAACTTTTAATTTTGGCAAAAAAGCCATTGCTAAAAATGCAACTGAAACAAATAGTTAAGTACATAATAATCATAAAATTCCCATAATTGACAAATAAAAGGAAGTTTTTAAAATAACACATTACTTTCACTTAATTATAGTTATAAATGAGGGGCGGGTGGGTTCATAATACTTTTATTAATTAAATTTTAAATCTGTTTTAAGATTAGAGGAAATTAAATATTATTATGAAACATCTCTAAATATAAATCTAAACTTCTATTTGTTAGAACAATATATTTAAATCATAGATTGTACACTTGATTAATATATTTACGATAATAAATATTAAAATACTCACTTAATAATAGAATTGCTAAAATATAGAATACCATAAAACAATGTTCATCAATCAAGGTACCAAAAACAATAATTCCAAATACAGCACCCAATCGACCAATCATCACTGTCATCGAGAATGCTACTCCTCTGAAGCAAATAATAAACTAACAGTATCAATTTGTTTTATACAATATGATTGTTAACAATTGTTTACCTCACATTACTAGGGAATAGTTCAACCATAGTACAGAATATAATAGGTTCCATCAAAGTAGTAAATCCTTCAAAAATGCAACACATAATTTCTGCTTGAAAATTATTTTTGGTTAATGTGATTAGTAGTGCAATTATAATTGGGACTCCACAACTGGCACCTATAAAGAAATAATTACTTATGCACTTACTTCAATTTATTTTATAAAGTTAAATTACTAATTATAACAGAGTAAATAACTTAACTTTTATTCTTTTTAGAGCAATTGAAAAATAATAATGTATTACATATGAATTTAATTAAAAAATAAAGTAACACATGATGTACTTTTTATACTAAAATGTGTATTACATTATTATATACTGTCTGAATGTTGTACATTATATTTTTTTCAAGTACCTAGTAGCAAAAATATACATGTAGTTCAAATTGTATATAAAATGTGATCAACATTTATAAACTACAATAACTACATACTAGGTACTACCTATATTTACTATTAGAATATATCTTATATGATATTATTGTGTTATTTAAACTAAAGTGAATGAGTAAATGATTAACAAAATGAACAATGTTTTATTGTACTTATCAACAAATAAAAATATTTAAAATAACTTTAGTCACTAATGCCCTCCTATTTTGTATTATAGAAATATAATGTGTAAAACAATAAATAACTGAATACTATAATAATACTATACAATATTACATTATTCTGTATCTAAAAAAAAAATTCTGAAATTTAAGCATACAAATTGAAACTCCCAAAATATTAATACTATCACAATGAATATAAGAAATTTTATCCTCCTGGCTTCATTCAAGGGGGGGGGGTATCTAAAAGGTACTCAAAGCTAAATAAACATCCTCCTCTTGCAAAAACATGGTAAAATTCATATTGAATAGTAACCCAACATTTATCACTTCAATCTGTTTATAAAAAAATCGTAAATTATCAAGTTTGAACTCATTCAGAAGGAGCCAGTTCACATGTCTAAAACAGAGAATATATATAAATGTAGGATGTATAATAAACTCAATAGTTCCTTTTTTCATGGATAATTTGACAATAATGGTTAAACTTAATTGATAAAAATATGAAATCCTATTTATGGTAGGAACTTAAGCTTCTATAAATCGTATACATAATAATAATAAGAATAATACGAATAATAAAAACAATACATACATAACAATATTTTTTTGTTCAAATATTTAATTAAAATTCCAGTTAAAATTACGAAAGGTACTGTAGATGTTGCTACAATTAAAGCAGCAAAATATGCATCACTTGAAACTACTTCATCTTTTGGTTTATAATTATTTTTCAATAGACATTCTGAAGCTGTACATATATTTGTATCATTTGAATTGTGTAATTTATAGTTATAATACCTAGAAAACAGTTCAGGTATCCATATAAGAACAGTAATATATCTGTAACATAAAAATATCAAATGACAAAATTTCAGTAAGCTATAGAAATTAGAGTTGTGTACAAAATAAAATAAAATTTGAAAACAAATTTAAATATATTTTTTAAAACAGTATTGTATTGTAAATTGTAAAAAAATGTATTATAAATATTTAATTATCATATTAAAGTTTATACAAATATCTAATTGAAAATAGAACAAAAAAAAATAAAAACAAAAATAGGTATTTACATAATATTATTAAGACAAAGTATGTTTAATAAATGTTGATTAATATTTTGTAAATAATAATCAGTGTATATAATGGTAAGTTCAACAGAAGTTATAACTGGTGTAAAATATTAAAAACTATAAAAATTGTTTTCAACTGAAAATAATTAACAACATTTTAAAACTAAGACCACTTTTTTTTTTGAGTTATTAAATAAATTTAATTAATGATTAATACTTACGATGCCATCAAACAAAATTCTATTATACAAGTCACAGTAATGTTCCTGGAATATTCAAAGAATAGTATCTTGTGTTTATTTTTCAAAGCAATTAATCTTACTTTTAAATTTTTTGAGAATGAATTTCCAATTGATGTTGTATTAAACCCAATTGCTGAAAAGGATTGGGTGAAACTTTCAACCTGTAATGTAATGATGATTAGTTATTATTGAGTTTTACATTTAGAATATTTAAAATAATAGCATAAATCTATTTTGTATTTAATATCCCAAATAATTTTTAAGAAAAAACAAAATTAGACTAGGATATAACCTGGACACATTTTTAAGGCAAACTAAGATTTTATAAATATTTTCCCACTATTTCTAATTTATCATTTATTAATGCACAATTATTGAATACAATTAAAAAATTTTGTATAAAAACAATAAAAAGAGCGTGCTGGGCTTATAATTTAAAAAATGAATTAAATTAATTGAAAGTTGATAAACACTTAGATTTCAATACTTTTAGTTAATTAGTTCTAATGATTTTTAATAAATAAATGAATTATAATAATTTTCATTAGTTTAAGAGCCAAGTCATTTACATTAGTTATTTCCAGTTATGCCTTAAAAATATTCAGCTCAAAAACTAATTAAAACATATTTGATACAAATTTTAAAAAATAGTTAATACTTACTGAGTATAGCTCTGTTGTTTTTTTATTGTTTGTAAAATAAATCTGTTCAAGAATTTCTCTTGATTGTACCATATGACCTTTGAGCATTAAATATCGAGGAGATTCTGGATATTGGTAAATTAGTATAAATGAAATTAAACTTGGTATAGATGTTAGTAATAAAAATAATCTCCAAGCATCAAAGGTGAAGTAAGAATGTGACAGCAAAACTATATTGCTAGGAATAACCACCATAGCTACACCTTTCAACATAAATCATAAGCAAGAATGAGAAGTTATAAAAATTGTATATTTTTGTCTATATTCTATAGCTAGATGAGCTAAAATCTATTCAATAACATAGTAAATTCATAATCGGAATTTTTTTTTTCATATTTTGCTAATTTTTTAAGAATTCCATGTTAATAATTTATTGTGCATTTAAATACATTTTTAATTAAAAATTGTTTATTTTGAAATAAAATGTATCCCTTAAAATAATAGTTGAACACAAAACCTGTAGTTTCAACAAAATAGCTTTCAAACCTTAAATGTAAAATTTATATTTACTATAAACGCAATATTATTAGGTTACTATTGAAAAATTCTTGAATAGAAATATAATCAAATTGTACAGGTGAATTATATGTCATGAGAGAAAGAAAATGGAATTGTTAAGAGGAACAGCTGATGAACCCAATGAGCTGGATGACTAGACAGCAAGAAGTTTTAATATGTTTGAGGGGGTAAAGAGTTGGAGTTAAAGTGAAACTGATGACATGTGTACGAGCCAGAAGATGAAATTGTTTGGTTAAAGGTAGGTAAATTTTAAATGAGTCAGAATTCGAGAAAAGGTTATGACTGAGCATTTGGAGATGTTGAGATGAAGACCTAGAGAATATTTATTGAATATTGCCAAAAGTCTATTATACGTAAGAAAGGCCACTTAAACCATTGATTATTTATATGTATAAAATATTGAGTAAGGTTAGTCATACTTTTCAGAATCTACTTAGATAAGTACCTAATGCTGTTAATACATTATTTTTTATCTGTTATAAAGTTATAGTAATGTTTTATTATTTAATGTCAAATTTGTATTAAATGTATATTTATTAAATTATTTTCTAATAGAATATAGGTAATTTATGAAATAATATATTATACCAACCCGGTCCAACAATCATTCCTGCAACCCAGAATATCTCAAGAAAAAGAAGATAAGCATCTCTTTTGTCAGGTGTTAAAAATTCACCAAAATAAACATAAATCAAACAAATAGCACCAATAATACTGAAAATAATATTTATATAAAAACACATTGATTATTATAAATATATTTGATGAATAAAATTGTAATATTTAGTTATCTAGTTAAATGTACTGCAACTTACGCAAAACCATTTCCTAGTCTAGTTATGAAAAACAAGACAACATGTTGTGTTAGGCATGATAGAACAGAGAATAATGTGTCTAATCCCATTGACCACAAAATAACAAATCTTCTTCCTTTTATGTCACCACACATTCCCCAAAAATATGCTCCCAACACCATTCCTTAAACATTTATTATTAAATTCATAAATTTAAATATTTTTATTGTGTTAAATATAAGTTGTAAGTTTATACCTACTTTATATTTTAAATTCTAAGGATTAACTTACCAAGAAACGGAGCTCCATTTAATATTCCTATGGTGGTAGAATTTAAATTGAAATCTTTAGCTGAAGGCAAAACAAACGATACAGTTGTATTTGATATAGCACAGGACATATTGACTAAACCACATACAACCAATAATTTTAACTGATATACTCCAGTTCCTATAAATTAACATTGAAAATTAATATATAAATTAAAATAAATAATAGTACAAATAAGAGGTTATTACCTAAGATATTGTGAATTCATGTTTACTTACCAGATTCATTATGTGCATCTTCAAATGTGACCGCCAAATCTTATGTTTTAAACCAAACAAAATAAATGTATAAACATTAATAAAATAAAAGAGTACTTAATTATAGAATTATATTAGGTGGATTAGATTTAGCAAACAACTACTAGATTCCTTACTTCTTGACTTTCTGAAGCCAAAATTTGTTTCAATGTTTGAACCTGTAGATGAATCATCTAAAGCATCTTGTGTTAACACTGAAAGCCTTCCAACACCGTCGCTGACTGGATAATGATTATCACTCATACCTAGTATTAAAAATATTTAAGATAAAAGAGTTTAAAACAATAATATGTATTATATTATATGAGTTGTCATAGTCTTGTATTGTTTTTCAATTTTTCCACCTTTAACCGGTTCGCCCGGGCTCGCAAAACCGAATTTTGTAAACTGTGCGTTGAACTCGAAAACACGCCTATTAAATAGGTATTTAAAACTAACCATCGATAATTCATAGTACATATTATTAGATTTCGGAATAAGTTTTATTGAAGTTACTTTAGTTGACAATGAAGACCGGCTAGAAGATCAAGCGATCTTAAATGTATGATCAGACATTCTTACCTACCTTAGCAACGTTTTGTTACTTTATAGTAGGTACCTATTAATTATTATCAAAACAAACGAATGCAATTAACGCTTTACATGACACTGTTACATGACACGAGAAAAAAACGATGACCTGATGTTCAAAAGAAAGCAAAAAGACGTAACTGTGGTTCAATAACTAAAATATTTTCAAACTATATGTCAAATATAACACAATATTTACTGCCTACAGTAAACATGTCAATTTACGCGTGTCGAATCGAAACATGATAATACTATAGCATACTTGTTAAGCAGAAGACGTTGATCAAGAACAAGCCAAATCCGGTAAATTAGTTTGATTTAATTTCTTTACCTTGACACAACCATCAATTTCAGCTGTGGAAAAACCATCATGGAGTTTATTTGCCCATAGTTTATAATAGGTTTTTATGTGACCACAAAAGTGTTATAACCATAGAGTAATATAAGAAAATAACGTACATAACGAATAACGATACAACTTGTAAAGATTACACGGAGTGTCCAAACAACACCTTTGTACACTACAGAGCTTCATCTAAATTCTAGACCATACAAACTAAAAAGTTAATATATTATAATATACCTACTAGTATACTATGTGTTTATGTATATTGTACATTAGTATTTACATATTATTATATTCTGAGCGTAGTGAGAAATGTACTTACTTACTGGTTTTTCTACGATTTGTACTTTTTAGATCTGTGTACAGTTTCTATCAAAAATCTTGCACTGATCTTCAAGTTCATCTTTTCTAAATACAAATGTCGGTTAGTTAGTCTCCATGGAGAAGTATTTTTTTGATTTCCTTTATAATTACTAGTTTTCTTAATAATTGGAAAATACTTAAGAAACAGGTAAAAATGTTTGTAATATAACTGTTACTGGTTTTTCGATTTGTTTTTTCTGTTTTGTTTAGTTTCTCAAATAAATTTTTAAATTGTATTGGAAATCAAGTCATTATATAAAATAATATAATAGTTATTGTACAAAACAAAAATTTAAAAATAGTCGCACTTGTATAACAGCAGATAGGTACAATCATATTTAGTTTAGTATAGTTTAATATTAAGGTAGCTGGTAGGTAGTAATGGAGTTACTATGACAAATTTTTCATTAGTTCCAACATTTACTATAATAATTATTATAATAATAAAAAAAAAAACCAATAAATTCCCTACGCTAATATGTAAAATATGTAATATGTAAAACTATGGACATATTATTAGACATTTGAGCTGTTTAACTCTGAATAGTTTTGTAAAAATTCACAATTCATCATTAAACATTTAAATCTCGCGACGCCCAATAAATTATACAATATCGTAGTTATTTACATTCGGCGGAATTCAAAGTAATGTTACGATGGTGAAAATGTGAAATGTAATTGCTACGACGAAGCGAAACACGATAAAAAAGCGCCCGACAAAAAACTACCAACATTATAATTGAGTATCCATTTTAGAAATTTAAATCGTCAAAGCCACTCGATAACATACAACTCTAACAACCTAACCCATCATTTATTTACCTTTGATCATGATATATGATCTAAAATATTTACGACAATTTTACAATACTCATGTCGAAAAAAATTCACTGAAACTAAATAATAATTTGTATAAAAATTAAATGAATTGTTATGAATTCATGGCATGTCGTGACATTTCGTTATTTCAACTGCATTTTATAACGTTTTCGTATGTTATTTGTTTTTTGTTTTTTTTGTACAATACCGTTTTTATTCAGAACATGGGGAAAAAAATTGGTGATATTATAGGTTTATAGGCGAGTCCAGATTTTTGGTGAAAAGTTGGGAAGGTAGGATATATAAAAAGGAATATGCAGAAATCAAACAAAAAAACGATTTTGATCGGAACTTGGTTTGTAACTGGTTTATAACTTGGTTAACTGATTTTTCAACAATATGTCATATTATAGTAAAATAAATACATATGATATAAACACAACGAATTACACAGTAAACGTATATTTTTGAGTTCACCCCGTTCAAACATTTTACATTTTATACTAAAATATATTCGATTTTAAATTCAATGGTATAAACATAAATCACCTTAATTAATGTCACGGAATAATAGTCCGTGATTATTGTTAATAAATTTCGGTGGACGGCGACTGTCGAAAAAAAATATCGTAAAGTTATCGTGTCCATATATATTATATATGAATATATGGTTGGTAGTATTGTCTGTTATCACGTATTCCCATGGCTTTATGTACAGATATCTATACTTTACATATATAAATAAATACATACATTTATATATATATCGATATCTGTGGCTTTATGTCGCATGGTTATTTGTCGAGTTGTTTTTTGACGATATTTATATATTGTTAAATGCATGACAAAAATTATCTTGGTCAAATGTGTACGTAAATATTATGTGATAGAGCTGTATGATAGTTTTTTATCGGATTATGACGATGGTGTTTTGTCGATTGGCTCTTTGTCGTTATTTTGTGGTTTTAAGTCGGGTGGCTTTACATGATGTCACTCATAGAGTAATTACTCTACCAATAGTTATTACTTATTACCCTATTACTCTATGGTGTTACCCGATGAAGTATAAAAAAAAAGTACGTTCGTAACAGTTGACTTTCGTAGCAACGGCCAACGGTGCCTTCCCGGTATTAAAAACACGATTAAAGATATATCATTTATCGTGTTTAAAAGAACAACATAATATATAAGATAAGAAAACATAAGATAAGAACAAAGTAAAGTTATCAAATTATTTACTTTTGGTAGGTATCTCCACGATAAATGATGATTTTGGGTAAGTATGAAAAATAAGTTTTCGATATCGATTTAATAAACATTGGTTGTTTATTCAAGAGTTATAAGTCGACTTCAATTTTGTACAATGACCGACGGATACAAACGTACGTTTTTGAACATTAATTTTTATATGGTGTGAAATTATTGATTGGCCTTATTATCTTACCTTTTTCCTAGAGAGAAGTTTGTATGGAAAGCATTTTGTTAGGATAAAATATTATGCTTTTTCAGGATTATTTTGATCATTAGGATCATTAGGAATGTGTATTTCCTTAGTCCCGTTTATTGTTTCTATTAAATATTTGAATTTATTGACATTTTTGTACATTAGGATGTTCATTGTTCTCAATTAGTTATATTCATTTGATTTTATTGGCATTAATAATCTAAAAATTATTATTAATGAAGCAAATTTGTTTAGCTTACACGCCTGGTTGGAATGATCCTCCCTCATATTCATTTGAAGATACATTAAATGCTCAACAAGGTAATCGTCCAAAAATATTTGATAGAATACCTGCTAGAGTGTTAGCAAACGGTCAGATTCCAGAGTCCAAAACAGAAAAATATCAAATACCATTATATGACAATGTAAGTTCTAATGAAAACAATAATGATGTTTCTGCTATATCAACATCAAATTTATGTGATTTTACTGAAGAAGAACGCCTATCATATGTTATGGAATCTCTCAGTGTTTCTATTCAAAAATCAACATTACCAGAAGTAATTGTTATCATTTTTAAATTTAAATTTAATTTGACATATAATAAAATATTTGATGTGTAGTCCAAAAAATTAGATATTACCAAACGGCTATCAAGATTGGAAATCAGCTGGAAAGATAATCAATTTACAGATATAATACAACAGAAAACCATTGCATTAGTTAAAGGTTAGGTGTACAATATTATGTCAACATTTTATAATTATCTTAGATTGTGTTGAATATTTACAGCTATCGAAACTAATAATTACACAGAAGCCAATAAATTGCAAATGTCATTGATGGTTGATCACACACGTCAATGCAACTCTTGGATACCAGCTATTCGACAACTAATTAATCAACATACCTGAATTCATGTTTAATAAATATTTTAATTTCATATGTATGCATCTACCTATGTTTGATATAAATTAATAATTTCATCTTAAAATTGATTAAATATTTAGTAGGTAATTGGAAATCGGTAATAACTAATAAGCATATACTAAATATTGTCTGGTATCAATAGTATCTGTTTTTTAAATAAAATCAATACTTATAAAAAAACAATATCACTGAAAAATATATTACCTTCTAAATTAGTTACAAAGTCATATTACCTGTTATACCTGTTATTTATGATGTACATGGTTTTTTTCATACAGTTTTACTAGGTAAGGTTTTATTGTAACCATTTTAGTTTTCATAGCAAATTTCAAAAGAATGACCTATATGAAATTTAATGAAAAATTTACAATTTATTCTGTATTGTTTACACAGGATAATAAAAACACTAGGTTATAAACTACAGCTATGGACATTGCCCGACTGGTCATGGGAGCTGGGTAGATGAATGGCTGCTGGAGTTTGTGTAAAGACAGACATACTTCGCACGTGGGTGGGCCACTGTTATTGGTTATATTATGATAAAATAATTACATATGCATTATATAATTTACTAACATTTGTTTAATATTGTACTTTGATGGTATAAACCCTACCACTTATTTGACCTTTTAATAGCTCTAGAGCTACTCAAGAGCCGAAAAGGAATCGAGGGTAAGCCCTTGTTTAGATTCGACTTACCAAAGCGTGGTCCCCTGCTTACCACTTCCTAATTTACTGTACCACCTGTGCCATCGGGTAAATTGCCCCTGGTTTTTAACCACTACCTAGCAAGAACTCATAAGCTTGTTTGAAATCAACCGCCAGGAACCAAAGTCAACCGAACTCCTTATTATACAATTATCGTAAGTTGGACATAATTTGACCCCCCTCCCCCGAAAACCATCATGATTGAATGTCATAAACAACTTAAACTGAGGGCCTCCTGAGTTCTACCGATTCATCATTGTTAACAGTGTTAACACATTTCCTTTTGCTAGGGGTAAATGGGATGACTGAGAGCATTCCACGAGAGCAACCGATAGTCGAAAATACCCCTGACCACCCAGTCTCGGTGGGCAAGACACAATATTTGATAGCCTGTCAAGAATTTGTTCATTTTGGCTTCACAGTGTAAACAAAATCGCGCCATTGTCTACTATTGACATCAAACAGTACGAAAAGGTACAAGCCATCCAGGCAGGCCTGGTCGACGCGCAGACCACTCGGTCCATCTGAGAGACCACTCAGGAAATGAACAATGCTTATAAAATAAGAATGTAAAAAAGCATTTGAACATTATACTTGTATATATTTTAGTAGGTTCTGAGTTTAACGAAAAATGTATTGGTTTTACAAAGACGTTTATTATTTTTTTTATATGAACACTTTTTACTACAATTTTCAAATATAGCACCTCTGGGTTGTTCTTTAGACATTTTTTGAAATTTGCATTAATATTCAAAATAATGAGGAAAACCATGTTCTTAAAGTTAGAAAAGATTTAAAGATTAAAAAAAGGTTGCTATTGCCAACTGTTTTTATTTATTTTTTGTTATTAGTTTTTATTATTTTAATGTTTTCTAAACAATCGTTGTCATGGAAACGCATATTGTAACCATTTTACCATGAATATCATACCTATTATATTTTGTTGATAAAGTTCCAATGATTTTTTCACATTTGTTGAGTAAATTCTTGAGAAGATCGAAAAATAATCTCTCTAAAGTACCTCCCTAGTCAGATTTACTTTCAGAACAATTGCTATCATTTTAAATTTGAACAAAATTGCTAGTAGACAAGTTGTTCATAGGAAAAAAAAAAAGACTGTAATATATTTAATATATATTATATCACACCGATTTCCTTTCATTTGCTACACTTAAAAATCGGAGCAAAATTTTTGGTAAAAAAATTGTTCATAGAAAAGAAAAATAAACATCTTTGTAAAACCATAAGCTTCTTCGCTCCACTCAGAATGTAAAAAAAAGCCGGACAAATTTCGTTTGGAAGCTATGCAGTTCCAACGATAACTGTCAAACTTCCAAAAAAAAAAAAATCTTACTATATATACATTTATGCGTATTCAATATAACAATTTATCGATTAAAAATCGTTTCAATATTATATGCTTACATAATATAAAGTTATAACAACATGCATTTTTGTTATGTTGGTAAATAATATTATAATTATTACAAATGCGATTCTAAATAAAACCAACAGCAGCGTTAAAACCCGTTGGTCCCATAAAGAAATAGGTCTATGGAATATTCTGTGTCTACCCATTGCGTAATATAGAGATGCTGTTGTATTTCGGCAATACAATTGTTGTAAATACAAATGTTAGGTCATTCACCCCAGTTGTGTACCACTTTACAATCCAGATCTCTACTAGATGGCGTTATTAAGACCTACGCTTGATTGATAAAACAAGTGCTATACTAATGTAAAACAGTAAACAATAAATAAATTATCAACTTAAAAAGCTTAATAACTTGTATGTTAGTCTGTGACCGTAAATTAGAACCTTGTTGATAGGTTCCAAATTATAACTAAACAGATGTACTCACGTTAATAAAAAATATTTTCATACAATTTTGGACAAATTTAGGTTGCACAAGTTTGACGCTACTAATTACTATTTTTAGTGTTCGGCTCTTATCATTTTTAGACAACTGCCCCCGACCCCCATAGTTGTATGATAATAAAATTAACTGATAACTCGATGAAAACAATAATAATCTGTAACAAGAATAGTATATTTTTATTGTCGAATGTTGATTATTCGTTTATTATTTATTATTATAATGAAATTTTCGTTATGAAAACGGCATCTGTTTTTGTTATTGGCGATGTGAACAGCGTGTGCTAGTGGCACTCATTCATAAATCCGTTGTTCACCCGAAACTAGAATAACATTGAAAATAGAAAAATGACTTCTAACGATTCCGGTGTGGAAAGCAGTACGGATAACGACGATTGTGCACAGCCACAGCCAATGTTCAACAAAAAATCACCGATGACGGCCACCGCATCTGGCATGTCTGTGGTGCCGGTCCACATGGCTCGGAAACCGCAAGATTTTCCACTTTTCTGTTTCAAACCTGGTGTAACGGAACCAATGATGTTCACTCGGCCTCCACTGCTCGATGAGGTCCCTACCCGCAAATTGAAATGCCTTTTTGAATTAGCCAACCCATCTTTTAGTGGCACATTTGATAGATTTCAGTCAGTAAGTGTTGTTTGATGATTCATTGTATAACATCATTTTGATTTTTATGAATGGCTTTTTATTAGTGTCTAACCCCCATTCAAGAGTACAACGAAATGCTGTTGAAATTAGAAGAAATTAAAGAAAAAAGATTTCTCCAGACCAAAAAGAGCATTGGTCCATGTCGCGTTCACACGTGCCGTGGATACCTGAGGCCAAATATTTTGGAGTCTAGAGGTAATGAAAAGCGTTGGCATATTTAGGCTGGTTGTGAATTATTATATTTAGAATTTTTAATAATTTTAGACAATCATAAACTTTGTCGAGCTGCAAATTTAAATAACACTGAAGTACTTGCACAACTTCTCCATAATGGTGTCAATCCAAATTGTTGGGATAGTAGAAAACGTACACCTCTACATTTGGCAGCTAGTAAAGGATATGCTGAAGCCGTGGAGTATATATAAATATATATATTATACATTTATATTTTTTACATTAATAATTACTGTTTAACAAATTAAATGTGTTTGTTTTAAAATGTAGGCTGTTGTTGAAGTACGGTGCTAATCCAAATCTTAAAGATGCACTAGGGAATAATCCTTTGCATTTGGCTGCTTGTACACATCATATGGATGTAGTAACATTACTCTTAAAAGGAGGTATATTATTATGAAATAAGTTCAAAAGGACTAAAGTAAATTTGTATTATTTACATGTGTACAGGAACTGATGTAACGAGCTGTGACGCTCAAGGCCGAAGTCCTTTACATTTGGCCCAATCAAAACTGCGTTTATTAACTCAATGTAAAAATGATGTTTGCACATCGGTTAAACAAACAGTACTACAAGTAATCGAAATGCTACTAGCATATTTTGACAAACAAAATAAATCAGATGAAGCAGAACTGTTAAATGCCTTCCAAACTAGACTACAAATATCAGATGACGGCGAAAGGGTTAGTACTGAAATTCAAGACCTTTTAAATAATTTGTCTTCATTAAAACTAAATAAGTAAATTTAAAATAATTGTAAGCCAAAACTTATTATTATTTTTGATTATTTACATTTATTAGATCATGTTTCATTAATTATTTTTTATATATTATTGATTTTGTAATTATTAACTTATTATCGGTTTTAAATGTTACTTTGTACTAGTTGTATTAGATGTACTCATATACTTATGTGATGTTATGTTTTTGAATTACCTTACTTTTGGTTGTCAACCTATTACAGGAATATATTTAAATGTGTAATGTATTTTTAGTTACAATCTTTATATCTAATAAATTATTTATTAAATTATTCGTATTTATGATTTATATGGACAAATTAAATTTCAACAATTAATTAAAATTAAAATTAAAAGAAGTAATGTTTAGATGCCTAATACTAAAATACTACAGCACATATTGGATAAACTAATGTTTTTGTATTTTAAATTGTTATTCCATTATACAGAATATCTTTTTATAATTTTTTTTTTAAATTGATTTTGGGGTTTTCAGCCATTATAGAATTATTTAAATGAGAATATTTCACAACATAAACACATTTCATTCTTTCATTTTCAAACAGAAACTCTCGCACTAGATTCAAAAAGAGAATATTTTTTATACAAAATTAATGTGTATAATACTAGTATTATAAACCATTAAAATTTAAACTAGAGGTGAAGTCGTCTAAAAATAAATCTAAAATGTATTACTCTATTAAAAACGAAAACATATTTATTTTTAGTTAAGTTTTTGATTAACTGAGTTCAAATGATTGAAAAAAAAATGAAAAATGTCTCTTTGGAAAAGTTGTTTACTACAATCTGGTCAAGTGTTATCTTAAAGACTTGACACAAACCTGTCAAAAAAGATTTGGCTTTGCTTGATGACACAATTGGAACCTCTATTTCCTTATCATTGTTATTGTTAAAGGAAACAATTTTTTCAAATATAATTATACTAAACATTGTATATCAATATTAAATCTCACTCCTAAACAAATAAGTTTATTTAAGCTAATTAAGTTTAAATTATGGAGGTTCTACAACCTTTTTTGCCTAGGCAAAAGATAAAGTTACATTAATTACTTATTGTAGAAAGAGTGGCATGTCTATATAATCAAATTCTACAGAAAACACAAAAAACTGGTACATGTCCTGGATGGGCTCCTTTCTGCACCAAATACTACCTTTAGTGGCTGATATTGCCATAATAGTTTGATGGACTAGCCCTATTCGCCATAAAATATGTATTCACGGTAGATAAATACCAATCAGGTGATTACTAAATTTTGTCAAAAAGTGGACATAATCTCTTTCTGCAATTAGTGATTTACATATTATAAATAAAATCATTAAACTATTCTGTATTGGCTAAAAAAAAACCAAATTCAATTTTACTCAGTCATTATAGATAATCTGGATCAGCGATATATTTTGTCAGTCATCAAGAAATCTCTAAATTCGATTCTAACTCTAGTTAACATTTTATATAAGAATACATACTCAATTTAGTTGTATGAAGTTATTTTGTTTTAAATTTATGCGATAATAAAACAATATTGGTATTTGGAGAAAATAATTTGTATGCAGTTTCAAATTATTTATGACTCATTAATTTAATATAATTTACATTTTAGTAAACTATAATGTAAAACCTCGGAGATTTTATATTCTAATTTAATTTATATTTAATTTTTTTGGAATTAAAATTATTTTAAATACATTTTAAACAAATATGGATATATTTTTTCAATATCATTTGAGTTTTAGGTTTTCTTTTTATATATATTAGCTGTTATGTCGTAGATCACATAAATTGTTAAGAAATTTTAATATTTGTATACAGTGTGAATTTTATACATTTTGTAAGTTATATTATAGTCTATAAATAATGTCTATATAATATAGACATACTTAATATTGGAGCAGCCAAACTATGTACTTCCTGTTTACATGTATATAAATTTAATTAATTATATTTGCCAAATCACATACATGTATTTTCATAAATGAAATTATTAGTGTATTACTATACTATGTTGTCTATTGAATAACTCATCGAACTTGTTTAATAATATTTATAGAGATATTTATTTTTATTAAATCAAGTAATATATTGTATAATTATTATTTTAATTAAGATTATTGTAAGAAATATTTATTTGTTTATTGAATAACTCATCAAATTTGTTTAATAATATTTATGGAGATATTTATTTTTATTGTATCAAGTTATATATTGTATAATTATTATTTAAATTAAGATTATTGTAAGCAATATTTATTTGTATATTACCTTGAATTAGTATTTTAATTGCATATGCTCTAAGAAAGATTAATATAGAGGTCATTTTGTTTAATATATTTGTAAATAAATAACAGATATTAAACAGATTCTTTTTAACAATAATTTTTTATTTTTAAATTTTTAGCCAAAATTAACTAAACTTAAATAAAAAAATGTGTTAAGAGTTACACAATATTTGTATACATAAATTATATCCTTAGCCAAATATTAAAATCTTCTGAAACAATGTTTTTATAGATTTCATTACACAGGTACTTTATAGTGTTTCAGATATTTGTATTAAGGTAATGAGAGAAAGTTAAACTTTAAGAATCTATTAATTATAATATTATACAGTATGATTCGTGCAATGTAAAACACATTATTTCGCAAAATATTGACTTTTTTGGAAAAAAGTATTTTATTTTTGGGGGTAAAATGACTATCTACTTTTGATTTTAAAATGATAATTTATATTAATACATAAATTAATGGAGTATTAGTTTAAATCAAATTTGGTCATTATTTTTTTTAAATCCATTAACCTGTTGTTAAAATATTCCATTTTTAAATTTAGGTAGGAGTGTAGTGGAACATTTTTCAAATGCTACGGTCTGTATCGCCACACAAAATGATGATCCTAAATCCACTATTCTCTCCCTGCCTTAACTTAATAGTGTAATGTCTCGTAAACAGCAAATCAACAATTTCAAAAGCAAAATTGATTTAAGCTAATACTCTATCTAATTATGAGATTTTTAACAAAGATTGTCATTTGAAAATCAAATTTAGTCTTTTCACACCCAAAAATTAATGGTATTGTAACATTTTAGAGCTGCTTGTTTCTTAAGTTATCAAAATATTTGTTGAAGTCAATATTTTGCAAAATAATATGTATTTTATGTTAAATAAATCACTCTTTATTTATTACTGACTTAGGTTTGTATGAATTTGCATACTTTTCATTTAATTATGTATACTACTACAATACTTTTGGAATTAACTCTAGTGTAAATATGTGTAATTAATTATTAGTATTAATTTACTGTTTAATATGAATATTTAATATGTGTAAGTGTAGCACTTAATATAAAAAAAAAAATCAAACTGTTAATTAATGTTTATGGTAACTTTATTTTTCAATTAAAGTAAAACATGTATAAAAAGTATAATATTGAAATCAAAACAGAAAATACAATTAACAATAAAAAAATTATTCCATCCTTGATTATAATTAAATTACAATCAATATTATTGAGCAAAGAAAACCCCAAATGTAAAAAATGGTTTTATTAACTGTTAATTATATTTTCAAACATCTTAAATATTATTTATTTATTTATATAACATTCAACAACCTATTCATCTAATATTGGTCCCAGAATTCTTGAGTAAATAACATGGTAACGTAGAAGACAAATAAACATTTAAATAATATAATAAACCCTTTTAGAGAAGAGGTAACAACAATGACATAAATGATATGTATAATTAAGATAGTAGCTAATTTAAAAAAAAAAATGTATTTAACTCTTACAACAACATTAATTAAAAATTGGAAAAGATCAGGAAAATTTTCGTCGGGCATATACATTTGTGATCCCCGGTATGATTTCTGCTTGTAGAGGACTGTGCTTTAACAATTCCCCATCAACAACAAGGTGGCTGCCTTGCGACAATGGTTCAAGGCGAAACGCTTTTACGGGAATCATTTCAACATTAGGAACTGTTAAATGGTTACCAGATGACAGGCCCAACAAAAACTGAAACAAGTAAATTATTCGATTATTGTTAAGTTTTTATTATATTAATGGATGGTAGTATCCTTCTTGCATAAGCTAAATTATAAGTTAACAACTTAAAGGTAAGTAGATCTAATTAGCACAACCAAGGTACTGTTAACCCAGCTTACACAGTAACATACAAAAAAAAAAAAGTCCTTAGGATCAAATGATGCCATAAGTAGGCGCAGTCCTTAGGTTCTATCACTTTAACATTAAATGCTAAAGAGGAAATTTTAGGAAGAATATATATAATATATATATTTATATAATATTAGTATTATAATCACATTAAAAACTGCATGTCCATATGTATATGCATTATTTTTTGTGACATTTTATGTTATATTAAGTTTCAAAAGATGTATTCACTTGTAGAAGAGTAGTTCTTGATATACCATTTTTTATAATCAACAGCCAGATTACACCATCATTCAATTTTGATTTAGGAGCGAGTATTACATCTTCACTGATATGAGATAAATATGAAGCATGTATCATTACAAATTCATCTGTAAAAATGATACATACATTTGCATTTATTTTTAATTTTTTTTTTTTTATTAATTTTCATTGAATGATTAATGTTATCAAGAGCAACCTTCAATAACTTCCCAATCTGATGGAACTGGATCAGATAGTGGAGGAAGTCTAGATATTGGTCCTCGCACCCAGACTTCAGATTCTTCAAGTAGCTCAGGAATTGATGTAAAACTTGATGCTTCATTAACTGACATAAATGCAGTACGTTTGGATATTATCGAAGAAAAACTCTCAATTCGGTCACGCTTATCAAATTCTTCTAGCTGTAAACAAAAAAAGTAATAATAAATTATTTAACCGCAAATGAAATTGTATTACAGGGTCCATTCCAAACTCAATTGACAATGGCTCGTTTTCAGTGGTGACGGGCTCATGGAAATTATCAAATGTGCTTATCGTGAAATTATTCATTCTAGTTTCGATTTCCAAATTGTTAATTTTGCAGTAAGACAACCGGGCGGGATAACTTCTCAAAGCTATAACACATTTTATATGGTGTAGTATAACACTAGACGTTATTTGTACTCGTTGATATCTTACCAATTAATTTGGCAATACTCCATATTGTAAACCTTGGACTTCCTAACATTCTAAGTCTTTCACTCTCTATGTCGATATCAGCAATGAATCCCCAACCAATTGACAGGAAAGAGAATACGACTTCTGTCAGGGTTTCCACTCTGACCAGGTCCATTGGACATCTGTTGCCACTAACAACGTTCAGCACCGATATGAGAATTGGATCCTGATTGTAGGGTTCACTATAAATGTTCTCTAATTGGATTAAATTTTGAATGTGCTATTTAAATGAAATAATTAAATTATAGGCTTACTTGGTTTCGAAACTTATGGATTTGGCCATACCGTTGCCAGAGCCACCAGGTATGACTGAAAATGTGAGGTATTCAAAAGCTCTTTGCCAATCAGGCCGTTCCATGAGGCCATTGATCACTTCAAACATAAGACCATCTCCGCCAAGTACAATTACACCACGACCCCATTTATAAATATCACTTTTTTGCATAAGATTTCTGAAAATAAATTTATAAATACAAAAGTTATATTCCATACAAGTATTGTATTCTATAAAAGTTTAGGTATTGAAAATTTATTATATTCTATAATTACAACATGCAAAATAGCTTTTTTATTTTACTGTACAAAATTTCTACCAATTATTTTGCTCAAATATAACAAGTGTAGCACCTTTTCTGAAAGGAAATTTGATCTAATCTGTACTTTAAGAAGGTCATTATTTCATTTTCCGAGCAAATTTTATTGCAATTGGGAAAAAACAAAGGAAAACTGGAAAATTTATGAAATGTTTTATTTTAAAATTTGCTTTTTGTTGTAATTCAGTTAAGAATATTTGTAATGAATTGAAATTTAGACAGAAAACTTATAATTGTCATTTTTAAATGCGCTAACATTTTCAAAAAATTTGGGCCATTTTTGAGCTATACACATTTTAATTTTGAGAGTATTTTACGTCATTTTTATTCTGTAGGTACTCGGTGTATAAAATTGTTTGACCAAACAGATGCTTGAAAATTTAACAGGAGGTTTATTATAAGTTGTATTTAGTGGCCAACAAGAAAATGTTGAGTTTATTGTATTTTTTTTTTTATAAGAATTTTAATATCATATTTGACAAAATGTGTAAAATGTGTGGCATTTTAAAACATATATAACAGAATTCCACTCAGAATCATTTTTCATTAGCAATAATGGATCGATGCATACCGATATACATTAGATTACCCTCTATATCCCACCTTCCCAACTTCTTACCTACAAGAGTGGTCCACCTATCGTGCCAAATATGTCAGTCTTTTTTTATAATTAACATTAGGAAAACAAAAAATATGTTAACAATAACCAGAAAAATATATTCTTGTTGTACTGGGCTAACACATATCTGTCATGTACTACGCATTTATTCTGAGCCAACAATTAAATTTTATTCTAATTAAAGTCATAATTATTTTGTATACAAAGTAAATAATACTAATAATAAAATATTGTATTTAAATTATTAGATAATTAGATAACGGCATGAGATTTTATAAATCTCTAAAAGCTTATAGTTTCTGCATTATGCAATGATGTTTACTATTTTTAACTTATTTCTACATTTTTATGTATTTATTCGTATTTTAATTAAATATAAAATATATGTGGTAGAGATGCATATGTTATACAGAAATGTGAATAAGACTATACACAGCAAAAATACCCAAAAAATGACTATTCTAATAATAACAATCATTCAAATCTCTAATTTAAAATACATTTTTATTGTAAGACCATAAATAATGAATTAGTGAACAATAAATAGACTCAAAATAATCCTTGTAATATTTTCCAATGAAACTAAAATATATTTATCATTGTAGGTATAGAATTAAATGGGTAAAAAAAAAAATTTTAATATAGGTATTCATTACACTAGTTTTATCAGAAATGTACATTGTTTCTTAATGTGTAAAAGACACCCACAAAGTAAATGAGCGTTGTGTAAACCCAATTATATTAGGTTTCATTAAAGGTTAAACGAAACAAAATAATTTAAATTTCTTCAATTGATTTTTCTAATTGAAACTACAAATAAAAAAAATCATTATTTATTATTTAATAATTAAAGAACACCCAATTAAATGTTAATGAATGTGTATTTCTTTGGCTATACATTACATCGACCTTGTTAACAACACAATTTAAAGAGAAGGACAATGAATAGATTCTTCTCTCCTTCGCTGACTTTCATAAGCAAATTTAACATTAATCACTACTCATTTGTGGTCATGGAATATACAATAGTTTATAACTTTAATAAAAAAAAAATAAAAATAATTGGTAAGTAGATTTTTGTTACTGTAATTAATTGGTCCATAATAGAAAAACAACAAAATAATAAATTACTAATTGAGAGTGCAATGGCTAACTAATAATCTCTCCTCTCATTAGACATAATATACTGAAAGTATATCGTTTTTTCGAAATAATATTCAAATTTTTTATTATAACAAGACAAAACTCAATTAAGTAGCACAGACTTTAAAGGCTCTAAATCTAAAGAGTTGTTGAATACCACTCAGGCTATAGACTACAAATAGGTTTTTAAATTTGTATATGTTATTCTAAATGTGTGAAATTGCTAATTTTGTGAAATCGGCAGAAAAATTGTTTATTTTGTGTAATAAGCAACACAGTTTTTGTAGGATCTTAGGACCCTAAATAGGTACTGATTTTACATTATAAAGTTTTAGATTTAGAGTAGCGAGAAATTTATTGGTTTTACAATGACGTTTTTTTGTTTTTTTGGTTTTTTAAGCAGTTTTCTAATTGTATATATATGTATATAATACTATAAACTACATTAAATTAATCATGACGGGTGTGCCATGGTTCTACAAATATGTAGGCAATACATTTGCTAAGAGGTAGAATATATAGTTATTTTATTTATACATGTAAAATTAAATCATTACTTAAAAAAAAAAAGAGATTCAGAGAGAAGTTCTGTTAAACATCATGTTTTTAATGTCAATTTTTTATTTAAATTTTAACTTAAAACATTTATAAAAAATCTACAAAATGTTATTGGAAATCATATGGACTTTCTCTATGTAATAATGATGTCCAAAATCACTTTTTTTAAACAAAAAAATAAGTAATTCAAACTACATTTTTTATAACATGTTGAAAAACAACAAATGTTTAAAATAATATGTTTAATGAGCCAAATAAAATAATAAACAATTTTGAATATTATTTTCAACCAAATTAGATTCAAATATATGTTTGACTTATCTTCGATGTTAAGTAACAAATAACAATTATCAAAGATAAAAAAAGCACGTAGTACCCATGACATGCAACATTAACAGTAATTGAGAAGTTACATCATACACTCACTGAAAAAATCAAAAACAGTATTTATCAAAATTTTGAACACTCGTTATTACAGAAAAAAATTATTTGTTTATGACTGAATAATTTAAGATAATTGAGCATGTTGGAAATGTGTTTTTTTTTTTTTTAATTGTATTTTTGTGCGTGTAACTATTATTGTAATTTAAGTTTAATAGATACCTAGTGCATAAAAAAAGCTAATACAAAAAATATTATTTTGGTTATTAATTTCATAACCTACTTAACTGGTTACCTAGTATACCATGTTCTTTTGCATAAATATCATTTAAAGCTTACACTAGAACAATTTTAGAACAACACATTCTGTTCTTAGTATACATTTTATTCTGATTGCTTCACTCACTACTATTTTCATTATCGCATTTAATACTGCAAATTAAATTGAATTATATTAGGTACAACAACTATACTGTATGTTTTCCTTTTATTCTTACACAAACAAATTATTTATTATTGACATATTTAATTAAATCATATTAAATTAAAACAGTTTCAAATTCAATTTTTTGCTTCATCATTATTTTCAAATTGGTTATTTTTATTTGAATTTCCAGGAAACACATCATTTAATATGATTTTAATGCTTTTTATTAGTTCTTCTAATTTTCAATGAAAATAAAATTAATAACATAAGCACAAATAAGAGGGGCTGGGGTCTTAGAATTACAATAATCATCTCAAAAATTAACGATTTTACCATATAATATATTTGAATATATTGGAAGGTGTGAAGAAGAGCATATAAGAGTGAAAAAAGTCATCAGCTCCTCCCCCCCCCAGATGTTAAACAATATTTGCACTTATGATTAACATTGTTAATAATTGCATATTTTGTGTAGAATTGCAAGTTAGGTAAAGCCCTGGTATTAAAATTGGATTTAAACAATTATGTACGGGTACTTCAAATATGTTACAGCCATTTTATCAAATAAATATTCAAAATAGACAAATTTGTACAATACAAGTTTTTTGATTTATTGATTTATAAACATCTAAAATGATTCTTTATTTAAGTCTATTAAGGGAGTTAACAGGGCCAACTTATAAAATTCAAATTGAAATCTACACTTTTTTTTTACAAACATAATATGAAAATATTTTTTAACAATACGCCGACAAGTAGCTAATGATGTAATTTCTAATACCTTTAAATCACTCTCAAGCAGCGTTTTAAATAAATAAATGTTATTCAATCACTAAAATTAATAAAAAAATATATTCATATTATGTTTGAAAAAAAAAAAAAAAAAAATAAAAGTTCGAATTTGAATTTCAAAAGTTGACCCCTAAAACCCCTCTAAAAACTGTAAAAAAATGTACATATCAATATATTATTTGAATAAAAACGTTAATAAATATAACACTTGATAAAACAAGTAAATGGATTTTAATTTAAATCTCAATGTGTCAAGCATAAAAAAAAAATGCAAAACAATCAATAACGTTGAGGAGGAAGTCCTGGATTAATATTAATTGAGTAGAGGACACATTTACACATAGATTTATGTCAAATTTAGGGTAAACGTACATAGAATAAATTGTTTATATGTCTATTTACCTAGCATCATTTTGCATGCATGTAATATGCAAATCGTAGTCAACGTCAGCCGTATTTAAAATAGGTACTATTTTACGTTGAAATATTTCACGTGATTTTCCAACACCACTTTTTGGGTTCACTATTACCAATAAACGATTACCTGAAACGTAAAAATACATACTTATTTTTTTAAATTATAGTCATTATTCATGCAGGTACATCAATGACAACTATGATGTAGATATTAAAATTTTGTTAAGACAAAACAATTGATAGATAAATGCAATAGAAAATAAAAGGTAATTCATAAAGTACCTAGTTAATAAAACTGTTTAGTTTCCGCACAATTAAAAATGGTATAACTACCTGTAATTTATTTATAACAAGATTCTATATATATATGTATAATATGAATAATGGTAGTAAATAATACAAAGTTCATGAATAATTCAATGCATATGGTCTGTATAGGACCATTATAACAACATGTATTCTTTTGTCTAATACATCGGGACAGTTTTTTTCTTTGGCCACTATATAGATAGAATCTATTACTTATCTAACCAAATAATATAATATAATGATAAATATTATTATACTTATACATACTCATATTGATCCATTGATAAATATTTACTTATGATAAAATAAGCTATTTTATTACAGCATGATCCTAAATTAATTTATGGATATTAAGAATAACGTAGTAAAAATAATAATAACAATAAATAAATAAAGTAAATAAATATATACATAAAAATAAAATAAATGAATCAATTTGTCGCCTGGAGTGTATATGATAAGTATACACTTAACACACATACATTTTTTATTTATATATTTATTTACTTTATTTATTTATAAGTATTTACCATTTTAATAATTTTGTTTTTACTTTATTATTTTATTAATAATAAATTGATAGACATTCCTAATACAAATATACTTTGTTTTAAATTTGTTTGATAACAATTGAATTGTCATTACTCTAATAAAACCATAATTACTAATGATACATAAATTAAAAGTTAGCAATCATATTTTTATTAATATTAATAAATTGGAAATAATTTAATTCACTAATTCATCAACACATTTTACTGACATTTAATGTAAGGCCAATATGTATTTATTATTTATTTGTTTTAATTAAATTATAATTCAACTATTTCAAACTGTTTTAACAATGTACTATTTAGTTAAATATGAACAATGAAAATTAATTAATAAAAACTACATTATCTTAGGAAATATGTTCAATTTAGTATTAATTTAAAATGTTTTAAGTAACTTTAGTAATTTAAGTGTTAAAATCGATTCAATACTATATTTTATGGCTAAATATTTAGCTATGCTATTATCCAACTCTTATTTACTTGTTTGTGTTATCTTATATACGTGTGTCGCTGTTGGGCATGGGAGGAGAGTGCACACAAATCAGGAAATAATTTACTTATGTATTAAACTATATGAAAAAGATTTTTTAAAGGAATATATAATTTTAGTAATTTTAGTATTGATAGAAATGTTATTGGTTTTTATTTAATCATTAAAACGATTTTAACAATTTTTGTTGATTTTATTAAGTTCTATTAGCCCGAACCCTGATTAAAATTAATATATTTATAGTATCTTTTTAGACAATAAAATCTTATAGGGCCTTTGATACAGTCAACCGTGTAATTTTTTTCTTCAAATTTTACCAACTTTCGGAATTGATAATGTAAGCTTATCAGGGTTTAAAAGTTATATTTTTAACAGGAAATAAACGGTTAGGGTTGATAATGTAATAGATTAGGAAGGTATCATTCAATATGGTGTCCTTTAAGTGTACTGCCCCAATTTTAATTTTCTTATACATTAACTTGATTAATGAACTAAATCTTGATGGGTTAGTTGTATCTTATGTTAAGAAACCTCGTTAATTATTTTGATAAGTCCTGGGAAGGGGTTCATCATAAAACAACTGTTGTTGTAAACAAAGTTTACCAGTGTTTACGTGATAGAAATTTAATGCTTAATTATAAAAAAAAAATTTGTATGACTTTTTCAAATATATAAAATTTGTTTAAACCTTAATCCAATAATACTGCACAGATGTGTTGATGGGAAAAGTTAATATTACTTAAATAAATGTACTCATATTAAAGAAGTAACAATGACTTGCTAACTAGGTATCATTTGATAATATTGAAAATAATTTATGATGGAATTTTCATTCTTATAATTTAGTTGAAAAGTTAGGCGCCAAAACCTACAAATTTAATAAAATAAGGGACTTAGTACCTAAATTAACATGCATGTCATTTATTTTACTTTATACCAGCTAATTTTTCAATATTAGGATTAGGTGACAGTTTTTTAAACAAACTGCAGAAAAATCAGAATAACATTGTAAGAATTTGTTTTAATTGTTCCTTACAAGGATATATGAGGCAAAACTATAGTGATTAGGGTGTTCTCCTGATTAAGTTTGTCTACAAAAAAGTTGAAATTATGTTAATTTTTAAGAATACCTAACATTAAAGTTGAAAACAGGTTATTGTATGATGGTAAAAGGGAATGTAGACTTTATAATATTCCGGTAAAATACAAAAGTAAAACTTTTGGGCAACCATTTGATAATTATTTAGGGCCTGTTTAATTTAACTCTATGTCATATTTATACAAAAAAAAAAGAATGTTCACTGTTCGAAAAATAATCCAAATAAAATAGTGTAACATAGGTTGTATTCTCAAGTTATATTTAATACTGTTTTTCATGACTGATGTATTTTTTCTTCTTGCAATTGTTAAATTTCAAAATTGTATCCTTTTAATTGTCTTTTAACTTTGTTTTCGTTTTGTCTTAATCAAAAATACTTATATTTTTCTTTTTGTTGTTTTTATTTTTAATCAATGTATTACTATGAGATAGAGAGTACTCTATCTCAACATAAGCTATAGCTTAAAAAGATAGACAACCAAGTAAATGTATGTATATATTGTCTTGTGTAATTTACACATTAAAGATATGCTAGGCATGTAACATTATTTTAAAATATTTAAAGCCATAACAATAAAAATTCAAAAATCAAAATTATCAACTAATAGGTTAATCTATTCATTAATTAAAATTATGTCTTCTATACTAATTGTATTTTCTGTGAATACAGTAGTTATTTGAATTAAATATTATTATAATTTGTTTATAACTCACAGGTATATTTTTTTTAGTGCTTTTAAACTTTATTTACTATTGTCCAACAATTACTAGAAACAATAGTTAAAATGCATGACAGTGGCATTATGATAAAATACTGTTAATTACCAATGTGACAGTGACAGCCTATCTGGAGACTACTAGTACCAGATGTAATGTGTTTTAAATAATACACTGCCCCACGCAATTTGATAATTAAATAATTATTTTATCTTAATTTGAAAGAAAAAAATTATAGTCAATACTTCAGTATTTTATTTTTGTTTATTATTTTAATGTTGATATGATAGTTAAAACATAAATTCAGTAATGATTAATTAACTATAAACAGTAGTTGTAAATAAGTTTGTATTGTTATTTTTATATATATGAAGAACAAAACATTAGAATGGGCTGGTCATATATGGAGACCTGAAGGTTTAGTAAATAAATGTTTATACTGGAAAACTGAAAGGTAAGTGGCACAAAAACCATCCTAGACAGAGATGGGTTGACAGAATTACATTAGATCTTGCCAAGATCTCCCAAAGAACAAGATTAGAAGATAGTGAAGATAAATTATGTAAAAAATAGTAGAGGCACCAACAATAGTCTAACCTGGTTTGTAAAAAAGCTGAGAAAGAAAAAAAGATTATTTGTTATATAACTAATAGAAAATATAGAGAAAAATATTCAAAATTTCATAAAAAGAATAGAAATAGTATTGGTTTTTTTATGTTGGTTACAATTTCTGTATTAAAATATTGTATCATGCATCTCTTATACCTGTTATAATTTATAAGTTTTAAAGATGTTTAACCTACTCATTTAATTATAATATACTTTCAATACAAATTTCCTTAAATCAATAAATTATTGATTTAAAGAATATCTCATTTAGTTTTCATTTGTTCAAGTACATAAACAAACATTTGTTTATCTACCTATCTATAAGAGCATTTTTAAGTTTCAAAAAAATTTAATGAGAACAAATAGTTACTAATACTAGATATTAATGTATTATACAATTAAAAAAAATTCATAACAACATTATTTTATTAAACTTACCTAGGTATTGATTATCAGCTGGGGCAACAATAGTTCCATCTTCATACCTAGCTTTGAGGAGTGATTTGATCGCTAATTTCCATGTAGTGGCAACTTTGTTATTTTCATCATAACTATTGAAATTTCGAAACCTCAAAGTCACAGTCATTTTATCCCGTTTTTCATTTTTCATATCTTTATTTTTCAATATATATGCATAAACACACAGATAGGCGCTGCAGTCTGCATCTTCCGTATAAGGGATATGTACTTGGCATTCGTTAATGTTTTCGGTGTTCTTGGTTGGCCTACAAGCACAGTTGTTAGATTTAGCACTATTCTGCATAGATTTGCAGCCAATTATGTCTTTTATGTTTATGAGATCAATCTTCTCAGAATCGTCATCACAACGCTTCGTCAGGTACAGTCCAACAGGAGTTAATGACACTCTGTACGATAACTGCTTCCTGGACAGCGCGTAAAACGTTTCCTCGAGGATTGGTACGATAGCGTGTCTATTTTCATCCATAATGATGCGTATGGTTTAAAAACTATCTGCTAAAGCATATATATATATGCAAATAAAATCTATTAGCGAACAGTAGACGTTTGGACTCGTGAAAATACCTCTAAACCAGAGTCCGGAATATTTTAACTTTCTATTCGGTGACGAGCAACAGCTAAGAAATAGACAACATTGTCACAGACTATCTCGTCGTCAACTATTTAATGCGCGGACTAAGATAGTAAGATATCGTTGGTTTAATGTTTATTATTTATCACTTATCAGTTCGCAGCGGAAAACTAATAAAACTTATCAATTGGTAACTTCATAATTATCGCAGTACATCCTGTGGCAAACGCTCGTATTTCCCTCGTAAAATACAACATGGCATCATGGCGAGAAATAATCATAAAATCATGATTATAAATTACATATATCTTTACTATATTAAATAGTATAGTTAGCTTAGATCATATACTATGGATACTATTTAGTTGACTAAATATTTGAAGCAAACATAACTATGGGGAGTTGGGACAAATGTCCATAACCAAAATTTATATCACACACAATTGAATAAATTCACGTAATCGCGTGTAATGTACCTACCATCATTGCGTAGTGGTATTATAATGATTATACGATAAATATGCAACAAGTACTGATACGCATGCGCAATAGAAACCAGTCCCCTTAGCCCTCATTAATGTCTTCAACTCGTAGTACACGTTTATCCGTTTTATGCCGAAAACATTTTTATGTAACTGTGTTTAACAGTAAATATAAGCAAAAGCTATAATACTATACTATTTTCTCAAGAAAGACCTTTTACAAAGAAACAACAAATTACTATAGATACAACTAATTAGAATATTTGTTAAAATAATTGTAAAAATTAAATTTACAATAATTATGTAACTATAATATAAAACAAAATTTGATACCTATATGTCGGAAAAATGATATATTTTATAATTTATTTAAAGATTTAGTGTACAGATTGATGTTATTTAAATCATTTGAAATTTACTTAATTATATGTGGGGTAAATTAGTATAATTTATCCCACAACAAACTTAGCTTCAAGAGGTAAATAAATTTTAATTTATTTATGTATCGATAGTACAGATCGATAGCCTAAAGCCATTCTTCAGAGCTTCCAGTATTCTAATCTGTAGTATTAGATATTAGGTTATTTTATAAGAAATATTACAATTATAATTGATAAGGGATTTGCTCGTGGAATGTCTCTAGACGCTAGTTATAATTCGTTATCACAACTCCCGAAGAACTTGTAGGATTCCCAGTTTAACCACGATTAATATTATTGTAATGTCCTATCAGCTGGCTACACTGAATTGGCACTATATTGTGCTGAAAAGTAAGATTTTCCCTCCAATTTTTACTGATTTGTTATGTACACCAACATCAGTCATCAATATACAATTTGTACAAATCATTGTGCAGTAGGTAGTTCAATTACAGTTCAGTGAGCGGTTGTATTACATTCTTTGATCTTTCGCTTATTTATTTTTTTACTAAAGATTTGTGTTTAGATGTATGGTAACGTATTAATTTAACCGGTATGTATATTTACACCAGAATTGACAATTAATTGTATTATTATTTTAATTAGACTTAACTTTTTACATTTAATTTTGTAGACCTGTTCAATAAACAAAAGCAGTACACATGGCACCTAGTTTAGATAATGTTACATCAAGTTCTAAAGGAATTAAACGGCCTTTAAGCAAATCGCCTTCTGAACCACAAGCAAAACGGGCCAAAGCTAAAACTGCAACTGGTAAAATTCTGACTAATGGTACAAAACAAAATATTAAAGGTACGGTAAACTGTAAATTATGTTATCAAATAAAACCAGAAACTGTAACTTATCCAGAAGATGCTGAAATTGAATGCATTGTCTTAACCAATGAGGTATTGGCAAATATTTATACAGATGAATTAAATGTTATAACACACAATGTGACCAACTATAGTATTTATGATGAAAATGGACACTTGTGTTCAATGGATTCAGGAATTATTGAGAGGAATGTCCCTATATTTTTAACTGGTTATGTAAAACCAATTTATGACCATGATTCTAGTTTTGAAAATGGAATTGCCGTTAAGGAATTGGGGCCTATTTTAGAGTGGTTTTTATCGTCATATGATGGCGGTTCAAAGGTAATAATTGGTGTATCTACTGATTGTGCAGATTATTTATTGATAGAACCACACCTGAGCTATAAAAAGTATATGGCATCTGTAATTGAGAAGATACATCTCAGTAAACTAGTTATAGAAAGAATACTTGATCATAAAGAATCTGATGATCCAACTTATGAAGATATTTTAAATTCCGTAGTTAACTCTGTAAATCCTGCAACTAATATCAAATTTACCGAAGAAGATCTGATTGCCCACGCTCAATTTGTAATAGACCAAGTCATAGACTATGACTCAACTGCTGCTTATCGTTTTCCGTTAGTTGATACTCAATGTATTGAAACATTGACAGAACTTTCAGGAGCTGCAAAGTCCGTTAAAGTGCCTCCCAGAAGGTTGAATACACATAGAGCAAATAGTCTGAAATCTGATATAAGTAAACAAGAATATAGTAAAGCCACTACCACAAATTTAGTTAAAGACGTATTTGAAAATATGTTTGCTGCCCAGTTAGAACAGTATGATAAAGAAAATGAAGTAGTTTTAAATGAAAATGTGAAAACTGTATTTGATGATATTAAGTTAAGCAAACATATTATTAAGACCCCCGAGAAATTGCATGAAAATATGTGTATTATTGTAAAAGAAGATTCTTCAATTGATCCTATAATTGGTTGTGTTCAATATTTATTTAAAACCCGCTCTAAAATTATGGCCCATATAATTTTATTTATGCGTGGTAATCAAACCATACTTGGTGATACATCGGACCCTCGGGAACTATATCTCCTTAAAAAGTGTACTGATATTGATATTAAACATATAATTCAAGTAGCAGATGTAACATACAAAAAACCATCGAAAGATTGGTTCAAACTTGGTGATTCAAAGTTGAAAGATATTTTAGAACCGGTTGATCGAAAAAAAATAAATACTTTTTTTTATCAATTTCAATATAATGATGAATTTGGAAGATTTGAGCATCCGGATAGTTCCGAAATCTTATTCCGTGGTAAAAATCAAAACAAATGTTGTAGTAACTGTATAAAAAAAGATTTGGAAATAAAAACTCAAATTCCTAAACTACTTAAATATATAGAAAAAAAGGAAGACATATATTATTTTTTAAACTTCAAATTACACAATGAAGAATATAAAGTAGGAAGTTTTATTTATTTACAACCCGGGATATTTACAGAAGCTTTAAGATTTAACTTTGTTGGGCATGAACCATTTGTGTTTAATGATACAAATAAAAATAAAAATAGTCCTTTCCTGAAAAATGTTGATGAAACAGTATACCCTGAATATTATCGTAAAACACTGGAAAATACAATGCGTGGTTCCAATGAATCAACACCGGACCCTTTTGAAATTGCAGAAATAATAAGTATATATGTTACTGAAGGTGATAAAAAAAATGTTAAGATCATTGTACGCCGTATGTACAGAGCTGAACAAATTCCATTGGGAAATAATGACAAAAATGTGGATATGAATATGCTATTTTGGTCAGAGGAAGAGTTTAAAATAAAATATGATGATATAATTGGAAAATGTTATGTATCCCACATTACCAACTTTCAAGATCCCGTTGCTTGGTTTGCTGGTGGACCAGATCGATTTTACTTTAAAAGTAAATACGATTTTTTAACTGGTACCATTGTTCCAGAATATCAACTTCCAAGTGTAGCAATATTGACTGGTAAAGAAGTATATGTTAACTATGACTATAACTATGTAAATGAAAGTAAAATACAATATGTACCTTCTTATAAGAAAATCAGTCCACTTAGAGGACTGGACATATTTGCAGGTTGTGGTGGATTGTCTAAAGGATTAGAAGACAGTGGATTACTTAAAAGTGAATGGGCTATAGAATGTGATGATAAAGCTGCTGCAGCATTCAAATTAAATAATCCCGATGCAATTGTGTTTGTTGAAGATTGCAATCTTTTGTTGAAATTAGCTATGTCTGGTAAGAAAACTAACGAAGTAAATCAAAAAATACCACAAAGAGGTGAAGTAGATTTTATTTGTGGAGGTCCTCCATGTCAGGGATTTAGTGGCATGAATCGGTTCAATTCTGGTCAATATTCATCATTTAGGAACTCTTTGATTGTTTCATTTTTATCATATATTGATTATTATCGACCAAAATTTTTTATTATGGAAAATGTCAGGAATTTTGTTTCTTTTAATAGAGGCATGGTTTTAAGATTAACTCTCAGATGTATTACACGCATGGGCTACCAGTGTACATTTGGGATTCTTCAAGCAGGTAATTTTGGTGTCCCTCAAACTAGAAGGAGGTTAATAATAATGGCCGCAGCTCCTGGTGAAATATTACCATCTTATCCAGAGCCGACTCATGTTTTCAATAAGAGAAGCTCAAGTTTAAATGTACAAATTGGTGAAAAAAAGTATAAAACAAATTGCAAGTATGAAGAATCTGCTCCTATGAGAACCGTAACAGTGTACGATGCTTGGTCTGATTTACCTGAAATAAAAAATGGAGCAAATAATGAAGCAATTCCATACAAACATAAGCCCATAACACACTTACAGAAATTACTGAGGTATCCAAATAATCGTTTCTCGGAATCTATATTAACTGATCATATCTGCAAGGATATGTCACCCTTAGTGCAAGCGAGAATGGAATTGATTCCTGTAAGTGAAGGTAGTGATTGGAGAGATCTACCGAATAAAGTAGTACAACTATCTGATGGAAGTAAGACAAACACTCTAGTATATACTCATCACGATTCAAAGAATGGCGAAGGACCGGGCGGTGCATTTAGAGGAGTTTGCCCATGTGCTAGTGGAAAGAAATGTAGTCCACAAGATAGGCAAACTAACACAGTAATCCCTTGGTGTTTGCCACATACCGCAAATCGACATAACAATTGGGCAGGATTATATGGACGGCTCGCATGGACAGGATTCTGTTCGACAACAATAACAAATCCTGAGCCAATGGGTAAACAAGGTCGGGTACTTCACCCTAATCAACATAGAGTAGTCAGTGTGCGAGAGTGTGCACGATCACAGGGTTTTAATGATGCATTTTTATTTTACGGTCCAATTATTAACAAACATCGGCAAATAGGGAATGCAGTACCACCACCTATGGGTAAAGCAATTGGACATGAAATAATTAATGCTATAAATAAAAAAATCTCATGACACATGTATAAATAAAGATTAATACAAAAAAAAAACAATTTCTCATTTTGTACAAAAAATTTGTTTTTTTCTTTTCAACAGAAGAGGAGTATATTTTATTGTATTTATAACTCTATGTTTATCTAATTTTGGAATATTGTCCACTGTTTTTAATACCTAATTAATTATATATTTTAAGCTTATTGATTTTATTGTTTTTTTTTTCTAGAAAAAAAAAATAAAGTTGAATTTATTTTTCATCTTGTTTTTTCTTGTACTTATACAATTAAAATAAAGGGAGAATATTTTTATATTGTTATTGAATTCCCTAGTATTTCCTAACCTCATCTTTATCCCTATTACTGCTAGTTGTTGCTAGATAAATGTATTTTTTAAAATAGTATTTCTCTGTCTGTGACAGCAAAATTAACTTTTATAACAATTTAGTAATTATTATTATTTTAGATTCTGAGCTGAGTGAGTAATGCCAATACATTCTTCACTACTACTTTACTATGATATGTATTTAAATGAGTTTGATATAGTAATTTTTTTTTTGTTGTAATTGTTTTAAGTTTCAATATTGACATATGTTGTAAAAATAAAGACATTTTACAACATGTTAAGCAAACTTCACTCATAATCTTATTTTGTCACCAATGATACATCGTTGTGTACCTATAGATATAAATTAAATAATTATCTTCCCAACAGTCGTATCAGTTCTTTTTAAATTGTATCCATGTCACTAAGGTAACCCAAAAATCAAAAAGAAAATTGATTTTCTTCTTATTCTAATATAAAAAATACAGTGTGAACAACACATTAATGTTTGAATTCGAAAATTTAAGATTGGACAGCGATCTTATTCTAAATGTCAGTTGTGTAAAGTTTTATCAAGATTGGATTAAAACTACATTTGTATATTAGACACATAGAAAATTTTATTATATAATTTGAATATGCAAATATTGTTTATTTGGTAATTGATACATGTAATATTCAAATGGCATTTAATTATGTACTTATTTATTCCTTGTGGTATTAAAAATAAATTAACTGAGAGTTTGATGGTTGGGTTCAATTACATATATTGTTGTTTTAAGCTTTTGAAAGAATAATAGTATCTATTCATTTCTTGCAAGACTACTTATATGCAAGTGTATACAATTGTAAATAAATAAATACATACTTCCTCTAAGCTTGTATTGAAGATGTAGTTCTAAATCTAAAATTATATAGTATAATGTTAAGTAGTTATTATGACTTATTCAATAATTTAAAAGAAAATTAATACTTATAGTAATAATAATAATAGCGAGTAATATGAAAGTAATGGTAATTTATAAAAATACAATTACCTTCTAGCTTAAATCAGTTTTAAGTATGCTATACTAGAAATGATTATCAATTTTTAAAATGCTAGTATTAATTTATAATTTATGATCGTTAATATTGTATTTGAAGTACATATTCAAATTTTGTAGTGTTGTCAGATACTGCGTACATGTGTTTTATTATTTTTGTAACAATGTAAATTTAAAGATTTATCAGAAATTATTATTAATAACTGACTTAAATAGGTTTTTAGTTTAATATTTAACATATTTGTATAAGATAACTTTTTGATTTGTATTTCTTTCATAATATGTGTATGTTAACTGTGTTTTGTGTATCTGGCTTGGAAGCAAGTAAGTAAGTGAAGACTTACTCGGTCACAAGTTAAGTTAATAATGTTTCAACTTGAAAGAAATAAGGTATATATATAAAACAAAGTGTGATGTTGTATAAAGTTTATGTGAAATTTAAAAAAATCATTATTAGTTAAAAGCACAGAAAGTGCAAAGGTATTATTTTTTCCCTTTTTTTTTTTAATAAAACAAATTTTTGTTAAACTGATTCTGAACAGTTTTATTAAGTTTAAATTGATTCTGAATTATAATAATTAAAGGTAGATATTTTTATTTAATTTGTAATGTGTTTTTTAATCATTTAGTAAGATATATAATAAACCTATTTTAAAAAGAAGAAATATCTAAAACCGTAATTAACAAATATTATTTTCCAAAATTTTGTTTGATTGTTAATATAACATTTGAACATATTAAAACATTTGTTTCAATTTTTCTTACTAAATGCTAAACTTTAAACAAAGACCGACTAGTAGTTACTTCTATACAATTATAAAAATAAATAATTATAATGTTTAAGCAATTTACTTGTGTATCTATTAAATTAATTGAAGAAAACTATATCTTCGATTTCTGTTGATAAATTTTGTATAATTTGCATGGTTGGATGTATAGTAATAAATGCACATTATATTAAAAACAATAGTTAAATAATATACATATATATATAGGTATGTATATATATTCTGATATTCATTTATTTTTGTATTAATTACAAAGTGCAATTTTATTTTTAATTTCCCATAAGAGTAAACATATTACATTGTATACTGCCTATGTAAAACCAAAATGTATTATATACAGGGATTTATAAAAAAATATATATATTTTTAATTTTTAATATATTTTAATTACTAAAATTCCATACAATGGACACATCAATAAATTCAATATTAAAATTAATTGCTATATAGTACAAAATTGTATTTGTTAAACAATATTACTTATACTGATACATGTAGTGTACCTTATAAACAATATTATATTAATACAAATTGAAAAAAATAATAATTTGTGTACATATTTCAAATAATTAATAAATTAATGTGTATTGATATAATTAATATACACCATAATATTTTAACGCATGAATACAAAATGTAGAAAAATATTTAAAAGTTAACATGAATTAAACAAAAGCACATCTATCATATATAAACATTTATGTTATATATATAACAGAAGTGTAGAATTTGATTTATTAATTTAGATAATATTTTTATTTCAAAAGCACAATGTTTTTAAACCATTATAAAATATAAAAACATGTTTGGCACATATTTAAATTTCTATGTTGAAATCTATAAAGTTGACAGGCATTTAAAGAAGGACAAATTTATTTTAATATTATTAATTCAGTCAAGGGTCAACCAGTCAATTTCGGTGTACATTGTCATTGTTTTACATTGGAAAAAGCATTAAGCATTTAGTTGTGAAATAATATTTAAATATATATATATATATATATATATAAATGTATATAACATATAATATATGTTATGGAACACAATTTTTTTTTATAGACATACAATTTTGGAAAATTATTAAATAATAATAATAATAATTTAACTTAACTACATTTTTGAGAAACAATTAAACAATTGTTATGTAACAGCCTGTAGTCATGGATAAATGCAATTTTAAATGTCTACTTTGTTCAATTATATTGTAGTTAAATAAATTTAAGTAATCATTTCTAAATACTTTTGTTTATGTTTATTTAACATTTCAGTGACTGTTACAAGTTTCTTCAGAGATGGTTGAGTTTTACTTAGATTCTGAAGTTCACTCAAATGTGTTTTACAAATATGATGTAGAGTGCCCAAATTACGAGCAGGGTCACCTTTGATTTTTTCTCCTTCAGATACTGGTTTTTCAGTAACATTAGACAACTGGTCTAAGAACACTACCATTCTCTCTTTGTTCTTTAATATGAATGGGTTAACAACTTCCATATATGGTTCTTTTCCACCAAATTCTACAAGATTGGCCAAATTCTGCAAACATTTTGCTACCATGATCAAAGATCTAGCAGCCATGGGTGGTGGTGGTTCAGGAATAAGACTGAAATGTCTAGGATTTAAAATTGCTGGACATAAAAGTCTTAAAAATATAAATCCGGAAACTGCCTGGGTTCTAACCAATCTTTCATAAGGCCATTTATTCATCACCATTCTCTGTAAACATCCACATATATAACGTAAAGTACGAGGACAAGTTTCAGCCGACATAAATATAGACTGAGTGATTTCATCTAATATTAATAAAAGAAACTCAGCATTGTCACAAGCATCATCTGGAGAATCCATTTTACATGGATTCAGTTCACATGATTGTTTACTTTCCAATAGTTTAAATATAGTTTGTTGTATGGCAGACTTTAAAAAATCTGAACAGACCGATTTCATGTAAAGGTCCATTAATGTTGTGGTTAATGATGCTGCTCTGAATAGTGTTGTGGTCTCATCTTCTTTCATTATTTCCACATCATTTAAACTTCTCAACAGGTCAGCTTCTTTTTTTTCATGTCGAAAAATACCCATTAAAGATGTGGCTAAAGGTATGCGATCCTGATGACAAAGATCTGCTAAAGCTCTTACAGCTTCTAAATCTGGATCAAGAATTAGTTGTTGCATCGGTGAATACTCTTCAGTTGGCATAATCAGATCGTGTAAGTATCTAGTACGCAATCGTAAAGAGCCCCATTCACCTATTGGTGTTATACCGCTCAATGAATACCAATCTTCAACTTCAGCACCATTATTTAGTGTATTCAAATCTACAGTTAACTGAGCTACCTCACTATCTTTAGATCGTTTTCCTTTATTGTAAATACTTACAGTGAAAGTCAATACATCAGGAGGTACATCATCCAAAATGAATTCTTCATCAAATACAGGATCAGGTCCGCTCTTAACTCGAGTCTTGGCTACTTTTACTTGATTAAGTGATATTATACAAAATGGATTTGGTACAAGTTTGAATGGCAAACGATGGGCATCTAGAATATGTAACTGCAAACAACGTAGCTCTCGTAGTTTTTGTGCTTTAGGAACTCTTTTTATCTGAGTAACACAATACATTCTGAGAGCAGAAATCCATTCTTGATATAAATCTTGTGATGAAATGGATAAATATGTTATAGTAGCCAAACACGGTAAAGCTCTTTCAACTAATTGAAAACAATTGGGTCTGTCAAATACACTCTCATGTACCGGATATAAGTAAGCACAACTTAATTCTACCAAACCTTTAGGTTTAGTTCGTTTAGGGTTATCATAGAAATACAAATGGGTATCCGGTCCACCAACTAATAATACAAAATACAATGATTTCCATTTCTTATTTTTATCACTCTTTTTAAACATATATCCTTGCATCTTAATTCCTTTTACTTTTTTTAGACCCACCTGTTCTCGACATTCTTTAAGAGTAGCATATATTTGTTCAGCTTGTTGTACTTCTTTTAATTTGATTGGTAATTCCAATAATTCACTTGAATTTCGACATACTGGTAATAAAAGTGTGTGTCCTTCAACTATTTGCTCCCTACGATACCTATTTATAACAGCATCTAAACATTCAAATGTACGACCACCCATTAAATAACGAACACCTTTTTTCTCAATTCGAAATCTTTGAATTTGATTGTTGACATGAAAGAATAATGAATAGTCTCCAGGAGAATTATCACTTGGTCTTACCAAAAAACTTCCAGGTCCAGATTTTACTAACATGTCTACTGCTTCAGTTTTTGTCACCCCTGGATGAAACCATTCAAAAACAGTGTTAGGGTCAATGTTTTCATCTAAATCGTCTACCTGCAAATGTATACATTTTTGTATTATAACTTAATAAAATAAATTATTATAATTATATATAACAAACAATATTTTTAGAAATTGATTATAAATAAAAACCATTACAAATTAAATAAAACTATTAATAACTTACTAGATCCATAAAAATCATTCCTTGTTCACCTGTTCTGTGAGCTGTTACCCAGAGCCATCCATCTCCCATATCATTGTGCACAAAGAATATATCACCTTTTTGAAATGTTAGTTCATCTGTGTCAGGCATTTTTGTATAAGGTAAGATTGCCACAACACGTTTTTTATCATTGACTGGTTCAGGAGGCGCTACAGGACATACAAGCCTTTCTCGTTTTAACAGATCTGAACAATTTGTGTAATAACCTATTAAGTCTGACAAACTATCAAATTGTCGGCCACCTATGTAAAAATCTCCACACACTGCTGTCACTCTAAAGTGATTAATACCATTCCGCCCCAGGTAAGATAGCACATATGAGCCGGGTTTACGATCGCTTTCGCGTACCAGGTAGCTGCCAATTTCTGATGTGTACAGTCGTTCTTCAGCACCATATCTACTCAATCGACCATGATACCAGTGATTCTCAGGCGGTGCTTGCAGTAGTGATACGTTTGACCCATCTGGTTCATCTTGTCCAAGGAAAGGATCAAATTCTTGATCTACTATATCCTGACTGTCCATGCTATTCAGGCTGAGCGTAGTCTGCACATTATCGCGTATCATCAATCCTGGACCACCTCTTATAAACTCAGCCATGACTTTCTTTAAGAAATCAATTTTGAATGGGCCTATATTAACTTTTCATAGTATTCTTTAACACACTGACAGTTTCCAATAAGATTGTCAACTAATAAGCCAAAACACAATGGTTTCAACGGCTCACCGTACATCAAAAGTCAATAAATTTAACAATTTATAAATTACTGAAATGTGAAAACCTTTATATATTAATGTGTAATATTGATTAAATAAAAAATAGTTTACTGATAACGGTGAAAAAATGATTGATAAGGTCATAATTGATAACCGAGAATCATTAAAAAGGTTACCATGGACTAAGATAACTTTGTAGTTGTTACCATGCCACCGTTGATGTACAACTCATCGATGTGCTCACCAATCTGGACATAAATCTAGACGGAATATACATCCTGACTTAGATCATATACAATTGTATATGATCTAAGCATCGTAAGAACTGGGAAACAAGATTAAAACTGATATGTAAGGTATAGATATAGATATAGATCGCTAACTAGTGATAACAGCAGATACCAAAAAGCCATGTTGGTTGTAGCCTCTATAGTGTTATCATAACTACATGATACCTAAGCTATCATTTGGCGGGGGGTATTTTAAATCAAATCGTACATATTACCATAGATATAGGTAATAAACTAAATTATTGCCTATATACATAAAAACATATTATAATAAAAAATAAATTATACATGTTAATCATTAATCAAAATAATATTAAGACATGAATTGATGTATCAAATAACACAAATGACTATGCATGTTGCCAACAAAATAAAAAATGCATTTAATAACTTGACAAATTTAAAAAATCGAGGTAGTCTTCAACTAGTATCTGAAAGTAATTTCAAAATCGTCGAACTTACTGAACAATACTTAAAGTTCATAGTTATTGACAAAAGGCAATTATTTATTAAAAATATTGATAAAAAATAATGTTAATGGTTCAAAACTCTTGCGTTATGTTCAAATTTACTTCCAGAAACAAATATATGTTTTGGAGACACTGATCTACATTCACGTTCACATGAGATAAATATTATTAACCTAGTAAGCCCTATGTATTTAAATATTCATATATACTCTAACATCAAAATTTTAAATTCTTCTATTTTGAAAGCACCTGTCAACGAAAGTTACATACAACAATTTTGTTTAATAACTTGTAGTCATAACTTTGTTTATATCAGTAAAATTGGTTATTTTATTATTTTTGGATTTTTGATATACTTAAATACTTAAGTAACAAGTTTTTTTTCAATGTGTATATAAAATATAAATAATTACATAAATTATTATTGAAAATATTTCTGAGTTCATGAATTATGATAAAATTTATTTGTGTATAATCACAATGATAAAAATTGATAAAATACCATGGCCTTCAATCAACATGGCGGAAAAGCAGCGTTGCCCGGCCTGCTTTTAATTTTATACTACACTTGGCGTCACAAAAATCGCACATCTTTAAAATTAAGTTTCAAACGGGCATTTCCCCGAACCAAAACATTTAATCCAAACAATAAAGATATAAATTGAAAGTACAGTTAATGACCTCTTATCCGATAGTAGTTTCATTTCATAAACAATAATCATATTCCGAGTATACGGTGCATTAGGAAAATGTATAAATATACTCCTATCTTATCTTATATTCTTTGGCTATAGAAAAATCAGTTTAAAGTGTCAAATGCAGGTCATTCACTTCCGAAACATTGAAAAAGACGTACATGAATACTCTTTAAACAATATTATTTCAAAAAATAACGTATTAAATGGATACAACTGCTAACGAAGCCGCTCAAGTGGTAGCATTAATGGAATCAGGGATGCGTCAATGTGATGTTGCACGGCAACTAAACTTGAGCCGTTTTGCCGTTCGACGAGTTTTCCAACGTTATCAAGAGACTGGTGGCTTTATCCGGGGGCATGGATCAGGCCGATAACGCTGCACAATGGACAGAGATGATCGTTTTATTGTCTCGACGTCTTTGCGCAATCGATTTTCAAATGCTGTAGAGCTTCAACAGCAACTCCGCGCAGCTCGCAGTACAACAGTAAGCACCTCTACAGTTAGAAGGTTAGGAGAACAAAAAATTGTGGCCCGCAGACCTGCTACCGGTCCGAAACTGACTGCACAGCACCGCAAAGAACGGTTACATTTTGCCCGTGAACATTTTAATTGGACGCTTGACCAATGGAAGACTGTGCTCTTTTCTNGAGGAGACAGTGGAGTATGGAGGTGGATCATGCATGTTCTGGGGCGGCATTTCCATCGATAGCAAGACCGAGCTTGTGTGCGTTTCCCGAACTGGTGGCGCTCGAGTACAAGGATCGCTAACTTCTGATCGATACATTACAGAGATCTTAGAAGAGCATGTGGTACCATATGCGGGTTTTGTTGGAGATGGGTTTATACTAATGCACGACAATGCTCGTTCCCACACCGCATTAATTGTAAAAAATTATACGGAAGAGGTTGGGATCCCTGTTATGAACTGGCCAGCGAGAAGTCCAGACCTAAACCCAATTGAGCACCTCTGGGACGAATTAAAACGAAGAGTGCGGTCACATGATCCTGCCCCAACAACCCTCCAAGATCTTCAATATGCTGTTGTTGCGGAATGGGTGAACATTCCTCAAGAACGCATCGTACGACTCATAACTTCTATGAAAGATCGTATGGAAGCAGTAATTAAGGCAAGAGGAAGTAGCACTAGATTTTAAATAACATTTAGTAACAGTTTTTTATTTTTATATGAAGTCTATTGTCTGTTTCTGTTTGTAAAACTGTATATCCCCAATACAATTTGTTTTCCTCTTCCACGATTAACTTATTTTTTAAAACACTGATAAACAAAAACACATACCATTTATTTATTTTTCAAGTTTATTTCATCACCTTTCAAATGATATATCATAACAGTACCCTTATATATGATTAAGTGTAGTTAAAATTACTTTGAAAAATAATTTGCAATAGGTGCGATTTTTGTGACGCCAAGTGTAGTTAGCAATCTAATTTATTATCTATATCTGTGGGTATATCTTTAAACGTATTGGGATGTGGGTGGCGTGGTCGATCCATAGAGTAATTACTCTATGGGTCGATCCAAATGAATCCAGAGAGATAAACTGATATAAAGCCTAGTGTGAGACTAGTGGTATGAGAGAAAAATTTGTTCTCCGAGGCTAGCCAGTTAAAACACTTGGTTTATTGTTTCACGTGTTTCTGTCCTCAATATAAAACTCCACCTACCGAAATGTGCTTTCATGCCGAATGTTCCGTCAATGAAAAAAAATAGATTTAAAAGACTACGGGTACAGACCATAGAGTAATATGTAGAATGTATTCCCTACCATAGTTGTGTAACAAAACCAAGGTGGATAGGAAATACACCATCCACCTTGAAAACTGTTGAAAAATACATAATCTGAAAAATATTTACGTCGAACAGTATCCACCTTTTCCAATAAAATATTTGTCCAGTATTTTATTTCCGTATAAATTATTTTTTGACCAAAATACTTTTGTAGTCAAATATTTTTCTGCTGGAACAATTTTCGTAAATATATTTGGATAATGAAAGCAGGGAAGGCGTCCTTTGCATTATCCAAATTTTTCAAATCTAAAATGCTGTCAAAAAATACAAAAGTTAGACTCTACACAGTGATAGTGAGAGCTATACTAACATGTGCATGCGAAGCATGGACGAGTACAAGTGTAACAGAACGAAGACTTACTACCTTCGAAAACAAGATATGACATGCGATATGTGGACCCAAATTAGACGCGAACACTGGTATGTGGAGGAGAAAGTTTAACAAGGAACTGATTGAAGAAACAGGAATGACTCCAATTTTAATATCCAATTTATCCGTCTTTTAATATATATATTTTTTAATTAGTGCCGTTTATACAGCGCATATGCCATAGCTACGGCTTCAAGATCATCTAAAATCCCGTCCATTCTATGTACCTAATTTGCACTGTATATTATACTAATGTATATAATATATAAATTATATGGGTATCAAAAAAAAAAAAAATAGACAGAAAAGTGAAAACCGCAAGATAGTCTTATCAAGGAAAACAGTTTTTACGAACCGCTCCGTAAGCAACCAACGGTAGCAGTTTCTTATCTATTCAAACCGGCGGTTAAACCGCTCCGTGTATAAGCAGCTTGTATAAGTTGTTGTGCAATGTGCATGGACTATGGAGTCGGCTATCTTGTTTTTATATACATCTGTGGTATAGAATAAATAGTCATAGAATAAAATAATTATATTACTATCACGGACTAAGATATATATTACTTTATCTTTATCATGGTTGCAGATAGTATCCACAATGTAGATGATATTATGTTTACAGGCCGTGTTTTACATCATGATAGTATCTATAACCGTTATCTATGTTTACAACCGTGGTGTTCATCGATGTATATTTACAGTCTTATCTTCTATCATATTTCGTGACAAAATTTAAGATATCTACTTAATGTAAATCGTAATAACGTTTACAAAATAGTAAATTAAACGTTTTCATACGTTAATACTTTACGTAATCAATTTTAGAAAATGTTTTATAAATTAAATTTTATTTAGTTATAAACAAAGCAAAATGGAAACCACAGAGGAAGAATATCCACCAGTAGTAAGTGTTAATAGTAATTGTTTGATATTTAAGTACATTATGAGAATATGTTACAGAACTGGGGGAATGAAAAATTTGAAGAATCACAAGATGCAGCTAATGAAAACCCATGGGATGTAGAGGCTTGGGCTATATTGTTGCGAGAAGCACAGACCAGATTGATAAATGATGTACGATCGTTCTTTGAAAAGCTAGTCAACACATTTCCAACTTCCGGTCGATATTGGAAATACTATATTGAAATGGAAGTATGTTTATTTATTTATTGCGGCACCAAATCAATTCAAATGAAGAATAATTTATAAGTTTAAAGGAAATTCAATATTAGATGTTTAACAATTATTGAATTCACTCACATACAAAAATAAATATGTATACCTATATAATCAAAAATAATAATAATACAAATACAGTAAAACACCTAAGACGATTTCTCATGTAAGATTCTGTTTTCCACAGGTCTCCAGAAATTTCCTGTATTAATCAATGATAAAACCATCTCTTAATACAATCTCTTAAGCAGATGACAATAAGTACAGTAATTGTGCAATAATAAAAAATTTAAAAAAAAACATTGAACATCTTAATAAAACCAATACATTCTTCGCTACACTCAGAATTTAAAATTGATAAAGGTAGTAAAAAACAACTTGATATTGCTAATGAATGAGCGACTATTGTAGGTGGGAAATAAGATAGGTACATTAAGTTATTTTATTTATATCTGTAAGCAATGACAAAACTATTGCTTTCAAAGAATGATTCTGAGTAAAGTTTGGTTATATTGGTTTTGAAATACCCTAAGTTTTAAGATTTTTGACAAAATTTAAATAAAACATTTATATAGAAAAAAATTATATGATATAAATGTATAAGAGCTGATACTGGAGATCCACTGTTGCAGATGAGAAGTTGGGAAAGTAGAATACGTAAGGTTATTTCATTATATCTGTAAGCAACCATAAACCATTGCTTGACAAATGACAATTCCAAGCGCAATTTGGTAATATATAATTTGAAGTGCCTTATTTTTTTTTGTGATTTTCATTTAAATTTGATTTCAAAACGATTATTATAAAAACGTTTATGTTTTTATAAAATAATTAAATCGTGAAATTGTAAGTTTTCCTACGTTTTTCTCACATAAGTGCTTTTATTTAAAAAATGACTTCTTGAGAGTACAATCTAGACAACTTGAGCTTTCAGAAAAGGTGCTACACTTATCGGAGCAAGTTTACTAGGAAAAAACATGTCCACAAAGAAAGAAAAAAAATAAACAGCATTGTAAAACCAATAGCTCCTTCGTTACACTCGGAATCTAAAATATACATTTTTAACATATATTTATTGTATTATTTTATCACATTTCATCATATGATATTTCAATAAACTATCTACCTGTTAATTATATTTAATAATAAATAATATATTATCTGTTTAAGTATGTTCAATAATTAAAATTAATAAATTAACATCATATTTTAACGACCTAAGATTTTTTTCAATTCTCTTATATAACGATGTTCCGCGATGGGCATTTGAAAAGCATCTTAATAGAGTTTGACTGTAATTGCATAGTTTCAAAATGAGTTATAATAAGTAGATATATCATCAAAATATTTTTTTTTCTTTAAATAACTGAAAAATAGGGTAGTTCCAAAATCACCAATGATATGTGATTCAGTTTTAAATGATTAAATATTTATTTATATTATTTATTTGAAGGTCTATTCTCAAAAAAACAAATCGATATGTTAAAATTTTTAAAATTATGTGTGGAACGTATAGGTACTTTGAAATTCCATTCATTGCAATTACATGTCACTAGTAACTCTCACTAGCAATTTTGTCAGTTAGGACGATTATATAGATAAATTTTACTCATTAGAGTAAAGTCAGTGAGTAGCAACAAAAGTAGGTCATTTGTCAACTTTATTCACAAGGGAGCAGCAAGTATCCAATAAATGGCGACTAAGCATCTGGGTCAATTACATTGAGCAAATTTGGTAGCAGCAAGTAAAAATGCCCAATCTAATCGAGGCTTAAAACCTCTTCAATTACTCCCCATGTTAAAAAGGGAGTTGAGGTGGTGTGATAAAATTTTTACTAATAACCATAGACATATTTATAATGCTATTATTTTATTTAATAATAGCTGTGGCAGTATTACTGTAAATTACTACTATAAATACCAAAACTGATGTTTCTTTATGGTGTCATCACTGATTAAAAAAATTTAACTAGGAACGTACAGTATGATAATTATACACACAAAACTTGGATTTAAATAGTTTTTTTTTTTTAAATTATTCCATGCTCAATTATAATAAATAAAAATATTAATTTTGATTTTAGATGCGAGGGCGAAACTTTGAAAAAGTAGAGAAGGTATGATAAGTTACATTATCTATAATATGTAAAGTTACTAATAATTAATGATTGTTAATTTATTTTAAAATGTATTTATTAGCTTTTCCAACGTTGTCTCGTTAAAGTACTTAACATTGAATTATGGAAACTTTACCTAGCTTATGTCAAAGAAACCAAGGCACTGTTACCAACTTATAAGTAACTACTTTTATCTTGTGCTTAAGTTTAAATGTTTACTAAATCATTTTTGTTTTTCAATATATAGAGAAAAAATGGCACAAGCATATGATTTTGCTTTAGAAAAAATTGGCATGGACATTCATTCATACAATATTTGGCAAGATTACATAACATTTTTAAGTAGTGTTGAAGCCGTTGGGTCATATGCTGAAAACCAAAAAATCACAGCTATCAGAAAGGTATTAAATTGTATTATTATCTTGTACTTTAATATTAAAATGTGTAATTTAGGTCTATCAACGTGGTGTTGTGAATCCCATGATTAACATAGAATTATTATGGAAAGAGTACCTAGCTTTTGAACAAAGTATTAATATTATGATTGCCGACAAAATGATGATAGAAAGAAGTAGAGATTACATGAATGCTAGAAGAGTCACAAAAGAATATGAGGTTGTTATTAGAGGACTTAATAAGAACTATCCCAGTGTACCACCGACTGGAAGCTTAGATGAGATGAAACAAGTAAAAATATTATTTTCTTGATTTTATGTGTATTATATAACAATTAATTATTATTTTTATAGGTGGAATTATGGAAAAAATATATCATTTGGGAAAAAGCAAATCCCTTGAATACTGAGGACACTGCATTAATTACAAAACGAGTTATGTTTGCTTTTGATCAAGCACTTTTATGCATGACTCATCATCCTGACTTTTGGTATGAAGCTGCTCAATTTTTAGATGGTAGCTCTAAAATTCTATCTGAAAAAGGAGTTAGTATTCTTCAAATATTAAAATTTTATCAACAAATCATAGAACAAATGTGCTGTACAAAATACCTCTTTATTAGTTGTGTTTTATTATGGTAAAAATGATAATTATAGATAAGAATTTAGTAGAAAATTTAGGGTTTTGATTTATAAATTAAAAACTACAATAAACGTATTAAACAGATAAATAAATAAAGCTTAAGAACAAATCTCAATTCAAACCCGTTTTGGATGAGCAGACCTGCAGTAGTATTGTATTCGGCTGTCGAATCAAATACAGTAATTAATATTCTTATCATTTTTCTTGTATTGATATAAATTTTAAATTATCATTAAAATTAAATTGTGCAGATTATTTGATATTACGCACTATTGGTTGAAATATTTGTTTTACATTTGAAATTCATTTTTTAAATTGCAATAACCTATAAGCGACCCGCGTTAGACAAATTACTAAAATGGCTCTACTATACAATTTGTAAAATCAATAAACACAGGCCCTTTTTGATAAAAATCATTTCCTTTTGTAATCTTTCTTTCAAAGTGGGACACTTTGTTCTTTAGGGATGAATGCGGGGTGTATGGTCATGTTATGTATAACTCATATACTAATTTTTTCCTCCGTTTTTAGGATTAATAAACTAGTTGTATTACCTAGTTTTGCTAGTGTGCAGTTTTGTAACAACAATATAGTTTATATACAGATTTATTACTATGGATACAAAACACTTTTTATCCTTGTTAACCCATCATTCATTTTCCACTATGGGTTATGAAACATAATTTTATTTTTTCTCTATACAAACTTTAACAGTAATTTTTAACCTCTTAAGGGTTGATTTTAAAGAATCTTTTCTAAGCTGTTGCCTAAATTAAATAAGGAACCATTGTACAAAATTTCAAGTTTCTTGAGTCAGTGGTTTGGGATGTGCATTGATATGTCGGTTTCTTTTTTAATCTGCACTGTTTCGGATATCATATTTAATTGTACTGAGTAAATATTTAACCAACAGTATTTATTTGTTATTTTTTTATTGTAATTAGAATTTTAATGATTTATTTTTCTCGTTTGTAATTCTTATTTATTTTAGGAAACTGTTATCATGGTTGGATTTAATATTTTAGTATAATTTGTTTAGTATTCATGACAAGACGTCTTGGCCTATTTCATATAGAGTGGTTTTCAAGATGCACATGTTACAGTGGCACAATTTTTTTTTCGATCAGTGTTTGTGATTGAAATGTTTTTAATTAATTTTAAACATTGTCTTTTTGACCTTATTTTATTGAATTACAAAAGATGGTTTTATTATTACTAATAATAAGATACAATTATATTAGTTAATTTGTTAATTTAATGTAAAAAAAAAAAAAAAAAATAAATAAATACAAATTCTATAGATGTAATATTAAAAACCATGATACTGAGACATTGAACCAGTCACACCTGGTAAACTATAATTTTATTTTTTAAATAATTTCATAAATATATTATATTACTTGTATTAAAACTTAATATAATAATAATGCATTAAGTTATAATTCATATTAATAAGGCCCAAATTATAAATCAGCATTTTCTTTTTCTGTGACCTAAGACAATAATGCTTTCTAAATTCATGTAATGCATACTTCAAAAATGAAGCTTTAATTTTGAACTATTAAGTGCATATTTATATGTTATTTGAACTAATAGTTTAAATATTTTGTGATCTTCGGGTTAGACTTTAACCCATACCCACACCATTTTTATTATTAAATATCATATTTTTTTTAATGTTAATATAGTATTTCAATATTTTTTTTTTTACAAAGAATATTTTTATAATACAAAATAGATGTCGAAAAATTTGAGCCTTCTAATAGATCTTGTGTGTGTGTTTTTCTTTTTTTTTGGTAAAACACATTTATGTATAACAACTTCTATTTTTATTAATAAGACATGCAGAATAGTTATATGCAAGTTTTGGTACTATTTCCTATTGAATTCAGAAGTAACTGTCATTAAAACAACATCATTTTTTTTTGAAAATTATATAAAAACTTTAGGTTTATACTGCACACTGAGTATTGTAATGATATTTAATAAATAATAATCTATGAGATGCTATAAGTAATAATAATAAAAAAAAAGTACATCTGAATTGAAATAGTAAAAGACTATAGTACTATAAATATTCATCATATGTAATATATCAAATTTAATTTTGTTATTAATAATTTTTTTTAGGATATATTGGCAGCTAGACAGTATAGTGATGAAGCGGCTAATGTTTATGAAAGGGCCATTGGTACTGTATTGAACACTAGTATGTTATTACGTTTCGCTTATGCTGATTTTGAAGAAGGACGTATGAATTATGAAAAAGTTCACAGTATTTACAAAAGTTATTTGGAAAATGAAATTACTACTGATCCAACATTAGTATGAATATTTCAGATCAATATTTTTCATTAGTTAAAATTTTATTATTGTTATAATTTACAGACATATGTACAATATATGAAGTTTGCTCGCCGTGCTGAAGGAATTAAATCTGCACGGGCAGTTTTCAAAAAAGCAAGAGAAGACTCTAGATCCAAATACCATGTCTATGTGTCTGCTGCCTTAATGGAATATTATTGTAGTAAAGATAAAAACATAGCTTTTCGTATTTTTGAACTCGGCTTAAAAAAGTATTGTGATAACCCTCAATATATTATTAGCTACATTGATTATCTCTCTCATCTTAATGGTAAGTAATTTAAATATGTTATTATGTAATTTATTTAAATTTATTTTACTTTTATACAGAGGATAACAATACACGGGTTTTATTTGAAAGAGTTTTATCAAATACTAGCTTAGAACCAGACAAATCTGTGTAATTATTTCGATTTTAAAAATATAACAGTATAAACAATTGTTTATTTGATTTTTATTAATTTTAGAGAAATTTGGAACCGGTTTCTTGAATTTGAATCAAATATTGGAGATTTGTCAAGTATAGTGAAAGTAGAAAAACGGAGATCCGCCGTCCTTGGGAAGGTAATTTAAAAAATAAATAAATAGTTTTCATAAAATTTTAATTTTTGTTGTCAATTTAGCTAGTGGAGTTTGAAGGCAAAGAGACAGCACAACTTGTGGACAGGTATAGGTTCTTGAATCTTTTTCCATGCACGAGTCCTGAGTTGAGGTCTATTGGTTACAATGAAGTAACCAATACAGTCTCTAAGACAATGCACAATTCCACTCAAAGGTCTGCTATTATTGATGGATTAGATGACTTAGATAACAGACCTAATGAAAAACATTTACCTGTACCAGATGTTTCTCAAATGGTACCTTATAAGCCAAAATTAAATGCTTTTCCGGGTGAACATATTGTACCAGGTACTAAAAACAATCAATTATTTATTTTCAAAATTGTTATGTACTGTATTTGAAACTGAACTTGGTCTGTTAAATAAAATAAAAATAATAACATTAATAATATTTTAAAGGAGGAACTTTCCCGCCACCGCCATCTGCTTGTCAACTTATGCAAGTATTACCACCACCTGGTTGTTTTCATGGTCCGTTCGTATCTGTGGATATGCTCATGGATATTTTTGTGAGACTTATACTTCCTGATAAGGGTAAGTTAAAATTTCATTATTTATAATAAAATAACTATTACTTATAGGTAGAGTGCAGATTTATATTCTTTTATAATCCACAAAAAAGTGTTTTAAAATGTCAGAAAATCCCTGAAAAAAAATACTTATAAATATTTAAAAAGCAAAAATGAAATAAGAGTTCAAAAGTTCCCCACAATAATGGCTTTAACTTATTAAACTAATTTTCCTAACACTACAAACATGATTCACACAAAATAATATCTTTTAAATAAAATTGTACGTATTATTAAAAAAAGAAATACTTTTTTTCAATCATTTTTATGGTGTTAGAAAATGTTAGGTAGTTAATAAGGTTTTATAAGTGTGTATAAATTAAAGCCACTTATTAAAGGGGAACTTTTGAGCTCTTCTATCATTTTTACTTTTTTCAAATATTTGTAAATTTTTTTTTTTCAGATATTTTTTGATGTTTTAAAGCACCTTTTTGTTGTGGATTATAAGAAACTATAAATCCGCATTTTACTTATAGGTAATAATAAATTATAAAATGTTTCAAAGAGTAGAAATATAATTGAAAAATTAACTTAATTGGTCTTTAAAATAAATAATAAACTGTGCTGTTTTATAATATTTATGAACGTGAAATATTTTATAAAAGAATAATTTAATTTAAATTTGTCAATGTAATTAAATATTGTACTATTTAAGTATGTTTATTTATTTTTTGATTAATAAGAAAGCACAATTTGTGTTCTAACTATTTATAATAATTTTTATTTTTTATTATATTGGCCATAAGATTATAAAACCATTTTCACAAAATAGAAAACTAAATAATTATGATGTCTTAAATTGTAAAAAACTTTAGGTCCATTCATACTATATGTCTTAATTTAATTAAAAGAAGTGTGCTACGTACATGTGCTAAATATAGCACCAAGTGATCTTAAATTTTGAAATAGTGGTTGGCAACCAAAATTAAGTCACATTTTTATATGAGATTATTGATTTATGATTTTCTTTTGGTAAATGGATAAAAAAAAAATTATTATTATGATTGTTATGAATTAATGTTATTAAGTTAGTTCCGGGGGCTTTACTATTATAGAATAAAGATAACCTAAATATTGTTAAAAAAAATTATTATTTATACTTACTAAATTTATGATTTTAAAACATAATTAGTAACTGAATTTTTATTAAAAATAAATAAAAAAAAAAATATGTGTCACAATTGTAATAATATATTATTTTATATGTTTAGCACCAATGCCAAAAGTTGATAATGGTGTTGATATAAAATTATTTGATACTGCTTTGTCAGTGCAGTGGGCCACTGAAGATACTACTGTACACAATGGTCCCAATAAAAAGAAACGTAGAATAGCAGGGCTTTCAGGCAAAGGCGATGACAGTGATGAAGACATTAACCTAGTACCACCACCATTTGACATATATCGGTCGAGGCAACAAAAACGTGTGGCCAAATAACCTTTGCAAAAGACTAATAAATCAATATTTTTTTATCGCTCTTTAAAGATTCAAATAGAAAGTATCAGTTTTACAAGCAAATAATAAGTTTGTATCCTAATTATTTTTAGTGTGTTTATTACCAACGTACCAACTAAACAAAGTATACTATTAAATGATTTAATTATTCAAGTAAATATTTTGTTTTTAATTAAATGTAATTAAATTTACTTAATTATAAGTACATAATTTACATCAAAATTCTTAAAAAATATAGTATACCTATTGTTTTTTTTTTTATTAATTTTCTTTATACAAATATTTACTACCATAAATATAATTCATTATGTGTTTCATTCTTTCAAAAACAAAATTAATTACTTAATCATTGAAATCTAAGAATAGTATACTGTTTACTTATTAAATATATATAATTTCCTAAATTATTTTCAAAAATGGAAAGTAAGTTTTATTTCATCTAATTTTAAGGTAAATAGTATGTTTTAAATAAATGTCCACCCAAATCACCAGATCATGAAAAGTATTTTATTTCATTAATTCTATAATCAATAGTATTATTATTATTAGTTAAGTTATATTTCATGGGTGGGAGGTTTTATACACCGATGGGAAAATGTACTACATTCTTAATTCTATTGAGGTGTTTCTATACAAAACGTGTTATCTCTATTTTGAGTTATACATCGATTCTTATAGAGAAAATGGCGAGAGACTATTGAAACCATAGTTTTTGTCAAAATGTACTATGTCATAACTAAAATTAAACTTAAACTATTAATGGATTTTAAAAATATGTTATTTCCAATAGATATTTTTTCCATAGCATTCTATATCCACTTTTCTTCAAAACATAATACTTCCTGTACTAAATTATAGGTTTTACTTTTCATATTTTTCCAAAATATGGTATATTATTCATAATTTTAATCATAACGTGTTATTTTTTTTTACATCAAAATGTATTATTACCCATTTTATTGATATAGCAATAATTAAACTACATTGTGTACAAAAGTTAGTAATACCAATATCATTGAATCCTTTAAAATTAATATTATTCCATTAATACGTATTAAAATATGATGTGGCTTAGTATTAAACCAACAGTGATACATAGACATTAGACAAATAATATGAAAGTCAACATAAAAAAAGTTATATGATTGTATAATTTCCGGCCAGTTCATGATAGCAGGCAGCTCTTGGATTCTTTGTGATAATATTAAAAGCTGTGTTATGCTAATGTTCGGTATCCCAAAATCCCACATTAATTCCATGACAAATAATTATTTAATATTTATTAATATTCCTACTTTAAAATTTAAATACCTATATTTTGTTACGCATAATCTTAAGTTTTATTATATTGTGTAGGTACCTACAATAAATTAGAAGATATGTTGCAATCAGTTAGATTATACAAGCTGTCCCACGAAGATATACCTATTGAATATCTCCGGAGATAATAATGATAATCAAATTCTGTTATTTTATATTACTCACAGGGAAGAGGACTACAAATATTTAATAAACTATAAAGTAAAAACAGTATTAAAGTTGTTAATACTCGTAAATAAATATATATAAAAATAAAATAAATTAATGAATCCATGCGTTGCCTGGAGTATTATTAAGTGTATTATACGACTGGTTTTAAATTAAAAATTTATCATCAGATATATCACAATTAAAATGTAAAACACATTTTTTATTTTTATGTATAAACTTTTTATTTATATATTTATTTATACGAGGTGTGTTCAATAAATATCCAGACTCAAATTATTACAGATAAACATTTTGAGTTATCAGCAATATTGTTATACCAAAATAAACTAGAGATAATGACCATTATTTCAGTATGTAATTATAATCATTATCTCAAATCAGTCATCGACAATACGTGTTTTAAGTTGGTCGTTTTGTATTAAATCGCGATTTTACGATGGATGGATAATATTACGGAGCAATGCGCGTATATTAAATTTTGTTTCAAAATTGGTAAAAATGTTACGGAAACTTTTGAATTGATCAAATTGGCTTTTGGAGATATTTTAGTAAGCTGTTGTGTAACTTTTCACTGATTCAAACGTTTCAAAGAAGGTCGGATATCCATTGAAGATGACCATCGTCCTGGGCGTCCATCAACATCAAAAACAAATGATACCATTACTCTTGTTCGAAACAAAATTAGAAATGACCGAAGATTAACTGTTAGAGAAGTAGCCAATGAAATTGGCATATCAATTGGTACTTGTCATTCAATTTTATCAGATGAATTGGGTATGAAAAGAATGTCCGAAAAATTAGTGCCAAAATTGTTAACCGAAGAGCAAATGGAACATCGTATTGAAGTGTGTTTGAAACTAAAAAATCGGATTTCTAATGACTCAAGTTTTATATCATCAATTATTACGGGTGATGAAACATGGGTATATGGATATGATCCTGAAACCAAAGTTTAATCATCGCAATGAAAGACTGCAAATTCACCTCGTCCAAACAAATGTCGTCAGGTCCAGTCAACCATCAAAGCAATGCTCATTAATTTTTTCGATTTTTTTGGTTTAGTTCATTATGAGTTTGTACCTACGGGTCAGACAGTAAATCAAGTGTTCTATAAATAATTACTTGAACGATTAAGAGAGAAAATACGCTGTAAAAGACCAGAAGCGTGGAAATCAAAGTCGTGGTTCTTGCACCAGTGCATTCAGTACTTTCCATTCGTGAATTTTTGGCATCTAAAAATATACCAATGATACCTCACCCACCATATTCACCTGACTTAGCTCCTTGTGATTTGTTTTTGTTTCCGAAACTAAAAAGTACCCTCAAAGGCCACAGATTCGAAGATGTTTACGAAACGCGACACAAGATCTAAAGGCTATAACTATGGAAGAAATTCAAAGATGTTTCAAAAAGTGGCAAGACCGTTTGGAGCATTGTATTGAAGCTAAATGACACCATTTTGAAGGTGATCCATTTAAATAGTTTGTGCGTTTTAAATATAATTTTTAATACATTTTGTCTGGGTATTTATTGAACACACTTCGTATTATTTGTAGTCCTCTTCCTTGTTACTAATATAAAAAAAAATCTTTGTGTATCTTCTATATTTTCGTGGGACAGTCTGTATATTATACCTATACTAAATTTTAAAGTTAATAAGACTGTTTTATTAAGTTTGATTTAAATAAATATTTTACTATTATACATGATAAAATGTAACAGTATATTACTTGGTGAATTACTAGTATAGAAAAAAAATATAAAAACAAAATCGTATTGTCATATTTTTCCAAAAACTATATTACAAAATTATGGAAATAATACGTTTTGAAAACAATTTTTACATAGCGAACTAATACCAAATTTTTTTTCAAAACGTGTCATTTTCGGAAAAAACGTGTTTTGCAGCAAATCAAGATAAAAATAAACCTTTAAAATGTGTTCAATTTATTACTTTTTATTTTTAAATAATAAATATTTAATTTTTAAAATATACACATATTTGCTTACTTGTTTGGATCGTTTGAAACAGAAAATTACTAATCCTGAAAAAAAATGGTTTTTGAAAAATAATACGTTTTGCATAGAAACACTTTAATTATGTGATTCTGTTTGTCGTACAAAAAATCATTATGGTATGATCACAGATACATATATAACAGATATATATATATAATAGATAGACAATAGACATCTTTACTCCGTATAATATATATATATTATTGTATACTCAAATATGGCGTCATCCGCAATTTGCAGGTACGTTAATGTTTACAAACTGATGTTTTCAAATAATAACTAAACGGCAAATATTTTTTGAAACTAGATTTTAAATTATTGTCCGATACTTTAAACCACAATGCAATCTTATCTACATCGTGGGTATGAGGAAGTATCTATTCAAATTGGCGTTATGGGATATTACAATATAATGTATACCTGCATCTGTCCTCTTAATTATTATTTTTTTTTTTTTTTAGTACCTATTTAATATTTATGTCTGGTGTTTATGCAAGGCTTTAATCGTGTTTTACTTACACGAGAGACAAATTATTGAATATTATTTTGTGAAAAAAATTCACATTCCTGTTACATAGTGACCAACTCCTTTGATTATTGTCTTTGACATGTGAGCAATAAAATTAATAACACCACATTGCAGATGATACATTTTTTTTTGTACATATAATATATATGCTTATAGCCCATAAATAGTTCATAATTATGTATTATCTATGTTACAACCAGTCTTTGAAGTATTGTATAAAATAACCACGATTATTTAAATAACTAAATTTAATTTTATGAAAATAACAGAATAAAGATCCAAGTTGTTATTTGTTTGATTTTTTTTTAGGGTGGCTTGCATGGCTCAATAAATATATAACTACCTATTAAAATCAAAAAAAGTGTTCATTATTTCCGATTTGATATTTTTAATACAATTTTGAATTATAGTAATTAAATAAAAATATGAGTATGAAAAATCTGCTTGGATCTATGCAAAATAAACGTTTTCCACGGTATTTGCAGGAGCTATACACAGTACACACAGAATTATACTGGTCCTGCTTAAGACGAATTTACATTCCGGCAAATTTACGTTCCTTGTTATTTTTTTCTCTCGTAATTACGTTCCTTAAACTTAAATTTCAATTTGTTTCAATTCCATGCATATTATTTTCTTGTTATATGTTATTCCGGAATATTAATTCCTGCGCTTTTACTGTTCAGCCGTATTATTTCCGGTATTTTATAGGCGTCCACTTTGGTTGCTTAAAATTATTTGTGTAGAAAAAATTAAATAACGTTTCTTATTACACGAGCATGGCGGGCAGGCGGGTTAGATTCAAACTTAAAAATGTTACATCAACAGAAATGCAATGCTACTCTTTCATTTACGATTTGAAAAAAAAAAAATTAAATTAAATATTTACGAGAAACATCGGTTAAATAAGCCAACATCAAGTGACACACAGCAAATAATAGATGACTTAAATAGGTAGTAAAGTATCTCCTTATGTTCATAATGCTTCACAGTTTGATCACGCTTATGAACAATAACTAACTTGTAATTTAATAGTTTTTGTAGGCTACATTTATATATAATATATATATATATATATATATATGTATTTTTTTTATATTTTGTATACCTACAAATTATAAGCAACCAACCAGTAACTGACAATAAATACTGTAAATACAAAATTTTAATGAGTATTTATCAATTTACTCTTTAGTATTTTAATTCTCTTAAACGTTGTATTATTTTTTTTAAAGATTATTATATTACACACGATAATAAGCTATGTAATATTTTTTTGATAAGAAATTGCCTATATTAGCCCCTGATAATTTGCTCCTTGAGCTGTCTTCAGACCATATACCTAGTTTACATTTAGCCCACTTCCGTGGCAGTGAGTATAAATATGGGCAGCGCGAGTATGTAGACACGTCACTCGCGCTGATCATGTTCCTCGCACTGACGCTGCCCGACGCTCCCGTCAAGAGCGGTAAACTGAGCAGCGCGAGCAGCAACATAACCGGCAATGCGAGCGCGAGTACGTGTTTAAATTCTGTTCGAATTCAATTACCACATAATGTGTGAAGAAGAACGTTGTAGAGCGTAATTTTTGCGAATTTCATTGTCAATTTTCTGTATAAAAATTAATATAATTTCTAATTCAATATATATATAATTATATACATTCATATTCGACCTCGCTCAATGGAGGATACTGAAATAATTGCAACATCTGCACTCTGTCTGCTGAGTTTAAGTAATTATGTGAGTGTTTTAAAAAGAAATAAAGTTGAAAAAAAACGCCGTCGTCGCCAGAGGAGATGGTGGATGATATCAATTCATCGTAATAGAACACTGTGAGTACCTGTATAATTATTGTTAATTTTTAACTTGTTAAAATAGAAAATATATGTTATTGTATTTAATATGAATGGACAAGTATACAGTGATGTGCGTGGAATAATTGAATAATGAGGACGAAGGAAAAGACACACAATTAAGCAGCTCACCCAATAACAATTTTATATTATTTTTTATTTTTACAGAAAAAGTATTGCCAATTTTTTCAATGAGATGACGAGTGAGGAATCCGGGGAGTTTACCAATTTTTGCCGAATGTCACTTGCAGATTTCGAATTTCTTCTGGCTAAAATTGAACCAATGATAAAAAAACAGACTCGACTGAGAACACCTATTCCATCAAAAATACGTTTGGCAATTACCTTACGATTTTTAGCAACGGGAGACAGCTATCGAAGTCTTCATTATTTATTCAAAGTTTCAGCACCAGCCATTTCATTAATCGTGCCTGAAGTGTGCAAAGCTATTAATTCTGTTCTCAATGACCAAATTAAGGTAAAATGATTGGATATATTAAATTGTTGTTTATTAAATTATTATTTACAGAATTATGAAAATTTAGCATTTAAATTATAAAACCTGTATATAAATAGGTAATAACAAAGCTTAATAATAATAACATTAAAACCTTTATGTAACTTAACTTTTATAATTATAATAACAAAGCTTTTTACATTTAGTAATATTTTGTAACGGCGTTCAAATATGCATTTTCAATTAAGTCAGAGGGTTGATTGTCTCGTTGCAATGCGTTTCTTTCCGGTATACTAACCTCTAATAGAGATTGAGGTATTTCATTCACTTCCGGCATGATAATATGTGATACATTATTAGCTGGAGATGGCGTGGAATGTTGGTAGTATGGAGATGGTGTTGTAGACGAATAATATGAGCTGTCACTTGTTGATCGTTCATCAGGGTAGGGATTATCCAAAAGAAAGCCATCTATTTTGTACATTATTTTGTCTCGCAATCTTTCGGGATATTTTCTTAGCCTTTTTGCTAAAAGTTTAGCATATAAATCGCACTCGTCTTCTTCTATTTTCTTTACCTTTAATACGTGGTTCAAAGTTTCAAAACTTTCATTAATTTTTTTTTGAGCATCATCTAAATAGTGGTCTGTACTAATATGTCTTTTCTTGACAGGATTTGTTCTGGTTGGTGAATTAGTTTTAATTTTATTTTCTTGTGGTGACAGTGAGGTAATAATTTCATCACTGGGCTGAATCGATGATGTTGACGGGGGTGGCATTTTAGTTTCACTTTCTAAAGGCTGAAAAATAATATAATTGATAATTATTAAATAATAATTAATAATTTTCGTAAGGTTGTTTTTCAATAGTTTTTAAAGTAATAAATTCAGTGATTGAAGTGACTCAAATAAGTGCATGAGGGATAACTAAATTTCTATACTTCTCAAATTATCTCTTATCTTGTCCATAAGCCGAAGAGACGAAGGTCAAACTTCTACCACCTGTGACTTACCAGTTTAAATTTTTTATTTTAGTTACCACAAACACCGCAAGAATGGTTAATCATTGAAGAGGGTTTTAGAGGAAAGTTTCCCCATTGCGTTGGAGCTATAGACGGAAAACACATCGTAGTACAATGTCCAGCGCATAGTGGTTCTGAATTTTATAATTATAAGAGTACATATAGTATCGTACTAATGGCTTTGGTTGATAGCGACTATCGTTTTATTTTTGCCGATATCGGTGGCCAGGGCCGCATTAGTGATGGAGGAAATTTTCAAAACAGCTTACTTTGGCGAAAAATTGACTGCAATACTATTAATTTACCATCAGATACTCCATTACCCGGAAGAGATAAGAATACGCCGTATGTATTCCTTGGTGATGGTGCTTTCGCATTACATAAACATGTTATGAAACCTTTTCCTGGTAACCATGATATTGGTACAGCTGAACGTACTTTTAATTGCAAACTTTCAAGTACTCGCGTAATTATTGAAAATGTTTTTGGGGTGTTCACATCTGTTTTCCGAATTTTTAAGAAACCGATAGAAATCAATATAAAAAATGTACCTCTAGTAATTAAGACTTGTATTTTGCTGCATAATTTTTTAAGAAAAAGTGATTCCTCTCGAAACATTTACACGCCACCAGGAACTTTTGATTATATAAGGGACGGACAACTTGTTAATGGCACTTGGAGACAAACCCACACTGTATCGTCAGGGATAAGGCCAATATCAAATTTGGCTAGGCGAACGTCAAGCAACATTTCAGAAATTCGATCTGAATTCGCTAATTATTTACATAATTTAAATTAAGTAGGTACTACTATGTATTAAAAATTACCATTAAGGTACCCCCCACGCACTACATATAATTTTTAATTTTATGTTATTGGTGTAAAAATAATAATATTTTATCTCTTATTACTTATTTTTATCTGTATTAATTCATATTTATAAATAATGTTGTTATAAATAAATGTATTTTAACTCACCTCGTCTTCAGTATTTATCGTCTCTTCGACTTCATAATTTTTTCCCAAAAATCTCTCCATAATTTCATACGCAAACCATATTGGCTGATACACGTCAGTGCCCGCTCCAGATTTAATGGACGCTCTTTTCTTTTTTAATAAAGGCCTAAATGTAGCCATAAGTGACTTTTTTTTGGCTTTTAATTCCTCAATGGAAATGTTATCCATACTTAAACTAATTTTTTTCCAAGAATCATGCACTTTATGCTTTAATTTATGATTTTTGTGTTTAGGATCCCATATCACTTTTTCAGTCTCATAAAGTTCTAAGAACTTAATGATTGATTCGTTGCTCCAATCAGCTTGCATAATGAAGTAATTAGAAAACGTATAGAAATGATATAGTATAGTAAAATTAGAAAACGAGCACAAAAGTAAACAATACTAAAAAAAAACTAAAATATAATATATAAAAATATAATAAATAATATATAAATACTGTATAATAGTACGCACGTGTGGCGGTGACTGATCGAGTAGAATGTAAACACACAATCGCGCTCGCACTTCCGGTCAATTGCTGCTCGCTCTGCTATAATTAGCAGGGCAATGTAAACACTCACTGCCGTCGACGCTGTCACAGAAGTATTTTGAGGAGTAAATACGGCAGCGCGAGTAGCAATGGCAGCGGCTGAATGTAAACTAGGTAATAGAGTATGACTTTATGCTCTAGACGTTCGTTTACCATACGAGTATTTGAGGTTACATTTTTCTTCTTCGTTCCGTAATCGGATGCTCGTCATCTACGCTCAAATACCCGTAAAATAACTTTAGAATTCAACGACCATTGTGGCTAGGTAAGTTAAGCGTTAGGTTGTATAGGACACTAATTTAGCTTAAGAAACCCGGTTCAATACAGGTCCGTGAAGTTAGCGGAAATTTATATATTGTTCGATACTCAATGACAGGTTGCCGGCCGACAAAAATTGATTTATTTGTATAGATTATAGACCATAGAACTATAGATCATAATAATGTAATGTTATTACTTATATAGGTTAGATTAGGTCTACAAATAAAAGAGTTTATACACCAGGTGAGTGTAAGATAAAATAATAAAATAGAAATAATAGGTAAAAAAGATTTTTTTTTCTTTTATTCAACACTACAATCACAAAATCTACGTATCTATATGGAACTAAAAAAAATTAAAGATTCGTATAAATCAAAAAATTGTTGTTTATTTTAACTTCAAAGTTTAAAAAAAAATTACTGCATTATGAACATTTGTTTAACAGAGGTTAACTGTAGAGGAGATCAACTTATGATGAACATTGTGTTAAATTTTCGAGTTTTTATACTGAGGCTAAATAGTTTTATTTACATAAATCGGAAAATAGTGTGCTGAATGCCGTGATTTTCATCAACATTTGAACTTTATAATATAGATAAATAAAACGATTTGGAACTAATGAAGGATGTTCCATTGTTGTATGTGGAAAGTTGGGAAAGTAGGGTATACAAATGTATACTTAATTTATATTTATACTCAACTAAGCTATTGCCCACAGAAAACGATTCGAAGCGCAGTTTGGTTAAATAGAGTTTCACCGAGAAAACACATCCTTCAATCCTATATCTTGCTTTGCGTTGTTGTGGCTATGTGAAATAAAAAGAAAGGAAGAAAAAAAATATGGTTTTTATTTAAATGATGCTTTCTTGTAAAGTCAGTGGATTGACTACATTTTTTGTTTGTCCGCTTTCTGCATAAAGATCAGACGGTTTACCAACTCTGAAGCATGTTACATATAATTTGCGATTTCACATGAGAATAACAATCGTTTTCTAAATTAAAATCGTATGCTTGCGAAGATTTCCATTGTGTTTTATTATATAGTAAAAGCAAACGCAAGGCTTATTAGAAATTGAACTTGTTTAAACTCGAATGCCACGTCTGTCGGACTGATCTGTCGGAGGCGATCGGCCTATATTTGAACGCGGGCGTGTCATTACAGATGATTAATGAATATGATAATATGACTTAAGACTTGCCGTAATACATTTTCCTAGAATGAGAAAACATACAATTTTGAAATTTAAATGTTAAATGTTTTACTGATAATAAATGAAAATGTAATTTGATATGATGTTCTGGTTACTTGACTATAGTTGAAAAAGAAAAAGTTCCATATTAAACTTAGCAGCTGAACAGTTAGGCCTCTAACTTTCTTTCGATTAATCACATAGAGTATTTAAGTATATAAAAACATTCACATATTCGAATGCAACGTTGCCGTTGTGCCAACATTCAAGTCAATCGACCGACTTCTTTTCGAGTTTTGCGAGCACAAGTATACGAAGATTAAATTTTTATGTATAAAGAATATTTCCATATTTTTTCCGAAAAATATTTTTCATATTAAACGTATTTTCAAATTTGTTATTAAGCAAGACCATAACCATCACCATTTGGTGATTCTCAAAGTATTCAGCAAAACAAATTCGGTCTAGTATCTACGATCTATTGAGGCTCATTCAAATGTTTCATCGTGAACATAAAAATTAACAAGTATTACGATATTATACTAGTCAAAATAAACAAAACATTTATTCATCGACATATATATTAGATGTTAAGTAGTGTATAAACATATATTAATTTATATGATAGTTACTATCGTCTATCATATAAATATAATATAATATTTTCAACTTTTTATTTTATTGTTTGAGTTTCAAATACAATTTATAATTCAACTTCGAGTTATTAAACTATTCAACCATTAGTTCGCTATATAGTTTTACGTTTTGATTTGCACTGTAGTTAAATTTTCGAGATGTAATTTAAGCATTATTAAGTGTTATTAAGATATTTAATGTAAAATGTTATCAAAATGTTATAGTAAGCTTTTTGATTTCTAGTCTAAATATTATTATTGTAAATTCTGTTGTTTTCGATGATTAAAGCTATTTTGTCTTTTTTCAAAATTTGAACAAATTAGAATAAAAATGTGAATTCTTGAATATTATTATTTATTTGAAAACAGTTTGTATATTTACTGAATATTATTGTAAGAATTTATTTGCAATTTTAATATGTGTATAATACGCATTTATTTAAGTGCTAAAAAAAAAAAATACAAATTAACTATTATGTTCAATTGGCTATCATGTAAACGTTGTTTTAATAAAAATATATATTTATTTAGTATTATTAAAGAAGTAACACAAAATAACTTATAAATAAGTAAAATAAAAATAACTTATAAATAAGTAAAATAAAAATAACTCGTGTAATCGTATAATGTGCGCAGGTTAATTTGGCGCAAATGGGTATTTCCCATCTTTTTTCACCCATCATATATACAATACGATTGATGGCTTTGCTAAAAGATTATAAAAAAACTAAATACATATAAGCCGTACTTACATTCTCAACATTTTTCAGAAAATATGCTTTTCTTGAAATTTGGACAAAGATTTTTTGTAGAAAAATATAATCTTAACAATTTTAAACAATGAAATAGGTGCATCGTAATATGAAAAATCGTATTTTTCAATTATTTTTTTGGTTTTTCCCAATTATTATAAAAACTCTTTTGGATATCAAGAATTTGTCTATCAAAAATCTTGCTCCGAAGTATTTAGTAGAGTACTTTTTCTGAAAGGTAATTTTCTCTTGTTGGTACATTAGGGAGGTCATTTTTTTGTTTACTAAAGGGTTTTCAAAGACCAAATAATTGGGAAAACCCAGAAAGAAAATTATAGGTAAATTAAAACGGCAAATATCTACAGCACGGCCCCATTGTTTTTAATTTTTAAATGTTATATTTTCTACTAGAAACATTGCTCCAATCGAAAAATAATATAATATTAATTTTGTTCCTTTTAATATATAGGCACTGACGGTGATAATCATTTTTTAATATTTAAAGTATTTTTTATAATATTTGGGAAAATCCAAAAATTGTATTATTTTAATTTTCACGGCTTATGTTTTCTACCAAAAATATTGCTATAACAGAAAAACAACAAGAAATCTTTTTTTGTTGAATTTTTAATCTAGTTGATGACCAAGAAAGTCGATTTTTGGTAGTTGGTCTTCCTGAATAATTTCGAAAAATCGGTTTTGCAATGGGGACTACGATATAATTTATATTTACGGATTATTGTGATTTGTGATATAATATACGAGCAAAGCAAAGTAGGTACTTAGGCATGTATGTCTAAAGAACTGCGCAGTTATTAGTGATGCTATTGTCTTATTGAAATGTATTATATGTACAGGTATGTCGAATATCTACTAATAGTACTAATGCGCGTACATTAATTATACGAATAGGTATATACCAGCAAAACTGAAGCGTCAAAACCGCCGACTTATTATAACTCCGTCCGATCTAGATACCCAGTATCTAATATTTACTGCTGGTATTTACAACAATTTTAATGATTCACGAACCTCTTCGGATTAACGCACAACGTAATATTTTTTGATTGCGTTTAAATGCAATAGGTGTGTTAACAAATAATTGCTTGGTATAGCCGTAAAATATGATGAAATCCCTGTTCACTCCCTAGATAAATCATATTTACAATTTTATTTCATCACGCACCTAAGTAATAATTATAATATTATGGTGTTTTACTATTTATTGTACAAATAGAGCTAGGTTTTTCAGTTTGTCATTTTTGTTATTTAAAATACTTTTTACAAATAATTTTTCCTTGGAATGCAGTTTGAATAAATTTGAAATGCATTATAAATGTTGATGAATCGAAAATTGTGAATGTGGAATGCATTAATTTTTTCAGCTCAGAATTGTGTATGGGGATGCACTCCTTATTAAAAGAAATTTTTCGAACACCGAGTTGTAAACTAACTTAAACTATTCGTTTTTCTGGGTATTGTAAAACTGACTTAACATGAGTAAATTCTACAAAAACCAGTAAAAACATAATTATTAATTTGATACCACAGTCCGATTCAAAGCAATGGTGACCATGCATAAAGTATGTAAGTAATTTTTTTTTTATAACTGCTTTTAAGATTCAAATTGGATCCAAGAAGCTAACGGCTTTACTAAAAAGTTAATGTTTTCTAAAAAAATAATTTTTATATTAGTTTTATATTAAATATCATATCATATACCTTAAACGATTTTTCACAAGGTACATTATTTGAGAAGAAATTCTAGATTCTCAATATTTTTACTACAAATTTTAAAAATCACCAACAATAATATCGACACATTAGATTTCAATTTATTAATTTTTGTACGCAAAAACACAATTAGACACTAACAACTAATGAACTAACTAGATACAATATGCTATACTAGAAACCAAAGGAATATTAGAGCAACATATCTGGAGGTTGAAAAGCTGTCTACAAATTAAATTACTAACATGTGTATTTATTCCTTTTATTATTAATGTAGTTTTATGGAAAACTCTTGGGGGGGAGGGTAATTTCGGGTTTCATGAATTAGATAGACTAGTGTAAAGTGCTTCAAGCAGGACCCGTTTAGATCAATTTTAAAGACCCATTTGGCTAAAAAAAAAATACTACTTTTATACAGCCCGTTTGGACCAGAATTTTCCTTATATTAGTTTAACTGAACGTTTATTTGACGAGCCTTTCTATAGTAGTATTTTATCTGCGTTGTTTTATCGTATATAAGACCTTGATACCCAGATATACATAGGCATCTATTATATAAAGATAATAGATATAGATATATCTATTAAATAGATTAAATTATATATATTTAATATAACTGAATTTTTGAAATGTTTTAAAAATAAATTGATACACAGAAATTGTATGTGAACCTAAATAATTTACTTATTACTTAATTTAAAAATAAGTTTTCGTAGTTTAACTGAACGTTTATTTAGCAAGCCTTTATAGAAATTTAAAAGTATTGATCCAAATGGGTTCACTAATTCCTGGTCCAAACGTGCTTCACCCGGCGCTTTAATGGGCTGGGTTTTTTTCGGAAGAGAGGGGTGTGGGCCAGGTTGGAATTTAAAATACTGGCTCATGGAGAGCTCTAACAGGTACGATATACCTGCAGTAATACTCATATCTTTACTTTTAATCTAATTCCAATCAAACTAGGTGATATTATTTTAATTCCTCTACTCTGAAATTGGTGGTATACAATATATACGTTTTATATTATAAGTAATATACGGATTTTAATATTACCCGTGGTACCTACAGTTTATTATGCGATGTTATCAGAAGTTGTATAATATTATATGTAAATACTCAACGACATGCAAATCATATAATATTAAGTATACCATGTACAACATACCTATAATAAACAGTTTTCATACACGAACCTTAAACTTACTTGCAGATAAAATATATCGACTGTAATTTAATATTTATTTAGACAGGTATTGGTTGTTTAACTGTTTATCTTTAATGGCGTTGCACTATAATAGGCAATAGTTAACATTATTGAATATGGGTACATAACATAGTTACATACTTATAAATTATAGTAGATATGTTATACCCACTGTATAGGATGGGTTGCAGTAACCTTAACCGATCTAAATTAGTTGGGGTAGTCTGGGCATCCAAATTGGGTGTTTAGTACTGGCCGCTGGGCTAACAACACAGCCTTGTAAAAATCATTGCTCAGAATCCAAAAAAAAGCCGAAATATTTTTCAACTAATACCTAAATTTCGTAAATTTTACTATCGGAAAACCGATAAAATAGGTACAATATTAAACACATATTATTAAAGGTACTTAGGTAATGTCCATGTAATTATTTTACCATAATATAATGTGTATAATATATATTGTTGACAAAGCAACACTATCAACTTAACTACACTCAGAATCGATTTTTCGTTAGCAATGGTTTATCGTTGCTTACGTTGGTATACATTAAAATCATTAAACTACCTATAACAATGGCTACAACCGTCTCCATTATCCTAGGAGAACTTTTTTAAATATTGAACTAATTTTATGTCTCCTTTTCATAAGCATTTTAGTTATCAGTTATATATTTAGTTTTAAGTACAGACTATTTTCTAATTTTTATTTACACTATATTTTTTTTAATGCAGTTTCTACCTGAATATTAATCTAAACATCTACTACATGGTGTATGTTTGGGTGTGGATAGTAAAATTGCGGGTTAAAAAACGATGTCCTAGGATAATGGCGTAGCCACCGTTATAGCTAATTTAATGAATATTTGAAATCAACGATAAACCATTGCTAACGAAAAAACAATTCTAAGCGCAGTTTAGTTGATAGCGATGCTTTGTCGACAATATATATATATATATATATATATATATATATGTCATATTATAGTAAAATAATTAAATAGGTATTATATATTTTTTCAATAGTATTGGTTTAATATTGTACCGATTTCCCCGTGTTTTTTCCCATTTATTAGGAAAATAGAAAAAATTTCCTTTCAAAAAAAGTGATATCATTTTAAATCGGATCGAAATTTCTGGTAGAAAAGTTGTACACAGAAAATAAAGGCCATATTATTTTTTTACTAAT